TATGACCAGACATAATTGGTAATCAAAACACATTATTATAGGTCATGTTCTAGCCTTACATACTATTATCGTGGTGTCACAGATATATGAAACAAGGTATGACTATGCCAGAGAAATATCACTGTTGTATGCATCTTAGAAGAAGACAACAGTGTGATAACTGGGCCATCTATGCAATGTAATTGAATGGCTGCAGACCATCACATTTTCAGTAGATTTATAATGAATTGAGACATTTTTTAAATAATGGGATATATCTTATCAAAGTTGTATAGAAGCTGCAAACACTGCAATTGTGACCATCTGCTTACACTGGCCTGTCTGGCCATCCCCAACATGGCCAGCATCTACAAATCCTGACAAGCATGGGCTACTCTGGACTAAGTTCACCAATACACCAACAGTGCGTACTGATTACAGAGCAGTACCATGTTGGTGGTTGTTGGTTTACAGCACCAGCAATCCAATGATGATGATCCAGAGCCCTTTGATCCTGCCTCATTCACACAACATCGAAGGCAGAATTCTATTCCAGTGCTTTCATCCACTCCCTCAACTCCATTCATTCTCTTCTATACCCTCCACGCCTGCGGCTAATTATTCTGTACAAACAATGCCAGGTGCTTATTCATCCTCTGATGCCCTTGGAATCATGATGGGAGCGCTTGAACTTCATTGAGTGAGCTCCAACTTGATGAAGAAATATACAAAATGGTGTGCAGTCGCAGTGTGCCAAAAGACTTAAGCAAAGGAGAGCCACAATGACAAAAGCCTGATCGCATATGGGAGAGGCAGAGCCCTGACAATGCGACACCAGGCAGAGATGGAATGGTATTGGATGATGTATGAAGATCAGTATAGTGGTACATCTTTTCCTTACTCTCTGATTGTTTCTATATCCCTGAACTTTATACAGAGTAGCTTGTTTATTTAATTACACACTTGCCCAGATCTCTAATTGTCTTGTATACGTGATATGTGTTACCTATTCTAATTTATCACAAACTCTGACACCCAGGTTTTGGGTTGGGTACTAGTCGTGACAACAATAGGGGCAACAACTTCACCACCAAATGTCAGCTCAAGAACCTTGCACCCACCCAAAGCTCCCCTACATCAAGCTCAAGCTGAGTGAAGATGCCTTGAAACCTATCAATGCACACCTCCTCAAACTTGATGTCATCAAAAACACTCACCCCGTCCACTTCTTGCCCATGTTTGCAATCTATGCCATCACCATCCTGCTTGCAGCCATCATAACGGCATGCCTGGATCTCCTGGATCAGAGATATGCACATGTGGAAGTGGCAATGCAGGTGTTGTGCCAGAACTTAAGGCTGCAGGAAGATTTGAGGGAGGCAATCAAGAAGAAGGATTTTATGAATGTACTGAATATTGGTGTGTTTCTTTGCTTCATTGTTGGAAAGTCGAGGCTGATGAAAATATAGAGGTGCTGCAGAAACCTCCTCGGGTGAACAGTATGTTTAATTGTCACTGTGCTCTCATGCCTGCTTGTTCTCACATGTGTGTTTTTCAACCAGTGTGTGTGCTGAACAAAAGGAGAACATTATAGGGCAACATAAACCAACAAAGGCAAGACTGGCGAGAATAAGGCTGGAGAGAATGTCATAGTGCAAAGGTGGTATGTGAGTCAGAGATCCAGGTCGGAATTGCAACATAATGTATGCACCCACTAGTACCTATCACTCTTTTTGACCCTCTTCATGACTGCCTCAACATACCTATCCATGTCTTTCTCCCAGTGCTTCACAGCACTATTCTGAACAACATAAAATGCCCTCTCCTCCTTTACATCACTTTCATCATCATCATCATCATCATCATCATCGTCCTCTCCTTCCATCAGTTGCTTCATGAACCATACATCATGGCTCACCAGCACCAACGCTCCCTCGAAGCCCTCCAGCGCCTCCACCAGCCTATCCACAGTGCCCATATCTAAATGATTCATGATTTCATCAATCACAAGTACATGCAGTGCATCATAGAGAATGATTGCAAACACAATGCGGTTCCACTGTCCTCCACTGAGGTTTGTGATCTTCCACAGAACAGTATCCAGCCCAGTAAGACACCTTGAAACACTTCCCATCCTCTGTCTTCTCCATTCCAAGGCACTCAAGCTTCTTCTTCCAACTCACTACTTGCCCAAGCCACTTGTCATCCCCAGTCGCCTGAGCCTGCTGTACATTGTGTTGGATGCTTGCTACAAGTTTTGCCTGCTTCTTCACCTGTATGTCCAGCAACGCTTGCTTCCATACCTGCTGTTCCTCACTTGTTGTTACAGTGCCCCACTCTTTTTCTCATCATCACTATGGACTCCTATATGGCTGTACTTCTAACGCTTCCTTTTCACTGTGCTGTTTCTTCATGGTCTTCCTTATCTCTGACTCATACCTTGTTTTCCCATGAACCTTCCTTTCTTAGTAGTCATTACCCTTTGCCCAGCCTGGTCTGTGCACGATTCCTTTACATATATAAACCCTAGTTACCACTTGTATTTTCCCTAACTTGAATCTACTTGGTTCTCCTTGATACTCAAACTCTAGCTCCTTGGGAAGGAGGCTAGCTGTTGTCCCATTTGAACCTTAGATCCTGCAGGAGTCTAAGTGATTGCTCCTGAGGGAGGTGTTGACTTGATAAGGCTTAGTCCTTGATTGACCTTGATCTTGATTCCTTTATTGGAATGACGCTCTATCTGAGTTCATAACACTTGTGCTTTTGTAGTCTGCGAACGACCCCGCATGGTATCTCAGCATCTCGTCCTGCAGAATGATAGTCTCCATCGTCACCATGTTCAAGAACACACAGTCATGCAACATGATGACAAGTGTGAGCCCTGTTGTTTCATTGATGAGGTATTCTTGCAGCCAGAGGATGGCAGGAAGGTCAAGGTGGTTCACTGTGCACATGAATTAGGTGGACACCATATCATGAAAAATGACATACTTGGTTTGTCAAGCAGGAGGATGTCTGGGCCAACAAATAGTGCTTTCACAAGCACAATCTGCATCTGCCATCCACCACTCAAGGTCTGCACCCTGGCCTTGACTTGGGCCTCCTCAAATCCAGGACCTCATAAGATCTTCCTTGCCTTTGCTTTTTGCGCATCAAAATTGATCAGTGCAAATTTATCAAAGACATCCATGACGAGTTCAGTCGCAATATCAGATGAGACATAGATCTGTGGGCACTGGGCCTTCAGTGCAGTGAACTCAGTTTCTATCGTGAGCTGTGCCTGATGGGCATCATGTCCACATGTGCCAGAGCGTTTCTGCATGAGTCATTGTGTGAAGATCATGCAGGCCTCCATTCGAGAAATAAGAATGTTGTGGAGCACAATATTTAATTGGGTGGTGTTTGATGAAGTGGACTGAGGTGCATCTCCGAGTATTGCATCCAAGGCTATGAGAATGGATTCAGGCTTGTGCAGATAGTGTGAGGACATAAATTACCTTCATATTCATGTAAAGCCTTAGTGCATGCCTTGTCTGCTTCGAGTACTTCATTCAATACAGCGGTGGACTCGTCAAATGTCTCTAGCTGCGCAATGTGGATATTGAGATTGCTTGGCATAGCAAGAATATTATCTGCCATGCATCTCATCAACACTGCAATATCGACTTATAAGCAGGTTTATGTACTACAAGAGAAGGGGCTGACTCAGTCTTTCCAACACCATTTGCCCCATGAGACCATATCGCATGCCTTCCTTGAGCTGCAGATGCACATTGACAAGGAGATCAAGGTTGTTGACGCTGATGTTGACAGTGTGCATGTCAATGTCTTTGGACAATGTCTTGAGGGTCTCGCGGTGGAACTGGCTCTGCTGGGCAGTTGCTACGATCTTGGGCTCCGCTTCTGTGGGATGCACTGGAGGCAGTGGCAGTGGCCTTCTTTTGCATGTGTTTCATGCGACAGGCCGTGATAGACAACACAGGTTTCAGAGTATTCTCTATAGGTGTGCTAGCTGACATCGAAGTCCTTCATCGATAGTGTCAGACTCATGTACAGTGGCTCAAAAAACTGTCCACATGTTTTGCATTTTTTACTATTTACAATATTGTGTGAGAATACATAAAGACCTCAGTGACATGCTGATATCATATTGTAGTGCTGCTTCAGGGCTTTAGATTGAGCACCCATCAGGCCTAGGGATTGATTCCCTAGGCTGGAGCTTTGCCTTTCCGGCACTGACCCTCTTTCTGGACTTAGGTCCAATCCCTGTCTCTCCAACTCTACCTTAGGGTAGTCTACCTCTGTTTGCTTCTATATCAGACTTTGTCTGATGTAGCCCCTATTCCTTCCGGACCTCCGGACCTCCTGTCCCTCATACCTCCAGGCATCCTGTCCTTTGGACATTCCACCCTCCATACCTTTGGACATTCCACCTTCCTAACCCTCGGACATCCTATCCTCCTGTCCTCCATCCTCCTGTCCTCCTATCCTTCCATCCTGTTTCCTGTAGAAGTATTACCTTGCAGTGGGAACTCTCCTGTACTCTGCATCCAACTCCTGCTCTGGATGTTTCCCGCGCTCCTCTGGAAGTCCTCTAGCGCTCTCCAGCAGAGTAGCCAGCCTCCAGAAGTCCTCTGGACTTTGTCGGACCATCATCAGACCTCATATGAAATGAAGGCTCTCTCCCCCTTGAGCAACATGGATGTGTTAGAAGTTGCTGGAAAACTATGATTGCACTTACTGCGATTGCTGGATCACCTGCATGATCATGCAAATACAATCCTATGTGCACGGGGTGCTATGGTGGTGGGCATGTGGGCTTCATGCTATGTCTGCGATTTCGAGGTGAGGGCAAGGAACGATTCTGTCCCCAATATGACAAATGCGAGTCTGGTGGTGTTCGATCCAAGTAAGTTGTTTTACAAAAGTTTTCCAATCAGTGTGGTTGTATCTGGCCTTGGGAGAATGGTGTTCAAGTTCACCCTGGATAAAGTTGGTAAGTAAAGTATGGAATTCCAATGTCATGGACTGACTGGTTCAGTGCTGTATGAATCACACATGCCATACTGGTGAATTGTCAACACATAGTCTCCCAACACATGAAACTTATATGTCTGAAAGTTGAAGACCTTGTGTCACTGCATATTCTTACCCAACTTTTCTGATTCAGGCTCTACAAGGGGCACTTTTTGCTTCCCTTTTGACCCTCCTTGTTGCTTGGCCGCCTGCTTTGCATGGTGTCTGGTATGAGCCTCGGCCTCCTGATGAAGTTTGTGGGTAACATAGGCAGAGCAAACAGTAGCTTTGAAATGACAAAACTGTTTGCTGACCACTGTAGTAACTTGGTCCATGATTTCCAATGTTAAATCAGAATGCATATGGAGTTTGGCCAGTCTGTGCCAGTGGGCCATTGTAAATAGCAACTGAAGAACAGTCCCATTGTGTGGTTCTGGAAGAAGACAGTTGAAGACAGGAAATGAGCACTGTAATTATGGTCAAACAGTATCCACCTGCATCAGCAATAAAGTCATACCTGGAGGAGGTCTTCAAAGTTTCGAGCCACCATTCATTTCATCTCAGAAGCATTCACAGAGAACTTTCAGATGGTAGCTGAGCCAAATGTCAGAGTTTGCCTATATCTGGTGGAGGCAGTCAACATGAGATGAGCAACACAGGATGATGGACCATACCTCTGGTCCAATGTATGTAGCAGACCCTTGTCATGTGCCGAGATGATGCATAACAGATGCACAAAAAGCATCTTCCAGACGCCAATAAAAACATAGAGACATACTGTAAACATGCAGTAGATACATTCTGCTCTCAAGTGTGAGAGGGGAACAGGCAGCTCTGTCAGAAATGCATCTTGTTGAAGAGAAGGAGATGTTTGTTGCATTGTTGTAGATCTGATTGATCTTCTTGGACAATGTATCTTTGGCTGACTGGTCCTGGAATGACCGTAATGTTGGCTGAAAGCGCAGAAGAGCCACTTGATTCCTGCTCCTTGTCGCTGTCACCATCCTCATCCTCATCCTCATCTGCTTTGTCATCAATGTATTGATTCTTTGGCTACATTTATTTAGTATACATTTAGTAGAATGTGAATGTTCTACTTACAGCGTGGGGTTGACAGGGTATGTACCTCTTCCTCAGGGCATTGAGATTTGCCAAAGAAGCTGTATCATCACCATCGCCAGAGAATAGTGTGGTTTTGGCATCCTTCCAGTCATCTGCAGAGTATCAATTGCTGAGGTGAGATGATAAATTCTCTTCCATCTGAGTGAAAGTCATCTCAGTTTCAAGGAATCATACTAGAATGCACCATGTGCCTCAATCTACCAGTGGCGATGACCCCAGATGAGATTTGCCTGTGATGCTCCTACTCAGTGATGAGAACGACAGTATACTACTTATTACTATGACATACCTTCATGATGTCTGACTCACATGCACTTCAGGGTGGGTTTGGGTTCACCGTCACCTGGTGCAGTGTGTTTGGACATGATTATTCTGCCTGCAGTTACATCATCAACTTGACATAGTGAAATCAAAACATAACATACAGTGGCTCAAAAAACTGTCCGCATGTTTTGACATTTTTCACTATCTACGATATTGTGTGAGAACTCACAAATGGCTCAAGGACATGGTTATAGCACATTGTAGTATGGCTTCAGGGCTTTCATTTGAGCCCTACACCGTGGGAATCGGTGGAGATATGGTGGAGACATAAGGCTTATAAAATGATGACTCATGTGGACAGTTTTTTGAGTGTATATTAAAACTATATAAATCATTATTTATGACACCACAAAAATCATGCCACTATTATATAAATTATGAAGCCCCCCTAAAGGAGTATGGAAGCTTTGGGAGAGAGTAGCAGTGGAATGGGGGAAGATCACAGCTGAGGATTGCCAGAAATTAATTGAGAGTATGCCTAGAAGGATAAAGGCAGTAATTAAAGCCAAGGGAGGTCATACAAAATACTAGAATACCTGGTTATTATTGTAAAATACTTGAGTCAAAAAACTGTCTGCATGAGTCACCATTTTGTGAGCCTTGTATCTCCACCATATCTCCACCGATTTCCACGGTGTAGGGCTCAAATGAAAGCCCTGAAGCCATACTACAATGTGCTATAACCATGTCCTTGAGCCATTTGTGAGTTCTCACACAATATCATAGATAGTGAAAAATGTCAAAACATGCGGACAGTTTTTTGAGCCACTGTAGGTATATCAGAAGATACTGACATTGATCCAGTCTTCCACATTAAAAATCCTCAGCAAGGCAACAGATCATTGTATCTTCCTCTTCTTTGTTGCTATCCTCTATTTCTTCACAATGAACAGGGGTCTTTCCATTCTTCTTCTGAGGGCATGCTCTAGTCATATGTCCCTTCTGGTGACATGTGAAGCATAATCCTTTCTTCATGTGATCGCTTCTTTCAGCTTCAGTAAGCCAATCTACCTCCATAGCATTTGGGTCATGCCAATCAATGGAAGGTCTTGGTATGTATTGCTGTCCGGTTGGCTTGGTAGTAGTGCAATTGTTCTGATGGAACATGGCACCTCTTTGCCAATTGGTATCAAGTCTAATGGCTGCAGTGATGTATTTGTCAAAATCTATGGGAATGGTTTCCATCTGGTAAATGGCGTTACTGATCCCCTTCTTCAGTCCATCATTGAAGAATGTGATCAAGACAGTGTCTTGCTTTATGGAAGCTTGCGCAGCAAGGGTCTTGAAACTGGCAATGTAGGAAGTAAGATCACCTGTCTGTTTCAACATGTGGAGTTTATTCATGGCTGTACTGATGGCATTAGCTGGTATGAAGGCTTCTTTGAACTTTGTTTTGAAGTTTGCAAAGGTTCTGTAAGACTTAGAGGTGGAACTATCGACTTCAATGTAAAAAGTGAGCACCCAACCCATAGTGCTGTCTTCAGTCATATATGCAAGGGCAGTGATGACTTTCTTTTCATTGGTGTTATAGATTGTAGCATTAAGGGCAAAGTATGCTTTAATCGAAAACAACCATCATAAAGCCTGCTGAGGGCTCCCATTGTAAGACGTCAGGGCTCCAGCTTTGAGTTCTGGGGCAGTAATAGGTGTTGACATCCTGATCTTTCTGGTCTAGTGATGTGTCTGGTTACAGGGGATGTTACATCTCTCTCTGTCTGGTTTCTGGGACCTCCCTGATGGAGAGGGTTAGTAAGGCACTTTAATCTTTTGTTATGGACTAGGATAGTTGTAACAACAGCAGCTCGATAAGAGCGATGGCTGAAGTTATAGTCAAGACCTTGCAAATGCAAGGGTTGTAAGACAAGACGAAGAGAGTGTCTTCAGCTTGAATATTAGTTCAGACAACTTAGGATTGGAGGTCCTGAGCAAGAGAAGATTCAGGTGAAAACCTAGTAAGATTAAAGTGAAGTACTACTGAGTACATGGTTAACTATATATAGGAATTGTAGGTAGTTTAAGACAGGCATAAGTCAACAATGAGTCAGAGATAAGAAAAGAACATGTAAGCAATAAGAATGAGTCATCTAGTGATGGCAATGGTGATCGTGATGTAATACAAGGTATCAGAGATAAGTCTAGCAGCAGCACTATGTGGCTTGTGACATAATACAACAAAGATAAGAAAGAAAATGAATAGGGGCATACATGACTGTAACAGAGTAGCAGAGAGCTTTAAGCTTGACTAGGGAAAGGGAATATATGGTACCTAGGGGTGGAGCCATTCCTTCTTCTAAATCAATCTTTAGATCATAAGGACAATAAGAAGGAAGTTGGCTGGCTTTGCCCTTGTCAAAGACATCTGCATATTCATGATACTCTGAAGGAATACCAGATAGGTAAAGGATTACTATACTCGTGCAGGTCTGGAACAAACAGACTCTCTCAGTCGTTGCGCGCGAAAGCAAATGTCTAATGTATTCACCTGGAACAGACAGACTTTCTGCACAAAGTAAGTAAAGGCAAACATAAATAAGTGTAAGTATCTCACCTCAGTCATTGTGCATAAAAGCAAATGTCTGAGGTGGCAGTCTGAGTCTGTAGCTATCTATATAGCACAAGCACTCTTGTATGAATGAATAAGTATTTGAGACTGTTAACAAAAGAAATATGGCACTGGCCAAAGCAATCAAAAGGATTTCAGTGCATAATGGCAAGTGTTATCATAAGAGCAAAACAAGAGCAGGAACATACATGTTATAGGACAATGAAAAGGTGGCAAGCAAGAACAAACTTTGGTGTGCTCAGCTGCAAGACACGCTTGCTAATCTAACAATAGGTCCAGGGCATTGGACAAAAGTGAGGCAGACTGGAGCTGGATATCCAAAGGATGTAGGAAGATGCTAAACTGCTGGGAACCTTCTAACTTGCAGGCCCAGCAAAAGGCAACTGCATTAATTAGGGAAATATTAGGTCTGGAGGTATCAGCAGAGATGTTAGAAGTAGTTGGAGTGGAAGTTTCCACTGAAGGTGGCAGATGTGATATTGAAGGGGTCAATAGCATTCCACCAGAAATTAATGCTGTTTGAAACCCAATCAATCAATAGTTTGTGTTGAGTAAGCCAGCTATATCCAAGGATGATAAGATAAGATGAATCCAAAGGAGTAACATAAAACATATCAGAGGTGACTATACCAGATGGAAAATAAATAGGCAATCTATAGCTTTGAAAATGGTTGTATTACAAGTATGTACCATCAAAAAATGGAGCAGAATTGGAGGAATTGCATAGGTTAGTAGATTATATTTATGGATGAAGTTGGTTTCTACAAAACAATGGGAGGAGCCACAATCTACAAGAGCTAGAAAGGCAGATATATTAGAATATGTAGGAATAAAAACATATGGATAGAGAGAGTTTGGATTAGAAAGGAAAACAGTGTTGAGTTGCAACTCTGTTGCATGGGTTGAGTCAGCATGATCCTTATCCCATGCAGAGTTAGGAGGGTCATGGACTGTTTTGTTGCCTTGTCTGAGGTATTTGGTTTGGTTTCCAGATCAACTGTCGCAGTATGGCCTTTGGCAGCACATAAAGACCACTTGTTGCATTCCTAGGCAGTGTGACCAGGTCTGCCACAGAAGAGACAGAGCTTCTTATCCAGGCATCTTTGGTGTTTTGTTAAGAATCAGTTTGCTCAAAGTAGAGAGAGGGATTGATTCTGAGGGGCTTAGCCTTAGCTCGTATGCTGTGCCCCTTACCCAAGTATGTGCCCTTCATTTCAGATAAAGTCTGATGATGGTCTGATGAAGTCTGGAGGACTTCCAGAAGCTGGCTACTCTGGTAGAGTGCTAGAGGACTTCTGGAGGAGCATGGGAAATGTCCAGAGGAGTGTGGGAGAGTTCTGGAGGAATGCAGGAAGTGCTTAGGAGAGTTCCCACTGCAAAGTAATACTTCTACAGGGAACAGGATGGAAGGATAGGATGTCTGAGGGTTAGTAGGACAGGACATCCAGAGGTCTGGAAGGAATAGGGGCTACATCAGACTTCATGCAATGTAGAAACAAACAGAGGTAGACTACCCTAAGGTAGAGTCAGAGAGACAGGAATTGGACCTAGGTCCAAAAGGAGGGTAAGTGCCAGAAAGGCAAAGCTCTAGCCTAGGGAATCAATCCCTAGGCCTGGTGGATAGGACAGACTTAGGTGGACCAAAGTCTCAGAGAAGATTGGGCAAGTCTAAGTTGATATTCAAACAAAGGAAACTACAAGAGTATGTACAGGGGTTATATACTGGAGAATATCTGAGGGGATCAGTAAGCAAAGGAGCAGGGCTATGTATGAGCATGTGAAAGCACATTAGTAAGTAAGACAGAACATAAGTAAATGAAACTCAGAGATAAAGACTTGTACAAGGATCAATAAGCAAGATGGAACAAAAGGTAACCAAAAGCCGGAAAGCCAGAGATGTCTAAATGGGGATAGGCACAGGATGTCAGACAGAAGGTGGGAATAGGTCCAGAGTTGATAATCAGAGGTCCAGAGATCTGGGGATCCAGAAGATGAGGTGGATATAGTCCAGAATCCAAGATGAGGTGAAGTCCAGATGTCTTGCTGGATGGAGTGTGCATAGGGTGGACAGGATAGGGTGGTATGGATCAGGCTAGCAGTGGAGCTGATCCTGCTAAGGTGTAGGGCAGACAGTGGAGGGAGAACTGGGAATGAGTTGGATATGAGGTGGGGTCCAGATATAGGTTTGGAAGGTGTGGGAATATGATGGAATGTGGGTCTAGATTGTGGGATATGACATTCTTGACAAAACTGCAGGAGACTAAGACCAAGTGAATGCATACCATCAAGCTTGACACCTGATGAGTCATCGAGGTTGATTATGGAGTTAAGGGAAAAATCTCCAGCACTATGGTCTACAACAAGACACAATTTGGTTGAGTTAGGTTTTGGAACCACACGAACTGGAGTGCTGTACATTTCAGCAAGTAAATTTGGCCCAAATGGAAGTGAGAAACAGCCAAGCCATACTTCTTCATCAACCTGCTCTTGAATGAAAGCTCAATGCTCTTTGCTCTTGAGAGGATGATAAGAGTTATCCTACATTAAAGGATAACCATCCATAGTAGTATCCATGCATGGCCAAAAACCCTCATGCAGACCTTCTAGAATAGACTTGACAAAAGGACAATTTGGATGCTCCTCAAGGAGCTCACAGAGAACACTGATTTTGATGGGGGGTGACAATTGCAAAAAGATCAGGACAAGCATTCAAGGAGTCCAAAGCAGTCTCCAAGAAATCATGATTTCCAGGCAGAGGTAGAGAAGTTGCATACAAGAAAGATTTAGCTGTAGGACTGAAAGAAGACTCACCTATGAACCACACCATTCCCTGTAAGTACTGAGGACATTTGACAACAAAATTAGTTTGAAAAGGAGCAAGAGGGGCAGTTCTTTTCAGGGTGGTCTGAACTCCCACACTTTGCACATATGTGCCAGTAGTTGCAGGATGAATCTGATCAACTACAGGTCTTGTAGTTCCATCTTTTGCAGAAATCAATTCCTCATTGGTGTTTCAAACCACTTGAGCTCCCCTCATCATTGACACAGCAGCCAGAGAGGGAGAAGTGTCCTTCATAGAGGTCTGAAAATTGGTTGAAATTGGAGAGTTGTAAGTCTCTCCTCCAACTGACATGTTTTCTGACTGCCTTATCAAAGGTGATGACACAGGAATGATACTTGCTGATGTTTTGGGCAAACTTTTGGTGGATGAAGTTTCCATAGTCCTCAAGCATGTCAAGTCAATGTGGGAAAGCAAATCACATTGCATGAGTGAAGAGTGAGTAGGCAACATTCCAGTCCTGTGAGCTTCACACAGACTTTGCAGGTTCTGCTTCTCCACCAATCTTAAATTTGAGTTTTCCAAGTTTTTCTTCATGATCATGTTCTGCATCATCTGAGTACCATCCTGTAAAGATAACATTGAAGTTGACAACTCTTCCTTGGATGATGTTGTAGAGCTCAGACTCTGGGAACTCTGGGATGAATGAAGACTCAAGCCACTTACACTTGACCTGCTTGAGGTCATGGGCCCAATTCACAAGAATAGAGTTGGTTTTTCATAATGAGGCAGGGAGCTTCTTTGACCTTCTGATGACAGAAGGGTTTGTGATGTTACAGTTACATGTGCCCCTATTCATTTTCTTCACTATACTTGTATTATGTCATGACCACACGATACTGTGCCATCACTAGACTCATCTTCTATATTTGTATTACATCACAATCGCCTTGGCCATCGTTAGATGACTCACCTCTTATCTCTGACTCATCTCTTATCTCTGACTCGTCTCTTATCTCTGACTCATTACTGATGTACCTGCCCTAGAGCTAGTTACATCTCATATATATAGTCGACAATGTACTTAGTAGTTCTTTACTTTAATCTACTAGGTTTTCACCTGAACATTCCTTCACTTAAGACCTCCAATCTTAAGACATTGTGACCAATATTCAAGACAAAGACACTCTCTTTGTCTTGTCTTTAAAGACCCTTGTATTTGCAAGGTTTAGACCATAACTTCAGCCGTCACTCTTATCGAGTTGCTGTCGTTATACTATCCTAGTTCATAACATGTGAGGTTTGAGAGGTCAAGTTTAAATCTTCATTGCTTTTTATGCAATGGTTCATCAACCTCTGACTCAGAGTTCTCTTTGGAGTCTGAGTTGATGGACAGCTCCGCACTATCATTGTCTCCTCACAATTCTTTTCCATCTTTTGAAGCTTCTTCATTCTCACAATCTTGTTCTCCAATTTGGACAACTTCCTTTTCAAAGGAGTTGAGCATCCAGTGATAAGGACCGATGAGCTCAGTGACTGATCACCCTCCAAACTCACTCCTGTTGACATATGATGCTCACTTAAAGATTTCAAAGATGGCATTCATCTTGGTGAGAGTTCCTTGTCTATAACCCCCTACCAAGCTCAAACAATCAGAATTGAAGGTATTTTTCCATGGAGAGGGGCTTTGTTCTGCTGAAGGTTGTTTAGAAAGAGACCATGAGTTACTACTAGTCTGAGTATGAGAAAGCCATGATTTAGGATCCATACAAAGTTGAATGTAATGATGGAATGAGGGAAGCTGTCATATCCTGTATGCCAAACATAGATCCCATCATATTCCCACGCTTTCCAGACCTATTTCCGGACCCCATATCTGACTCATTCCTGGATCCCCTATCCTGTCCACCCTACACACATTCCATCTAGCAAGACATCCGGACTTTACCTCCTCTCAGATTCTGGAATACATCCACCACCTCACATATCTCAGTCCTGTTTCTGCCCTGCCTTCCAGATCTCCAGATCTCCAGACCTTCAGATATTAACTGTTACTATCTCTGGACCTATTCCCACCCTCCATCTGAGATCCTGCACCTATCCCCATTTAGGCATCTCCACCTTTCCAGTTCTCGGTTATCTCTATTTCTGTCTTGCTGATTGATCCTTGTACTAGTTTCATCTCTGAGTTCATTTACTTATGTTCTGTCTTACTTACCAATGTGTTTCTGCATGCTCGTACATAGCCTTACTCCTTTGCTTACTGATCCTCTCAGATAGCCTCTAGTATATAACCCCTGTACAACTACAGTAGAGTCCTCAGTCTGAATATCATCTTAGATCCTGTTCTACTTGCCCAATCTTCTTCCAGACTTCAGTCCATCTGAGTCTTGTCCTTTTCCATAAAGGCCTAGGGATGGATTCCCTAGGCCAGAATTCCAGACCTTCAGATTTGTCCCCTATGTCTCTGTCCCAAGTCTAGGGATTGCTTCCCTGGGCTAGAGTCTTGCCTTTCTGGCACTTGCCCTCTTTCTGGACTTAGGTCCACTTCCTGTCCCTCCAACTCTACCTTAGGGTAGTCTACCTCTGTTTGCTTCTACATCAGACTTCGTCCAATGTAGCCCCTATTCCTTCCAGACCTCTGGACCTCCTGTCTTCTGTACCTCTGGACCTCCTGTCCCTCATACCTCCGGGCATCCTGTCCTTTGGATGTTCCGTCCTCCATACCTCCATGTCCTGTCCTCCATACCTCTGGACCTCCTGCCCTCCATACTCCAGACCTCCGGACATCCTGTCCTCCTGTCCTCTGGACCTCCTATCCTTCCATCATGTTTTCCTGTAGAAATATTACCTTGCAGTAGGAACTCTCCTGAGCACTTCCTGCATTCCTCCGGAACTCTCCTGCACTCCTCCAGACATTTCCCACACTCCTCTGGAAGTCCTCCCGCACTCTCCACCAGGGTAGCCAGCCTCCAGAAGTCCTCCGGACTTCATCGGACCATCATCAGACTTCCTCTGAAATGAAGGGCACATACTCGGGTAAGGGGCACAGCATACGAGTTGAGGCCAAGCCCCTCTGAGTCAGTCTCTCTCTCTCCCTTGAGCATGGTTCTTAACAGAAGCAAGTTCAAATTAGCGAAAATTTTCTGCTTCACAGTGGTAAAGCAGAAAAGATGCAGTTTACCTGAGTGCAGGTGCCCAGATATACATCAAGAGAGGGGCTTGAAGCCATGTAAGCACAGCAGTGCATGGACCATGTCAATGTGCAGTCACAGTCATTGAAATTGCCTCACAGATTACCTGTGAAAACAAAGCTCCATACCAAATATGTATGGGGTTCATATTTAAAATTTGTGATGAAAATTGATCAGCCACCATATTCATGCTTAAACTCTATATATGGCACATATCTTAGAGTAAAACATATTTTATTTCAAAGTTTGGATACAAGATGCCATCAGATGTAGGATATTGTCTCCCTAATTTGCCCAAATGTCATATCACAAACATATGTAAAATTTGATATCCAATACCATTACAGTACAGATTCTATCACAAATGCAAAATATTTCTGTGGACATGATGCCAATCTATCCTGCAGACAGATCCCATCCTACACCACCAACTGCCACATTGGGCTGTAGAGAGATAGTGCGAAAACCATTTGTAACACCTTGGCAACAGGTGGAAGTTTGAATAGAGACTTAGTACATAAATAAATAAATAATGCTGTAAAGCCCATAGATCCAATGCTTATCAAAGGTTTTTTTTCCCACCTGGGTAATAGATTGGTTATAGTGCATATTTGGTCTGATCCAGGGCTTGTCCATAGATCTAAGTATCAAACCTATGGTATACCTATGAAAAAGCTTGTGTGAACATCCTGTCCGAGAACTCTATAATGAACTCTAGGTTTGCTGGACTAGCATCTGTATTCTACACAAAATACACTTGGTTCTGTTTACCTAAGCAGTGTGAACACAAATACATTATATAGAATGTGAATTTCACAAGAACTGCTTTCTGCAAAATATGTGTTACACTACAATAATTGCTAGATGGTAGAGACTGATTAGGACTTGGCACAAAGACTTAGCGAAATTTGTGATGAGATGACCTGCCGGTTGTCATATATAAATCGACACGTACCAAATACAAGGGCTTATGACCTAACGGGCTGTGCGTGTGAAGTATGTGTGTTGGTCAATGGTGAGTGCTTGAGTTTGAATCAGAGAGACTACGTTTTAAATTTTAGTGTAATTTCTTTCTTCAGCCACATCACCGCTTATAGGCCTGTTTCCCAGCTCTCACACAGCTCTACACGAAACCTCTCACAGAGATAGTGCGAAAACCATATAATAAATTTTTCTCAGGGCTAGTCTACACCTCAACCATTTTAGGGCTCTACCATAGGTTTCGGGCAGTTGGTGGTGATACCTCAGGTGTCAGATAGAATGCCCGTGGCGGAACAGTCCGGCGGAGTTTTGACAGGCCTTGCTATGTGTCAAAGTCTGTCTCTTACCACGCCGACCATATTTTGGACCATCCAAGTCCTGTCAATGGTAGGTTCGTGAAGTTGAAACAATGACAATTCCTTCAACCAAATATTATCGGCCACCTGATATACTTATACGTGGTTCCTGAAACTCAAAGTTGTACACCTTTACAGCTCGCGATTCCTCCGGAGCCATACAATTTTGAGGACTCCCTGGTGTTGTCACTGATCGTGACACGCTGTTGAATGCCATCTTTAATCTAATCCTTCAGTTGCAAAGCTTGGTATGTAGCAACCTTGAACGCGGCGCATTATTGCCCTTCCTCTCTCTGACTAGTACTGTGACGTGATCTCATGATCCCCTCGAAATGCTCTCGGAGAAAACCCGCTAATTTAATGGACTTCGAAGTCTCGCGTACGTCACGCCCTCCATCGTGATATATGATTCATGATTCACATGTACAAATATTCTACACATGCGCACGACATCTCATCGGTCATGAGGCTCAGTATGAGGACGGCCCATCGGATCGTGATTTTGGCCATGACTCATCCCCCTCCTCCAACCGTATATAATAGGTTCTCGCAGTTGTACTCCAGGCTTGCACCAGAACCGAAAAGATGCCCCCTATGCCGCGATCTATAATGTGGGCTGCCCGCATCACGCTCATCGCTCCAATTGTCTCGGCAATAGAGGTCGCAATCCCTCTTACTGCGCCCTCGGGGGCAGCATCACTCATGGGAAACCTCGTTTCGCTTTCAATCGAGCAAGACAGATGGATCGATTGGGCAGGGACAACAGAACCGAATACGTTCTTTAACAACGTCCTTGATAACTTTGTCCAAATCACGTATACTCCTCCCTTCGTGAGAATAGGTGCTGACTCGGAGGACCACACTGATTTCAGCTACAACATCGAGGTAATTTTTTTTCCATGTTGAAATGATTCGTGTGTTTATTCGTGTGTTTAACTGGTGCCTAGTACGAAGAAGATATTTTCCCTCCTTCGAGCACAATCACGCCATACCCGGAAGCCACTAATATCACTGTTGGCCAAGGCTTCTATGATATTATATATCATCTTCCAAATGGTAATCTAATTTCCGGGACACTCGAGCGACTAACTCGCTTTATTTTCAGGTACGCAAGTTCACTGGGGCGTGAACTTGAGGGAATACAACCTCACTGCAGCCTATCTCGAAACTGTTGCCCTCATGAACGCATTTTCTTCCCCTGCTGTCGTGGAGAAAAACATCACTCTGAAGTTCATCGAAGTTGGCAACGAAGCTGATCTCTACTACAGCAATCAGGGCCGTAACAGTAGCTGGAGTGTACAAGAATATGTGTCTGAGTAAGTTCGCGGCAATGACGTCCTCATCAGTGCTGACCAGTACGAAGGTGGGAGGAATTTGCATATAACGTATCGACAACAGCCAACCTCTCCGAGTTATCATACACAAAATTAATTGGAGCCGCTTTTGCTGCGTCTTCTCATAACAATCTTAGCGGGTTCTCTCCGCAAGCTATATTTAATCTGGGCATCCTTGAATCTCCTGCAGGTCAACTAATCGAGACGTATGTCAAACACAGCTCTAGAAACTGGATAGCGTGCTGAATATTGACTCCCGTGGTTAGCATTTCGCAGCACCATTACAGCGGCTCATTCTGTACTGGCGGCGGATCTGTGCTGCAGGATTTAATGACCAAGAGCTATATCCGTGGCAATATATCCGCGTTTAGCCCTGATGTCGAAGCAACTTTGGCCAAGGGGCTGGACTACATCCTCGGGGAGACGAATAGTAAGCTATTGTCTGAGACTTGTTACACAGCGCTAGACTTACTGACTTGCTCATAGGTATGAGTTGCCACGGTGCACCTAGTAAGGTCGATAGCATGGACAGAAGTCGCAACTCACTTACATATGATCGTCCTTTTTTACTAGATGTCAGCAATACAGCGGGCGCCGCCCTCTGGTTACTTGACTACAGCCTGTATGCCACACAAGTCGGCATCAGTCGCCTACACTTCCACGACGGCATTGGCTACAAGTACAATTTGGTCAGTACTCATCTGAGTCAATGCAGCGTCACTTAACCCTCTTATTCATAGATTCAACCCACGACGCTTAACTACTCAATCCTCGACGGTTCCCCAATTACACCGCTAGCCCCACACGTACAACCAGCATACTACACAGCCATCATCGCCGCAGAGGCTATCGGGTCATCTGGAACCACGCAGGCAGTCGAAATCTCCATCGACGAGGATAATGTGGCAGGCTATGCATTTTATGAGCATGGCATCCTCTCAAAAGCCATCTTCATAAACTTGATCGCGTACTTTTCCGACGCTGGCGCAAGGAACTCGACTCACATCGATTTCTCTTTCACGGGTTCCGGATATACTGCTAATAATATGAGTGTAAAGACGCTAGAAATTGGGTATGAACTGATTTCATAATCGTTGCGGCCTGGATGCTAAAGCTATCCACACTAGGTATGCCTCCGATACGGTCAATCTGACTTGGGGAGGTCAGACGTACGAGACTAGCGACGGTAGAGTTAGTGGGCCCCTAACTGTCGACGTCGTACCTATCTGCTCTGGAGTAGACTTGCAAGAGACGGAAGCAATCCTCGTTACGTTTCTTTGACAGGGACGGTCTAGCATGCAATAGTAATTCTAATGCAGGACAATTCATAGTTGCGTCTTGACGCAGAGCTTTCCATTGGTTGGCGCGTCCAAAGTGAGAATTGCTGTGGACGAATCTGAACGAGCGCAGTTTTAGGAAGCTCCTCTGCAGGCGCTTAGAATCTCCTTTCTAGACGTCTGATTTAGGAATTAGCTTGTTCGTATACGAGCCAATATATGATACGATATCGAGTTTGATGCGATGCAAAATTCTAGGGATAAGACTATTCATGTAGTGTTGTCAAGGTATGAAATCATTGAAATGAAAATGTCCCGCAACTATAATATCTCCGGTGTCCTGATGTCCATCATCTCAACAGCAGAGGCGATGTCTCTAACTTGCGCGATGATTCTATTATCCGAAGCGATTCTCTTATACTCCCCACCACGCTGTTGCGCCAGTAAAAGTGCGCCAAAAGGCTGTCCGAGGCGAACTAACAGCTTCAACTCTCTGGTAACCAGCTCAACATCTCCAGGCTCATCGGGCCAATCGTCCACGCTCTGCGTCTCGTCTGTAAAGTCGACCAACTCGAGATCATACCGATTCCACGGACGGACGAGCAAGAATGTCTGCCGAGTACGCCTTGCTGGCGAGAATTGAGCTAGCTTGTCTTTCGTTGTCACTAGCAGGTCGTGTAGCCCGTTTGCCTTGATGTCATAAGTGAAACATCTGGCCCCGTCTTGAACAGGCCTCCGCCTGACTTCTGTGAGAGGAAATGCGATGCAAGGCAATTGCAGTCTGGTGTCTGCAAAACGAAGAAAGCTGAGATTCTCAAGAAGGGTATACAATTTCGAAGCCGACTCCACAACCACAATATTGTTTCGCAACGTGGAGACCGATACCTCCATGTCGTGTTCAGATAGAGATGGCAGCGTGCACGACGGAGCCTTGTATGAGGAAATCTCGGCTGGGAGACAACTGTTGAAGTTGGACGATTGACCCACCCAATCAAGGGCTGTGATGTCACCCGAATGCGCTATGATGTACTGCAACAGTCGTCCGAGCGCCTTTTGTCTTTTCTCTCCGTAGATTACAGGAAGGCTGACATCAAATATGCCAAACAAAGAGTAGGCAATGTCTTCTTCCCTCGTGGTGTCACGGTTTGACGCCCATCGCAGTTTCTCTCGGGCATCTCTCATCCCTGGGCGGAAGGCAACGAGCGCCCGCGCATTTATACCAGTTGAACGCTCCAACTCGCTCATGATACTGATAGATTCCTTGTGGTTGCGTGAGCGGTCGTCGAGATATAGGAACCAATCTGCTTGGTAGAAGAGAACAATTTTAGGAGCGAGGAACTCCTGAACGGTCCATCCTCGTGTGTTCCAAATGCTATTTGCGAGTGCACCAGACTCTGACGAAGGAGGAACATCCGATAGATAGACGATGGTGAGCGCTGAGTAGTGATACCAGATGAACATGGAGTTAACTGATTCTCCGAGCTCAACATTGTTGTTCTGCTCGATGCAGCACGTATCACTCCACGCCCAACGATGCCCCGCGTCACGAGCGACTCCGCAGAACTTCTGCAACTTCGCCACGGTTCCGACCGGATCCAATTCGTATATGTCCTTGCCCTGAATATCGTACAGCAGCGGCTCTTTCCTTTCCCACCTATGGGACAACATGACCTAACCGACGTACTTCGCGACCGCTTCTTTAATGAACTCTGTTTGGAGGGGCGCGTGTATCACCAGCGAATGCAAAAGCTCTTTGTACGCTGTACTCTCCGTGAATGCGTCGATCTGCGCCTCTCGATTGCACAAACGTCCAGTAGTGTTAATTAGACGAAGGGGAGCGTTTTTCAGTTGAGTGTGAATAGCTCGTCGAATGGCATATTCTACTTCAGATTGACTGACGTATTGCTGGCGTAGCTCTGAAAAATTGTCAGCCATCTTCAAATCGACATTTAAATTGTTTGGGGCTTACGTCGTATCTGTGGGTCGGGTGCATCATCCAACTTAGAGAGCATGATTGTGAAGGCCTCGAATGCATCATCATAGCGATGTGCTCCACGAAGCGCTGCATGCTTCAATTCGTATCCAAGATGAGACGAAGGATTGAGTTCAATGACCTACGAACATCATCACAATTATCAAATCAATGATGGATATCGTCTGCACCTTCTCTGCGTCCGAAAGGGCCTCCACATAGAGCTTTAGGCCCAACTTCACCTTACTGCGACGCATAAAGTATGAAGAGCCCATCTCGAATGCTGCGGAAAGTGTGTTCTCGATGGACCAGAGCTGAAGACTCCCATCATTGTCCCCACTCGCGAGCAGATCTCCGTTGGGAGAAATGGCGACGCAGTAAACACGTTTGGTGTGTTCGAGTGCCTGTCCTATCTGCTGGTGTGGCTTTGTGTTCCACAGGCGCACAGTATTGTCGCTCGAGGCAGTGGCAATGAAGAAGCCATCAGAAGAAATGGCAAGTGAGTGGACGTAGGAAGTGTGACCGGTGCAAGGTTGACCGATCTGAGTCCTAGTCGACGAGTCCCAAAACTTGATTGTCCTGTCATATGAGGCAGAGACAATTTGCTGACCGTCAGGCGACCACACAACGCTTTGAACGAAATCTTGGTGAGCGTGGATCCAGAGAAGAGGCTCAGCGTTGTCGGTGCTCCAGACCTGAATGTTACGCCATGTTCCGGATGCTAATTTTAGCCCATCTGGGCTGAAGGCGACACAATACATCGCACTCCCAACCCCGAGTGTTGAGAGGACAGCGCCAGTCTCCGCGTCCCATATAATAACTCTTGCATCACATGTCCCATTGTCAGTCTCTTTCCATTGAGGGAGAAACACACCGACTCGACCCAGTGGATCGAATGCCATCTGCTTGCTATTGACGTCCCAGATGATGATGGCTCTACCTCTCCCACCACTCGCAATTTGTCTATCGTCTGGTGATACAGCGATTGATGTCACGTCGTTTCTGTGTCCCTCAAATGGTCCTCCCACCAATGTTCTTTTCTCCACGTCCCAGATTCGCAGGGTTTCATTCTCTGAAGCAGTTACGATCCGCCGACCGTCTTTGAAGAACGCGAATGCAGTCACTTTCTTCGTGTCCATTCACATCGTTGGTATTGGCGCTAGCTGAATTGTCTGCGCCGTTGTCACGTGCCTTCTCACAGTGCGATCTCCTTTATAGCGCAATCCTGACATGAATGATGACAGGGAGATAAACTGTCAGTAGCCTCCGAAATTGACGAGGAGCATACTCTGTGATGAAGTCAGTGTGGTGAGAGGTCGTGAACAGAATTAGATGCCTGCCCATAACCCAATTCATGTAGGCTCTTTATATATCGTTTACTCCACATCACGTTGCTACAGTGTGCATCTCATTTCGCTCCTTCCATTCAAGACTCGAGTCATCCTCTGTCCATAGATGCCCGTCATATTTGATTCATTCATTTTATTCACAGCAAAGACCATGGATATCCAGCCCGAATTACACAGGCAGACGAAAACACCCTGAATGACTGATGCATCAGGGCCCAGGCTATCATGTTTTGAGTATGGCAACTTCTCAAAAGTTGTCTTCATAAACACAATCGGATACCTCTCCAGCACTTGTGTGGGGAACTCGCCTCAATGATATTTCTTTCACTGGTTCTGGCGCTGCAGCGTTGACAATTGGGTATAAGCTGTTTTTTATAATAATCACAATTTGAATGCTGGGGCTGTCCGGAATCATCCCTTTAATACTACCTGGTGGTCAGGGCTCGTTACGTTGTTTAGACATAAATGGTTTAGCATGCTACAGTCATTCTAATACACGGAGTAAGAAGGCAGCTCAAGACACCATCGATTTAGATTGTCATTCACGAAAATACCGTCACTCGCGCAACTGCTGGTCTACAATGGGTCTATGAGGCCGATATCTGGTATATCTCTTTAACCTTTGCCACAACTTCCGGAACTCCCGTATTCTGCAAAAATAAACACAAATGGCCATTAATGACAAAACAAAACCGAGAATCACGACACATCCCACCTTTGTAATCTCATCGCTAATCTTAACACACTCTTTCCCATCAATCGACCCAAGTTTAATCACAATATTTAGCGCCTTGCTCTGTTCCTCATACCCACTGCTCTTCTTCTTAAAGTCGTTTGTCAGCCAAGTCCCAATACCAAACGAACCTGCACGTGCGATTAGACCACGAAACGCAACTAAGAACCAAAAATAAGGTGACGACGTACACTTGAACCCAAGCAGCTGACACTGCTCATTCAACTCCTTCGTCTTCTTGAAATCCAACCCGTCGCTAAAGATGATAGCTTTCTGTTTATAATCGATCCCTGCGCTCTTCGTACATTCGCTTAGCCCTCGGCGCGAATTCTTTTGGGTCTCCCGAATCTTGACGCAAGACTTTCCATTGGTTGGCGCGTTTATTGTCGAATTCCTATATACATAATAAAAAGACACCAAAAGGGAAGATGGAAATAAGAGACGTTCAAAGTCGATATACGCACCCGATAAAATACTTCAGTGGAGAATGTATCCGTGAGCGTTACTGAAAGATTGTCTCCGTAGAGGTTTGACCAGAGATCTAGAGCTGTCCCAGCAGCATCTCTGTAATCGCCCAACGCTGCGATCTAAGTATATCTTTGATCAGAGGATGTTTATCATCAAGTGAGGAAAACTTGCGCCCATGAACCACTCGCTAAAAATTGTAAGTTACAAGTCATGAAAATAACAGGAACTGCGACGTACTGAGCGATCGTGCCTATCACGTTGAGGTTGTATCGCATAGCCAGGTAGACCTGCCCATCTGCGTCAAAAAAAAACCAAATGGGGATCACCGATGATTGCATACATTACTAGTTCCAAAAAAACCCTCCTTCCACTCATGCGCATCCCTCGCCTTTATAATCCCTCTCACTACCAAATCCTGCGTGACGAACGACCGCCTGCGCCGCGTCCCGAATTCACTGAACGTACATCGCGCGTCTAAGAGGGATGTAGCTTTATACATGGCTTGTTCTGACGTATACCCGTACTCAGTAACACGAAAGAATCAAGAACCGAGAAAGGAGTTGGCTCACCTTCTTGCCCGGTATAATCCCAATCCTGATCCACATACCGAAAATACATCTCGCAAAGACATGCCATGAGTGGGACCTCCCATAAAACTGTCTCCAGCCACAAGCCTCTCGCTTCGATCTTGACGCTGCCCATATCAGGGTCATCAGAAGACGGGAGAAATGTGACAAAAATCTACGAGTACGCATCAATGGATGAGTACAGCCCAAATAACTTGAAGGGCATATAATCACTTGTTCGGGTTTGAACCTATAAGACTGGAGATAATCGAGGTACGCAGGCTTGAAATACTTGCATTTATCTTGGAGCCAGACGCGTTCGTCATGTGTTAGTTGTACATCGGCGAAACCTGAATATGCTAGATCAATGATAGTAGAATGGGATAGTCGGAAAGACACGAACCGCTCAGTGCTTCTCGAAAATTCTCTATACATGCTCTAGAGAACTGGCGGTGTTTGTCACGATGCGTGAATCGATATACGACTTTTGCATTAGGATAGTATTCGAAAATAGCCTGTTGCATCGTGAACTGCGCAACCGGATCAATAAGTATTTGTGATGATGATAGTGCTACTACGATACATGCCTTGTACAAGTCTGTGTCGAAGATCGACACGACCTTGAACTCAGACTGAACATCTGGGACGCTAGCACTGGTGTTGCTCGTCATAATGATGATCGATGGAGTAAGAGAGCGTGTTGCTTCAATTTACCGGACCGGTACCAACTAGAAGTTTTCGTACATAACCGGAGTTGCTAGCTAGGATAATGGATGTTGAAAGGGTGCAAGCTTGAAGGTATGATCGCTGACTAATGGCGAACTACAAATCCCCCCTGCCACGTACGTTATCTGAAACACTGACATACGGTAAAACGTGAAAAAAAACGCCTAAATGTTTCCAAAAAAATTTGTACTGAGTATTTTCCATGTGTCTGCGCTTTCCACGACCAAAAATCTCTTCATCACCCTCGGTGGCAGAAGCTGTAAGCTCTTGATCATAACTTTCTGCCTCATTGCAAGCCAGCAGATTGCCAGAACCATCAGTACCATAGCTGCGAGGGACTGACCCTAAGTAGAATCGCATCAACAGGAATACCACAAGGATCAAGCTCAACATCCGCAGCATGTGCAAATGGTGGCTCAACCTCGTCTAGTGCCTGAAGCCTGACATATCGCCAGATAAGTGAATACGGAGTGCTCCCTAACGCAAGCTTGGCGATCATTGATAAATTGAGGCACTGACAGCGGCTGGCAGTTGGTGACAGTTCAAAGCTGAAGTGTCACAGGTCACACCCATCTTCGAATCTTCGAAGCCGGATGACGTCGAAGCTAAGTGCGTATCTCTACAGTAGTGGGCATCCTACATCTCCTCAGTCTCCTTCACCACAACCATCCCAGGCCCAGCCTCAAGTTTATCCACCAAGTCACCTGTCTGTTCCTTGAGCGCACCCCTCATCTCACTCCAAAGTACCTTGCCCGCATCACATGCAACTCTAAACACCTCCTCAAAGCGATCCATATGCAACCTGGTCTCCATCTGGACGAGCGTCACGCGTCCTGTACGAGGCATAACGCCCACCACCACACTCGGCACATCGTTTTCTTCGACTGTGGTTAGATCGAGTAATGGTTGGGTGCCGTGCACGCCTCCGCTGATAGCACAGACAAAGTCGAAGAGGGGGATACCTGCGGTCGCTAGGGCGAGGGTGGAGGCGTTTATGCAAGCGGGGAGGAGGCCGCCGTCGAGCTGGAGAACGTGGATGAAGATGTCGATTGTGCTGCGAGGGTAGAGATGAGTTTGGACGACAGGTTCGAATGTGCTTTTTATTGATGCTGCGAGTTCGAGGAGGCGCCTAAGTGTATGTATTAACGATAAAATAAAGTGCGCGTAGATAAGATTTACTTGTCGCCTCTGCCTCTTCTTCTTCGTTCACCGACGCCAAAAGGGGCGAGTTGGACTTCGACGTTTAGTATTGCGCGATCATGGAATGTTTCGCGTCTTGTTCCTGGTTTTGCTTCGTGTGGGCCAAGGACTGAGACTCGGACTTGGGTGAGGCCATGTGAGTAGGTGACACTGCCATCTGCTGTTCCCTGTGCTTCGAAGTTGATGGCTATTGTTCGTAGTTCATAAGGTCTGCGACCATCGCTGCGAAGAAGACCAGCATTGAGGAGTTCGATACGGGAGGACTGGATGTGAATGAGTTGGAGGGGTTATGGTGGGATGGAGTAAATTGAGCGCACCATAGTTGAGAGACGCGGTCAAGACTCAAGAGGAGTCTGTTTCAAAAGTCTCACGCAAATATTGTACATCTCTTATTACGCTACACATGCCGCATTGATTCTGTTGACTCGGATGTGTCTGAAACATGCGAGCCATTTCTCACCAGCATTGCGTTCGACCTTTTTTCCTACTTCTGTTGAATCATCTACTGCAAGATGGGATCGAGGACTAGGAAGAATAGGGCGGTGAGGGAAGTTTTGTGGATGCGGATGTGATGCGAATGATCAGAGAATGGAATCACATGAGCTTGATGTCCATAACGTTTTTTCTATTCAAAGTCTGTTATTTATGAGTGGACTGACCTATGGAAGTAGTGGTCCAAGGAGCGTTCAAGTTGCTCCTTGTCATTATCCCTGTCATTCTCTTTCACTTTGACATTCTCGGTCACAGTTCGGTTCTCGCCAGTTTCGACCTACGCATTCGACGTCTGATTGTGGGACTAGCTTGTGAGACCAATACGATGCAAAGTTCTAGTGATACAATTCATGTGGAAGTATTGTCAAGGTATGAAATGAAAATGTCCCATTCTTCGTAGCTACAATATCTCCAGCATCCTGACGTCCATCATGTCGTCAACAGAAGCCATATCCCCAACTTGCGCGATAATATTGTTATCCAAAGCGATTCTCTTATACTCCCCACCCCACTGCTGCGCTAGCAAAAGTGCGCCAAAGGGCTGTCCGAGGCGAACGATTAAGCTCAGTTCTCGCGAAGCCGGCTCGTTGTATCCAAGATAGCTGCCGGGTATATCATCTGACGGAGACCGAAGCTCGGGCCAATCTTCTGCGCTTTGAGTCTCGTCTGCAAAGTTAACCAGCCCGAGATCATATCGATACCACGGACGGACGAGCAAGAATGTCTGCTGGGTACGCCTGGCAGGCGAGAATTGAACTAGCCTGTCCTCCGTTGTGACCAACAAGTCTTGTAGCCCGTTCGCCTTGACTTCATACGTGAAACATCTAGCCCCGTCTTGACTAGGCCTCCGCCTGACTTCTGTGAGAGGAAATGCGATGCAAGGCAATTGTAGTCTGGCATTCGCAAAACGAGGAACGCTGAGGTTTTCAAGAGTGGTATACAGCTTCGTAAGCCGACTTCACAGCCACATTGTTTCGCAGCGTGGAGATTAAATTCTGCATGTCGTGTTCAGATAGAGATGGTAGCATATACGGCGGAGCCTTGTATGAAGAAATCTCAGCTGGGAGACAACTATTGAAGTCGAACGATTGTCCGACACAATCAAGGGCTGTGATGTCGCCCGAATGAGCTATGATCTCCTGTAAGAGACGTCCGAGCGCATTCTATCTTTTTTCTCCGTAGATCACAGGCAGGTGGACACCGAAGATCCCAAACAGCGAATATGCGATGTCTTCCTGCAACGTGGTGACACGCGTTGATGCCTATTGGAGTTTCTCTCGGGCATCTCTCATCCCTGGGCGGAAGGCAACGAGCGCCCGCGCATTTATGCCAGTTGAACGCTCTAACTCGCTCATGATACTGATAGATTCCTTGTGGTTGCGTGAGCGGTCGTCGAGATATAGGGACCAATCTGCTTGGTAGAAGAGAACAATTTTAGGAGCGAGGAACTCCTGAACTGTCCATCCTCGCGTGTTCCAAATGCTATTTGCGAGCGCACCAGATTCTGACAAAGGAAGAACATCGGATAGGTAGACGATGGTGAGCGCTGAGTGGTGATACCAGATGAACATCGAGTTGACTGATGCTCCGAGCTCCACATTGTTGTTCTGGTCGATGCAGCACGTGTCACTCCACGCCCAGCGATGACCTGAGCCACGAGCGACTTTGCAGAACATCTGCAACTTCACAATGGTTCCGACCGGATCCAGGTCATATATGCCCCTGCCCTGAATGTCGTGCAAGAGCGGCTCCTTCCTTTCCCACCTATGGGATAACATGACCCAACTGAAGTACTTCGCGACCGCTTCTTTGATGAGTTCCGTTTGGAGGGGTCCACGCACTCCGATGAATACAAAAGCTCTTCGTACCATGTACTCTCCGTGAATGCGTTGATCTGCGCATCTCTATTACACAAACGTCCAGTAGATGTGTTGATTAGACAACGTGAGGCGTTTTCCAGTTTAAGCGTGAATGGCTTATCGAATAGCATTTTCTACTTCAGATGAACTGACGTATCGCTGGCACAGCTCTGCAAAAATTAGTAAGTCATGTTCAGGTCGGCGCTTGAGTTCTTTGGGGCTTACGTCGTATCTGTGAGTCGGATGTATTGTCCAACTTGAAGAGCATTGTTGTGAAGGCCTCGAATGCATGATAGCGCTGTGCTGTACGAAGCGCTGCATGCATTAGTTCGTACCCGAGATAAGACGAAGGGTTGATCTCAATGACCTGCGAACATCATCAAAATTATCAAATCGATAATAGATATCGTCTGCACCTTTTCCGCATCCGAAAGGGCCTCCGCATAAAGCTTTAGGCCCAACTTCACCTTACTGCAATGTGCAAAGTATGAGGAACCCATCTCGAATGCTGCGGAAAGTTTTCGATGGACCAGAGCTGAAGATTCCCATCATTGTCCCCAATCGCGAGCAGGTCTCCGTTGGGAGAAATGGCGACGCAGGAAACATGTACGGTGTGCTTGAGTGGCTGTCCTATCTGCTGTTGTGATTTTGTATCCCACAGGCGCACAGTCTTATCTTGTGAGGCAGATGCAATGAAGCAGCCATCAGAAGAAACGGCTAGTGAGCGGATGTAGGAAGTGTGACCGGTGTAAGGTAGACCGATCTGGGTCCCATTCAACGAGTCCCAAAACTTGATTGTTTTGCCATGTGATGCAGAGACAAGTTGCTGGCCATCGGGCGACCACACAACACTTTGAACGAAATCTTGGTGAGCGTCAATCTTGAGAAGAAGCTCGGCGTTATCGGTGCTCCAAATCCGAATGGTACCAAACGCTCCGCTGGATGCTAATTTTAGCCCATTGGGGCTGAAGGCGACACAGTTCACCGGGCTCCTACACCAAAGCGTTGAGAGAACAGCGCCAGTCTCCGCATCCCAAATCATAACTTTTTCATCATATGCCCCACTTGCGAGTCTCTTGCCATCGGGAGAGAAACATACCGACCGAACCCGGCCTCTATGCTTCACCAGCGGTTTGAATACCATCTGCTTGCTATCGACGTCCCAGATGATGATGGTTCTATCTCCTCCACCACTTGCAATTCGCCTATCGTCTGGTGATACAGCGACTGAAATCACACAGTCACTGTGTCCCTCGAATGGCCCTCCCACCAATGCTCTTTTTTCCACGTCCCAAATTCGCAGGGTTTTATCTTCTGAAGCAGTGACGACCCGTCGACCGTCTTTGAAGAACGCGACTGCCAACGCATTCTTCGTGTGCACTCGCACCGTTTGTGTTGGCGCCAGCTGGGTTGCCTGCGCTGACTGAGTTGTTTGCGCCGATTGGGTCCTCTTCGGAGTTGCGCGCTCTCTCACAGTAAGATATGCTTTTTGTGCTACATCGAGCAATCCTGACATGTCGCTAGACAGGAAGATGGACGGTCAGTAACGTTTCAAGTTGACGAGGAGCGTACCCTGTGGTTAAGTCGTTGATCTTATGTGTGGTGAGAGGTCGCGAGTCAAATTGGATGTCTGCCCATAATCTAAATCACGTAGGCTCTTTATACAACGTTTACTGCATACCACGTTGCTACAGCGTGGATCTCATTTCGCTCCTTCCATCAGATTCATTACCTCTGTCCGTAAACGCCCGTCATAGGGAATTCCTTCATCTTGTTCACAGCAAATCCCTTACAATTTCCACGAAACATCATAATGGAAATAATGCGCTTGCCGAATATCACAAATCTTAGTTCCTATCAAGTGGTAACACTTCGTCCGCCAGGTAGACTACTCTTACCAGACTCGATCAATATGATGAGTTCACTCCAAGTACATCTGGCATGAACCACACAGGCAGTCGAAAATGCTGACGAGAACGATGCGTCGTGCTGACGCAATCGCATACTTTAAGCAGCTGAACGCACAACAGATATCGTTCGTTTCTGGGAGGTATGTGATATATTTTTGTCTGCAATTCATAAGATTAACAGGTATCATGTTAGCAAAAAGAACGTACATTTCCGCTTCTATTCCGCGTCGCTATGGACGTCCTGCTTGTTCAAGTTTCATCTGTGCCTTCCGAGCACATGTTTTCATCCAGCAAAGAGACCTGCACTCTACGGCGCAGTAATTTATCTCCGACCACACTTGAAGCACTACAAGTCCTGAAGTTCATTTGAAGCAGGTCCGCCTTAATTTCAGAGGACCTGGTGGCTGACGAGCGGGACTACACAATATCTGGATCTATGACTCCCAGAGCAGTCGACAAGTTAATGGCTGTTGGAAATCTTCGCGAGCTTGACGAGTTGCTTCAGAATGCAAGGGACATTGATCATAATTAGTATACCTGCTGCTCGTATACTAGCAACTTGCAATAATTGTCGTCGTCATCATGCAGATTCCCTAGCTTCTCATTGGTTGGGCTACCGTATTACTCCGAACTCGTTTCCAAACCGTGAGGTGAACGAGGTACAAATCGTTTTAACTCGTTAGTCCGAACTGTGTCGATTTATCAGTATTTTCCACCTCGACTCGCCTCGGCGGCAACACTAGCCCGGCAAACAGCGAAGTTCTAGAAAGCGCTTGTGCTGGAGCTTTCGGCCCCTCTTCCCTAGGACGTCTGATTTGGGGATTAGCTTGTTGTAAACGAGACAATGTATGATACAATAGCGAGACCAATACCAACAAAATTCTAGAGGTACCGTTCATACGGAGGTGTTGTCATAGTATGAAACAAAAAGATTCCGTTCTTCACAGCTACAATATCTCCAGCATCCTGACGTCCATCATGTCACCAACAGAAGCCATGTCCCTAACTTGCGCGATGATATTGTTATCCGAAGCAATTCTCTTATACTCTCCACCCCACTGCTGCGCTAGCAGAAGTGCGCCAAAAGGTTGTGCGAGGCGAACGATCAACCTCAACTCCCGCGTAGCCAGTTCGTCGTGTCCAAAGTGGCCATTAAACGTATGATCTGACAGAGACCGAAGTTCGGACCAATCTTCTACGCTCTGCGCCTGGTCTGCAAAGTTAATCAGCCCAAGATCATACCGATTCCACGGACGGACGAGCAAGAATGTCTGCCGAGTACGTCTTGTAGGCGAGAATTGAACAAGCCTGTCTTCCGTTCTGACTAGCAGGTCTTGTAGCCCGGCTGCCTTCACATCATAACTAAAACATGTGGCCCCGTCTTGACCAGGCCTCCGCCTGACTTCTGTGAGAGGAAATGCGATGCAAGGCAATTGCAATCTGGCGTTTGAAAAACGAGGAACGCTGAGGTTCTCAAGAGTGGTGTACAATTTCGAAGCCGGCTCCCCAGCCACAATGTTTCGCAGTCTGGAGACTGATATCTGCATCTCGTCTTCGGATAGAGGTGGTAGCGTGCATGGCAAAGCATTGTATGAGTAAATCTCGGCTGGGAGACAACTGTTAAAGTTGGACGATTGTCCCACCCAATCAAGGGCTGTGATGTCGCCCGAATGCGCTATGATCTCCTGCAAGAGTCGTCCGAGCGCCTTTTGTCTTTTCTCTCCGTATATAACAGGAAGGTTGACATCAAAGATGCCAAACAAAGAGTAGGCGATGTCTTCCTCCCTCGTGGTGTCACGGTTTGACGCCCATCGAAGTTTCTCTCGGGCATCCCTTGTCCCTGGATGGAAGTCGACAAGCGCCCGCGCATTTATGCCAGTTGAATCCTCTAACTCCCCCATGATAGCGACAGACTCCTTGTGGTTGCATGAGCGGTCGTCGAGATATAGGGTCCAGTCTGCTTGGTAGAAGAGAATAATTTTAGGAGCGAGGAACTCCTGAACGGTCCATCCTCGCGTGTTCCAAATGCTGTTTGCAAGCGCGCAAGACTTTGATGAAGGAAGAACATCGGATAGGTAGACGATGGTGAGCGCTGAGTAGTGATACCAGGTGAACATGGAGTTGACTGATTGCTGGACCTCAACATGGTTGTTCTGGTCGATGCAGCATGTATCGCTCCACGCCCAACGATGCCCTGCGTCACGAGCGACTTTGCAGAACTTTTGCAACTTCATAACGGTTCCGACCGGATCTAAGGCGTATATGACCTTGTCCTGAATGTCGTGCAGCCCCAACTCCTTCCTTTCCCATCTATGGGACAACATGACCCAACCGAAGTACTTCGTGACCGCCCCTTTGATGAGCCCTGTTTGGAGGGGCGCATGTATTTCAAATGAATGCAAAAGCTCTTTGTACTCTGTACTCTCCGCGAATGCGTTGATCTGTTCACCTCGATCGCACAAACGTCCAGTAGAGGTGTTGATTAGACGAAATGGAGCGTTGTCCAGTTGGGCGTCAATAGCTCGTCGAATAGCATCTTCTACTTCAGATGGACTGATGTATTGCTGGCGTAGCTCTGCAAAAAAAGTAAGTCATCTTCAAGTCCGCGCTTGAGTTGGTTGAGGCTTACGTCGTATTTGTGGGTCAAGTGCATTATCCAACTTGGAGAGCATGATTGTGAATGCTTTGAATGCATCATCATGGCGCTGTGCTCCGTGGAGCGCTGCATGCTTTAATTCGTAACCGATATAAGACGAAGGATTGAGCTCAATGACCTGCGCACATCGTCAGATTTGTCAAATTAGTGATGGATATCGTTTGTACCTTTTCAGCATGCGAAAGGGCCTCCGAATAGAGATTTCGTCCAAGCTTCACTTTACTGCAGTACGCAAAGTAGGCACTGTATGAAGACTTCATCCCGAATGCTGCGGAAACTGCATTCTCGATGGACCAGAGCTGAAGATTTCCAGCAGAGTCTCCACTCGCGAGTAACTCTCCGTTGGGAGAAATGGCAACAAAGATAACCAACGCGGTGTGCTCCAATGCCTGTCCTATCTGCTGGTGTGACTTTGTGCTCCACATTTGCACAGTATTGTTGTGCGAGGCGATGGCAATGAAAAAGCCATCGGAAGAGATGGCAAGTGACGCGATGGAGGAATTGTGACTGGTGCAAGGTTGTCCGATCTGGGTTCCATTTGAGGAGTCCCAAAACTTGATTGTTGTGTCATGTGATGCAGAGACAAGTTGCTGGCCGTCAGGCGACCACACAACGTTTTGAACCCAATCGTCGTGAGCGTCAATGTCAAACAGAAGATCGGCGTTATCGGTGCTCCAAACTCGAATGTAGCGCCGTGTGCCAGATGCCAATTTTAGCCCATCGGGGCTGAAGGCAACACAGAACACCGAAGACGGATGACCGGGACCCTGAACGAGTGTTGAAAGGACAGTGCCAGTCTTTGCATCCCATATAATAACTGTTCCGTCCAATGAACCGCTTGCGAGTCTCTTGCCGTCTGGGGAGAAACATAGTGATTTAACCCTATCTTCATGCCTCACCACGAGTACTTTCTGCTTGCTATCGACGTCCCAGATGATGATGACTCCATCTCCTCCGCCGCTCGCGATTTGCCTATCGTCTGGTGATACAGCGACCGAATCCACATAGTCACTGTGTCCCTCGAATGGCCCTCCCACCAATTCTATTTTCTCCACGTTCCAGATTCGCAGGGTTTTATCCTTTGAAGCAGTGACGACCCGTCGACCGTCTTTGAAGAACGCGACTGCCGACACTGCCTTCGCGTGCACTCGCATCCTTTGTGTTGGCACCGATGTCGCATACATTCTTGCAGTATGATATCCTTTAACGCGTAATCATGAAATATCGCTATACAGGGAGATTGACTGTCAGTAGCGTTTGAAGTTGACAAGGGGTATGCTCTGTGGTACAGTCGCCGATCTTATGTGTAGCGAGGGGTCGTGAGCAGAATTAGATGTCTGCCTATGACCCAATTCATCATGTAGGCTCTTTATATCGTTTGCCTCATACCACGTTGCTACACCGGGGATCTCATTTTTCTCCTTCCAGCAGTGCCTCCGTTGTGGAAGCCAGGACCACTGCGCTCGTAACGCGGCAAACCGTTGATTTTGTAATCCTGCTGTGGCTTCCATTACTATCCATAAACGCCCATCGTAATCAATTCCTTCACGATCGAATTCTGTTCACAGCAAATCCCTAAGAATTTCCCCACAGAATGAAAATGGAAGAAATAAGCTTGCCAATCATCCCAGAATCTTGATTCCTATCAAGTGGTACCACTTTGTCCCTCAGTAGACTACTCCTACCAGACGCAATAATATGACGAGTTCATTCCAAGTACATGGACATCCGGAAGTTCGGAGCTACGCAGACAGTCGAAAATGCTGTGGACGAGAGTGATGCGTCAGGCTGTCATACATCATGTTTCGAGAATGGCCGCGGCAACCTCTCAGAAGCTGTGAACAGTCGCATACTTTTCCAGCACTAGTGCAGATAACTCGCCTTAATGATTTTGTTATCGCGATCTGAGTGCCTATCGTTCCTCTGGAATGGAGGATACATCAAAGCCCGGTCCGCTATCCCAGGAACAACAGGGTCTACGGAACGTATCGTGATCGTCAGCGTGCCCAGCTTCCTCGTCGAACCAATCAATGCTGAGCCCACCTCTATTCGACTTCGCGAAGATATCAATAACGACGATTTTTCGGAGATTCAAGGGGGGCAAAGTACTTGGCAAGTGTCACATGGTACCCTTCAAGCGGCATGCGAGCTCTTGTGGATGAAGGCAGTCGAAGCAAAAGCCCCTCTCAAGTCTATTGCTTGTATCACTCCTTCAGACGCCAAAGCATTCCCTTACCAACTCTTTGATGGTACGTTTTTTTTGTATTAATTTGAATTTAGCTGACAATACTTCTTAGGTACACCTGCTGTTATCTCCGTCGAAGCATGTAATTTGCTTACAGCGTCCGAAGGCGAGCGGATCGTCGTTTGCCCACTCTGTGAAGCGAAGGTTGCCGATATGCGCTCACATATTGGCCAGCACATTCTGCGTGCATCAAGCAACACACCAGAGAATGTCAGTTTGAAGGAACCGGTGTATTTTTTCTTCTATGACTACGGTTAATTAATTCTTAATACATCTACTCGAGGTCGGCAATGTGCTTCCTTGCGGTTTTTGCGGCCGCTCTGGACGACCGGAGTGTTCTATCACTATCAAAGTCCCTACCAGCGGCCCTCCAGTCTGGGAGACGAAGTGTATCTACCAGCACACCTTTAAGTATGGATTTGCGGAGTCAGGCTCCAAGAACCTTGTCGGAACGTTCCCTCAAATGTGCTCTTTGTCACCATACTCTCCCTCCTGAACCTGGAAAGTCAACCCGCAGGACACCAGTCGTATTCGTCGATGCTGTCTGGAGGTACAACATGGTCGACCACATTCTCGATGAGCGTGAGGAGTACTCCGTGCCCGGGCATAGAGCGTCTGGTGTCACCTTGCCGGCGGTGGTCTGGATGGGTATCAAGCTGACTGAGCTCAAACATAGCGCCTCCCGCATTGCGAAAGGGCGCTGGCAGGCGGGACAGGAGGGTGATAAGGAGAACGCCCCCGCATCCGGTACGCGCCCACGAAAACGTCCTGCCACCCCTCTTGGTTGTAATACAGCTGTTTGCATAAATGATTTGTTTGATCTCGATGCGTCTGAAGCATGCGAGCTATTTCTCACTGTCAGCATTGCATTCGACCTTTGTTCCTTCTTCCGTTGAACCATACACTGCATTCAAGATGGGAGCCTTTCCCTCTTTCCTTAGTTCTTCCCCTCGACACCCTGGAAGGGGCATCTAGATGGGCAAACAGCGGAGTCCTAGAAAGCGCTTGCACCGGAGTTTTCTCTTCCCTAGGACAACTGACTTGGGGATCAACTTGTTTCTATACGAGACGACATATAATACAATGCAAAATTATAGGGGTGCTATTCATGCGCGTGGAGATGTTGTTAAAGTATGAAATAAAAAGATCCTGTTCTTCGCAGCTACAATATCTCCAGCATCCTGATGTCCGTCATGTCATCAACAGAAACCATGTCTCTAACTTGCGCGATGATATTGTTATCCGAAGCAATTCTCTTGTACTCCCCACCCCACTGCTGCGCTAGCAAAAGTGCGCTAAAAGGCTGTGCGAGGCGAACGATCAACCTCAACTCTCGCGTAGCCGGCTTGCGGTATCCAGGATAACCGCCAAGCGTATGATCTGACAGAGATTGGAGCTCGGGCCAATCTTCGACGCTCTGGGTCTCGTCTGCAAAGTTAACCAACCCGAGATCATACCGATTCCACGGACGGACAAGTAAAAATTTCTGCCGAGTACGTCTTGCAGGCGAGAATTGAGCAAGCTTGTCTTCCGTTGTGATCAGCAGGTCTTGCAGCCCGTTTGCCTTGACTTCATACGCAAAATATCCAGCCCCGTCTTGACTGGGCCTCCGCCTGACTTCTGTGAGAGCAAATGCGATGCAAGGCAATTGCAGTCTGGCATTCGCAAAACGAGGAACGCTGAGGTTCTCAAGAGTTGTATACAGTTTCGAAGCCGACTTCACAGCCACATTGTTCCGCAGCGTGGAGACCAGTTTCTGCATGTCGTGTTCAGATAGAGATGGTGGCGTATATGGCGGAGCCTTGTATGAGGAAATCTCGGCTGGGAGACAACTGTTGAAGTTGGACGATTGTCCGACCCAATCAAGGGCCGTGATGTCGCCCGAATGAGCTATGATCTCCTGTAAGAGACGTCCGAGCGCGCTTTGTCTTTTTTCTCCGTATATTACAGGAAGGTGGACGCCGAAGATCCCAAACAGCGAATACGCGATGTCTTCCTGCAACGTAGTGACACGGGTTGATGCCCATCGGAGTTTTTCTCGGGCATCTCTTGTCCCTGGACGGAAGTCGACGAGGGCCCGCGCATTTATGCCAGTTGAACGCTCCAACTCCTTCATGATTCTGCCAGACTGCTTGTGGTTGCGTGAACGTATATTGAGATATAGGGTCCAGTCTGCTTGGTAGAAGAGAACAATTCTAGGAGCGAGGAACTCCTGAACGGTCCATCCTCGTGCGTTCCACTTGCTGTTTGCGAGCGCGCCAGGCTTTGACGAAGGAGGAACATCGGATAGGTAGATGATGGTGAGCGCTGAGTAGTGATACCAGACGAACATGGAGTTGACTGATTGCTGGAGCTCAACATTGTTGTTCTGGTCGATACAGCACGTATCGCTCCACGCCCAGCGATACCCCGCATTGCGAGCGACTTTGCAGAACTTCTGCAACTTCACCACAGTTCCGACCGGATCTAAGTCGTATATGTCCCTGTCCTGAATGTCGTGCAGTAGCGGCTCCTTGGTTTCCCATCTATGGGATAACATGACCCAACTGAAGTACTTCGCGACCGCTTCTTTGACGGGCTCCGTTTGGAGCAGGCCCTTGCATGACTGATGAATACAAAAGTTCGTTGTACTCTGTGCTTTCAATGAATGCGTTGATCTGCGCATCTCGATTGCACAAACATCCAGTGGAGGTGTTGATTAGACGAAGTGGGGAGTTTTCCAGTTGAGGATGAATGGCCTGTCGAACAGCAGCTTCCAGTACTTCAGATGCACTGATATATTTCTGATGCAGCTCTGGAGAATGAGTTCATTATCATCACATCGATGCATTAGTAATCAATTGGGCCTACTTTGCATTTGTACGTCGGAAGTATCATGATTGTCCAACTTGGAGGACATTATCTTGAAGGCCTCGAACGCATCAGCATAGTGCTGTGCTCCATGAAGAGCTGCATGCTTCAATTCGTATCCGAGATAAGACGAAGGGTTGAGCTCAATGACCTATCAACATCATCACAAATGTTAAAATAACGACGGATATCGTCCGGACCTTTTCCGCGTCCGAAAGGGCCTCCGTATAGAGGTTTCGTTCAAGCTTCCCCTTACTGCGATGCGCAAAGAAGAAATAATATGAGGATTCGGTCCCGAATGCTGCGGAAAGTGTGTTCTCGATGGACCAGAGCTGAACATTCCCTTCCCAATCTCCACTCACGAGCAGTTCTCCGTTGGGTGAAATGGCGACGCAGCAAACACGTGCGGTGTGTTTGAGTGGCTTCCCTATCTGCTTGTGTGACTTTGTGCTCCACAGTTGTACAGTCTTCTGGTCTGAGGCGGTTGCAATGAAAGAGCCATCAAAAGAAATGGCAAGTGACTTGATAGAAGAAGTGTGACCGGTGCAAGGTTGACCAATTTGGATCCCATCCGAAGAGTTCCAAAACTTGATTGTTTTGTCATGTGATGCAGAGACAAGTTGCTTGCCATCGGGCGTCCACACGACGCTTTGAATGAAATCTTGGTGAGTGTTGATCGTGAGAAGAAGCTGGGCGTTAGAGGTTCTCCAAACCCAAACGGTACCATATCCGCCGGATGCTAATTTTAGCCCGTCTGGGCTGAAGGCGACACAGTACAGCCAACGGTTCCAACCCTGAACCCAAGGTGTTGAGAGGACAGCGCCAGTCTCCGCATCCCATATAATAACTCTTCTATCATGTGACCCGCTTGCGAGTCTCTTTCCGTCAGGGGAGAAACACACCGACTCAACCCAGTCTGTATGCTTTACCAGTGGATCGAATAGCATCTGCTTGCTATCGACGTCCCAGATGATCATAGCTCTATCTCTCCCACCACTCGCAATTCGCCTATCATCTGGGGATACAGCGACTGAAATTACACAGTCACTGTGTCCCTCGAATGGCCCTCCCACCAATGCACCTTTCTCCACGTCCCAGATTCGCAGGGTTTTATCCTCTGAAGCAGTGACAATCCGTCGACCGTCTTTGAAGAAGGCGACTGCCAACACTTTCTTCGTGTGCACTCGCATCGTTTGTATTGGCGCGGGCTGGGTTGTCTGCGCCGGCGTCGCGCGCCCTCTCACAGTGAGATATGCTTTTTTTGCTACATCGCGCAATCCTGACATATCACTAAACAAGAAGATAGACGGTCAGTGACGTTTGAATTTGATGAGGAGCGTACTCTGTGGACCTCACCAGCGTAGTCGTCAATCCTATGTGTCGTGAGTTGGATTTCTGCCCATTTATAAACCACGTCATGTAGGCGCTTATCCGCTCTGCTTCCTTACTTACCACGCTGCCACTGCGTATCACATCATCAAGTACTGCCCCTCCTTATCGATATTATCAACTGCCCACTACAGATCAATTCCTTCATTTTGTTCACAGCCAATTCCCCCGAAGAATTATAAAGGAAGAATCGGGTGGTGCCACCTAGTCCCTCCGAAGGTAGACTACTCCTGCCAGACGCAATCAATATCATGAGTTTATTCCAGGCACACCGCATGATGGACATCTAGAACTACACAGCAGGCGAAAATGCTGCGGACGAGGGCGATGCGTCAGGCAGACTCAGGCTATTATGCTTCGAACACCGCAACCTCTCAGAAGCTGTCTTCATAAACATAATCGCATACTTTTCCAGCACTGCCACGAGAAACTCACCTCACGGTGTTCGTTCTTGTACTGTTCCTGTGCTACAGCGTTGAAAATTGGGTAAGAGCCCTTTCATGATAGTCGCGATCTGGATGCTAAAGCTGTCCGTGGGTAAGTTTCTGACACCAGTCATCTGACTTGGAGGTCAGTGCTAGTTACGTTGCTTTGACATGGATGGTTTAGCATGTCACTGTCCTTTTAATACGCGGCCACCAGGACATTTCGTCGTTGAACATTGAGCGCTCGAAGTTTACGAGCCTGTTTCAAAAGTCTCACGTAAATTTTGTACTTATACACTAGATTACATTAATGATTCTTTTGACCTCGATGCGTCTGAAACATGCGAGCCATTTCTCACCAGCATTGCGTTCGACCTTTTTTCCTTCTTCCGCGGAACTATTAACTGCATCCAAGATTGGACCCTTTCTCTTGTCTTAGTTCTTCCCCCTCAACAGACTGAAAGAGGGGATGAGCGTCTAGATGAGGCTACAATATCGCCAGCGTCCTGATGTTCATCAAGTTATCAACAGATGCCGTGTCCCTGACTTGTGCGATGATATGATTATCCGAAGCGATTCTCTTATACTCCCCACCACGCTGTTGCGCTAGTAAAAGTGCCCCGAAAGGACGAGCAAGGCGAATGAGCAACCTCAACCCTCTGGCGACCAGCTCGTCATCTCCAAGCTCATCAGACCAATCGTCCACGCTCTGCGACTCATCTGTAAAGTCGACCAACTCGAGATCATACCGATTCCGCGGACGGTCGAGCAAGAATATCTGCCGAGTACACCTTGCAGGTGAGAATTGAACAAGCTTATCTTCCGTTGTGACCACCAGGTGTTGTAGCCCATCTGCTTTGACTTCATATGTGAAACGTTTATCTCCGTCTTCATCAAGACTCCGCCTGACTTCTTTGAGAGGAAATGCGATGCAAGGCAATGGCAGTCTGGCGTTTGCAAAACGAGGAGCGTTGAGGTTCTCAAGAGTGTCATACAATTTGGTGGTTGACTCCACAGCCACATTGTTTCGCAGCGTGGAGACCGAATTCTGCATCTCGTCTTCGGATAGAGATGGCAGCGTACATGACGGTGTTTTGTATGAAGAATCTCAGCTGGGAGACAACTATTGAAGTCGGACGATTGTCCGACCCAATCAAGGGCCGTGATGTCGCCCGAATGAGCTATGATCTCCTGTAGGAGACGTCCGAGTGCGTTCTGTCGGTTTTCTCCGTATATTACAGGAAGGTGGACGCCGAAGATCCCAAACAGCGAATACGCGATGTCTTCCTGCAACGTAGTGATACGCATTGATGCCCATTGAAGTTTTTCTCGGGCATCTCTTGTCCCTGGACGGAAGTCGACGAGCGCCTGCGCATTTATGCCAGTTGAACGCTCCAACTCCTTCATGATACTGACAGACTGCTTGTGGTTGCGTGAGCGGTTGTCGAGATATAGGGTCCAGTCTGCTTGGTAGAAGAGAACAATTTTAGGAGCGAGGAACTCCTCAACGGTCCATCCTCGCGTGTTCCAATCCTGTTTGCGAGCGCACCAGACTCTGACGAAGGAGGAACATCGGATAGGTAGATGATGGTGAGCGCTGAGTAGTGATACCAGATGAACATGGAGTTGACTGATTGCTGGAGCTCAACATTGTTGTTCTGGTCGATACAGCATGTATCGCTCCACGCCCAGCGATACCCCGCCTCGCGCGCAACTTCGCAGCACTTCTGCAACTTCACGAAGGTTCCAACTGGATCTAAGTCGTATATGTCCCTGTCCTGAATGTCGTGCAGTAGCGGCTCCGTCCTTTCCCACCTATGGGACAACATGACCCAACTGAAATATTTCGCCACCGCTTCTTTGATGAGCTCCGTTTGGAGGGGCCCATGCATTACTGATAGAGGAAAAAGCTCCTTGTATTCTATGCTGTCAATGAATGCGTTGATCATCGGGAAAATGTAATTCACTACAGAGTGCTGCAGAGCGCTCTGTAAGACTCTGTAATGAATTACGGTTTCCTGATGATCTGTGCGTCTCGATTGCATAAACGTCCAGTAGGTGTTTATTAGACGAAGGGGGGCGTTTTCCAGTCGGGCGTGAACGGCCCGTCGAACAGCGGTTTCCCGTGCTTCAGATGCACTGATATATTTCTCACGTAGCTCTGGAGAATGAATTCATGATAATTACGTCGACAGCGTGAGGAGCTTTGGGCTTACGTCGTATTTGTGGGCCGGATGCATTGTCCAAGTTGGAGAGCATGATTGTGAAAGCCTCGAATGCATCATCATAACGCTGTGCTCCACGAAGTGCTGTATGCTTCAATTCGTATCCAAGGTGAGACGAAGGGTAGAGCTCGATGACCTACAAACATCGTCCATAAATGTTGTAACAATGACGGATATCATCTGCACCTTGTTCGCATCCGAAAGGGCCTCCACATAGAGGTTTTTCCCCAACCTCACCCTACTGCGGTGCGCAAAGTAGGAATCATATGAGGAATCCGTCTCGAATGCTGCGGACAGTGTGCTTTCGACGGACCAGAACTGCACGTTTCCATCATAATCTCCACTCACGAGCAGTTCTGCATTGGGAGAAATTGCGACACAGTAAACACTTGCGGCGCGCTTGAGTGGCTGCCCTATCTGCTGGTGTGACCTTGTGTTCCACAGGTGCAGTCTTATCTTGCGAGGCAGCTGCAATGAAGGAGGGATCACAAGACACGGCCAGGGAGTAGATTTTATCAGTATAACCAGTGCATGGTTCACTGATCTGGATCCCATTCGACAAGTCCCAAAATTTGATTGTCGTGTCGTCGTCTGATGCAAAGATAAATTGCTGGCCGTCGGGCGACCATACAACACTTCGAACAAAAATTTGGTGAACGTCAATCCTGAGAAGAAGCTCAGCGTCATCGGTGCCCCAATCCCGAACGGTACCAAATGCTCCGCCGGATACCAATTTTAGCCCATCTGGGCTGAAGGCGACACTCGACACCAAACCCCCACTCTGGAGTCTTGAGAGAACAGCACCAGTCTCTGCATCCCACATAATCATTTTCCAATCAAATGACCCGCTTGCGAGTCTTTTTCCATCTGGAGGAGAGCACACTGACCGGACCCATTTTGTATGCTCCACTAGCGGTTGGAACACCGTCTGCTTGCTGTTGACGTCCCAGATGATGATGGCTCTATCTCCTCCAGCACTCGCAATCTGCCTGTCGTCTGGCGATACAGCGATGGAATCCACATAATCACTGTGTCCTTCGAATGGCCCTCCCACCAATATTCTTTTCTCCACGTCCCAGATTCGCAGGATTTTATCCTCTGAAGCAGTGACGATCCGTCGACCGTCTCTGAAGAATGCAACTGCTCACAATTTCTTCGTGTGCATTCGCATCGTTTGAGTCTGCGCCAGCTGTGTTGTCTTTGCCGGCTGGGTTGTCTGCGCCGGCGTCGCGCGCCTTCTTACAGTAAGATATGCTTTTTTTGCTACATCGAGCAATTCTGACATGTCGCTAGACAAGATGATGGACTGTCAGTAACGTTTGAAGTTGACGAGGAGCGTACTCTGTGGACCCCACCGGCGTAGTTGTACTAGTAGATCCTATGTGTCATGAGTTGGATTTCTGAGCATTTATCACCCAACTCGTGTAGGCACCTATCCGCTCTGGTTTTGTACTCACCGCGCTGCCACTCCCACTGTGTATCAATCATCATGCATGCATCAAGTTTCAAGTACTACCCCTCTTCATCAACTGCGTTGATTCTTTGATTTTGTTTCTAGCAAATCCATTAGTTTCGCACACTTCTTGATTGTGTCCTTGGCAGTTTTCCCCAGCGTAGTCTGCTTATCTAAAGCTTTGTCAGGCTGATTGCAATTATGATATGGGCCAATTTCCTGATGGTACCACTTCGTCCTTGAGCTTCAGGTAGACCACTCCTATCAGACGCAATCAGTATCATGAGTTCATTCCAGGCACATCTCATGATGGACATCAGGAATTACACAGGAAGTCAAAAATGCTGTGGACAAGAGCGGTGCGTCTGGCTATCGTGTTTTGAGCATGCAACTTCTCGAAAGCCGCTAAACAAAATCGCATACTTTTCCGGCACTGGTGCGAGAAATCGTCTCAATGATCTTTCTTACACTGGTTCCAATTGGGTATGACCTTTTATTAATAATAGTCAATGCTACAGCTGTCCGTAGGGATGCCTCTGATACCAGCCTTCTAACTTACAGGTCAGTGCTAGTTACGTTGCTTTGACATGGATGGTTTAGCATATCAGTTGTTCTAACACACGAATCTTACCGGGACACGTTGTCGTTGAGCGCTTAAGCGTATTACGCAAAAATGGCACATTTCTTATCATATATTATACACTATTGATTTACATTGATTCTTTTGACCTCGATGCGTCTGAAGCATGCGAGCCATTTCTCACCAGCATTGCGTTCGACCTTTTGTCCTTCTTCCGTGGAACTGTAAACTGCATCCAAAATTGGGCCCTTTCCCTCTTGTCTTAGTTCTTCCTCCTCGACAAACTGAAAGAGGGGATGAGCGTCTAGATGCGCACGCATCCACTGTGCAAGATCCTCGACGTCTGTGATGGTATAGACTATTCCACCTGGTGCGAGGACATATGCGTATTCTGCAAGAAGGGTGGGTGATATGATGCGTGCCTTGTGTTTGCGTGTTTTGAAGTGTGGATCGGGGAATAGGAAGAACAAGGCGGTAAGGGAAGCTTTTTGAAAGAAGTTGGGGAGGAATTTCATTGCGTTTGCGCGGATTACTGATACATTTTGATAATTGTCTGTGGTTGCTCGCAGTGCGGTGATACGATCTTGAACATACTGTGTCACCTGTACACGAATTTCAAGACCTGCGGATATAAGAAAAGGTTATATTTAAGATTAGGATCGACTGACCTATGATGAGAGTATCGGGGAATTGAGGTGCGAGTGTGATCAAGAGACCACCAAAGCCACAACCAATATCTGCGAACGATGGTCTCTGATTTACAAAGGCTGGATAGTGAGATGGCCAATCGATTGAGTCGGGTGATGATGGATATACAAGTGAATGATCAGAGAATGGATTCGCATGAGCTCGTTGTCTGTAATGTTTTTTCTATTCAAAGACTTAGTCTTGTATTTATGAGATCTGAGTGAACTGACCTGTGGAAGTAGTGAAGGAGCGTTGCTCGTCGTCGCCGTCGTCGTCCTAGTCGTTCTCTTTCGCTTTGGCATGCTTTCTCGGTCGCGGTTCGGTTCTCGCCCGCGTTGCACCCGCGTCGACCCATTTTTCCCGTGGTCCGATGTTTTCCGATATTCCGCCTCTTAAATTTCAATTTCGACACCGGCATTCAATTTCTCTTCATCCCTCTCTCTTCACCATGGTCGCTGCTCTCCGTAACGTCTTCAATGTCGTATGTGCAACTTCACCTCTGTCAAGTTCCTACTAATTCTTATTTCTAGTCACGCTCTCCACTGCTTGCACGCACCTCAATTCGATTCTCTTCAACAGCTTCAAGACAGCTCACTTTAAAAGAACGTCTTGCTGAGCTCATCCCTACAGAAATAGAAAAGGTGCGCGTGTTATCTCATTTTTGGTCATCACCTTCTTTTCCCTTTCCTTCATCAGGTAAAAGCAATACGCGCAGAGCATGGGAAAAAGGCATTCGGTCCTGTAACAGTCGACCAGCTCTATGGCGGTATGCGCGGTCTCCCAGCTCTCATCTGGGATGGCTCCGTACTCGACCCAGGTTCGTCATCTTTTCCTTCTCATTCTTCCCATCTCACCCCTTTCCAGAGGATGGTATCCGTTTCCGTGGAAAGTCCATCGACGAGTGCAAGAGCCTTCTACCCGCAGCACCGGGTGGCTCGGAACCTCTTCCAGAAGGTCTCTTCTGGCTGCTCCTCACTGGCGAAATTCCATCCAAGGAACAGGTTGCAGAACTCAGCCGCGACTGGGCTGCTCGTGCTGAGATTCCCGATTTCGTAAAGGAGATCATCGACCGCTGCCCTCCCACCCTTCACCCTATGAGTCAGTTCTCCATGGCAGTCACCGCGCTCAACCATGACTCTGCCTTTGCCAAGGCATATCAAGACGGTGTCTCTAAGAAGGAATACTGGGGTTACACATTCGAGGACTCCATGGATCTGTGAGTTTTTGTCCTCTGTTCAGCTAACCAATCCTCATCTCCCCCTTAGCATTGCCAAACTCCCCAACATTGCAGGTCGCATATACCGCAACGTGTTCAGTGACGGAAAGCTCCCCGCTATCGACAACAGCAAGGACTACTCTGCCAACCTCGCAACCCTCCTTGGCTTCGGTGACAATCAGGCTTTCGTTGAGCTCCTCCGTCTCTACATCACCATCCATACGTACGTATTATTTGTTTGCACCAAACAAAGCATACTCACATCATTCAAGCGACCACGAAGGTGGTAATGTCTCTGCCCACACAGGCAAACTTGTTGGTTCAGCTCTCTCAGACCCCTTCCTCGCATTCGGCGCCTCCCTAAATGGTCTCGCCGGTCCCCTTCACGGCCTCGCCAACCAAGAAGTTCTCCTCTGGCTTCGCAAAATGCAATCCCAAATTGGTGAAAACGCCACAGACGATGCCGTCAAATCCTACGTCTGGTCCACCCTCAAAAGCGGCCAGGTCGTCCCCGGCTACGGACACGCTGTCCTCCGCAAGACGGATCCCCGCTACACCGCCCAGCGCGAATTCGCACTCAAGAACCTCCCCAATGACCCCCTGTTCAAACTCGTCGGTCAGATTTACGATATCGTGCCTGGTATTTTGTTGGAGGCGGGTAAGGCGAAGAACCCGTGGCCGAATGTGGACGCCCATTCCGGTGTGCTGTTGACGCATTATGGCCTGGATCAGATGCAGTTCTATACCGTACTGTTTGGTGTTTCCCGTGCGTTTGGGGTGGCTGCTCAGTTGATCTGGGATCGTGCTCTTGGTGCTCGTGAGTCCGATCCATCTAATTTGGACTGATGGGATACTAAATGCATGTTGTGTTAGCTTTGGAACGTCCGAAATCGTACTCGAGTGAGGCTATCCAGAAAATGTTCAAGGGCAGGCCTTGATAGATGTTCGTTTTGACTGTTGTTGTGTTTTGCATATCATTATGGCTACATGAACTTAGACTACCTTAAATCCATGAAAGCTATTGTTCTACTAGGGAATGCTTTGGTGATGAGCTTAGACTTGGCTTAGACGTATACTTTACCTGTTGCTATCGTGAGAACTGAGCTGGCCATCATGATACGTGTAGCCTTTCACTTTGCAATGGACGCTGAGCGCTGAGCCTTAGGCAGGGCGGTAATGCCAACACCCTTTATAATACTCCAGGTTCTGATGTCTGACCACCTCATCCCGTATTTTCCAACACCACAGGACCAAAAACAGCAGAAAAGAAAAGTCAATCGATGTTCATGATATGCAGCCCTAATCTGATCATGTTCAAGCCATGGGGAGAACTTGAAAGACCTTTCCGCTATTTTCGAATGGCCTTTGTATCACAAGAATACCATGATGCACCCGCCGCTCTATTTGTGATCAAGACGGAGGCGCGCTAACTGGATCACTTCATCTTTGGACGAACTTATCTACGGCAGCGATGTACATAAAGGTAGATTTCCCACTGCAGTCAACGGAACACAGCCTGTCATGCCGTGTCGTGATCTGCTGTCGCGCATCTCTTGCCTACCTGGAATCAAACCAAAGTCCTCCCGGTGAACCTTGCAACTCAACATTATGATTCCTCCAGGTGGGTAATCACGCCTCTACGATGTTTTTTTATCATTTTTGTTACGTATTCAAGTCATTATCAGGGAACTACGAAGGGCTTAAAGTACAACCCAAGACTCTCCGTCAGGTCTCAAATCATAGTTTGGCCCTTGTTGGAATCATCGGAGGAGTCGCTTTTATAGTTTGGGTTTTTTGGCTATCAGTCATCCGCTTATGCAAACCCAAAACAAACATCGCATCCGATACGACCTCTGAATCCACCCCTCTCCTAAATCCAGACCAACCACCGACTGATCTCCAGGTGAGCATTCCCACTTACCTAGCACAACATAATTGAAGAGGTGAACAGAGAGATCACACCGTCACATCAGACAACGATACCTCACTGTGTTCCGCCTGTGCAAATATAGATTTTCACCAGATCTTTCTCAACGGCATCCCAGCAAAGGAAGAAATCCCGCTTGGGTTCCTCTCTTCCATCTTAGCGAAATCCTACCAATGCAATTTCTGCCGCCTCATATCCTTTCATGTCCGTCGAACATGGAAGTTGGGCGAGTTTCCTCACGTCGATCTCTCGGGGATTGGATTGGGGATGTATTCGAAAAATTGTGGGTGTCTTCGGAAGCCCTTTTATCAGCCTAAATTCCATTGCTACCGCCTCCATATCATCAAGGCGAAGGGCCCGGGGGGCCTTTGGAAGAGACAGCTAGCTTTAGGGGAAGAAAGTCCACTCATCATTCACCTCTTGCAGGAAGATGCTTTCAAATTTGGGAGACCGGCCGACCTTCATGGCCGTAGGGTGAAGAACACCGTGGACATTGGTCTGGTGCAGAAGTGGATTAGCCTGTGCCAGGAGAACCATGGAGATAAATGTGGCAACGTTTGGAAAAGGGATAGGAGGCTGCCGAGGTTTGTGAGAGTGGTGGATGTAGTATCGATGGCCGTGGTTCCTGCGCCTTCTGGTTGTCGTTACCTCACCCTCAGTTATGTATGGGGAAGCATCGGCGCAGATTACTGGACGACGAAGGATAACATAGCGGAGCGCTCTACGCCTGGCGGATTGAACGTGTCGACCTTTCCCCACACCATCACTGATTCGATTATATTCGTTCGACAGCTCGGTGAACGTTACTTGTGGATCGACGCTCTGTGCATTATTCAAGATGATTTGCTTGACAAGTCCACTCAGCTACGCGCTATGGATTTGGTCTACGGCTTATCTCATCTCACGATAGTCGCTGCTGGCGCTACGACGGCTCAAGACCCTCTCCCAGGATGCCGTCCACGAACCAGAACGCTGCAACAGCACGTCGAGGTCGTTCAAGGACTTCATCTCTACGTGGCTGCTCCAAGACTTAGGGAAGCTCTCGCTCAATCCACGTGGAATACGCGTTGTTGGACCTATCAAGAGAGCGCGCTCTCCTGCAGAAGAATATATTTCACCGGGCCGCAGGTCTACTTTGAATGCAAATGCGACGTTTTCTGCGAAGACATCGTCGCCGAAAGCAAGTGTCTCCCACTCTCCCACAGCTTCCTCCGGTCATTTGGAGAATATTTCCCATATTCTTACGCAGTTCCGAGTTACACGGGAGCTGTTGATAGGTATACACGACGCCATCTCACTATGGAATCAGATATCGTTGATGCTTTCACCGGAGTGACGAATGCTTTAGCGATGGCATTTGAGCTCGGTGACCCCGACAGAGTCTTTCAATTTGGAATGATGTTGCCAAATGTACATCTCACCCTTCTCTGGCAACATGATCCACAAACATCTCGCGCTCGTCGTTTGCTCCCTGACGGAGGCACCTCACCTTGGCCTTCCTGGGCATGGGCTGCGTGGCGTGGTGGTGTTCTCTATAGGGGGGCGGATGTGTATCTGAGGACTCAAATGGGCAATATGAGTAGCGATCCATCGGTAGAGGAAACACTTGTTGATCCTTGGTACGTCGTGGACCACAATGGCGATGCAGTGCAGCTTGATGTCCACCAAGTTTCCTGGGTCGTTTTGAAGGCAAGGGAGGTGAAGCATGCATATTCTGCTCTGCGAGGGATCTTAGACCCAACGGAGTTGACCTTAGACATTCATCGACCACTAAAACCAGGCACTCTCATTTTCCGCACGACCTGCAGTCACTTTGGAATTGCACGGCGAGGTGGCGAAGAACCAAACGGATATGCTCACGGTCTCTTCAATATTCTCTCCACCACTTCTTTGCTTCCTGTCTGGGCTGGCACTGCCGTCCTGCCATTGGAACCCCCTCTGCCATCTTCTCTCGACTTTATCGTCCTTTCCCGTACCAGTTCGCGCAGCGTATACGACGAAGAGACTCTTAGGGGTTACGATGGATGCTTGTTGCATGTGATGGCGGTTAGTCAAGACGAGGGCTTGATGGAACGTGTCGGACTGGGCGTCATTCATGAAGCTGCCTGGATTGCATCAAGGCCGGAGAAGAGGGTAGTGTTTCTCCGGTAATGGCTAGTGATAGTGTACCTCGGTTGTTTATGCCTGTAGTTGTACTGCACCAAGTCATGCGTCCAAATAAGTGGATTCGATAAGTGTAGGACTCCCGAATGAAAGGATAAACCTGTTAGCCTCATCAACATCTGGGCGGCACTAATATAGACGAAATGCTGTCTTCCTCTTTTGGTCTGACTAGGGGAGACTAGGGCGGCCACCGTGACGTTATACTGAAGAGTTTCCTTTTACGATAGCCTTACCCGCACGCAATTCTTAATCGCTAACCACCATTACCCAAGCTAGCACACCTACTTGACACAATTATTACCACTACATGGCACTAGGCAGAATCATGCATTATGCTGTAGACGCAGTGCTAGTTTCAACTGTCGTCGCCGGCATCCGGCGGTCGAGTGGATTCGCGTGAGTGTCTCGAGCCTCATGTCCCGCATCCAACATTAATGTAGATGACATCGGTTTCGCCGGCTCGCGCGCCTTCAGCGTTGACACCACTCTAATATCAGACCCAACCATGCGCTCATTTGCTGATCGTTTCCTCGGCGTCGGCGAAACTATATTCGACATGGCCACAGCTACGTCTGTTAATAGTGATTATTTCAAGAAGGACTCGAGGAGATAGTAGACGATGTCTTGGGTACGAGTGAGGAGGTGGACATGAAGGTCTGGCAGTCATACACCTACTAGAGATGAACCTCTCATGTCTCAGCAGAATCGAATGGTCAACGGACGCTAGCGTCTCGTTGGTCAGAGTGAGAAATAATGTCAGCGTTACTCACGGTGCATCCAAGCACATGTACCGAAGAATTTTGAGGTAGTGCCCATGAATTTTAAGATATCATCATTGTAATCTCCCAAATGTCTGAGAACGTGGAGTAGCGGACGTTTCTGGTCCTGAGTTGACGGAGGCTGCATTGCAATGCATGCTGCACTCATCAAGTCACACGAATTCTTGATTGAGTTGAATCAAAGTCCTCACTAATTAATCCGTGCTCATCTACATGTATCTTACAGTCATGATGAGAAGGTACTTTTGGAATGAGCTCACGCAAAACGCGCGCATGCTTCCAGTACAACTAGTCAACACATTCATGGGCGGTGAGCCCAACGAAGCACATTGATTATAACACAATTCAGTACTCTACATCCTCCTGCTTCTCCTCCACTAACTATGCACCTGCGGTCCATCACTTACGAATATCTTGATAAATCAAAAAGTGTTCCCTGCGAAAAAAGAGCGTACGTATGTGAACTCATCTACTTTGTTGGTAAGGAGCGGCATGTTGGTATCCGGAATATTGGGGCACGGATTGATGGTTCGTACCATGCATCTGAGAGAATGGAACTGAGGGACTTGAAGAGGAGGTTCCAGGATAGTAGGGTTGTTGTTGGGAGGTGTATGGAGAAGGCGGGACAACCGCGTTCATGCTGTATGATGCATCGCTCCGAGAATAGCTGGAGGGTTGCCACCGGTGTTGGGGCTGCACCTGGATGTGGGAGGACGGATGGGTCTTGAAATCAATTAGAAATATAGTTGTTGGAACCAAAAAAACTCAAGTCACCTGGAAGGGCCCGGGGTATTGGCTTACTCCAGTGACTGGAGATGTAGACTGCGAATAGCGAACCTGCTGGGTTATGGGAGCCGGCTCTTGAATTGAGTAAGATGGACGTGACGTCGAAAATCCTCCTTGCTGGGGTTGATAGTGAGCAAAGGTGACGCCAGGAGTACGGGGCGCTTGAGTGTAAGACTGAGAAGACACGCCAGATGACCTTATGTCAGACTGGTGTTCGTAGCTGTATCTCCCGCTCGTCGCGCCGCCAGCGTAGTAACCTCCATTGGGATAGCGGTCATGGGAGTAACTCTGCTGGCTGCTATAGTAGGGCTGCGTTCCAACCGAACCAGTACACTGCTTTCAGATCGGTTGGTGTCGGCAATTGGCCACTGCTAAACGAAGAAGCCCTGGATCCCGACACGCGACACCTTCTGCAGATGAAGTCCTCGGCATCCCAGTTACGTTTCGGGCGACCCGCAGTGACGTCTCGTTGGTCATGACACCCAATATGCTGCCACTTCAAACATCGACCACAGCACATAATGGGAACGCCGTCATCCTAAAATTATCACAAATGTGAAGCGGCAAGAATACGGGGTTGAAAAGAGACAAACCCGGTTAATCCCTTGTCTACCGCAGACCTCGCAATCCAGCTCCCAGTCTTCAGCTGGTGTCCGCGATCCACTGCTAACAGCGCCTGATCCGTTGACGGGAACAGGAACAGACAACGTTGGAAACTTGCCCATCTGACCAGGCGGTATGGAAGATGAGGAAGGTTCTTGACTCATGATATCGATAGGTGCGTTGGCGCTAGCGAGGCGTTGAGAACACACAGGGTATGCACAAAATATTCATACCTAGTGTCAGCTTCAGGCCCTCCAGCTTGCTTGGCTTCTCGCTCCTTCCTGCGTTGCTCTCTAGCATTCTCCCTCTTGATTCTGTCCGCTTCCTCTTTCTGTCGACGCGCTTCAGCCCTCCGAGCTCGACCCGTCTTCTCATCTTCCTCTGCGCGCTTCTTAGCAGCAAGTAATTCTTGCTCCTTTTCACTTTCCTTGATAGCAATACGAGACGAGCGTTTGCGATGTACAACCGCTTCTTCTTTGCGCTTCTTCTTCTCCACCTCCTAAAATCACATTAGTATCAATGCTTCCTAAGATTAAATGGGGTGGGATACATACCCTTAGCTCAGCGGTTATTGCCGGGACGATGGTTTGCGTTAATACCTTATACAGCGACTTCTCAGCATAGTGAGTGGCTTTCTCAAATTGCTCGGGGAAGTTCTCCCACTCTTCGAGAGTGATACAGATCTGTTCACGATGAAGAGGGGGAATATGAAACGATTTAACTAATCGCTTATAAATAACTCACCGTCTCCCATTCAATAAAACCTTTGGGAAGAGATGGAAGCTCCTCGTCTTCCTCATCAACATCAATCCTGCCATTTGGTTTATCAGGAACCGGTACGGAGTTCGTTTCAGATTCTTCATCTTTAACGTTAGGTTCTTCATCCTCTTCCGCATCGGCTTCTTCTTGAGCGTCCCCCTCATCTGTGTCATCGTCCTCGCTAAGCTCTGTGAGATCGCTGACCGAGTCTTCATCGCTCTCAAGCCCCGTTTTCAGCCTCGCCTTAGTCTTGAGTGATGTCTTCTCCTCTCCCTCCGTTCCATCATGCGCACTAGGAGAAAGCCATTCGTCTGGCACCTCCTGCCACTCATCGTCCTGCTAAATTACCACGCAGCCGCGCACTCACGCGAATCCCAGAAGGCCGGCGTGGAGTCAGAGGTCTGGCATTAGTAGACTTGCTCCGAGCCATCTGGCGCTGGAATTCAGCGAGGTCCTTCGCCTGAGCATCGAGCTTCTGATTTGCACGTGATTTGGCGGCGCGGGTACCACGCGAACCGGACGGGCTGGAGTTCTGGGCCTGTGCTTGATTGCGCCGACGGGACTGCTCTGGCGGGTGTTGTGGGCGGAGGTGTGGGCTCTGGCTCTGGCTCAACTCGCTGGCGTTTGTTGAAAGACTTTTTGCCATTGGATTTCGACGCGTTGGGGTTTGTGAGCCGCTTGCGCTTGAGTGCCTGACGTGGAGGTTCACGTTGAATCCACAAACGGTCGGCTAAACCTACGTCAAGGTTGGGCAACGAGATGAAAAAATAGCACACACCGCCTATGAGCCAATAGGCATTACTCTTGGCATCATATCCTATCGGCTCTATATGCTATAAGAATTGGTCAGTGAAGTGGAAAATGAAGGAGGCATAGTATTACCCATTCGGCATTCTCATCATCGTCTTTCATCTGGGTACGTAGACGATTAGGGTTATGAAATTGCCATTCCATAAGAGTGTGTAGGGAATCCAGTTTCTTGATAGTAGGAAGGTCGAGCCAATCAATCTGCTGCTGTGGCTGCTCGGAGTCCTGTAAAACCTCTGAAGAAGACCCAGTTACTTCATCCTTCGATTCATCGATCTTGGTTTCCTCCGACTTGACCTCGACCGCATCTACTAAATCGTCTGGGACAGCATCACCGTCAGCAGACGCTCCGTCTTCGTGTGCCATGCTTTTCTTTGCTTCCTCTTGCACCAACTGTTCTCCATTTTTGAATGGATGTGGGGGAGCTGTGGATGCGCGCGAGGACTCTGCGACATTGGTGTATATTTGCTGAATTGGTCCTATAGGATTTGCATCTGGGTCGCGTCTCATATATTGTTTTCGCAGGGAAGTTTGCCAGTTATCAACGCTGATAAATCGACATTCGTTAGATGATAGGAGTTATACCACAGCATACGATGAAGGGAAGCCTACGATATTTTTCTGTCTTGCGTTAACGTGACGAGCAATCTTGTCATGATGCGAGACAAAACGCTGTTGGTAGAGTATGCGAGGTCATTTTCGATGTCCTGTGATAGTTTGAAAGATAAGATGATGCTCCATAGGCAGACAGAATCGGTACTCACGATCAAGGTCACGTCATTCATGGCAAAGAGGGCATTAAATGTGAAGAAGAACTGGCTGAAAGCAGCCCATTTCCAGTGTCGTCTGAGCTGAAGGATATTGGGATCTGCATCAGAGGCAGGAAGTTGAAAAGAGACTGAAGGTGCTTGTGGAGTGGCAGAGGATGTAAGGCGAGTAGAAGTGCGGCGAGGCATGCGCGCAGCTGAGTTAGGGCTTTATAAAAAGGTCGGAGATCCTTCGGCAGTGCAGGCGATGTTCAAATGTATAACCTGTCCAGCGATTACTAGAAAGACGCTTAAAACCAAGTTTAGGCTGAAATTAGTTGTTGGTGATTACCGTCGCCGTTACTGACGATGAGCACAACGTTTAGCAGAATGTTAACGAAGCGGCTTGAAGAGTCCAGTTGGGACGAATAATTGTGTTCTCAAATCAACAAATCGAAACCCCCCTGGGAATTTTGCTCAGATTTTTTCAAAAAATGATAATATTTGGATACAAATTTATAGGAAAAAGCAATAACTAAGGTATCTGCTGCTTTGCTTTTCTCTTCAATCTCGCCTTTGTAGTCTTGGATAATCGTCGTGTCTGTGGTGTCTGGTATCTGCAAGCTTGTCAGGTCGGACAACAGTCCATGCATGAACGTTACTCACGTCACGTCTTTCTTCTCATGCATACCTGGAAGAGCTTTCCTGCACAGCGTGACTTTCATGTGAGGCGCAAGCGCGAGCTTCAGGCTGTCCCTCTGTCAGTTCGAGCGTCCGCGTCATCTTCCATACGTGAAATACGCACTATTTTTTACCTTCCAAAGCTCTTGCTATGGTACTTGCTCGATCTTCCCCTTCCGCAGCAATCTCGCCACATTGCTCCCATTGTAGTTCATTGTACTGATGCAGCCCCGTCAGATGTCCTACAGAAACATCCAAGGTTTTCAGATATTCGCGCTTCAGGATCTCCACAACTGAAATTAACCGAGGGATCGTAGATTGTGCAACATCGGCTGGGGAAGCGTGCAGCGTCAATGACTTGTCAGGATTTTCCTAAACCCATGTTCTGTCAGATGAACGATCAACGAAAGAGCCGCAGAACCAACTTGGAAAAAGTCTAATCCTTGCTTGACCCAGCATCTAATTTTTCCCTGCCTCGTTATTCGTATCGAGTCTGATGGCAGGGCCGCGGGTTGCAAATCAGTCGTCACCGTCTCCTCGCTGTTCATGATAACTGGAAGCGTGAGAAAATTGCGCCCAGTAGATTCTACACGGTTGGGTAAGCCCTATAGGGCTATAAGGTACTTCTATCCGATTACAAGTTCAAGTTGTAGCTTTATCCACTGCATGTGCCAAACTGTTCACTGGGCATTGAATAGAACACGCGTGACAACCCTGCTTGCATTTGTGATACTCTCGTGGTGTAGTCGTCTTGCTTTCACACATATCTCTGAGGTAACCGTTGTCTACTCTAGCAAAGGGGCTCGGCAGGGATCCATCTCTTACACAGGTTCTCAAGTACCATTACTTGGTACTCGATTGTCCGTACTCAGGTAGGAGGTCGTAGAACAGGTGATGCTGTTTCAGGCTGTTCAGCCCGGCAACTCCTCGTCCTCAAGAGCAAAATCCCTCTCTAAGCTAAAGTCCTTTTGCACCTTACATCCGCTTCAACACTCGTCGCCCGCAGTCAGACCATGTAGAAGTAAGACAGCCATCTCTTCTATCTTCTTCGCATCAGCACCAGTATCAATCTGCAAACGAAGCAGTTACCACAGGGCTTCATTCTTAGAAATTCTCAAGTACTTGACTATTCGTGTCGAAGTAGAAAGGATGGATACCTTGTCCGTCCATCTCATCGGTCCGTCATAGTTTGACCATCCTCGAGGCAAAGATTGTGTTTGCTAACCTCAATCATTACACCTGAGATGAAGAATACTGACAATATTACATAGAACATCAAGAGCGTTGATGAAATGATAGTCTATTTGAAACGTCATGAAGGCGCGTTTGCATCGAATGCGTTCTTGGGAGGCCAGCTTCTCGTCCATACGAGCGGGGAGAGGAGACTCAACAATAAGATTCTTGGGCCAGCACAATTACGCATGATAGAAAACTTGCACATGAGCTCCAGAGCGTGGACCAGTAAGATGCATTAGTCGGCGTATGCCCCGGATCTGGCATCCCATCACTAGCAAAAGGGGCTTAGAGATTGTTCTAGGCCATCTAAATCTCGTGATGAAGCAGAATGCATTGCATACTACACAGGATGATGAAGTAGAATAGAATAGACTCATCTGCAGAATTAACTGTGAGAGTACCAGATGGATGCTCATTGAAGCGGGTTTGCTGTACACAGGATGTATATATAACCGAAGTTTGTGAGGGACAGTGTTAATGCGAAGAAGCGATGCCGCAGCAGCCTGTGGTAGCGCGGTAAGAGAGGGTAAGAGCCATCAAGAACCCCGGATAAGCTATATCAACTGAGTTATGGCCAGAATACAATTCTACTCACGACACATAAGATTGACGACATAACCATAAAGCACTCTCCTCGTCAACTTCAAATACAACTGACCATTCATGACATGTTGACAAGTATGCTTGATCGAGTAAGAACATCTTATCTTGCTGTGAGAAGGTTCACAACACCGGAGCAGACAACACAACCGACGCGGGCGATATATAAAGATCCCACATGAATTGGGTTATGGGAAGACATCCAATTCTACTCACGACCTCCATGAGACGCAAGGTCGACGACTTAACCACAGAGTACGCCCCTCGTTGACTTTAAACATCACTGACCGTTCATCTTCCTGTCTAGCGACATGTCAGGATTGCTTGGTGGAGCAGAAAAAGCATATCTCACTGTAAATATGCGCGCGACGCCGGCGCAGACAACCCAGCCGGCGTCAACGCTAACAATGCGAATGCACACAAAAAAAGTGTCGGCAGTTGCATTCTTCAAAGACGGTCGGCAGATCGTCACCGCTTCAGAGGATCAAACCCTGCAAATCTTGGACGTGGACAAAAGAGCGTTGGTAGGAGGGCCACTCAAGGGACACAGTGACTGTGTTGTTTCAGTCGCTGTATCGCCAGATGATAAGCGAATTGCGAGTGGTGGGAAAGGTGGAGCCATCATCATCTGGGACGTCGATAGCGAGCAGATGGTATTCGAACCGCTGGTGAAGCATATAAACCGGGTTTGGTCACTGTGTTTCTCCCCCGATGGCAAGAGACTCGCGAGCGGGTCATACGATAGGACAGTTATTGTATGGGATGCGAAGACCCGCGCTGTCCTCTCAACACTTGATGGTGGGGGTTGGGTGTTTTGTGTCGCCTTCAGCCCAGATGGGCTGAAACTAGCATCCGGAACATTGCGTAGCATCCGCATTTGGCGTACCGATAGCATCGAACTTCTGTTCGACATCAACGCTCACCAAGATAATATCGTTCTCAGTGTTGTGTGGTCGCCCGACGGCCAGCAACTTGTCTCTGCATCACACGACAAAACAATCAAGTTTTGGGACCCTTCGAATGGGATCCAAATCGGTGAACCTTGCACCGGTCATACTTCCCTCATTTGGTCACTTGCCATTTCTTCTGATCCCTCCTTCATTGCAACTGCCTCGCAAGATAAGACTGTGCGCCTGTGGAGCGCAAAGTCACACCAGCAGATAGGACAGGCACTCGAACACACCACACGTGTTTCCTGCGTCTCAATCTCTCCCAATGGGGATCTGCTCGCGAGTGGAGACTGTGAAGGGAATCTTCAGCTCTGGTCTATCCAGAACATACATGCCGCAGCAATCGGGATGGATGTCTCATACTTTATGCATTGCAGTAAGGTGAAGTTGGGCCAAAACCTATATGTGGAGGCCCTGTTGGATGCGGAAAAGGTGCGGACGATATCCGTCATCGATTTGACAAATGTGATGATATTCGCAGGTCATTGAGCTCAACTCTTCATCTCACCTTGGATACGAATTGAAGTATGCGGCGCTTCGTAGAGCACAGCGCTACGATGATGCGTCCGAGGCCTTCACAATCATGCTCTCCAAGTTGGACAATGCACCGGACCCACAGATACGGCGTAAGCCCCAAACAACTCGAGCGCCTACCTGAAGATGACTTACATTTTTGCAGAGCTACGCCAGCAATACGTCAGTCCATCTGAAGTAAAAGATGCTACTCGACGAGCCATTGACGCTCAACTGGAAAACGCTCCACTTCGTCTAATCAACACCATCACTGGGCATATATGTGATCGAAATGCACAGTTCAACACATTTACGGAGAGTACAGAGTACAAAGAGCTTTCGCATTCATTGGTGATGCATGTACCCCTCCAAACGAAGCTCATCAAAAAAGCAGTCGTCAAGCACTTCGGTTGGGTCATGTTATCCCATAGGTGGGGAACCAAGGAGCCGGGGCTGCACGACATTCAGGGCAGGAACATATACGACTTGAATCCGGTCGGAACTATCGTGAAGTTGCAGAATTTTTGCAGAGTCACTCGCAATGAGGGGTATCGCTGGGCGTGGGTCGATACGTGCTGCATCGACCAGAACAACCATGTTGAGGTCCAGCAATCCGTCAACTCCATGTTCGTCTGGTATCACTACTCAGCCCTCACCATCGTTTACCTATCGGATGTCCCGCCCTCGTCAAAGTGGGGCACGCTCGCAAGCAGCATTTGGAATACGCGAGGATGGACCGTTCAGGAGTTCCTCGCTCCTAAAATTGTTCTTTTCTACCAAGCAGATTGGAGCCTATATCTCGACGACTGCTCTCGTAACCACAAAGAGTCTGTCGCTATCACACAGGAGTTGGAGAGTTCAACTGGCATAAATGCGCGGGCGCTCGTCGCCTTCCGCCCGGGAATGAGAGATGCCCGAGAGAAACTTCGATGGGCATCAACGCGTGTCACCACGTTGCAGGAAGACATCGCATATTCGCTATTTGGGATCTTCGGCGTCCACCTCCCTGTAATCTACGGAGAAAAAAGACAGAATGCGCTCGGACGACTCTTACAGGAGATCATAGCTCATTCGGGCGACATCACAGCTCTTGATTGGGTGGGACAATCGTCTGACTTTAACAGTTGTCTCCCAGCCGAGATTTCCTCATACAAGGCTCTGCCATGCACGCTACCATCTCTATCTGAACACGACATGCTGATGTCGGTCTCTAAGCTGCGAAACAATATTGTAGCTGTGGAGTCGGCTTCGAAATTGTATATCACTCTTGAGAACCTCGGTGTTCCTCGCTTCGCAAATGCCAGACTGCAATTGCCCTGCATTGCATTTCCTCTCACAGAAGTCAGGCGGAGTCCTGGTGGAGACGGGGATAAATGTTTTACACTATGAAGTCAAGGCAGATGGGCTGAAAGACCTGCTGGTCACAACGGAAGACAGCTGGTTCAATTCTCACCTGCTAAGCGTACTCGGCAGACATCCTTGCTCATCCGTCCATGGAATCGGTATGATCTCGGGCTGATTAACTTCGCAGACAAGACGCAGAGTGCAGAAGATTGGCGCGAGCCTGGGTCTCCGTCAGATGATACGTTCGTCGGCTATCCTGGATACAGCGAGCAGGCTACACGAGAATTGAGATTGATCGTTCGCCTCGGACGGCCTTTTGGCGCACTTTTGCTTGCGCAGCAGTGGGGTGGGGAGTATAAGAGAATCGCTACGGATAACAATATCATCGCACAAGTCAGGAATATGGCTTCTGTCGATGACATGATGGACGTCAGGACGGTGGAAATATTGTAGCTGCGAAAAACGGGACATTTTCATTTCATACTTTGACAACACCTCCACCTGAATAATATCCCTAGGACTTTGTATCGCATCATATATAGTGGCAGGTTACTGTGTACACGTCACAATGCAATGAAGAGAGATGTAAAGCCGAGAGAGCTCTGTCTATACTAGAGTCGAATTATACGGCAGCCCCTTCAAGTTAGATCTGGCATTGTCAAAGTTCAAGTTGGCCCCAGTAAGCCTGCATGCTAATGTGGTGGCAACTGTTCCAAGTCGAACTTCAAGCACACGACGAGACCGGTGTATAGGATCCAGGAGACAATGGTGCGGATATTTGTCAGGCGGTTCCGCTGCAAGCAATGATATTATGAGCTCATGTACAGTACACGCATTACAGCCCCACAACAACGTTCGGGTGTGCATGTGATCCAACATCTGCCTCCTTTCTGTAATCATCCAAGACCACCACTTTTCAACTTGAAAGTGATTCACTCACCAGATTACTCTCATCCTGGTTGCAGCATTAATGTTGTCACTGTCATTTCGCTTTGTGAGATGTTATACGGTGCCAAAGCTACCAAGCCAGGCGATCTCTGATGTTCTGGGCCGCAACATTCCTTATCTTGTGGACTGACCATCTGTCATAATCTACACTATGAATAGCAAACCGGTCGAGGTAGGCAACGCGGATGACGAAGGTCGTCTGGTGCTGGCTGATGTGCACCCTTGCTGTTCCCTGACGTGACAAACTCTGACTTTCTCCAAGACCCTTTCTACTACGCCTGCATAGCAAGAGCTACAGGAGAACAGAATAACATATCAACACATAGAACAGTCAAGCAGGAGACGAGCAATATCAGAATGCTGATGCAATACATGAATTGACTACATCCACTCTAGACGTGAAGAAATTCACCTTTCTAGCACGCCAATTCCAGAAAATATTCCAGCATCCATGCACTTTGACGCTCTCGGTATTTCACTCCGTATAAATCAACACTCCCAGTCCCCTCTCTCCATGCGACCTTGTGTATGTCCGGTCTGCCTGCTTGCCTAGATGACTGTACCGAGTCGTTCCAGCTGTGGCTCCTTGGTAATTGTGCTTAATCTAGACGCCTGAACCGAGTCTTCCTGAATCGACGTCAACTGTGAATGGGGCTGGCACCACTGGAAGACTCAGCCATCGTTGTCCACGTGGACGTGAAACTACAGTCCTAGAAATTTCCTAAGATACATCATTGAGAACGAATACGCTGAACGTACCCTTTCCAGCTTGTGCAGTCGCTACCAATACGTGGGTCGACGTTTCCCTGTGGGATTGAGGGTGACGAGTGTGCGCCCAAATATTGCCAAGAGATGGAATACGCCGTTCCCAACTGACAGGTCTCGAGGACATCTACTGAACTTCCCTTACAGAGGACAATTTACCTTGGAAGATCGAGATGACGAATCTGTTTCCATATTTTTGGAAGAGGTAGGATACGCCATTTCGGCTGGGTGCTCCTTGAAAAGGCCTGCCGGTGAAGTTCAGGTGAACGGAGCTTGGTGAGGGCCCAGGTCCAAGTCATATTTAACAAATCAATTTTAGCATATAGTCAAATTCGAGTCTGGGACGTCCCTCAAGGCGGCCATTTTCATTGCCAGAAAGATGTGGTGGTTTATCGAAGCACCCCGGCTCCCGGGGGCCAGCGAAGTTCGAACGTTATTTTCCTTTGGTTCTCAGGGTATCGTTGCAGGCAACTGTTGCATATCATGAGTTGAGTATTCTGCAATAAATCCAGATTTCACATGAAGGGGGCTAGAAGAATCCAGTTCGTTTAGTTAGTAGTTGGGATTGAAGGTGTGGTGTAATTGTAAGTGTCCTTGCACTGAATGAGGTCCCTTGAAGTCGCCTGTTACCAAATTGGGTAATTTTTATGACCTGCTTCAAACCGTGACAACTTCAAGCAATTACATTTTGCTTGCAACGATGGCAGCTGCTTCAGAGGAGCAACCAGTCATCAACAAAAACAAGAGGCATCGCAAGGAGAAACGTAAATTTCTAAATCTTCCTTAACAATCCACATGAATGCAACTTTACATTTCAGCATGGGACACCGATGACATCGACCAGTGAGCATTGCCCGCATGTCAATTAAAACCACTTCTCACCGTATATTCTCTCTAGTGTAAGCACCTTGATGGTACATGCTTGAACACGTGCTCAACACTACTCTAGTGGAAAATCGACCCATTCCAACCAGATGACAACAAAGGCGGCATATTCATCGAAGAATCTTCTTTCGCAACCCTTTTCCCAAAATATAGGGAGAAGTATTTGAGGGAGGTTTGGAGCGCCGTTACCAAAGTACTAGACGCCCATGTGAGTGCTCACATCCATTTCCGCCATACCACACCATTGACTTAGCATCCAGGGTATCGCATGCACATTGGACTTAGTTCACGGGTCCATGTCCGTCCGGACAACACGCAAAACATTCGATCCATACATCATCCTCAAAGCAAGAGACCTCATCAAACTACTCGCAAGAGGGGTTGCGATCACTCAGGCTCAAAAGGTATTACAGGACGACGTGGCTTGCGATATCATCAAAATTGGCAATCTGGTTCGTAATAAGGACCGGTTCGTGAAACGGAGACAACGGATTATTGGACCGGATGGGAGTACGCTGAAGGTGAGGGTTGCATAATTTTGACTGCGCGCATGTTGTTAACTTTTTGCAGGCCATTGAGCTATTAACCCAGTGCTACATTCTCGTACAGGGAAACACCGTCAGCGTCATGGGTCCGTACAAGTCACTAAAGGAAGTCCGACGAATAGTCCTAGATTGCATGAAAAACATTCATCCCATCTACCGCATCAAGGTGTGTCAACTAACACTTGTTCTTTCCGCAGCTTTGTTGAAGTATTCGCAGGAACTCATGATAAGAAGGGAACTCGCAAAAGATCCCAAATTGGCAACAGAGTCCTGGGACCGGTTCCTCCCCAATTTCAGGAAACAACATCTGAAAACCTCCGAAAAGACGATCAAGAAGAACGAGAAAGTCGCTGCTAAGGAAGAAGCACGCAAGGCTGCAGGCCTTGACGCATCGAATCCTGACAAAAAGGAAAAACCAGCAAAGAAAGTGTACACGCCCTTTCCCCCGCCACAACAACCACGGAAGGTAATTTACTCTGCTGCTGGTTGTTGAGCAGTGCTGACGTTGTGTCCAGGTTGACCTTCAACTTGAGTCCGGAGAGTATTTTCTCAAGCCCCATGAACGGGAGGCCCGAGAAGTTCAACAAAGAAAACAAAAGGTGTGTCTACTGTGCGGTCTGCAACAAATCTCATTTTATCTACAGCAAGCTGAAGCGACACTTAAACGACGAGCGGAACGGGCAGAGGTGTATGTCGCTCCCACAGAAGAGGCAGCCCCTACAGTTGAAGAGAAACGAAAGCGACGACATACAGAAGTGGATGGCAAGGATGGGACGGCGAGGTCGAAAAAGAAGAAAAAGGACATTGCTGCAGAAGATGCATAGGCGCAATGGACTTCCCACATCATTCGTGCGCGCATCGCGAATACAACACTACGATTCATAGAATATTTGATGCACGCTGCGTATTGAAGACATCCTACTGTCAACACTATGTTTGACCCATGATGCATTACTAACGTTACGCCAAAATACGATAAAAACTCAGTAAGTACACGCACTGAATCGATTCAACAGGTGTCAGACAAAAAGCACGATCAAGTAGGAATATCCCCCCGCAGCCTAAAGTCCCTACTGCTCGCACCGATAGAGGACGAGATTCTGTGCTGGACGGCGAGATTTCGATATTTGTGAATCCCTTCAGGACTGATGGAGGCTCGCTAGCGGAGGACGGAAAATGTAAAACTGTGGAATCTATTCGCGTGACTTGGGCGTAAGCATCAAGATGAAGAAGTTAAGTGGTGTCACGAACCTCCATCCCGGATACAGGTCCAGTGCTCGCGACCTTGAAAGTTACCTGGAATGCAGGCTCATGGAAGTAGCGGTATCAGCTTGCAGATCCTTCACCGGTCTGAATAACCTCACCAAGCGCAGTAGAAAACCCTTCAGCGATGGGCGAAGCCTCCTCGTTCTCCCAAGCAGCGATCAAATCCTCCTGATCAGTATCCGATGACTGAATCGGAGTCACGGCAAGCTCAGAGTACGTGAACGTGGTGTAACTCAAACCGGAGCCAAACTCGAAGCGTGGCGTGATGTTTGCCTGCATTTACCCTTGTTTAAAACGTGAAAGCACCAAGTGAAGTCGGGAAACTCACTTGATCAAAGTGGCGATAATCGATGAACAACCTGCGAAGTAAGATCAGTATCAATACAAGGCGACCTTGGTTCAGTTGACACACCCCTCCGTGTAATCAATGGTAACAATCTCGCTTCCCGAATCATCAGTGATGAGTTGCGCGGGATAATCAGCGAAATCCTTGGCAATCGTATACGGGAGTTTTCCAGAGGGGTTGTATGCGCCATAAAGTACGTCAGCAATAGCATTACCCACCTCTTGCCCTTGGATGCCAGCCCAGACGACAGCAGTGATGTTAGGGTGCTCGATCCAGGGCTCTATAATGAGCGGGCCGACACTGTTCACGACGACTATAGTATTGTTGTTCTGCGCAGCGACTGCAAGAATGAGGTCATCACCATTGTGCCAAGCAGTGAGATTGTTGCTGGCTGGAAATGAACAAAGCCATCACTTAAAGATACGCAAGGAACGTACCGATCTCCCTGATTGCCATCGACAGTAATGTCATCTTCGCCAGAGTCGGAGTTGGTGAAAACGAGAGCGACGGCCTCACCATACGCCATATTACCAGCCAGAGCAGCGTTCCAGTCGTCAAAGTCCCAGAACACGCACGCTGCTACCGTCCTGTCGAGTACGCTCCTGGATACCCTCTAGAGGCGAGATAAGGTAGGGGAAGTCACCAGTTCTGTGTGTCGTCAATCGGTTTTTAGGAAGAATACAAGTATGTCTGAGAGAGTACATACCCAGATCCCCAGCCCATGGCCAAAATCCCATCACTTCCACCTTGATCTGAAAACTCGTTCGGGCCGGAATTGTCTGGACCCGCATCGCTACCGATCAATACCAAGTTCCTTGGCTTGTTCAATGGCAGCGTGTCGTTCTCATTGTTCAAAAGGACCGTTCCAGCTGCGCCAATCTCCCTCACAAGTGTATAGTGGTCAGCTTGCACGTTCACATGCTGGTTGGTCGCTTCGTCGTTCGGACTAAACGCGCTGAAGTTCGTTACAGGGTATGTCTCGTCCTGGTGAAGGAAGTACCAAGCAGCGATGATGCGCGTCGCCATGTCATCCAGGCGAGCCATGCTGATGTAGCCATCGTTTACATAGTCCGTCACGAGGTTGCCACCGAAGTAGGAGTCGCCGGAGTCAAAAGTTATATCACCTGGATAGTCATGTCCAGCCCTGCAATAGCAGACAATGTCGACATCGTCGCCGACCAGTCAGATTGAGCGAAGCCTTGAAACCCGTACTCCCGTTGCTTGGTTGCTCGTGGTCTAATCGCACGTCAGGGTTCGATTGGTATTGCGACTTGGCTGAGGAACGGATTCAAGAATAGCCGGCGGGTATGAGGAACAGAGCAAGGCGCCGAATATAATGATCAAACTCGAGTCGATTGATGGGAAGGAGTTATTAAAATTAGTGATGAGATTACAGAGGTGGGATATGTCGTGATTTTCGGTTTTGTCTTCTCGTTAACGGCCTTTTTCGTTTTTACAGAATACGGGAGTTCCAGAAGTTGTGGCAAAGAAAGGGATGTACCAGATATCGGTCTCGTAGACCTCGTCGATCGTGTGAGTGATGGTACTTTCGTGAATGTGAATCTAAATTGATGACGGTCCTGTGCTGCCTTGTCACTCCAGGGCGTTTAAAGCTGTCCCGGTAGCTGTGTATTAGAATCACTGTAGCATCAAACCGTCCACGTCAAAGAAACGTGACAAGGATCGCTCCGTTTCTTGCAGAGCTGATACACAAGACGTCGACAGTTAGCAACCCTGACCTCCAGGTCAGATGGGTGGTATCAGAGGCATACCTACGAACATTCAGATCGCGATTATTATAAGAAAAGCTCACACCCAATTGCCAGCGCTGCAGCGCCGGATATCAGCGAGAGAAAGATCATTGTGAGTGAGGCGAGTTTCCCTCACCAGTGCTGAAAAAGTATGCGGCTGTGTTTATAAAGACAACTTTTGAAATGCTGCTTTGTTCGAAGAATGACCCGGTAACCTGATGCATCGCTCTCGTCCACAGCATTTCGACTGCCAATGTAGTTCCGGATGTCTATCACAAGATATGCTTGGAGTGAACTTACGATATTGATTGCGTCTAGTAGGAGTGGTCTACCTGAGGGATGAAATAGTATCACTTGATAGGAACTAAAATGTTGGGGTATACAGAAAGCGTATTTCGTCCACTTTAATTCTTCAAGGAAATTCTAAGGGATTTACCGTGAACATGAAACAATTAATTGTATTATAAGGAGTATCACTCCGCTGGCTAAGAACTTCTTTGTACCGCTACAGCTTGCAGCATTACGTAATATATAATCAGCAGGTTGATGAAAAGGGGCAGTACTTGATAATGTGATACACAGTGGCGGCGTGGTAAGTACGCTGTCACGGAGCGGCGTACTACATGAGTTGGGTTATAAATGGCAGAAATTCAACTCTACTCACGACACATAAGACTGACGACCACGGTAATCACAGAGTACGCTCCTCTTCGACTTAAAACGCTACTGACCATTCATCTTCCTGTCTAACGATATGTCAGGATGGCGCGATGTAGTAAAAAAAGCATACTTTATTGTGAAAAGACGCACAATGCCGGCGCAGGAAACCCAGCCAGTGCAGACAACCCAGCCGGCGCCAACACAGACGATGCGAGTGCACACGAAGCCAGTTTGGGCAGTCGCATTGTTCAAAGACGGTCGACAGGTTGTCACTGCTTCCGAGGACAAAACCCTGCGAATCTGGGACGTGGAGAAAAGAGCATTGGTGGCAGGGCCATTCAAGGGACACAGTAGCTGTGTGCTTTCAGTCGCTGTATCGCCAAACGATAGGCGAATTGCAAGTGGTGGGAGAGATAGAACCATCATCATCTGGGACGTCGATACCAAGCAGATGGTATTCAAACCACTGGTGAAGCATACAGACTGGGTCATGTCAGTTCGTTTCTCCCCCGATGGAAAGAGACTCGCAAGCGGGTCATATGGTGAAAGAGTTATTATATGGGATGCGGAGACCGGCGCTGTCCTCTTGACACTCAGGGTTGGGAGTGTGGTGTCCAGTGTCGCCTTCAGCCCAGATGGACTAAAATTAGCATCGGGATCATCGCGTAGAATCCGGGTCTGGAGCACCGATAATGCCGAGCTTCTTCTCGACATCGACGCTCACAACAATTCGGTCGAGAGCATTGTATGGTCGCCCGACGGCCAGCAACTTGTCTCTGCATCACATGACAAAACAGCCAAGTTTTGGAACTCGTCGAATGGGACCCAGATTGGTCAACCTTGCACTGGTCACACTGACTTCATTTGGTCACTTGCTATTTCTTCTGATGGCTCCTTCATTGCAACCGCTTCGGACGACAACACTGTGCGATTGTGGAGTACAAAGTCACACCAGCAGATAGGTCATGCATTCCAACACACCACACCGGTTTTCTGCGCCTCAATCTCTCCTAGCGGGGAACTGCTAGTGAGTGGAGATAATGATGGGAATCTTCAGCTCTGGTCCGTCGAGAGCACAGTTTCCGCAGCATTCCGCATAGATGCCCCACATGATTCCTACTTTGCGCACCGCAGTGAAGTGAAGTTGGGCCAAAAACTGTATGCGGAGGCCCTTTCGGACGCGAACAAGGTGCGGACAATATCTGTCGTTATTTGAACATTTGTCGTGATGTTCGTAGGTCATTGAGCTCAACCCTTCGTCTTATCTCGGATACAAATTGAAGCATGCAGCGCTTCGTGGAGCACAGCGTTATGATGATGCATTCGAGGCTTTCACAGTTATGCTCTCTAAGTTGGATGATTCACCCGACCCACGTATACGACGTAAGCCCCAAACAGCTCAAGCGCCGACTTGAACATGGCTTATATTTTTTGCAGAGCTACGCCAGAAATACGTTAGTCTATCTGAAGTGGAAGATGCTATCCGACGAGCCATTCACGCCCAACAGGAAAATGCTCCACTTCGTCTCATCAACACCTCTACTGGACGTTTGTGCAATCGAGATGCTCAGATCAACGCATTCACAGAGAGTACAGAGTATAAAGAGCTTTTCCCTTCATTAGTGATGCATTCGCCGCTCCAAACAGAGCTTATCAAAGAAGTGGTCGTCGAGTACTTCAGTTGGGTCATGCTATCCCATAGGTGGGGAACCACGGAGCTGGGGCTGCACGACATTCAGGACAAGGTCATATACGAGTTGGATCCGGTCGGAACCACGGTGAAGTTGCAGAAGTTCTGCAAAGTTGCTCGCAGAGCGGGGTATCACTGGGCATGGAGCGATACCTGCTGCATCGACCAGAATAACAACGTCGAGCTCCAAGAATCAGTCAATTCCATGTTCATCTGGTATCATCACTCAGCGCTCACTATCGTCTACCTATCAGATGTCCCGCCTTCGTCCAAGTCAGGCGCGCTCGCAAACAGTATTTGGACCACGCGAGGATGGACCGTTCAGGAATTCCTCGCTCCTAAAATTGTTCTCTTCTACCAAGCAGATTGGACTCTATATCTCGACAGACGCTCACGCAACCACAAGGAGTCTGTCAGTATCATGGGGGAGTTGGAGCATTCAACTGGCATAAATGCGCGGGCGCTTGTTGACTTCCATCCAGGGACAGGAGATGCTCGAGAGAAACTTCGATGGGCGTCAAACCGTGATACCACTAGGGAGGAAGATATCGCGTATTCACTGTTTGGGATCTTCGGCGTCCACCTTCCTGTAATCTACGGAGAAAAAAGACAGAATGCGCTCGGACGACTCTTACAGGAGATCATAGCTCATTCGGGCGACATCACGTCCCTTGATTGGGTTGGACAATCGTCCAATTTCAACAGTTGTCTCCCAGCCGAGATTTCCTCATACAAGGCTCTACCATGCATGTTGCGATCTCTGTCCGAAGACGAGATGCAGATATCGGTCTCCATGCTGCGAAACAATAATGTGACTGTGGAGTCGGCTTTGAAACTGTATGCCACTCTTAAGAACCTCGGCGTTCCTCGTTTCGCAAACGCTAGACTGCAACTGCCCTGCATTGCATTTCCTCTCACAGAAATCAGGCGGAGTCCTGGTGGAGACGAGAACAAATGTTCCACATATGAAGTCAAGGCAGACGGGCTACAAGACCTGCTGGTCACAACGGAAGACAAACTTGTTCAATTCTCGCCTGCAAAACGTACTCGGCAGACATTCCTGCTCGTCCGTCCGTGGAATCGGTATGATCTCGAGTTGGTTGACTATACAGACGAGTCGCAGAGCGTGGATGATTGGCATGATGAACCTGGAGATGACGAACTGATCACCAGAGGGTTGAGATTACTCGTTTGCCTTACTCGTCCTTCTGGGGCGCTTTTGCTAGCGCAACAGCGTGGTGGGGAGTATAAGAGAATCGCTTCGGATAACACTATCATCGCACAAGTCAGGGACACGGCATCTGTTGATAATATGATGGACATCCGGACGCTGGAGATATTGTAGCTGCCAAGAACGGGTCATTTTTATTTCATACGTTGACAACACTTCTTCATGACCAATATCCTTAGGATTTGCATTGTATTGATCTCGATATTGTATCATCGTATACAAACAAGCTAATTTCAAAATCAGACATCCTGGGGAAGAGAAGTGCAAGGAAATGCGTTGTTTGGCCATCTCAGACTAGACCTATCATGATGTAGATGCTCATACTCTCTTCCAGTTTTCAAAACTCGAGAAAACAGGGCAAGGTTCCATCTTGGAAGCACTATATGTAACTATATGGTCCAACGCAATAAGGAAAACCCCCTAACATTGCTGGTCTATGACTCGACAATAACCATCAACTTCGAGAAAGCCCCGCGTCAAGACTCAAAAGTATTCACGCCGAGAGTTAAGGGGATGCACGAAGAGCGCGGGATCAACTATACACAGGAAGCTAGCATTTATAGCGATAGGTTGGATTTTAAGAGGGCGAAGGAGTTGAATGAGCAATGCCTGCTGCTCGGGTTCAAGTGTACGTCGTCAGCTTATTTCTGGTTGCGTTTCGTGGTCTAATCGCACGTGCATGTTCGTTTGGTATTGGGACTTGGCTGACGAACGAGGGCGATGGGTATGAGGAATAAAGCAAGTCGTTGAAAACATGATAGCCTGACACATCGCTCTCGTTCACAACGTGTTCAACTGCCTGTGTAGTTCGGGCCGGATATCCATCGTGAGATATACTTGGAATGAATTCATGATATTGATTGCGTCTCGCCGAGCCCTACCTGGCGGAGGAAGTGGTACCACTTGATAGGAAGTAAGATTTCGGGGTATACGACAAGCGTATTTCCTCCATTATAAATTTTCGGGGAAATTATAAGGGATTTACTGTGAACAAAATGAATTAAATTTAAATATGACGGGCGTTTATGGACAGAGGGTGACTCGGATGGAAGGAACGAGATGAGATCCACGCTGTAGCAACGTGGTTGGAGCAAACAATATATAAAGAGCCTACATGATTCGGGTTATGGGCAAACATCTCATTCTGCTCATAATATATAAGATCGACGACTTCACCAGAGTACGCTCCTCGTCAACTTTAAACGCTACTGACCGTCTATTTCCCTGTTTAGCGATATGTCAGGATTGCACGATATAGGATATCTTACTGTGGGGAAGCGCGCGACGCCGGCGCAGACAACCCAACCGACGCCAACACAAATGATGCGAGTGCACACAAAGGCAGTATCGGCAGTCGCGTTCTTCAAAGATAGTCGACGGATTGTCACTGCTTCCAAGGATAAAACCCTGCGAATCTGGGACGTGGAGAAAAGAGTATTGGTGGAAGGGCCATTTGAGGGACACAGTGACTGTGTGTATTCAGTCGCTATATCGCCAGACGATAGACGAATTGCGAGTGGTGGAGAAGATAAAGCCATGATCATCTGGGACGTCGATACCAAGCAGATGGTATTCAAACCACAGGAGAAGCGTAGAGGCTGGGTACGGTCGGTGTGTTTCTCCCCCGATGGAAAGAGACTCGCAAGCGGGTCACATGATGAAAGAGTTATTATATGGGATACGGAGACTGGCGCTGTCCTCAAGACTCGTCAGCGATAATTGGGTGTGTTGTGTCGCCTTCAGCCCAGATGGGCTGAAATTAGCATCCGGATCATTGTGTAGCATCCGGGTTTGGCATACCGATAACGCCGAGCTTCTGTTGGACATCAGCATCGACGCCCACCATTTAGTTAAAATTGTTGTGTGGACGCCCGACGGCCAGCAACTTGTCTCTGCATCAGACGACAAAACAATCAAGTTTTGGGACTCGTCGGATGGGACTCAGATCGGTCAACCTTGCACCGGTCACACTGACAAGATCTGCTCCCTGGCCATCTCTTCTGATGGCTGTTTCATTGCCACTGGCTCGTTCGATAAGACTGTGCGCCTGTGGAACACAAAGTCACACCAGCAAATAGGACAGGCACTCGAACACACCGCATGGGTCCTCTGCATCGCCATCTCTCCCAGTGGAGAATTGCTCGCGAGTGGAGATAATGCTGGGAATCTTCAGCTCTGGTCCATCGAGAACACACTTTCCACAGCATTTGGGATGGATTCGTCATATGATTTCTACTTTGCGCACCGCAGTAAGGTGAAGTTGGGCCAACAGCTCTATTCGGGGGCCCTTTCGGACGCGGACAAGGTGCAGACGATATCCGTCATTGATTTGACAAATCTGATGATGTTCGTAGGTCATTGAGCTCAACCCTTCGTATCATCTCGGGTACGAATTGAAGCATGCAGCGCTTCGTGGAGCACAGCGCTATGTTAGCCCACCTGAAGTAGAAGATGCTATTCGACAAGCCATTTACACTCAACTGGAAAACGCTCCACTTCGTCTAATCAACACCTCTTCTGGATGTTTGTGCAATCGAGATACGCAGATCAACGCACTCACGGAGAGTACAGAGCACAAAGAGCTTTTGCATTCATTGGTGATGCATGCGCCCCTCCAAACAGGACCCATCCAAGAAGCGGTTGCGAAATACTTCAGTTGGGTCATGTTGTCCCATAGGTGGGAGACCAAAGAGCCGCTACTGCACGACATTCAGGGCAGCGACATATACGACTTGGATCCGGTCGGAACCGTTGTGAAATTGCAGAAGTTCTGCAGAGTCGCTCGCAAAGCGGGGCATCATTGGGCGTGGAGCGATACATGCTGCATCGACCAGAACAACAATGTTGAGGTTCAGCAATCAATCAACTCCATGTTCATCTGGTATCACTACTCGGCACTCACCATTGTCTACCTATCGGATGCTCCTCCTTCGTCAGAATCTGGCGCGCTCGCACATAGCATTTGGAACACGCGAGGATGGACTGTCCAGGAGTTCCTCGCTTCTAAAATTGTTTTCTTCTACCAAGCGGATTGGACACTATACCTTGACGACCGTTCACGCAACCACAAGGAGTCTGTTGCTATCATGCAGGAGTTGGAGCTTTCTACTGGCATAAATGCGCGGGCGCTCGTCGCCTTCCGCCCGGGGATGAGAGATGCTCGAGAGAAACTTCGATGGGCATCAACACGTGTCACCACGTTGCAGGAAGACATCGCATATTCGCTGTTTGGTATCTTCGGCATCCACCTCCCTGTAATCTACGGAGAAAAAAGACAGAACGCGCTCGGACGTCTCTTACAGGAGATCATAGCTCATTCGGGCGACATCACGTCCCTTGATTGGGTTGGACAATCGTCCAACTTCAACAGTTGTCTCCCAGCCGAGATTTCCTCATACAAGGCTCCGCCATGCACGTTGCCATTTCTATCTGAAGACGACATGCAGAATTCGGTCTCCATGCTGCGAAACAATGTAGCTGTGGAGTCCGCTTTGAAACTGTATACCACTCTTAAGAACCTTGGCGTTCCTCATTTCGCAAACGCCAGACTGCAACTGCCCTGCATCGCATTTCTCCTCACAGAAGTCAGGCGGAGACCTGGTCAGGACGGGACTAGCTGTTTCACTTATGACGTCAAGGCAGACCGGCTGCAAGACCTGCTAGTCAGAACGGAAGATAAGCTAGTTCAATTCTCGCCTGCAAGACGTACTCGGCAGACATTCCTGCTCATTCGTCCGTGGACTCGTTATCTTCTCGAGCTGCCAGACTTCACAGAACTGCCAGACTTTGCCGAGCTGTCCGACTACTGATGATGAGAGTAGTGTGGAAGATTATTGGTCTGCGCCTGAGTCTCCATTATATGATTCGCCTCCTGAATCTCCTGGAGAACAGAGACCGGTTGATTCGGAATCAAGCGACCAGGCAGTTTCGACTGATCGTTCATCTCAGACAGCCCTTTAGTGCACTCTTGCTAGCGCAGCAGCGTGGTGGGGAGTATAAGAGAATCGCTACGGATAACAATATCATCGCACAAGTCAGGGACACGGTATCTGTTGATAACATGGACAGTCAAGACGCTGGAGATATTGTAGCAGCAAAGCACGGGACATTTTCATTTCATTCATTGACAACACTTCCCCATGAACAATATCCCTCGAATTTTGCATCGTATCGGTCTCGATATTGTATCATATATTGTCTCAAGCTAATCCCAGGATCAGACGTCCTAGGAAAGAGAAGAAAGTTCTGATGCGAACGCTTTTAGAAGTGCGTTGTTTGTCCATCTAGATGCTCATCCTCTCTTTCCGCTCGTTGAGGGCAAGAGCTTAAAGGGGTGCCCATGTTGGAAGCAGTATACGGTGCAACGGAAGAAGGAAAAGCGGTCGAATGCATGGGTTGACAGAATATTTGAATGAATAGTGTATAATTACTGAAATGTACAATTTTGCGTGAGACTTACTTTTGAAACAGGTTCTGTTGACGTCTCTCAACGTTAACCACGGTGTGGCCCGTTTACTTCACCCCATAACCCTCCCACCCATCCACCTTCATTCCTCTGGCGTCGAGCTCCTCAATACTGGTCTTCTTCGCAGCGACGGTCGCAGAACTTATGAAGTGTGAACAATATCCATCAACTTCGAAGTACAAGGAGCAGTAGGTTCAAATTCCGGCGTCGCCCACTTACATGGCCCCCCGCAAGTGTGAATTTCATTCCTCGGCCCGCACGAAGCAAAACCAGGAACAAGATGCGAAACATTCCACGATCGTGCAATACTAAACGTTGAAGTCTAGCTTGCCCCTTTTGGCGTCGGTGAACGAGGAAGAGACAGAGGCGACAAGTACTACACGCGCTTTATCGGGCATATAATGTCACTTAGACGCCTCCTCGAACTCGCAGCAACAATCAAAAGCACATTCGAACCCACTGTTCAAACCCATCTCTACACCCACAGCACAACCGACATCTTCACCCACGTCCTCCAGCTCGACGGTGGCCTCCTCCCCACGTGTATAAACGCCTCTGCCCTCGCCCTCACAACTGCATGGATTCCCCTCTTCTACTTTGTCTACGCTATCAGCGGAAGCGTGCATGGCACCCAACCTTACTGGATCTAACCACAGCCGAAGAGAACGACGTGGCGAGTGTTGTGGTGGGCGTGATGCCTCATACATGATGCGTGACCCTCGCCCAGATGGAGACTATGTTGCATATGGATCCCTTTGAGGAGGTATTCAAAGTCGCGTGCGATGCGGGCAAGGTGTTTTGGAGCAAGATAAGGGATGTGCTCAGGGAACGAACAGGGGACTGAGGCTGGACCCGAGGAGACGTAGGACCACTATAGCTAGCAGCTTCGGTTATGCACGAAGACTCCTGATCAGTACTGGTCCAGTAATTTGAAGCAGCACTCTTACTCCATCGATCATCATCATGACGAGCAACACCAGCGCCAGCGTCCCAAATGTCCACTCTGAATTCAAGGTCTTCGATCCTCGACACAGACTTGTACAAGGCATGTTTCGCAGTAACACCATCATTGTCACCTCAAACACTTCTCCTGCCATGTTGAAGCAGTTGCGCAGTTCGCGATGCAACAAACTATTTTCGAATGCTATCCCACTGCAGAAGTCGTTATCGATTCATGCACCGTGACAAGCACCGCCAGTTCTCTAGAGCATCTATCCAGAAGCACTGAACAGTTCGTATCTTTCCAACTATTCCATTCTCTATCCTGATTTAGTACATGCAGGCTTCGCCGATGTACATCTAACACAAAACGAACGCCCCGGGCTCCAAGATAAATGCAAGTATTTTAAGTCTGCGCACCTCAATTATCACAAGTCTTATTCAACCCCGATCAAATCATTATATGCCCTCTTCCCCTTACTTGTGACTTCATCGACGCGCACCTGTAGATTTCTGTCACCTTGCTCCCATCTTCTGATGACCCCGATGCAGCGTCAAGATCGAAGCGAGAGGCTCTTGGTTGGAGACAGTTTTATGGGAGGTCCCGCTCATGGCGTGTCTTTGTGAGATGTATTTTCGGTATGTAGATTGGATTGGGATTATACCGGTTAAGAAGGTGAGTCAACTCCTTTCTCGGTTCTTGATTCTTTCGTGCTATTGAGTATGGACATGTGCCGGCACAAGCTAGTCTCGTCACTAGCTGCCTTGTCTTGCGTGAGAGTTATGGTGGAATGTAGTGTTACCCACCACATCTCCTCGTCACTGCTGTATAAGGCAACTGGTCACGAGTCTAAGAACAAGCCACGCATAAAGTTACATCCCTTTTAGATGTGCAATGTACGCTCAGTGCATTCGAGACGTAGGCACAGGCAGTTGTTCGTCATGCAGGATTTGGTGGTCCCCTTTTTTGACGCAGATGCACAGGTCTACCGCGCTATGCGATACAACCTTAACGCAATAGGCACGAATCACGATCGCTCAATACGTTGCTGTTCCTTTTATCCACGTGACTTATAACTTGTGACTTCTAGTAAGTGGTTCATGGGTGCAAGTTCTAGATCTCCTCGATCTCCTTTGATAGATAGTAGCGTTGGCAGATTACAAAGACGCTGCTGCGACAGCTTTAGATCTCTGGTCAAACTTCTACGGAGACGGTCTTTCAGTCACACTTACGGATACATTCTCCACTGAGGCATCTCATCGGGTGCATATGTCGACGCAGCGTCTCTTATCCCGATCTTTATTTTGGATTTAAGAAGACGAAGGAGTTGTATGAGCAGTGTCAGCTGCTTGGGTTCAAGTGTACGTCGTCGCGTTGCTTGGTTGCCCGTGGTCTAATCGCACATGCAGGTTCATTTGGTGTTCGGACTTGGCTGACGAACGATTTTAAGAGGAGCAGTGGGTATGAGGAACAGAGCAAGACGCTGCATACAGTGGTTAAACTTGGATCGATCGATGGGAATGTGTATGTTAACATTAGTGATGAGATTACAGAGGTGAGAAATGTTAATAGCCTTTGTTACAGAATACGGCAGTTCCAGAAGTTGGGGCAAAGTTTAAAGAAATGTACCAGATATCGGTCTCGTAGACCTCGTCGATTGTGTGAGTGATGGTACTTTGTGAATGAGTGTTTGGATTGACAATGATCTCGTATTGCTTTGTCACTCCAAGGCATCCAAAGCTCAACGACGACGTGTCCTGATGGCCGTGTATTAGTATGAGTGTAATATTAAACCGTCCACGTCAAAAAAAAAACGTGACCGTGACGAGGATTGCTCTCTTGCACATCTACTGCAGAGCTGATAGGTAAGCCATCGATAGTTGGCAGCCCTGACCTCTAGGTCAGATGGGGGTATCAGAGGCATACCTACGGACAGCTTTAGCATTCAGATCGCGACCGTTATAAAAAACAGCTCGTATTGTCAGCGCTGCAGCACCGGAACCAGTGAAAAAAAGATCATTGAGGAAGTTTCTCGCACCAGTGCTGGAAAAGTATGTGATTGTGTTTACGAGGACAGCTTTTGAGATGCTCGAAACATGATAGCCAGGCGCATCGCTCCAGTCCACAGCATTTTCGACTACCTGTGTAATTCCGGACGTTCACTTGATAGGAACTAAGATTTCGGGGTATACGGCAAGCGTATTTCTTCCATTATAATTCTTCGGGGAAAGTATAGGGATATAATTAGTGCTGTGAACAGAATGAAGGAATTGAGCGTTTATGGATAGCCACTGATGGAAGGAGTGAAATGAGATCCATGCTGTAGCAGCGTGATATGGAACAAACAATAAGTATATAAAGAGCCTACATGAATTGGGTTATGGACAGAAATCCAGCTCTATTCACGATACATCAGATTGATGATAACAGTACAGAGCATGCTACTTGTCAACTTTAAACGCTACTGACCAGTCTATCTCCTTGCTTAGTGATGTCAGGATTGCGGAATGGAGCAAAAAAAGGACATCGTACGGTGAGAAGGCCGCCGACGCAGCCAGCGCCAACACAAACGATGCGAGTCCACACGAGCTCAGTGGTGGCAGTCGCGTTCTTCAAAGACGGTCGACGGGTCGTCACCGGTTCATGGGATCACACCCTGCAAATCTGGGACGTGGAGAAAAGAGCAGCGGTGGGAGGGCCATTGAAGGGACACAGTGACTGTGTGCATTCAGTTGCTGTATCGCCAGATGATAGGCGAATTGCGAGTGGTGGAAGAGATAATGTCATCATCATCAGGGATGTCGATAGCGGGCAGATGCTATTTGATCCACTGGTGAAGCATACAATTGGGTTTCGTCGGTGTGTTTCTCCCCTGATGGAAAGACACTCGCAAGCGGGTCATATGATGATACAGTTGTTATATGGGATGCGGAGACTGGCGTTGTCCTCTCAACACTCGATGGTGGGGGTGGGGTATTTTGTGTCACCTTCAGCCCGGATGGGCTAAAATTGGCATTCGGAACACACTGGAACATTTCGGTTTGGAGCACCGATGGTACCGAGCTTCTTCTCCGGACCGGCAGTAGTGCTCTTCGAGGCATTGTGTGGTCACCCAACGGCCAGCAACTTATCTCTGCATACAGCAAAACAATCAAGTTTTGGGACTCGTCAAATGGGACCCAGATCAGCTCAACCTTGTACCGGTCACTTTGACGATATCAACTCATTTGCCATCTCTTCTGATGGCTTCTTCATTGCCACTGCCTCGCGAGATAAGACTGTACGCCTGTGGTGCACAATGTCCCACAAGCGGATAGGACAGTTACTCACACACACCGCAGATGTTCGGTGTGTCGCAATTTCTTCCAGTGGAGAACAGCTCGCCAGTGGAGACTGGAATGGGAATCTTCAGCTCTGGTCCATCGAGAACATACTTTTCGCAGCATTCGGGATGGATTCCTCATATGACTTCTACTTTGTACACCGCAGTAAGGTGAAATTGGGCCAAAATCTCTATGAGGGGGCTTCTTTGAACGCGGACAAGGTGCGGACGATATCTGTCGTTATTTTAACATCTGTGATGATATTCGCAGGTCATTGAACTCAACCCTTCGTCTCATATTGGATACGAATTGAAGTATGAAGCGCTTCGTGGAGCACAGCGCTATGATGATGCATTTGAGGCTTTCACAGTCATGCTCTCCAAGTTGGATGACGCACCCGATCCAGGGATACGACGTAAGCCCCAAACAACTCGAGCGCGTAGTTGAAGATGACTTACATTTTTGCCAGAGCTACGCCAACAATACGTCAGTCCATCTGAAGTAGAAGATGCCTTTCAACGAGCCATTCACGCCCAACTGGAAAACGCTCCACTTCGTCTAATCAACACCTCTACTGGACGCTTGTGCAATCGAGATACGCAGATCAACACATTCACGGAGAGTACAGAGTACAAAGAACTTCTGCATTCGTTGGTGATGCATGCGCCCCTCCAAATGGAGGTCATTAAAGAAGCGGTCATCAAGCGCTTCAGTTGGGTCATGTTATCTCATAGGTGGGAAACCAAGGAACCGCTACTGCATGACATTCGGGGCAGGGATGTATACGACTTGGATCCGGTTGGAAATATTGTGGAGTTGCAGAAATTCTGAGTCGCTTGTGACGCGGGGTATCACTGGGCGTGGGTCGATACGTGCTGCATCGACCAGAACAACAATGTAGAACTCCAGCAATCAGTCAATTCCATGTTCGTCTGGTATCACTACTCAGCGCTCACCATCGTCTACCTATCGGATGTTCCTCCTTTGTCAGAGTCTGGCGCGCTCGCAAGCAGCATCTGGAACACGCGAGGATGGACCGTTCAGGAATTCCTCGCTCCTAAAATTGTTCTCTTCTACCAAGCAGATTGGACTCTATATCTCAACACACGCTCACGCAACCACAAGGAGTCGGTCAGTATCATGGGGGAGTTAGAGCGTTCAACTGGTATAAATGCGCGGGCGCTTGTCGACTTCCATCCAGGGACAAGGGATGCCCGAGAGAAACTTCGATGGGCGTCAAACCGTGACACCACGAGGGAGGAAGACATCGCCTACTCTTTGTTTGGTATCTTTGATGTCAACCTTCCTGTTATATACGAAGAGAAAAGACAAAAGGCGCTCGGACGACTCTTACAGGAGATCATAGCTCATTCGGGCGACATCACGTCCCTTGATTGGGTCGGACAATCGTCCAGCTTCAACAGTTGTCTTCCAGCTGCAAATTCCTCATACAAGGCTCTGTCATACACGCTACCATCTCTATCTGAATACGAGATGCAGATATCGGTTTCCATGCTGCGAAACAATATTGTGGCTGTGGAGTCGGCTTCAAAACTGTATACTACTCTTGAGAACCTCAGTGTTCCTCGTTTCGCAAACGCCAGACTGCAATTGCCTTGCATCGCATTTTCTCTCACAGAAGTCAAGCGAAGGGTCGGCACACCTTGCACTTATCACATAAAGGCTGACGGGCTCCAAGACCTGGAAATCACAACGGCGGACACGCTGATTCAATTCTGGCCTGGAAGGCCCACCTTGCAGAAATTCTTGCTCATTCGTCCATGGAATCGTCATGATCTCGGGCTGCCCGACTTCACAGACAAGATGCAGGGCGCGGACGATCGGCCTGAGCCTGGGTCTCCGTCAGATGATCCGCTCGACTTATCTCCCTCAGACAACGAACCGGCTGGTTCGCAGTCTCTTGTGCGAGAGTCAAGCTTGCTCGCTCGCCTCGGACAGCGTTTGGGCGCATTTTGGCTAGGGAAGCAGGATTCGCGGTCTCACACGCGAGAGTTGAGGTTGGTTGTTCGCCTTAGACAGCCTTTTAGCGCACTTTTACTAGCGCAGCAGCGGGGTGGAGAGTATAAGAGAATCGCTTCGGATAATGAGATCATCGCCCAAGTTAGAGATATCGCCTCTGCTGTTGATATGATGGACATTAGGACAGTGGAGATTTTGTAAATGCGAAGAACGGGAATCTCTGATGCATTTTCGTTTATACCTTGACAGCACCTGCATACAAAAATACCCGTAGAACTTTGCATCATGTAGTAATAATGAATAGTATCGTATCTGGCCATACAAAGACTCCCCTTTGGTCGGCTGTAAGAAGGAAAGGACTGTAAACAGTAAGGGAAACCGCTGCCACAGCAACACAGATAGCCTGGATGCGGAAGTTCGCAGAGCTGCCGGACAGGGCTGACGATGAGACTCGTAGTGTGGATTATCGGTCTGCGCCTGGGTCTCCAATATCATCGCTCAAGTTAGGATGCGACTTCTGTCGATGACAATATGATGAACGTCAGAACGCTAAGAATACTGCAGGAATCTGATGCATATTTATTCAGACTTAAGTACCTCCATGGAACAATACCCCAAAAATTGTGTTGCATCAAATTGTACTTATCACATACTGTCTAGTACTATCTCAATCTCAACCTATGGCAACGGAAAAGGAGAAAACACCGGCGCAAGCGCTTCCTAGAACTGCGCTCGTCTAGAGTCATGAATGTCGGATGCTCGGGAGAAATCTTGGTGGGTGTTTCTGTATTCTCTGCAAACCACAGTTCGAGGTTCTCAACAAAGAATCCCAATGATAATGGAGTCCCTTCGTTGAGAACCATAGCTGCGCAATGAGTCAAATTTCACAGGAGACGTCTTGACGAATATACTACTAAAGTTACACGACGCTGGGTAAAGGCACCTCGTCCATCCATCTCACCGATTCGTCATAGTTCGGCCACTGTAACGCACCATTAGCTGGACACTTAACGAAAGGCGCTTAACATACGTGACAGTTTTGCGTTCGGTTGTCGCCACCTCCGTCTTCGCACGGTTCAGAACTTTTTGGAACTCGGCTACTCTATGACGCATACGGGAGTGCATGTACGCCTTTGAGCACTTGATGTGGTAGTGCAGATAATCGCGGAATAGTTGTACGTGCGATATCGTATTGAACGAGATGTTGGCGTTCGCAAAGTGGCGAGGGAAGAGGACAAAGGTGACATAGCCGATGTCATCAGTGTTCCGTAGACCTGCAAGATCGCGAATTTCCAAGGGTGGGTCGCGGTTCGTGTAGAGCACTTGCGGGGCATTTTGAATACTGGGCTGCCGTCGTGCGTCTACGAATTCCTGGTTGCAACGTCAAGCATAATACGAGAAATCAGAAAGTATTCTTACCTGCAAGAATACCTTGCCAAAAATGCGATCGGTCTCCTCCCTGAAGACTGTCGAGAATATCACAGTGACACGGTCGGGCGATGCTTGAATGTAGATGGCTTCTTCATCGCGGTAGTGGATCTGCATTAACTGCCCCTGAGTACCACCTGATGCTTCCAACTCTTTCTGTTGCTTAAACGCGAGTTCGAATGGTGCCGCTAGAGCGTTCCGCTTGAATAACGAGATGGATTTCACGAATGCTTCCCTGCTTTCTACAGACACCAATTGAGTCAGACAAACACACAATGGAGCTGCACGCACCTTCATCGGCTGGAACCTGATCAATATCTATATCAAGACTGATGTTATATTCTGGCTCTGTCTGCTGTTTAATGAGTGGGCCATACTCCCGTTGCAGTATCTCCATTGCTCCGTATGCAACTAGCTCATCCCAGCATCGGATATTCATAGAAAGCTGAACCACTGTCTTCTTTTCTGGCGTTGATAGATGAAACCTCACGCCATCAAAATCTACAAACAAAACATCGAGAGACGACGGCCTGGACATCTCATTAGTGTGCGCAGCGTTAACCAATGACAATCTTACTTTGCGATCTTTTCCGCAAGCGTCGTCTGAATGATGAGATTGTGGGACTAGCAGCTGCATCAGAACACGCGCCCTCAAAGGAGATTTCCAACGTTGCTCACCTCGAGAAGGATCATGTTGTCGACGTCTGCTGCGGCGCACCGTGTTGGTCCGTGTGTTATCTATGTAGGACACAAGCGTGAGAAAGTCTTATGGTCGCAACCGCCGAATGATTTCCTTCTTGCTTTTTGCTACTTATCCAAGCTAGCAAGCGACAGATCATTCAGTGAAAAGTACTGCACAAGGTTTTCAATCATGGGTTAGTTTTTTCCTAATGTCAAATGGCTCAAAGCTCAAAGATGTGTAGCGCCTAAAAAATCAAAGGCATCAAAGATGTCTCTCAATGAATTTCTCGGCGATAGCAGTGCGTTGGTCGTTTTTCATGAAAAGTCGGTTATAATATGACGCGTAGCGCTGGGATCATGGGCGGATGAGATGGATTCTCTTCCGAGTGCTCGTACGTGCTTGTCTATTCTCATGAGGATTTAGCTTATCAGAATTCGCCTAGCGTCGATGAGAACGGATGATGACAGGTCTCGACCTGGCGATCGGTTTGGGAGAAGAGACGACTTTTCGTCGCGGCGTAAGTTCTCATTATGAGTCTCGTGATTCATATCGATTCATACTCTACGTAGCCGATCGATCGTTTGCGTCGCCTCGGGAAGATCTCCCCCTGCCCACCCAACCCCCTTACACTGCCTACGTCGCAAATCTCTCCTTTGACATCACCGAAGGCGAACTTGAAAGCTTCTTTGGTCCTCATGAGGTATGTATTCTGCGGCCTGATATACATGACGTAATGTCACTTTTGGTCAGACCAAATCCATCAAAATCATCAAGGACCGTGATGACAAACCGAAAGGCTTTGGATATGTCGAGTTTGTAGAGCTTGATGGATTAAAAGATGCACTGGCAAAGACCGGTAGTGTCAGTGAACGTGTCATCTGTTTTCTCTGTGCCGTGGTTGATTCTCTTCTAGAGCCTTTCTGGACGGACAGTCCGTACCAGCGTCGCCGAGCCTCGTGAGTTTTGAAGACACTCTTTCAAGGCTTTCAAGACTTAGCATTTCACAGCAAAGGAGAGGTCCGGATTCTCAGGGTCTAACTTTGACGATGACTCCAAGTTCTCTGGTAACTGGCGCCGTGAAGGCCCCCCACCTAACATGCAGGATTCACGCGATTCTTCCCGACGTCGATTTGATGGTCCTCCGGGAGATCGCATGCCACCTCCACCCAGTGTCTCAGACGAGGTCAGCCAGTGGAGGTCGAGTAAGCCTCTTGCAAAGATCCCTGAACCAGAAGCTCCGTCATTTAAGCGGAGAGGCTCAGGATTCTCCACGCCCGAAGGTCAATCGCCTGCAGACAGCGAGGATAAATGGGCCCTTGGGAGCAAGTTCAAGCCTTCGACAGAAGACCCGCCATCGAGATTTGGCAGTTTGAGAGGCAGTCATGATTCACAACACGCGAGAGACCCGCCCGCCGACGAGGGCGATTGGCGCGCTGGACGATCGAGAACATCGCGTAAGTATCATTTTCAGCACATTAAGGGTATGGGTTGAAACCTCGGATGATAGCAACCAGTTCCACACCCCCCACACCCCAGATGGGTCGTCGTAAGCTCGAGCTTCTCCCCCGTTCTTCCAACTCTGCCAGTCCCTCTCCCCTCTCTTCTCCGAAAATGGCTTCTAATCCCGGTGCCCCGCCCGCTCCCAAAGCGAATCCTTTCGGTGCAGCCAGGTCCGTATCTTTTGTGATATTCAACCTGTCAAGTGCTCAAGTTCTTTGCAGACCAGTTGATGTTACCTCAAAAGAACGCGAAATTACTGCCCGCGTTGAGAAGGACCGTGAAGCCTTGAAAGAACGCGTCCCACACCCAATGTCACGCAATTCCTCCCGTCAAGCAACTGAACGAAGTCCTATTACTGGTACACGGTCGCCGCCCCAAGTTATCGCTACGCCGCCTACCCCTGGATCTCCGCGCGTCTCTCATGCTACACCAACAACATCAGCAAACATTAGACCATCGATTAGCTTTGCCAACGCTGCTAGTGCGAAGAAGGATGCATTAAACGCCAAGGCCGAAGAGAAGGAAGAGTCGCCTGTGGACAAGGTTACTGAGCAGGTCGCAGAAGTAAGCGTGTAGTATATTGTGTTTATGACTTTTTATCTCCACACTTGCTCTGATTTCTATGACATTTTGTGATTTTGGGGTATTGCGGATGATGTTGATGAGCATAACAGACTATAGAATATAATATGATCAAGATTTTCTACCGTCGGTGGTGAAGTTCAGGGTCAATGAACTTCATTCGTCCTCGTCCTAGAACACTGCTTCAGCTTTTGACATGGGTGCAACCGAAGATGACCGACCTTTAAATCGCACACCTCCTTCGCTCGCAGGCGGTGTAGATTCATATTTGCGCTTGATCCGCTCCAGTTCCCTTCGCTTAGCCTCTTCTAACCGCTCCTGCTCTTCTCTTTCAAGTCTGGCATCATATTCCTCTTCGGTTTCTTGCCTGGGAACCTTCTCGTCTTCATTCTTGTGACCCTCGTCATCCGTTTTGGCATCCACTTTGCTTTCATGTTTTCGGCGCTTGGATTTTTTCTTCTTTTGAGTGCCACGATCATGGTCTGAACTTCGTGAGCGTGAGCGACTGCTGTGCCGTCTTCGACTAGGAACTTCTGCATTTAATTCTTCGCCTTGCAAGATATTAGTCACTTCATCAGAACTTCTGACGAGAAAAACGCACCTTGAGAAGCCTCTACCTTCCTCTTGAGTTCAAGTTCACCGCAGTTGACGATAACGATAGGGTGCTGAGGTCTATCCTTATCATCTACAGGAACCACAGCAAGTTTCTTGACGACTTCCTCGTATCCACGAATGACCCGGCCAAATACGACATGCTTGCCTATGAGCGTCTCACATTAAAGACGCATGTGGATTTTCTAGAACAAAGACTCACCATTTAAATGCGGACAATCTCGCAGGGTAACGAAGAACTGCGATCCATTTGTGTTAGGCCCCTTGTTGGCCATACAAAGAAGGCTGTACCGTGAGATTGGGAACATGAGTGAAGTATTGAGGTATTCGATGGTGAACCTACCCTTCTGATTCCAAAGGTCGCGTCAAGTCTTCGTCAGGGAAAGCACTGCCGTAGATGGATTCTCCCCCGGCGCCGTTTCGTTTCGTAAAGTCTGATAACCATGAATAACGCTTAAGAATGAAATGATAGAATGGCGCACCTCCACCCTGAATCATAAAATCACGAATTGAACGGTGAATGATGCTATTCTTGTAGTACAGAGGCCGTTCGGAAACGGCGGAAAGGCCTTTCTCGCCCGTACATAGCGCTCGAAAGCTATGAAGGTGGTCAGATCAGGGCAGCATACAATGTATGTTCATTTACTTTTCAGCTGTCTTCGGTGCTGTATCGCTGTAAAGTTCGAAAATGACTCTGGGATGAAGTGATAAGGCATTAAAACCAGTGCAATATAGGAGTATTAATTACCGCCCTGCAGGCTCAGTGCCTACTGCAAAGTCGAAGAAAACGCGAGGCCGCATGTATGGATCGAACTGAGTCCGGAATCCGTGGGTGGCAGGAGAGTGAAGTTATTCTGGCGCATCGCACGTGATCTGCCAGTCGTCGAGTTAGTCAATAGGACCGTATGGCTTGGCTGCACCAGGCTATGTACTTAATATACGAGTTTGATCAGATCCCTCTCCATCATGACACAGTCTCCGTACAGGGACATAACGCATCGGACACAATCAATAAGGGAAGTCACATCCACACATGAAATGGCAGACAGCATGATATTTATTTTCTACAGATTATTCCCTCGGTGTTGGGGACGGCGTATTAGTAGTGACCGTATCAAAGTTGGTTGATTTCCTTTCCAAGTATACTTAGCCGTTCCTCCGATTTCATGCTTTGCCTCCAAGACTGTCTGCTTCACTACAGGATGACAGTGCTGACACGTTTGACATGCCTGACCTGACAATAAGGTCTGCTTTCTCTAGATCTTCAACGTTAGATCACTAACAATGCCCGCGTGATGGGTTTTACCCGGTGCACGACTCGGATTAATGACACAAAACCAAAAATTCTCGGGTCTGGCAATTAGGCACAGTCGACGGATTGCCTTGAGGATAATATATGATAAATAATAAGAGGAAGCAAAGATCTTCAGGCAGGTTACTTCAATGTTAGACACAATACCCTCTCCTGATCCCGACCGCGGCTTCGGGAAAGGCTATGGCATTCAAATCGCGTTGTATGTTCTATTTGCATCTCTACCTCTTGCTCTACCTCCTGCGTGGTATATCGCTGACCTAACAACGAACAGATACCGTACATTACCAGGTCACGTCGAAGAGAAACAGACGACCTCCAAATCCTCGCCAGACCCAGCGGACATAATTGGAAGCATAGATGCCCATCTACTGAGTATTGACGAAGTGTATAACCGATATTCCAGTCATCCCACAGTCGGTTTGGAGCTTGCCGTTGTTCGTAGCAGGGAGCGTGATGGCAAATATATCATTAGTCATCCCCTACCGTCTACTGGAAGAAAACGCTTGATTATATTTTTGGTGGCTTCAATTTTCTGATGTGGATCTCGTTCATCTTGACTATCGTGAGTGCCGTTGTTTACCTGCAATCATAACTTTTCTAATATACATGCTAGCTCTCCTATAAACCACTCGGGCCTCCTGTACCTCTCACTCTTGGTATGCGTGTTGTGGTTCGTGACTTTCAACTCTAGTGCCTAATTTCCCCTTCTCATCAACTATAGATCCTCGTCATTGTCGTTTCTGCTACATTCTATGCTTTGATCGATTGAAACGCGAACAGAATCATGAAGTCAATAAAATCTCTAATTGCACATCAGGCTGTGGTCAATAGGGACGGAAACCAGCAAATAATCAAAGCTGCTGACATTGTGGTTGGTGATGTTGCTGTGCTCAACGCTGGCGATCGTGTCCCGGCCGACATGCGTGTCGTGCAGGCATCGTCCAACCTTCGCTTTGATCGCTCTCTCCTGACGGGTGAAAGGTCTGTTCCTTGGCCTACGTGTATGAATTTGGCTGAAGTCTAATTGCAGCAAAATGGTACCAGGGGCTCTTGATGCAACATGCGATAATGCTCTGGAGACTCGCAACCTCGCACTGACTTCCACTTTTGTTGTACAAGGGACTTGCCATGGAGTAGTGTTCGCCACGGGAGATAGGACTGTCATGGGACGCCTTATCAAGATGTCTGGAGAAACAAAATTCAAGCTTACCACTATCCAAAGAGAAGTGTGGTTTTTCACCAAAGTCATTTCATATGTCGCAATCTTTTTCTTCTGCTTATCGATTCTTCTATACGGCGTTTGGTTACGGACATCGTATCCTGGGTATGACACCTCGTCTTCTGCCATCGTAAATTCAATTGGCTGCTTAACTGCTTTCGTTCTCCAAGTAGGTAGCCAGCAGTGAATGCTTATATTCACTTCTTAGTTGACATCTTCCAGGGCCTCCCGAGTTGTGTGGCACTATCGTTGTCTGTTGTTGCCCGTCGCATGGCTAAACGTCAGGTGTTGGTCAAGAATCTGGCGACCATTAAGACGTTAGGATGCATGTCTGTGTTGTGTTCCGACAAGACAGGCACGTTAACTGCGGGAAAGATGGTAAGATAAATGATGCATCTGCTCTTGTTACCAGCTTGTTGATGGACCCATAGGTAGTAGGGAATATTGCCTTCCTCGATGACGTATTTGGTGTCGAAGAAATTAACGAGAGGGCTATGAAGGCATCAGACCCCACTGTATTTTCTGCGTTCAAGGCGCTTCATTAGATCGCGAGGCTTTGCAACGGCGCGAAATTCGACACAACGACTACCCACCTTCCTGTGCAGGATCGTACGATCAAGGGCAATCCGACTGATACTGCTCTTCTGCGTTCCTCCGAGGCCCTTTACTCATGGTGTTGCAGGGTGGAAGTTATGCGCAATTCATGGCGATCATCGCAAACGTATTACTAGGCATGCAGTTACCCTTGAACTCGTATCAACAAACCTGCTATTCCATCACCAACGATGTTATCATGTCCATCTCGTTAATGTATGAGAAGCCGGAGTGGGGTGGGTGCTCACGCATTCATGAGCTTTCCAGTGCTCACTTCCTGTTGTAGACTTGATGCAGCGCAAACCACGCAACGCCAGGACCGATAGGCTTACGGGTTGGCGCTTTTTTTTCATATCTACTTGGTATGTTTCATGACCTGGGTGACCAAAACATGCGCATGTATACTTGCACAGTTCTATGGACTGATGTTGTGGCCCTGCGCGATGGCGATGTGGTTCTTGTACATGAAACAGCAGGGCCTCAGTTTTTATAAGGTTATCTTGACTTTCAACCAATGGGAAGATGGCTGGCAGGATTACACACTCGCTCAACTAACCCAGTTTGTCGATGTTGGTCAAGGCATTTAGTATGTCGTGATTCTTTCCTCTCGCAATGCTGATCTTAAGAGTCACTAGCTATGTGACGGTGGCCATCGGACAGTGCGGGACTCTTCTAGCAGTTTCCAACCGCCGAGTATCGATACTGCATTCGAATCCTCTATGGGGCCCGCGTCGTAATCTGCTGGTACTTGTCGGCATGACGGGCACGATATTGATCTGCATCGCGAACCTCTATGGAGCTGGCTTCCAGCGGGTATTTGGCACGACGCCCATCCCTGGGATGTTCTGGGGTCTTCCATTTACCTTTGCTTTGGGGATCTTGCTCATGGACGAAACTCGCAAAGCCATTGTGAGGAAATACCCAAAGGTATGTTTTGAGTTATACGACCGTACTGGAACGTGAATTCACACTTTTCTATAGTCTTTCATTGCGTGGCTGGCATGGTGAACTTGAAATTACATTAAGTTGGAATTTCTTTGTCAGTACTGCTTGGTGTAAATCATTCAATGCGCAAATGTTGTCCACTCCCGATCCATTTTCAGCAGGAATGTTATGCAGATTGTAATGGCGCTCGGCCGTGCCAGTCCCGACACCTAGTTATGACAATTAATCGTAGACACAAGAAATTCTGACGGTGAAACTAGTCCAGTATACTGCACGTGACACGTCATTGATTGAAAGGCTCTTTTATTCGTTTATGTAACTCTTTCATTACATAAACTTTAAAGTCCTACTTATATGAAGTTCGATACATAAGTATGCTTCTTTCAACTTGAAGTTTCGAAAGCAAAAGCCACTTAATATTCCATCCTGCAGGCTGCATCTTGCCATCTGTAATATATCATATATTGCCTGTCTACCTTGCATCATGACTCTGGGAGACTTTTCTGCTTGTATATTCATCGATGACCAGGAGCTCCCAGAGTATGATGTCGTCGTTTCTAGTACGCCAACTGAGAACAGAATAACGTGCTGGATCGCGTCAGCCGAAGGCAAGGTGCGCTATTCATAAAATGAACAGGGAAAGACCCTTAGTACCTTCATAAGAAATTTGGAGTCAGGACGAAGGTCTTAGCTAAACAGACCTCGGGAATTATAACAACCGTCTTTGTTGACGGTATTAGGTGTCGTTCGCATGTTGGGCCTCCGGGCTACGTTGGTACATCGGACCGCACGACTCTGAGCAATGGTTTTGTCAGAAGAGATTTCGTGTTCTCTAAACTTGAGCTTACTGGTTAGTATAGTGAAAGTTCCTGAAGCCTACTTCCAAGTTCTTATGCTGAACTTCAGATGACGACTCAATGCTCGATGATCGAACCTCAAGTGACATAGGTCAAATTGTGATGGAGATAGCACTGGGGAAGTACACCATGAAGGGACAAGTAGTGGGTTCCCAGAATGTGATTGATCACACTCTTCGTGTGCCGGAAGGCAAAGTGCATGAACGCTCCAAGAAGGCATGCTCTCATCGTGTTACGTACGTAAAATTCTATCGCACACCTCACTTTTTGTGACTGTCATTTCTGCTAAGCTTCGGAGAAGAAGCACCCGATCATGAACCAGCAGCAGCCTTCACCGTCATACGAGACAACAGTCCGAAGACTGTCTTCGTATTCAAGTACACACGCTTGGGTGGGCCATGGTGTTTTCTATGCGCATTGACCACTTATGCCCATTACCGACCCCAGACATCCTGCAAGCAATGGGAGTAGCACCATATACACCAATCACAGCAGAGACAGAGACAGAGGATCATAATGATGAAAATGAAGTCATGGATGGGCCTAACGAGTCCTCGCCCTCAGATGATGTCAAGCCACTGGCAAGGATTCGAGAGCTAGAGGTAATTTTTTTGCTTTGGTGATATCTTTCCCTCCGGCTCATCCTCTTCTTACAGATGGAGCTCCAGCGCTTACGTGCACAAGTAGAGGATCGGAAGCCCTCACTTGTCAAGTTGGAACATGGGGGATCGCGACGGAAACATGCCGTCATGGAGATTATTGATCTCACTGATGATTAGCTTCTCTGTCTTTCTTCGGGTTGAGGCTTATATGCTACCGCTCCAAGGTAAGCAACCCAGATTCCCAGTGTAATGGACATTTGCATGCAATTTCCAGGAACTCGATCATTTGCAAGATACATGCATAGTTTCTGTGTGGCTCGAAATCATTATTGTGGATACGTATGTATGTACATTGCATTTGTACAGAACTTCTTAAAAGTCTGTCGCCACCAGTCCTGACGTTACGCTTATAATACTTTCTTAGTAAATAACTGTACTGTTGGTACACCTTTTTCTACAACCTCTCTAAATATTTCGAGTCGTAGACTTCGTATAATTATAGTTCGCATCCCAAGGCTTCAGAAGTTCAATATCAGTGAGCTCAGAATTACTACTTACAAGCGAGCTTTCATCACTTTCTTTTCCCCGTAGCAGCGATACTACGTCCGTGCTCCTCGGAGGCTTCTCTGCCTGACCGGCGCTCTGATTGATGGAACGAGTTCAGAGCTCGCGACCGGAGATTTGGTGTCACAGCCTCTCCTTTAGGACAGGAGGCGGCTATGCCGGATTGCATCTGAGGAAGGAAAGGTTTTTTGAATTCACAACTTGCGTTCCGCGGCATAAGGAGTCCAGCGTCGTCGCTGCGCTCAAGTGTTTCGGCCGGTTGGCACCGGGGCATTCTGAAATGCACACATAATGATAATACTCGTGATGCGGCACTAGCACTCGCGATTTCATATCTTCTTGTTTCATCTCGAACCGCCGGGTACTACTTGCTGACTTGATATTGTTCCGCCGCCAACCGGTATCTCGGCTTTCATGATGCTGAGCGGTATTCAGATATGATGACAGCTACCTACTGCCGTTGAATGGTCATGCGGAAATTCGTCTGATCATCGTATATTCCATGAACAAACGAACAAATGGGACATTCAAGTAGTGTCTCGTGTGAGTAGCAGTCATAATTTTGGGATTTAACTCATTTATCATAATTGCAGCTTCGGAGACGAAGTTAAGAGACCTCCGACTGCTAATTCATCTTGGCTCCATCGGTAAGCATGTCTCCTATTTCTGTACTGAACGCAATGAATGGTCTGCAAGTCAATTGTATATTTAGCACCACCCCCTACGGCTATTGGCTGGAAGCCTCCTGCCTATGGGGTGAACCGGAAGCCGGTTGTTTCGCGGGACTGCTAGAGAAGATCCCGGATCCCGAAGAAATAATTCACCTGATTTGCCATCACCTAACGATTGTAGAATGAGCTGAAACACCTGCGATACAAAGAAGTACTCGGAATCGAAAGCCCAGCGAATCAAGTTAGAAGGACCATCCTCGTGAGCAGGGATATTTTCTGCCACCGAGGCTACCGGCGGCAGGTGCTTATTTTGTCGTCAAACACGAGTCATTCCGCGTTTTAGGTGTGATGTCCCATACCTATACCCCGGTCCGGATCCTTCTTTCGCGAAATATGTGCCTTTAATCCGTGTTCCGCGCGATTGGCAGTCCACGCCGTGTGCCTGTTTGTACCGCCTGCAAGGTCAGTATCACATCGCATGACAGCACTCGTGGTTAAAATTGAAACATCACATAAAGATATTCACTCGTACATCAATTCTCCTAGTGACTTCCTGATGTTCTCTGAAGTGGCAAAGTGGCGTGTAACTCTTGACAAAGGGGGCGAGAGGAGTAGTGGAGACAGCGTTCTTTCGTGCGTTCATTCGGCTCATCTGTCACAAAGCGAACGGAGATATATGAATGTCACATATCCTCCAGAAATTTAGAGTTTAACCAGCGTGTTGTTTGGAGTTGACTGGAAGTAGTGACACATTGCATGATAGAGATGGATTGCGTTGAGTATCGGCCGCCTTCCCGGATCTATGTAGATCAACTCCTCGGAATTTATTGACATGAAGGAGTACTAGTGCGTATGTGACTGTGATTGCACGCAGAGACACCTCGTGTGTTTGGTCCATAATCCGTTGCCAGCCTGTTGAAGAAGAAAGCACAAGACCGCTGGACATTCAGGGTGGTCCGGCGATGTGAAATATCAACTCCTATGTGCTGTTCCTCACGTGTCATCAATTTGAGACGTGCATTGTGACTATCCTGGGTGAGATCGCTGAAATGGCAAGTTAGCACATTGTGACATACTTTTGTGAATGGTCCACTCAAATGAAAAGCCGTTTCGTAGCTCCAAGATGTGAATCGCAAGTAAGTATGGTCCGGACAGCTAGTAGTATGTGTTTGCAAGTGCTAGCACCAGGCCATAAGGAACATCGTTCTGCTGCTGTGAAGAACGTTCAAGAATTTTCCTCAACAAACCAACAAGTTGGCATCACATGACACGAACGCGTTCCTTGCGGTCGCTGAGTTTTAAATTTAATTGGTCAAGTGAAAGCACGCGTTACTCTTTGCACGCCTTCTTGTACCTGGCTAAGCGCGTGTACATCGATTGAAAGCTACCCACCATCATTTCTCCTTTCCTCTAATGCTATCCTACGGGACACTACGAGCATGCATCAGGGTTGATGGACAAGCTTTGGAGACCTATGGAATTGAGACGTTTCCAGAAGAAAATAAAGTGACCTGTTGGATTGCTTCGGAAGCAGGAAAGGTGTGTGCTTGGTGAATTCCGTACATGAGGCGACCTCCAACGCCGCCTCCTGTCGCTCCTGCAGACGTTCTCTATAGTGTGGCAAGATATCAACCATGCACGTCAGTATCACCAAACAGGAGATGTGACACTCGATGGCGTACATGGAGGGGGTCAATTAATGCGTGCTTTAAGATTCAATGAGCCACCGACGTATCAGAGGTGTACTGCGGAATTCAAATACGTCAGCACTTCGATGAATTCCATTCGCCCGCTTACCTTCTCGAGGCTTCAGCTGACGGGTCAGTTTCATCTGGTGTAAATCATCAGACTCCGTAAATGTGCTCACATACTTATAGATGAAGATCAACACCTGAATTCTGCACATGCCGAGCTCGGAGAAATTTCCTTGGCCATCTGGCCTGTGAATGTGATTGGCATGGGCTATCAAAGAAAGTTAGTCTCTGCTGAGGGAACGATGGTCCACGAACGTTCAAAGAAGGCATCAAGTCACTGTGTGGGGTGCGTAGTTTTGCTCCATCTCATCACACAAGTCACAAACGATCTCAGGTTCGGAGAGGAGATCCGCGTTCCACCACAGCAGGTAATTAACGTGGCCCGCGTTGGGATAATCCCCACGGCTACATTTGTTTTCAGGTACAGACCATTTGGTTCGTATGCACAACACAGTCGGTAATTATACACGATGCTCATATATCCTTACTAGATCGACTGGTGGCAGATGGTATTGCCCCGCCACCTATGCAACCTTCACGGGGAACCAAGCGTGAAGCTCCTGTGGACGTGCTAGAGCCGGAAGATCACAATGATGCCACAGGCTTAGATATAGACGATGAAGCTTTGCGTGAGCTTAATGCGCTGAAAGTTAGATCTTTTCTTGCGGTATGCTTATGGAAGTGCTGACACCTCTCTACGAAGGCACAGGTGAGAAGGCTTGAGGAAAGAATATCCACTACCCGCAGTGGCAAAAGGGTAAAAATAGAGTCCAGTGGCACCATGCGGAGTCAGTGAGACATTGAGAAGTGCCACTACCTTATGCAGGTGAATTTCGAATCTCTCTCCGATAGCCTAATCGCTGAAAGCACGAGCGCATGCGAAGTAATTCCGACTCACTTCTTTCTTTTGGACGCTCACTTTGTTACATTCACATGCATGAGAAAACGCGTGTCGAGGTTTGACTGTCTTCCGCTCCAGTCATATCCCCGCCCCACACACCGTAACGAAGTTTCGAGCATCGGACAGCGTTGCATCCTTACTCATTTCCGTATCCATATGCCAATTAATTGGTGTCAAATCTGCATCCCTTCGTCATGCTTCAATCATATTTCAATCTTGTACAATCGGCTGTGGTTCGTTTTCTTGATAGGTACGTTCTGGCAGGATACTCGAGCTCTCGTTGACCAACCCCTGGCTAGCAGTTTAATTGCATACATTGATCATTCTCCCCGTTAATCCTCGATCGATTTTAATGGCCTACGATCACGGTCCGCCTTGTCCGATCACCGCCTCCACCTTTCAGATAAGCTTGATTTACTCTACATACCGCCACTCAATCAAGGTGTCTTGATGTACCACCGATGAACTCTCCTACTTTTCTACACCTAGGTATTCATGCTGGACGTGATTCTAGTTAGCTAGAAATGATAACGGCCTTTGCGCTATTTGACTTTGCTTGATCACAGCCCCGGCGCTCAGTGTCCCTCGGAAATGAGGCAAACGTTATTTCTTAAGGAAATGGACTTCCATGTGCAAGGGGAAGGTGGGCTAGGCTGTGCACCTTGTGTTTTTACTGATGTGGTCTAGTCTGGTCTGGTCTCCAGGCGCATCCAGGGACCGCTCACTGGACTATACGTGAAACGTCCGGCGTCCAACTTGCCAGCCTTGAGGTTGGCGTTAATTTTGTACGTACCTCTGATTGCTTCTATACCGAAGCTCCACATAGGATAAACTTGTGGAGCGCACGAGGGACTTTCCTGTGCAAGGAATTTCCATGAATTGTAGTCTGTGCGGCCTTAAAATGTCACAAAATAGCGTAAGTGCCTCGTGGGTCGTGGCACCAATGACTATAAAGTGCACACAATTCCTTCCTGTATAACGAAATATCCCCTGTATCTCATCGGAGTCACGTCATGAGCACAATGACTGTAAGCATAACGCTCCAATCTTCTGTGCCTCATGTTCACGGTTTGCTCACCAACCCCATGCAGCAACGCACCAATGACAAGCCACCGGGACCTATCCGTCGTAGATTGAGGCTTCTTGAGAAAGCTGTGCAATTTTTATCGCGCCTAGACGGTCGAGGGCCTCACCCGATACACGAGGTGTCCCTAAACACTTCATTCCATTCACTTCCGTTAAGTCAGGTAAGGAGTGGCGATGAGTATAAAAGCCCATGTCTAATGCTTTATCTTCGCCAGGAACAAAGCCCTTCCATCCATTCAACACTTGATTTCCATTCAATACTTGATTTTCACTCAACCCTTGAAATGCCTGACGAGCAACTCGCCCTCATCATCCCAGCTAAGCAAACGACGTTTGCTGTCGCTAGCCGCAAAATACCTAAGCCAGGTCCTGGCGAAGTCCTCGTCAAACTTCAGGCTACTGCGCTCAACCCTCTCGATGCGAAGGTCCACAGAGATGGCACATTCGTCGATAGCTATCCCGCAGTGCTAGGCACCGATGGTGCTGGCATCGTTGAAGAAATCGGAGAAGGCGTTACAAAATTCGATCTAGGGGAAAGAATGTATGTGGTTTCACTTCTACCGCGGCAATAGTGCAAGATTGATCGTTACTTCGGGACCTAGATTCTTCCATGGTGCCTTCGACGATAACGATTTGGCAACCTTCCAGCAGTTTTGTGTAGTCACGACTGACTTCGCAGCTAAGGCAAGTTAATCCCGGCGATCGGTAGCTGAGACTCATGTTGATCGATATTACTCAGGTCCCGAGAAGCTTATCGCTTGACCAGGCGAGTACTATTGCATGCGGACTTGGCACAGCCGCGATCGGGATGTACGGTACCACCAATGGTATCGGTCTTATTCCGCCTTGGGACCGCGGTGGATGGTCCAAGTACAAAGGTTGGCCCATCTTGATCCTCGGTGGTGCTGGTTCTGTGGGCAACTACGGTAAGCTTTGCAGCTCATCTCCACGGCAAAGTCATCTTACTAAGGCATCATTGCTACTAGTTATCCAACTTGCGAAGCTGTCGGGCTTCTCACCTATCATTACCACTGCCTCGCTAAAGCACACGGAACATCTCAAGAGTCTCGGAGCAAACCATGTCATAGACAGATATCTTCCACTACCAGCACTAAAACAGGCCGTGATGAAAATCACGGGCTCTCGCATACATATCATGTACGATTCGATATCCACGGCAGAGACACAGCAGGCTGCTTGGTCGTTGCTTGCGCCCGGGGGAAAGCTTGCCGTCACACAGCCACCCTTGATCAGCAGAGACAGCTATGACAGCAGGCAGGTGGTTCCTGTAGACGGAAGCCCGCAATCAGATGAGAACTGGGAAACGGGGAAGAGGCTGTGGGCTCATCTTGAGAGATGGGTCGAAGACGGTCATATACAAGTATGTATCAATCAGACCTTACCTCTAGGTATCTTCTAACATCAGTCTCAGCCAAACAACGTTGATCTATTACCTGGCGGGCTGCGTGCAATACCAGAAGCACTCGAGAGATTCAACGCTGGGAAGGTAGACGGGGTGAAAATGGTAGTTCGGCCGCAAGAAACTTGAAAATTTTGCACGGTAGATAGCATGGACCATCCATATATGATCATTATTTTATCTAGATACCCTTCATTTCTTTGTCAATATGAATTGCTTCTTGCATGCGTCAGCATTTGAAATGGTCGGGTTGTATAAAAGAAATGAGACCCCTATGTAGAGTAGCTTTCAATCATCACCGCACTTTCATCTTCGCAACTATGTCCGACATAAAGCAGCAAAAAGCACTCTTCCTTCAATCTAAGCACGGCCAATTCGCTGTTGGTCAGCACAGCATCCCGAAACCCGGGAAGGACGAACTCTTGATCCAGGTTTTTTCTGCAGCCCTTAATCCTGTCGACTACAAAGTTCAGGAGCTTGGGGTTTACGCCGAAAACTACCCAGCAATACTTGGTGAGGATATTGCTGGGATCGTCAAAGAAGTAGGAGAAGGTGTTCACCACTTCGCGAAGGGGGACAGGGTGTGAGCGTTATTAGCCCCTGAGTTGTGCCTGGGTTTAACTCATTCGCCGTAGATTCTCCCATGGCCAGTTTACAAACCATGCATCTGCTTTCCAACAGTTCACACTCAGCGACGCGGATTTCACTGCGGAGGCATGTTTCTTACGAAGGATTTACATTGGCATTGACAGCATATAGATCCCGGATAATTTGGGATATGATGAGGCAGCCACTATTCCATTGGCCTTCGACACTGCTTCGACAGGCCTGTATAATAGTAACAAGTACGGGTTAGGCCTCACGCCGCCTTGGGAACAAAGCGGCATTAGCATGTACTCGGGGACTCCGATCGTCATTCTTGGTGGATCGTCAGCTGTCGGGTCATTTGGTAAGTTGCAAGTAACTGCGACTGTCAATAAAAGTATCATCCTAACCTCTTTCTTTCAGCCATTCAGCTGGCTCGCCTCTCTGGGTTTTCTCCTATTATTACGACTGCATCGGACGCCCATAAAGCGAACCTAATGTCGCTTGGGGCTACCCACGTGTTCTCCAGGCACTTTTCTGCTGACGAGCTCAAGACTCGTGTTAGCGCTTGTACAAGCGACCCGATCAAGTATGTGTTTGATGCCATCTCTCTCCCTGACACACAGCAGATTGGATGGTCGCTCCTCAGTCAGAAAGGACGCCTACTTTTGACACTTCCGGTGTCAGTCGAAGAAAAAGAAGGAAAAGAACGCGTAGCTATCAGGACGTTCGGAAGCCCACATGCGGATGAAAATAAACCGCTTTGCAAGGGCTTGTGGGCCACTCTTCCGGAGTGGCTTGAGGCAGAGACCATCAAGGTGAGGTATCCAGTGTACCTCAGTCTCACTGCCACTGACCTACTTTCTGTATAGCCCCTTAATTACGAAATTCTTCCTAATGGTCTTGAAGGAATCATCGAGGGGTTGGAGCGAATGAAGAAAGGGCAAGTGAGCGGGAAAAAGCTGGTTGCTCACCCGCAAGATACAAAGTGAGGCTATTGCCGCGTTGACGAGGAAAGTGTCATTCACCTGTGAACGAGATTTTCGTCTGGTTTGTTGAAGCATCGATCACTGTATTTTTAAAGGCAATGTAACTTATTACTATGTATTAGTAAAGTATTTCAAGAAGAAACCTGTGATTAAGATTCCATTCGAGCATTACATTAGCCAGGCGAGCAATGATTCATTATCATTGGCACTTTGATTTAGTAGCGTCTTGCAGTGGGATTCGAAAACTGGTAGAAGCATGCGGCAGGGTGGACAAGACAATTACCTAATCATATTATGCATAGATCGCAGCGTTTACATAATTTTTTTCTACTCGGTGTTTGCGAGTCCGAGTCAACTACTTCTTTCCTCTAGACTAAACTCAACTATGATCAAAGCTTAATCGACTCGTTTATGGATTCTGAAGCACAAGCCAGGCTGGTCTATAGTCTGCTTTCCTACCACTGGGTTAGTGACCTCCTCTTACTGCAATGGTCTGGACTCTGGACGTAATGACTGGCTGGTTGGGGCCTCGTGTCAATTGCTTCTATCAGCCAGCCAATGGAACAATTTGTAGTCTTTAACTTTAAGTCTTGTGTATTCTGTGGCTTGCGAACGAATTCCTCAGCTGATCATGCCAGAACCTTTTGAGATTCTCCGCATCTCAGAAATTCTCGCAGTTATCCTTGATGGATTACAAGACGACAGGAAGTCGTTGTACCATATGTCTTGCTGTTGTCGTGCATTTACAGATCCTGCCCTCGATATCCTCTGGAGATCTATGCACTCCTTTGCACCATTCACATTGTTGATTCCACAAAGCGCGTCATTTGTGAATGTAAGTGACTCGCCTCACGTCTGCCGCTGAAGCTAATTCTCGTCATATCTGCAGGACGCCCGGACGAGTGACCGCGATCTCCTGAAGTATCGCTGCAATCCATTGGACGACTGGAAAACGTTTGACAAATACGCTGCACGAGTCTGGAGTTTGCGCATAGGAGAACACAATAATGATAGCGCAGATCTCATAAAAAATCGGGATTGCTATACACGCCTCACAGTCATTCGCGGACAGGAAGAGTTTCATCCTTTCCCAAAATTACGAAGTCTGGACTATGTTCTCTCTGGGCCAATTTCTCCGCAAGCGAAGCCATTTCCCCCCTCCCTGCGATCTCTTACCCTCGTATGTCACAATACACTTGATTGTGACCCCATTGAATTGGCACTTGACCGCGCTGTTACTGAGGCGCCGCATCTGAAGGAACTGCGCATTATCGGTCTGATGCGGACAATGAGAACGCTGCACTTAACACCCCAACTTCAATTTGGGCAGATCGGGAGCGTCGATCTAAGCAAAGCCTATATTCGTGCCCCCGAGCTCGCAGCTCTTTGCACGCTGTTGTCCCAGGCACCTGTTTCAGACCTCAAAATCCACCTCCAAGATCGCTTGAACATGAATTGGCAAGCCATTCCTCCACTGTTCCCTGCATTGAAGCAGTTGGATGTTCGGGGATCAATGTTTTCCGTCATCCTCTTCATGACACGCCTTGCAGCAACAAATCTACATACGCTGGTGTTTCAGCCAGACGGACAACCTTCTGGTGTCGCAACCTTCTTCGATTACCTCATACCTATCATCGTTGAGAAGCTCGGAAAGTCGCTGAAATCATTTGATCTTCATATCAATGAACCTAGGCCTCGTGCCCGGGATAGCGAGCTCATCAAGAGTATTTTGCAGGGGCTTGAACCTCTTGTGGAGGCAGGCTTGCAATCACTGCGCTTGTTTTTGCAAGTAGAGTCCACGATGTCAATGCAATTTCCTCCGGAAGTGCAGTCCATGCTTGAGCCCTGCGCTTGGCCTTCTTTGAAACGATTTCATTTTGCGACAAAGGCGACCACGTGGGAATAGTAGTACATCGGAAAAGCAGGTCTCTTCCTTGGTATAAGAGATCGTTCGAGTTATACACTAGCGCGGGTAGTTTTTGATCCCTATATCCAAATACTTATGGTTTGCTGTTTAACTCTTGGTATGGCTGCTATAGCCCTTAAGCTTTAAGTACTACACAATTACGTCAACATTGAAGTCTCCGTGTACACCTTTCAAATCCAGACATCACCTTGCCTCGGCTGCATGCTCTGCGTCTAGGACGTAGAACAGCGGTACCTACATTCAATTCTCGATGAGCTTTATTATGGATTTACTCTTGTTGGCAACTAGCTGGGCTCATGTTCTTTTGGCGCCATACACGAAAGTCGAAGAAAGTTTCAACTTGCATGCAACCCATGACGTTCTTATGTATGGAGTTGGGAGGGATAATCTGTACAAGGTGTGGAACTTTCTCATCCTAAGTCTTTGTATCTGATCTGTGGCGAAGTTTGATCATAACATCTTTCCAGGCGCTGTACCACGGACATTCATAGGAAGCATTCTACTTGCGTGGCTCACTTCACCTGTCGCCTACATAGCAAGTCAGTGGGGCCTGCTAAGCACAAAACTCGATCTTCAGATAGCAGGTTTGATTCTATATAAACACTTGGGTCACAGCGTCTTGAACTCTCTGATAGTGCGTTTGGTTCTTGCTACGCTGAATGCAACAGGCTTCATGTTGATACGACGTGCCGTATGTAGACGATTTGGTCGTCCGACTGGCCTCATGTATGTCCTCCTGACATGTTCGCAATTCCATCTGCCGTTTTGGATGGGGCGGACATTACCGAACATGTTTGCGTTGTTCCCTGGTGAGCGATTTGTCTGCGACACGAGTTTCTGCTTAACGAAGGACGAACACAAGTTAACCTTGGATTTTACGCGTTGTACGACAGAGCTCCACAGTCCCAGTATCCTACAAGAAGGAGTGTCGATGTTGCATTTGCTTTACTAACGTTCACTGCCGTTGTGTTCCGTTCGGAAGTCGCGCTATTACTAGCTCCTCTTGCTATCCAAGCGCTTCTTCTCCGGCATATCAGTTTTATGAGATTGATTAGAGTTGGCTTTCTGTCTGCTGTGTTGTCCATTGGTGCGTATTGTTCTTTGTACGCTGAAACGTCTGCAACTGTTGAGCGACTAGCTTTGACCGTCACCATCGACTCATACCTATGGAACCAGTGGCCGCTGTGGCCTGAACTGTATGGCATATATTTCAACGTATATCAAGGCAAGAGTTCTGATTGGGGCGTAAGTTGTTATTTTCTTTTTCTTTCATGTCTCTCACCCATTATGCAGACATCTCCTGTGCATGCGTATTTCCTTTCACACCTTCCAAAGCTTCTTCTGGGATCCTTGCCATTGGCTGTGCTCGGAGCTATGTTGGATAATCGTGTCCGGGCCCTAATGTATCCCCCAGTACTCTCTATTGCTCTCCTCAGCTGTTTGGGCCACAAAGAATGGCGCTTCATCATTTACGTTGTTCCTTTCTTTAATGTCGCCGCCGCTCGGGGTGCCCGGTGGATGTAAGTACTCATATTTTCTACTTCATTTCATTGGAGGCATACTCAACTTTTCAACAGGGTAATCCGAAGGAAAGGTGGTCTTTTCGGAAGAATAACGTTTCTCGCAGCTATGGGCATTCTTGCTCTGAATTGTGTCATCACTATCGTATCGACGCGGGCGTCGATGGCAAACTACCCTGGTGGTTCTGCACTCGCAATATTCAACGATCAATATGCAGACCAGCATGCTGGTATGAGCCATGGTGAATGAGCTTCTGGGTCTAGCTGACAACACCATCGCAGCGCAAGTTCACATATCTAACCTCGCAGCCCAGACTGGGGCCTCGCTCTTCCTCCAGAGTCATTCACCACCTTACATCCCATCCATTACCGCACCAGCAACAAATGATTGGGTCTACAACAAGACGGAAAGTCTGTCCCCGCGCGATCTTACAGCGTCGACACCTTTCACTCATGTCATTGCCGAATCTTCGGCAGAGTTCGTCAAGACTGGACGATGGAAGTTGGTGGACAGCGTTCAAGGGTTCTCAAGATGGAAGTTGAATCTCCCGCGAGGCGGCATCGCCAAGGTTCTGGAAGTTCCCCTTCATCAGTGGTTAAGCGTGTTGGAGATGGAGACAAATAACCAGCTTTATATATTAGAGAGAGCTAAGCAAGATGATACTTGTCAAAATTGACCCTATGTAGAAATTCGTCGACTAGAAACTTGATGAGCGATGAACGATTTTCATTATTGATAGCGCTACTGATGTAGTACTACATATAGTAAGATGAATCAGAAGCTTGGGATATATGTAAATGGCTCAGCGTCATTGGCGGCTGGGGGTCTTCGAACTCGAATGCTTCAAAGTTCACAAGCTGTGTGCAAGCTGTCTTGTCCAGCTACCACTAATCGTGTGGTCATACCAAGGCTCAGGCTATATACTAAGTTGATCTGCCATGGACGGCGCACCTACCGACACTACTCACCTGGATTGGGGCAACGTCGGCCTCGGCTTCTCCTTCATTCTTTTCAATGGCCTCATTTCTACATCGCTACAACTTGGAGTAGGATCGTCACTACTCTCTGCGGCCATACGTTGTGTAGTGCAGTTGGGGCTAGTCGCGCTGGTGTTGCAGAAGGTGTTCGAGACGAATAATCCATGGGCAGTTGGCAGTATTGCATGTGAGCGTTTTCCGCGTTCACTTGAGATAGCCGGACACTAGAACTATGGTATCCAGGTTTGTTGAATTTACTAGGGACTATCGAGGCAGGTGCGTCCGAAGCAATTCTTACTGTTGTCTCGGTTTCTGACGCGGAGAAGTTGTGAACAAGTCTAAAAAGCGCTACAATCATATGGTGAGTTCTATGACGGATGTATTTATCATTCTATTCTGAACAGTTGCACAGTTCTCCTCTGTACTGTTTGGTATGCTGTGCTCGACGATACCTGTCTCCATCATCGGCATCCGCTTCGCCATGGCCGTAGACCCCTTCTGGAAGCCCGAACAATATAGTATGTCATGATCTCTTTGTGTGAGATCAGTGGTATTGATTTGTAATCACAAGTTCCGATTGTTGGCATGTTATGTGGAGGCACGATCTCGGGAATCGTTGTTTCCGTGTCTTATGTACTCCGGGAAATATAGTAAGTCGCGCCACTAATGTATTTGAAGATTAGATATTGACCAACACCCTTGCAGCGACAATCGCGACAAAGTAGAAATGTACCTCGCATTTGGAGCATCACGTTTTGAAGCATGCAGACCTGTCGCACGAGAAGCTCTTCGTCTTGCGCTAACTCCAACGATCAATCAAATGAGGTTCGTACCATCCAAAATACAAGCTATTTCTAATTCAGTGTTTACCCTTGACAATAGCGTGATCGGAATCATTGCTATTCCAGGCATGATGACCGGTAAGAATTTACGCCACGACGTAGGCGGATGGTTGCGCTGATCAAGGGTTTCAGGTGCCATACTTGGTGGCTCTTCGGTTCAGCAGGCAGCTCGGCTCCAGATGGTTATCATGTTTATGATTTCCGCCTCCACAGCACTTGCATCGATTATCACCACTATCACAACGCTTGCTGTCGTCGTCGATAGCGAGGATCGCCTCCGCCCGGACCGCGTCGATGTGCGCGAGCATCCGGTCTGGCGTGCGAGGAATTGGCTCTTCAGCCGAGCAGTGGACGGGGTGAAACGCACCGTGCAGAGCTGTCGTGGGCTCAGACGCGAGGATAGACAGAATGGGGCTGCGGATACGGAAAGGTTGCTGGGCTGATGCTCATCTTGTTCTATCAAAAAAAAAACGCTTTCTTGCCAACCGCGCGAAGTTCACCCTCCTTATTCAGATCTTATCGTGTATGGGCAATGGTTTTATATCCCAATTCTGGAAGTCCATACATAAACGTAGTACGCAGATGTTGTAACCATGTAACGTCGAAAGGTGTATAGCTTAACTCGGTTGTATTAATCATGTTGAGCTGACTCGGACCTGATTTATCTTGCAATTATGCTTGTCTCTTATCTCAAATTTCGTCCTCATTTTTGTTGACATAACGCCATGTATGCACGCGTTGAGAACAATTGCCTGATCTTGGAACCGGATTGCATATCTGTGTTGTGGGCGGTCATCAATGAGGGCAAGGGCATGCACAGGAAGAACGATGCAAATGCCCAGGCTTGATTTCGATTAAGACTTGATCAGGGGTGTCCCTCGAAATGCATATCTACCGACAGATGAGAATGGAATCTTAGATCAAAGGCTTATGGTTTGAATATTGCCAATGCAATGGGCATATAATCTCGGAGTCTGAAGTTCGTATCAATTGATAGGGAGTTGCGGCACCCTGATTACTTCCATGCTTGCCAAGGTCATCTAGAAACTTCAATCCCATTGCGGACGAGAGTCGAGACCTGTAATGTGATTATCCATCATTACGTTTCAGGAAGACAGTCCTCGAAAACGTGGGGATAACGACAGAACGTAAAGGCATGGATAGATCTCGATACACCAGTGGTATAGAGTGATGTGATGACATGAGCCTCGTAGACGCCGTTTCATAGACCCATCAGTCGCGTTTCGCCATCTGGCAAAGCGAGATAGAACACAGGTGAACCCAGCACAGATGACAAGGGGTGCCAGTGTCAAAGGCACCGAGATCACACATCTATGAGACACGCTGAATAAAGCGAAGAGTAACCTCGAATGCCACGAGCCAGCTCAATGGGGCTGCTCTGGGGCATTCGGATAGAGCGGAAAAAACTCTAGTCCAAGGTTCAATTTCACTGAACCGCAAAGTGGAAGTCGTCTTTCGTGCGTGGACTGCGGTGCGTTAAATGCATTGATACTAAGAGAAGCTTGGTCTTAGGGGCAAATGCGAAGACGGGACATTAGAATCTAAATGAATGTGAAAAGGCGCACATAAGCGTTCGCCGGCGGAGGCACCTAGATTAGACTAGTCTGAGCATGAGCATGAATGAGCAGTTGAAAAAGAGACACAGACGAGACTCATCTATAGCGCTCCGCCGTCAAGAAATTCGCCTGCCGAGATCGGTAGTACTCAAGTAAGCGAAGGGCACAAGAAGGGCATGGAAGCAAGCAGGCAGTGAGATATCAGCAACCTTAGCCGGGACGTGATGTTCAGCAACAATGATGGTCCTTTTAGAGATACCATAAACCATGGGATCAGAAAAAGAGAAGCTTGAGAATGAAGCACTCCATACATTCTTCCCTGTTTCCACGAAAATTTGGGAGCAGGAAAAGCTTCTAGCGCATATCCGTGAATCTATAGCAATTTGGCGCTCGGTGTTCATTGAAGATATCTATTCGATACTCCTCTAGAAGTTTCTCAGACAGGAGTTATTTGAGCTTCATGCTGTAAGATGCTATGTACGAACAGGCTGTTTAATTGAAAAGCGCGCTGCTTGTGAGAGTCGAATACCTCCGAGTTAAGCATGGTTCTGAACGGCGGAGCAGAACTGGATGTGCCTTCGGGTCGCTCGCCAGTTCATGAGTCGTTCTGACGTGCTTCTCCTGTCTGAAGTGGGTATTAGTAGGAACAATAGATGCGCTGCAAAGGACAGCCGAGTAAAAAGTCAGACGCGTGTGCGAGTCGTAAGGTTCTATCGATGCGGAGAGAAATAAGAAACGCTGCAGCAATATTGATCATTTTATGTAAGATATAGACACTGATTTCTACGTAAGACTATGTACGCACGTATCACACATCGAGAAAAACTTATCCGTGACTAGAATTTATGCCATCCTCGTTCTAACTTACCACACATGCATTCACTGGGGAGGGTACTATCATTCGCACCAAAATTGATAAAAAAAAAATAGACATTAGAAATAAAAACACTTCATGAAACATCCACGGCGAGGTCCATAATCCATCGGCCAACAGAAAACTAGCAAAGGTATGAGAGGCGATGACACAAGGCAACATCTATGACAAAATCTGAAGATTGATTAGTCAAGTCTACCTGTAACAGTGGACGTTTCACATACAGCCAGAAGAACAACTGCAACGACGATGACGAGAATGATCATGAGACATGCTGCACGTTGCCCCGCTTTACGTTGGTACTCGGAAGCAGTCGAAAGCTCCTCGGCTGCCCCTTGGGTATCTACAGCGATGGAATACACATTTGATTCGATGTTATCTGCGAAAAAGGAAGGAAAAGAACAGGAGGCGCAAGTGAGTCAGTCATTATAACGGAAGTTATGTCACATACCAATCATGCCGCCTTGTTGGTTGACAAGTGTCCCAAGGTCACGGAATATCTCCGATAATTCATGTATACCGGACTCGATCTCTTGAATTTCCGCTTCTCGTTCTTGAATCAAAGACTCTTGGTACGCGAGTTCGTGCGGAGAAAGCTGGGACTGAAGAAGTTGAGCCTGACGTAGTCGGGGAGACGCGCTTGGCTCTCGTTGGCGCGATCTGTGGGGACATGAGGCAATAGCACCTTCATAAGGGGAGAGTAACGCACGTATCATCATAGTGCTCGTCTTCTACTGCTATTTTCACCCCTTCCACCACTGTTCTCTGGCGCTCTGCGCTAAATTGTTGTGCTCTTTGAAATGCCACCAAAGACAGCTGCAAGTCATGTGATATTTTCTGAACTGAGGTCTTGTGTTGAGGCTGGTGTGTCCGATTAGTTGAGAAAAAGATTAGTGTGGGATATCAATTTACGCTTGCCGTAGCTGTTGAAGCAATCTTCTTCAAGTCCTCAGAGCCTCGCTTGGCCATAGCCCTCGTCGTTTCGGTGAGGTCATGTCTGTGTCCATAATGTATTAGTAACTAGGTTGGTAACTAACAAGTAATACGTACAGTGACTTCCTGAGCGTGGCAGAGTCCTTTGTGGTGCCAAGTTGGTCGACGAGCTTGAGAATACCCTGAACATTCGAATTTATCTTGAACACTTGGAGTGAAAGTGACGATTGCAAGGAAAGAAACGCAGACTCTTCACGCGGCTGAAGCGCTGTCGAACTTGACTGTCCCGTACGTGCAGAGCCAGTTTCAATGTCCTGGAAGCTCATGATGACACACGAGAGAGCTGAAGGAGGACAATAGTGCAATATTTAGCTTTCAAGGTGTGGTCCTCACGCTGCCCACGAGCACAGTTACCCAAAGGGGTCCAACCAAAAAGCCGCTTACAAATCACATCTATGATAGATTTCTCACGATTTCCAATAGCTCGAACTGAAAATAAATCATACGGTTGAGATTCGACAGCAGGCTGCGGTATTACAGTACTTGCAGTGCACCTCACAGCATACGTGTATATGTATCACTAATAGTACTAGCCGTAGCTTGTATATACATACTTTTATTATGTAATCCGAGGAGAGTAATTATCATCACATTTGTTGCACAGCCACTGGCACTCCTTCAAGTTATGCTCCCCCTGTGTTGACGACAACGATTACGACGGGTTAGCCATTTTTCTTAGCTCCATACAAACACCTCACGCCTTGTTGCGATTAGAGCTCAGATGCCAAATGAATTGAGTCACTGCACACACTCCGTCCAACACCGGCGCCTAAGGACTGGTAATAAGTGTTTCATGGAGATTCGGGAAGTTGAGGGAATAATGTTAAATTACAATTATACCGCGCATGATCTTATTTCCGCATACACTGATTCATCGTCCTTTGATGTAAAGCATCAATTATCAGGTGCGTTGCCGATATAAGAGAATTCCAGGTGCTTTCCATAAACCAGAGACCACATCTACAAGTCTCGCTTGTCTGCACTTTCACTGTTTTGTCAAGAATGACCATCGACCACGCGATCCATGACCTTGGACTCTCTCCAGGTGTAAGTACCTACGCTATCGTAATGCATCGCACGCCTTCACGAATCATCTCCTGTTAATCATAGTCAACAGATTGTCGTACGTCTGATTCTCATTATTCACCGTCTCAACATCTGATATACCATTCTATTTCAAGTTTGTGACTATCGCGAGCTTCACGGTCCTGTGTTGGGATCACATAATCACCTTCGCGGATGAGGTGTGTCTCATGATTATTTTACCTCAACAGCGTGAATGAAGTTAATTCAGGTAGCTTTGATCTGGTGTAAACCCAAAGGGTTTCGTGAGTATAGATCACCTTCTGACATCTTCGTCCGCTCACTTCACTACGAATTCATTCTAGTTGGGTGTCTATTTCTGCTGGTACGTGAACCTGCATCTGACGTTTCTGAAAATAAAATTTACTTTAAATTCAAGAATCGATATATCACACCTCTGGGGTTTGTCGTCAACATTGTTGGTAAGCTCTCTTCTCGTATTATAGGTTACTATTCGTTGAAATATATTGTCAGCATTGACCCTCCCAACTTGGTCTACAGAGGTAGGTAACCGCTTTCTACAGTATCTCAAAATCTAATTACATGTATTATCTTAGAGGTAGGTAACTTCGATCTAAAATGACTGGCATTAAACCGCTGTTCAGCTGCAGAAATTTTGTGAGATACGAAGGGGCGATGGCGATCATTGGTGTCAGTGTAGCGCAACTGATAATGCTGTCACGGTGAGTCACTTCAAGGAATGGTGGTTGGTGCGCCTGACAACTTTTTAGGATTCATGTTTTGTATCCAGGGAACAGAGTTGCTATTACGATACCGGGTCTCCTCTTTTTAGTCTGGGTTGCACTTGAGGCGTATGCCATGGCTTGCGGTGAAAGTGAGCACACCTGTTATATGTGCAGACGATAGTGATATCATACCATTATAGTGGTTTCCATTACTCAACAAGTATACTGTGAGCACTGCTACTCGATGTAGTAATTTCTTGCTGATTGCTCTGTTAGCCTGCCGTGAGGTTCATGACTTGTCATTGTACGACTTCTCGTCCTGTTAGTTTGTCAATCACTCACAATATCAGGATACTCTCTGCTGCTCGGGCATGGATGCCTTTGACATACGACTCAGCCCTCTTTGCCATGATCCTATGGCGCACCTTGCCTACTGTCTGGAGTAAAGGAGCAGGGCGAATCTTGCCCAAACTGCTGATCGATGGTACATTGTACTATACGTGTGTATATTTCTCCATTCAAGTCAATTACTCAACCTGTTAATTGAGTAGTGTCATTTGCTCTGCCAACCTAGTACTGACTGTGATGATCTTACGAGCACCCCCGGGTCAGAAAGGTATTGCTGCTCAGTAAGTCCACTGTCTTTTTGCCCGTGGCTACAATAATTCATACCTGTTCACCAGATTGGTGTACTTGTGAGACTCTCAGTTAATCATTCTGCTGCCATACTGAATAGCCCTGTGATCTTGTTATTAGGTTGACAGTAAGTCAACGGACAGGCAAAAATTATACTCGATTAACATTTTCTTTTATTGTACTTAGGTTGTGATGACGTCGCGCGCCACACTACGTCTTAAAAAGCAAATGTGCCCAACGGTAACTTGTACCTCCAGTGACCAACACCGACATTATTCTATGCACTCTCCTACTCTGTCGAAGTCTGCAGCCTCACTTGTACCCTGGCAAACACCAAATATGCGGCTTCAATCACAATGCTTGCCAGTTGTCTCATGCGCCCCTGTGCCATCCATCCCAATAGACACCGACGATACCCAATCTTTAGAAGATGGACTACCAATTTATGCTGATGTAGAGTCGCAGTGATACTATGAGCATGTTTTGTCTCGATAATATTACCGGATGTGACACGTTTCTGTCCTGCGTGCTCAGGAAGCATTTGTCGTTCTTACAGCAGTCAGCTGGACAACCCGTGATAGCATCAGCCAGAACAGTACATTTGTTCCGCGCCTGTCGTTTTTCTTTTCACGAGTGGCAAGAACGTACACTTTATCGTCATGGCCGCTTTGCGAACCTGTTTTAACCAACATCTTGGATGACCGAACGCCAATTCACATCTTGTTGTGGGTGCAAACGCAGCTACATCATGTTCTCGTCTATCACAAATCTGTCAAGGTATATAACTGACATGCGCAGGATTCATAGCAAAGTAATCGCTCTAGAATGAACATGAGAACCGTGCTCTCTGCCTCTGTCGTCAGGCTAAAGGTGGTGGGTATAAGTCGAGGACTTGAGGGGGGGGGGGGGGGGGAACAGAATGGGGGCGTAGTGGAGGGAGATTGTCTTCGGGCAGTGTGCTTGGAAGTGTTGAAGTTGTGTGAGCTACATGTTTGCTTGTACCACGTCAATAAATTGTGCTTTTTATGTCATGAAAGACACATACATCCACGACGATCGGAGTGAACCCAATGCTTCATTCTGTAGAGTGAATCTGTGCTCAGGCTGTGAATTCAGTTCACGTACGTTTGGCGTGCTTGACTCAGATAATCACTGCCTCCGGCTTTGTCACTTCAGCGCGGGATGATGTATTGCAAGCCAACGGAAGACCCTAAAGGACAATAAATTTGAATTAAAAAAAAGCCAACGGAAGCATATCAGGGGCGATGTGCACATCTATTGTCCAAATTGGCCAACAATGGGCATTTTGTGCTACCACAATCAACGCCCCCTGACCCAGCCTCTTTAATCAAGTACTCACGGTGCATCAACAGCGGATCAATTACCACTACAATAGGCACTCGGAGTGTTGCGTGGTGAATGACGCGGCCCCCCTCGTTCCCATCCACATCCTTTGCGAAGATAGGGGACAAGTTCCCCAGACGCCACACATCATTATTAATCCAACTACGCACCGGACATGTCTCCCCGAACAAATACCTTCATCGCATCTCGAAACCCCCTCCCCGCTATGCCCATCCTGCCAAGAACGCGCAGAATCAGTCCACCATTATCTTTTAGCCTGCCCAACGTACACGAGGCAGCGGAACGTCATGCGAGCTGAACTCGGACCCAAAGCACAGCAGCTGAAGTACCTCCTGAACGACGAGAAAAGCATCAAATCCGTGTTCAAGTTCATCGTACGCACCCGCCGCTTTATCAATGTTTTCGGAGATGTCTCCTCCCTAGCACAAGAGAATGATCGCGGAGACAGAGTCGGTTAATCAGAAAGCCACTCGCATCCATACCACGCCTTAAAACGGCGCCTATCGTCCTCGCGCAAGCTTCGACCAATATTAGAGTCACATAGAAACCACCGCACATAGCACAAGAGATTAGTATGCATACAATAGGTACTGTCCACCATAGGGCCCCGCCCCACCGGACAATAAACAACGATTCAAAAAAAATTGATGCAGCCAACTCAGCGTAGCCAAATCTGAATCCCTCCCCAGCTACCCAGGAGAGCATGGAGAGGTATGAGGAGCTCGCGGTGGTGTCACTAGCGTCAATTCACGGAGAAAACTTCCATGATGCTCTCTTGGTGTCACAACACAAGTGGTGGTAGACCAAAATCATAATGAAGTTGAATGTCTTAATTCCAATCGAACGTGTCAACAAAGCCCTAGAACCTGTCGGATCTGGGACCGAGTTGCACGTTTGGTTCGAATTAGCACTCCTAGAAGCTACTCCAGCTGTCCCACACCGCCGCGCTTGATAGAGAGGTAGTAAAGCGGGCTGTTTGTAGGAGTTGAAATGAATTATTGTGACCAGAACTAGATCCAATGATCCATTGGTAAGTTGTCGGTTGTTCCATCATGTTTCCACCTGTTGAGGTTGAGAGGTATTCTGCAAGAGAGAGAGAGAGTTGACAAGGAACGCACATATCGTATTTGATATCGCGGAAGATACAGCATCCATGAAACCAAAAATGGTCACGTATTACTTAGACTGCAACGATATCATATATGCCTTCAGGTTTGTGGAACAGGTAAGCAGGACAAAATGAAAACCAGCACGCGTCGTTGTACCAATTCTAGTCAGTTGATAATAAGCTGCTGACCCTTGTCCAATACCGAGACCTGCAAAGACGCGAATTCGAGTGTCGTTCCAGCGACTGTATCGTAAACGTGGCAATATTAATGGCACTAGATGAAGGCGACTTGGGAATATTGTTTGGTCATATTTTCTCTGAGGCTTACAACTAGCAAACTCTATTTCTTGTATCAACACGTTAGGCAGGCTAGTACACTTCAAGACTGTCAAGACCGTCAAGATCAACGACAATGGCCTCAAGACCCACCGTTACCGTCCAATCCGTCTCCGGAGGTCTGTACTCATCGTTGAGCTCGCTGACCGTCCATACTAAAATTCATCTCATGTAGAGGCTTCGACCTCCCTTCCCCTTCCTGCCGTCCTCACAGCTCCCATCAGGCTTGATGTAGTCGCCCAGGTTCACAGTGCGTAACAAGTATTTGCATTTGAACAGAAGTATGACATTATCTCAGAGAGCATGGCTAAGAACAGGCGTCAGGCTTACGCCGTCAGCGAGAAGGCCGGGCACCAGACTTCAGCTGAGTCCTGGGGTACTGGTCGCGCTGTTGCGCGTATTCCTCGTGTCGGTGGTGGTGGTACCCACCGCTCTGGTCAGGTGCGTGGACAGCAATCCGATTTCTGATCTTGCATCATTGACAATGTATCCTCAGGCTGCCTTTGGAAACATGTGTCGTGGTGGTCGCATGTTCGCCCCCACCAAGACTTGGCGCAAATGGCACGTCAAGGTCAACCAAAATCAGCGCCGCTTCGCTACCGTCTCCGCACTCGCAGCTTCCTGCGCTCCCATCCCTTGTCCTCGCCCGCGGTCACCGTATCGAGCAAATCGCCGAGGTTCCTCTTGTCGTTGAGAACGCAGCTGAGTCCTTCAAGAAAACCAAGGAGGCCATAGCTCTCCTCCAGGCTCTGAATGCATACACGGATGTTACCAAGGTCTCCAACTCGCGCAAACTCCGTGCAGGAAAGGGCAAGATGCGCAACCGCCGCTACCGTCAACGTCGTGGCCCTCTTGTCGTTTTCAAGGAGGATAACGGCATCGTCCAGGCCTTCCGTAACTTGCCTGGTGTCGAACTCGTCAACGTCCAGAGGTTGAACCTTCTTCAACTCGCTCCTGGTGGACACATTGGTCGCTTCGTCATCTGGACAGAGGGCGCCTTCGGCCTCCTTGATGAGGTGTTCGGCACCTTCGACAAAGCCTCCTCGTACAAGAAGGACTACCTGTACGTCCTGTATGCAGTGCCTCATTATTCGACTGACTGTTGTGTATAGCCTTCCCACCGCTAAGATCTCCAACCCTGACGTGACTCGTCTCATCAACAGCACTGAGATTCAATCTGTTGTCCGCCCCGCAGGTCCCAGGGTCCAGAAGCGCCCATGGACACAGAAGAAGAACCCTCTCGTCAACAAGGGCGTCCTGTTCCGTATGAACCCTTACGCCAAGACCCTCCGCAGACAAGAGTTGCGTATGTATCTTATCTATCTTTCCTGCATTCAAATTGATGACTCATGCATCACGTTGGTGTGTTATAGTCAAGCAGGAGCGTGTCAAGGCACAAAAAGACAAGAGGGGAAAGAAGGCCAAGGGCTCCTCTGCTGGAGAGGCTTTCCTCAACACGTTGTTCGCTCCTTGAGTGTGTTAAAGTTATGGTTACCTACATCTACGTCGATTGTCCTCGCATGCCCTTATGCATTCATGCCACACAAAAATTGTCAATCATGGAGACTCTTTGTCAGTATTTCTGATCAATTTCAGATGTCGTTCCACTCCATTCCCATTTGGTCAACAAGTACGTCCAATAGAGTTATGGTTCAGCCAAATCTTCTGTCAAAGTGGACGTGTTATCAGACGGTTCAGCCTGATAATACCCAATAGTTTTTCCACCCTCGAACAGTACTTACCCTGCAGGAGCGTGGAACTTACGTCCTTGATAAATTTCAAACAGGTACAAGACCCGATTCAATTGTAAAATGATGAGTACCATGTCGTCTTGAGTTTACTTGCGACCCTTTTGCGAACACGTGTGCCTGTTATTTCTAAGCCGGCGCGAGTTCTTTAATTGGCGTGGGACTTGGAAAACAAAATTGTAACTTCAGCCACTACAGCATGTACTACCACACGGTCATACGCATCGATACCCTGCGATACATCGATGATAAGCATGGAAGTCCCTTTTGACTTGTGCAGAGCTTTTCACATCTGAGCAGGACGACAAACGAAATTGTCAAATTCATCCGACGGGTGCTTCATTTTTGCATCTATTTTCACATTGTCGAAATCCAGAACATGATGGATTGTGAAGTTCGCCGTCATGATAATCGCTTTTGTTGCGATGCGCGGGATTCTCTATTTCGAGCTTCTGGCAGTACAGCTCGTCTCGAGAGGTGCCATCATTGTAATTGGCACTGCCTCACGTGAGGACGCGTATCAGTAACCCCTTGAAATTCATAAGTATCCTACGACCCTTCATCACTTCTTCAGCCATGTCAACCCAAGTGTTGACTGACTATGTTATCAGCGAGACTGCAATTATTCACTCTACAGACCTCGCCTTCGCCTCAGCGGCTCTGATTGTCTACGACCATGTAATAACGTTTGACCAGGAGGTCAGTGTCATGTTCCTAATACTAGGACGGGAGATTACTGATCGACAACACATGCAGGTGGATCTGTTTTGGACCGGTCGACGAGATGCAACAAAATTCCTCTATCTCAGCGTGAAATACATCCCACTCCACAGTACAACACCTCCCTGATTGTTCATCTGCAGATACGATATTTGGGATTAATTCAAGCATTGTGAGCACCAAATGTCTAACTAGTCTGATCGCTCCTCATCATCTTTCAGTATTTCAGTGTACCGTAAGGAAGGTTCTTATGGCAAAGGTGATCTCTGATTTCATGTCACCTCAGTGCACTTTCTTGTCTCCAAACCTATCGTAAGTGATCATTGATGAGATACTTTTATGTGCCAAGTCGCTCAGATAACTCGCAGATGTGAGCCTCGCCAGCTTCCGTCGTCCAAGGCTCCACACTCACTAATAATCAAGCTTCAAGATATTGCTTGTTGGGAATGCCGCGTTGATAACTCTAGGTGCGGCGCTGTGTCAAGGTACGCAGCTTGAAATCTGTTGGTGCATCTATCAATAACCTCCAAAGCTGTCATCGCTCTCCGTGTTTGGTACCTTTTTACGAGGAACAGGCAAATACAAATATTTGCTGCGTCGCTATACATCGTGTGCATAGGCTCGACCATGGTGTTAACTGGCTCTCTCTTCGATCAAATTTTTCAGGAGATGTTGCATCCGAGTTTTACCAAGAGCCCGACGATTCTCGCCCTTGTGTATGCGCCTGGCTTTGTAGACCATAGCGTGCTTTTTGCCCTCAAAGTATATAGGTATATGACGAGCGACCGATTTCAGAGACGCTCCTCGCTTCTAGAAGGTTTTTTAAAAGAGTATGCTTTGAATGTAGCTACTCGTACCAAATACTTACTATATGCATTCTCAGGGGATTGATCATGTATGCATGCGCAACGGGTAAGCATTCAAGTCTCATATCGACTTTCACACCTGTCACGCTATAGCTCAGGCACGCTACTGTACACAATCATCGCTCTTTCATTGACCGACCTTTCGCAACTAGATGTGTGTAGTGTCAATGCGTATCTTGCTCTGCTCAGCAACTTATGACTCTCCAGGTTTACTTCACAGGTCTAGAGGGCGGGTGGGTCGCTCTCATGGCTCATTGATGGATGAAATCATGAAACCAATTATTTACGCAGCCTCGTCGTCGGTGCAACCCTTGTCTCCGTCTGCCACGCGTTACTCAGCATTCGATCTTTGTCTGCGACGCTTCACGTAGATCCGGCGTGGCTCCTCAACCACGCAGAACTCAGTCGTGTCCAATGGACCAAGGGAAACAGCGAAGGCGAGATTTTTGTCGAGCTAGACCGTTCCGGCGCCACGGAACTCCCCATGACGAATATTTCTCACACACTGGCTCCAGATGCAGTATCTTCGAGTGGCAGCAACTTCGATGATCTAGGCACTCCCACGAAGAGCTACAATAGATTATAGGTGAGACTCGTAGCTATGTTTTGGCCATTGATGTGACTAATTCAACTTTGGATCGGTGATGAACTTGCTGTTCCAGCTATACGCTTTTAGTATACATTGCTGCACTGCATCGATACCTTGATGAAAATAGGGTTTAGCGGATGTGCGCTGATCCAGTGATTTGCGCATTACTCTATTATACGCCAGATAGAAGTCATTATAGGAGAGAGTAAGGCAAGTTCCATGCACTATCTACTCCTAACGGAGATGCGACGAATCGGAGGAGATCCAATGTTGTTAATGCTGTGTCTCAGCTGATGACGGGAGTGGCAAAAATGCAGCATGACAGCACCTAGACATATTTGGAATCTTAACGCCGTATACCTTGATGAAAGATGCATGCCAAACACGGTTGGACGCTATAATTATTTGAATGCTTCTCCTTTTCGAGCATAGGCTGACGTGTGATAAGAAGTTACAGCCTCGCCTCGAGACCTGGTATATAGGGTCCAGCATCAACTCGATGTGATCTCCCGGAATGGTGCTTTCTGTAGGCATTCGAGGACCTATCTGTAACTCACCATGTCCACAAACCAGCATACGCAGAAGTTGGCGAGCGCTGCCTCCGCGCAATTGGCCATGGCATCATTCACCCTAGTAGTGTACGATCATATTATCACGTTCGCTCAAGAGGTATCGTCGCCTCCATCATCGATAGTAACCTCACGCTGATCTACAACCAACCACTGTCGACTCATTGTTCTAGGTAACCTTCTTCTGGACTGGGCCATGGTCAGCTTCGAGAATACTATATCTCAGTGTAATGCCGTCGGTAATTTGTATTTTGCTGCCAGTGCTTAATCGTGGATTTGATAGATTCGATACTTGGCTCTAACACAAATGATGTGCGTGTTTGATTCCACCTGACAACATCTCGCCAGTTGACGAGATTTATTAGTCTCGTGTTTTATGGTCTGTCAGCGAGAATATACATGTCATGGCTCTGACGACTCAGGTGAATAGGAAATGTCCTGACTCCCAGTCCTGCCGTGAGTGCTTCTAGAGGTCGTATCGTCGTTCGGCGTCTTACATACAGCTTTCCACAGGAGTGAGTTATGCGTGACGAGGCCCAACACACCAGTTCACGCAGGGAACAGTGTAACCTGGCTTTTTATCACAGATTTCATCCTTGCGTTCATGGTCATGGGACTCTGCCAATGTTCGTCTTTGTCCATCCATTGATCACACTGAATTAACCGATGTGCGCAGGTGTAGTAACATTGCGAGTGTGGCATCTATTTTACCGAAGTCGCTTCATCAGAGGGCTGGCAGTTGCTATCCTGGTTGCTTCCGCGGCAGGAGTGGCAACCGCTGGCGTCGTCACGTTTGATTCTATCAAGACTGCCATGTACGGGCTACACGACCCGTCGATCTTCAAGGAGAACCCTGCAACGTTGTTTGCGATATACCTACCAGCCTTGGTCGTCCATACGACCATGTTATTATTAACGATATATCGATTTGGCATTAGCCCAGCAGCCTTGCCGAGACGCGGGATTGTCCACCGATTCTTAAAAGAGTGGGTCACCCCTGTCGGCCAAAAGCTCTAAGCTAATGTTTACTTAGAGGAATGTTTATGTATGCATTTGCAGCCGGTGAATATACCTCGATTCTTCTCGTTTTGCATACGCTGAAGCAAATGATAGGAACGCTACTGTACGAAATCATCGCTCTTTCTCTGACTGAACCAGGGGACATATCCGTAAGTTTCATGGTCATAGTTGCATGACTCGTTGAACTTTGAAATTGTTGCCAGGTTTACTACTCAGCTCTGGGGGGAGAGTAAGATTGTGTCATCCTTCATTGTTCACCGAAGCTCACGAGCAACGTCTATTTCCAGAATAGCAGTAGCAGCTACAGTCGTCTCCGTCTGTCGCGCGATGCTAAGCATCCGCTCCTTGGCTGCAACTTGCCACGTCGATCCAGCATGGTTGCTCAATCATGCTGAACTCAGTCGCGTCCAATGGAGAAGAGGGAATAGTGAAGGAGAAATTGTCGTTGAAGTCAACGAGATGGATGTGGTTCTCCCTTATGGATTGCTACCATTAACTGCTGTACAATCAGAGTATCCAGCAAGATTAAGGGCGATTCCAGATATATCGCCTCAACAATAATAGTTCAACTAATGCACACATATCAACTGACCTCTAAGTGGGTCACCAAAGCACAATTATGCTGTGTGAGAGGTAGTATATAGTACGGTTTCATATGAAACGAAGTCGTAGTTGTCCATGCAGGTGCTGTCAAGTATGAATGAAAATGCGTCCGAAATTCTCATCATTCGCAGCTACAATATCTTCAGCGTCCGGATATCGGTCATGTCATCAACAGAAGCTATGTCGTTGTACAATGATATTGTTGACCGAGACAATTCTCCTTTACTGCTCAACACGCTGCTGTGCTAGCAAAAGTGCGCCAAAAGGCTGTCGGAGGCGAACAAGAACCCTCAACTCTCGAATAGCTGACTCATTGTCTCCAGGAGCCCAGTCGACCGGATGGTCTATGGGAGATACAGGCTCAGGCCAGTCATCCACGCTGTGTCTCGTCCGCAAAGTCAAACGGCTCAAGACCATGACGATTCAATGAACGGATGAGCAAGAATGTCCACTAGGTTGTGCAGGAGAGAATCGAGTCAGCGTGTCTTCCATGGTGATCAATAGGTTCTGTAGCCCGTCTGCCTTGATGTCATAAGGTCCCCTTCTTGACCAAGCCTCCACCCGACTTCTGTGAGGGGAAATGCAATGCAAAGTAATTGCAGTCTGGCGTTCGTGAAACGAGGAACGGCGAGGTTGGTGTACAGTTTCGATATCGCAGCGTGGAGACAGATGAATGCAGTTCATCTTCAGATAGACGTGACAATGTGCATGGCAGAGCCTTGTACGAAGAAATGTCGGCGGGCAGACAACTGTTGAAGTTGGATGGTTGTCGCACCCAGTGAATGTCGCCTGGATGAACTATGATCTCCTGCAAGAGACATCCGAGCGCTTTTGTCTTAAGGTTACAGGAAGGTTGATATTGAAGATGCCAAACAAAGAGTCAACAAAGAGTTCGTGGTCAGTTGACGCCCATCGGAGTTCTTTCGGACACCTTTGTGGAGATGGGCTCAGGCTATTTTTGTCACAATCATACAGTGGACGATCAGGTCGAAATTCAAATGATTATCGATTATCGCTCGCGCACAACACTGGAACAAATATTGCCTCGAGGCATTAATGGCCTGTTATTGATGTCGGACCTTATCTTACTTTCCTTCAACTGCTATTCACAATGAGAAGAGGCAAATCGTCGAGGAATTCAGCTCAACAAAGCCACAAATCTAGCGAACCAGCAGCTAGTGGAAGTGAGGTACGTAGTTCTCGAAGATCACTTCATTCATACCACTCCAAACATTGACATTGATTCATCCTTCATCTAGAACCGACCCCGTAGCAGAGTTGGTCGATTTCTGGAAAAGGTTAAGGACGGTGCAAACAAGTTAAGGATCTCGGTGAGTTCACGAGCATGCTTAATAGATCCTGGAATCCGACTGAGATTGCAACAAGCGCTCGAGGGATTCCCGTAGCCGTAGTTCTGCTCCCCCAAATATCGATGTAGGTTCTCAAACTTGCCCTTCAGTCTCTGTACTCTTTTTAAATTTTGGTGGTCACACAGGCTGCGCCATCTGATGTGGAAGCGGGGGCTGATACCCAATTGGCACGTCAGGATGCTCAAGAGGCTGAAACGCCCATGCATTCACTTTCGGGACATGAGATAACTGTGGATTCTGTTCATCAAGGCGCACAAGAGGATCTCGATCTTGTTGACAATTTCGAGGACACATATCTCCTACCCCTCAAGATATTCGACGCTGTTATCGCCAGAGAGAATGCGGACGTATGCAGGCCCTCCTCTCGATCAGAACCTGAACTAATCTAGTTACACAGGTGCATCCATATGCAAGGATAGCACTGGGCGCGTTATCTCGTGCAGCCAAGGTTTGTTTTCATTTTCTCTCTCCCTATCTCCCACTGTTACCCAGCAATCATTTGTGCAGATTATTCTAGCTCAAAGGGATCGCGATAACGCGGTACACGAACTTCTCAAGAAGTTAGGGGAAGTCTACAGCTTCATACAAGACGAGATGCTTGGCAAAATCTCGTCAATGGATCCCATCCTTGGAAAGATTTCTCAGCAGACCCGTGAATGTGCCGATTTTATCAAGAAATATTCGGAGACCAAGAACTTTTGTGAGTTTGAACAAGCCTTTGCGCTTTGTACCGTCTCGAGCTTCTACCATCCCATAGGGAAGAGGCTTGGAAAAGACGCCCCCTCGGAAACGAAAGATACGATCACAAAGTACAACGACGTGTTCGATAGGCTCATGCAAAACTTCCGGGACCAGGTTACTCGCGACGTAGCTATACACGTCCACGACATAGCCATACACGACCATCGTATGGGTGAGGGTTCGGACGTCCTCGTGACCTTGCATATATTTATACCTTTTCAGAAGAAATATTATATCTCAGCGATATGAATTATGCAAAAGGCGCGGGTCTAGATACCAGAAAAGAATGCCTTGAAGGCACACGCACGGAAATCCTTTCCCAGATCACGGAATGGGTCAACAGCACTGGGGACAGCGTTCCACCTGTGCTGTGGCTATCTGGCCCTGCAGGCAAAGGCAAATCGGCCATCGCCCACACCATTGCTAAGTGGTTCGAGGACGTAGGAGGGCTTGGTTCGTGTTACTGTTTTGACCGCCAGCGAGAAGCAGAACGTCGCCATGAAAAGATCTTTTCTACAATTGCACGCGACCTTGCTGACCGTGATCCGGAGATGAGGCGGGCATTGGCAGATGCAGTCAAGACCGCGAATTCGCTCAAGAATACACTGGATATCATCCAGCAGTGGAAGAAGCTTCTTATCGAACCACTGGAAAAGTCATCTAGGTCGACTGGGGAACCCATCGTGATCATGGTCGATGCACTGGACGAGAGCGGTGGAGCAGAGACACGGAAAGACCTCCTCAGCATTCTAGCTGGCAAACATCAAAACACCGCTGTTCCCAAAATCGCAAACCTCCTTGGCAACTTCCGCTTCATCGTTACCTCTCGCCCGCTTGATGACATCAATGACGAGTTTCGTGGTGTTCAGCATATTCGACAGATGTCGATGGATGATATTCCGCCAGCAGACGCAAAGCGTGACATCCATGCTTATGTATCCAAGGAGTTGAAGGGGTTGGATTTTCAGGACGGAGAGTTTGCAGTCCTCGCTGAGACGGCTGATGGACTTTTCGAGTGGGCGCGTCTCGCTTGCGGATACATCAAAAAGTCCCATGTGGGGCTATCTGCAAAGGATTGCTACAAGACCGTGGTGTCACGCGATCCCGCTGAGAGAAACATGTTGTTGCACAGCATGTATCGCCTCATTTTAAAAGATATCATGCACGAGGATACATCTCTGCTTACGTAGAATCAGTCTTTGATGAGGCTGGCGAGATATCGTTCAGTGATGGGACAAATACTAGGGACAGCTGAACCCCTTCCTTTAGCTTCCCTGACGGCCATGAGGTCCCATTTTCCAAAGGAAGAGGACCGTTTTAACGTGGAGCTTGTGGTAAAAAGCATGGGGTCCCTCCTCAGCGGCGCCACCAACCCAGATTCACCAATCCGATCCCTTCACGCATCCTTCTATGATTTCTTGACGGACGAACGATCCAGTGGAGAGTTTTTCATCGACCTGCCAAAGGCACAACGCGACCTCGCATTCGCATCACTTCGAGTGATGAAAGACGTGAAAGATGGTCTTCGCTTCAATATCTGTGATTTAAAGTCGTCGTATCTACCAAATAGCGAAGATCCTGGGCTACAAGAACGGATTGAAAAATGCATCCCCCACATCTGTCATATTCCTCTCGATTTTGGACGTCGCACGTACGAACCACACCCTTCGACAAGGAGCTCGCGAAAGAAGTGGAATCGTTGTTCGACCACGAGCGGCTGTTTTTCTGGCTCGAATCACTCGCGTTGATCAATGCGCTCAGCGGTGCAGGTCTTGCCCTTCCGGCCATTGCCCAGTGGCTGAAGGTGAGCACACTACTACTGGGAATCAGATAAGGTGCTCATGCGCAACCACAGGGCCATCCCAGATTCAAAGATGTCTCGTCGACCGCAATGGACGTACAGAGGTTCATTCAAGTCTTCGGCGGCATGATTTTATATAGCACGCCACATCTGTATGTATCAGCACTCCCATTCTCGCCTGCCAACTGTCTGCTGTCGAGAAAGTTTTCTGCACAGTTTCCGAATATTCTTCGTGTGGCATCCGGACATGATGAAAATTGGACAGCTGCTCAGACCGTGCTCAGGGGACACACTGATTCAGTTTTGTCAGTCTCGTTCTTGCTGGACAGCACTCACATTGTCACTGGTTCTTGGGATAACACTGTTCAGCTGTGGGATGCAGGGATGGGGGAGCCAGTCAGTGAGCCCTTGCAGGGGCACACTTCTCCAGTTTTGTTGGTCTCATTCTCGCTGGATGGCACTCGCATTGTCACTGGTTCTTGGGATAAGACTGTTTGGCTGTGGGATGCATGGATGGGGGAGCCAGTCAGGGAGCCCTTGCAGGGGCACACTGATTCAGTTTTGTCAGTCTTGTTCTCTCTGGATAGCACTTGCATTATCAGTGGTTCTTTAGATAAGACTGTTTGGCTGTGGGATGCAGGGACAGGGAAACCAGTTGGTGGGCCCTTAATGGGGCACACTGATTCAGTTTTGTCAGTCTTGTTGTCTTAATAACCAAGGGTCTTACATAAATGCATGTGTAAAATGTAATGACACCACAATTACACTAGGATAAGACTTCTTGCCAGTCCTTGATTAACATGGTCTACAACTTTTCTTCTTTCATGGTAGATAACATGTGAGTTCTTGGGAGGCTTACTAAACCAATCTATGTGATTAACTTAGCCAGAGCTTTTGTGTTTTATCCCAACTTAGAAACTTGTCTAGGATAAACTGTCTAGACACTGGAATGTGGTTCCTTGTTAAGATAATTCTCTGTAGAGACTATGGTCTCAAATACAAATATGTTGACCAAAGACTGGTTGGTCAAATAGGCACAGAGTGGTGAGAAACTGGTCTCACAAATGATCAGATTGACCAAAGCTCATGTTGGTCAATATCAGGAAACTAGGTGAGAAGTGGGTCTCACAAATGAACAGATTGACCAAAGCTCATGTTGGTCAATATCAGGAAACTAGGTGAGAAGCTGGTCTCAAATAAACTAAGTTTCTATTGTAAGAAACTTATGTAATCTCAAGGGAATGTCTTTTCCCTGCACTTGGTACTTCAAAGGGGCTTTCTTTGTAAGCAATAATCTTCACAGTGAGTAGCTCAAACTGAGATTCAAATGATTGCAAGTGGGAGATCCTATTTTTTTGGGGGAGAATGGGCCCTCCTTATATACATATTGTGTGGGAATATTATGTAAGTAAAAAAGTGGAGCAATGACATCAGAAGTGGAGCAGAACATTCCAGAATATTCCATAGGTGGAGTAATGACATCAGAGGTGAGTCATTGTGGAGCAGAACATTCCAGAACAAATGACATCATAACTTTCAACAGAATACTTGCAGGAGTATCTGTGGAGCCATATGACATCATTATGACATCATACCCTGTAGGTACAATTTTGTGAAGTATCTGATGAGTCAGAGCATCCCAATAGAAAAATAAATCAAGGAAATACTAGAGAAAACAACTCAGAAATAATAATACAATAACAAGACACAAAACACAGGCTTTTTAGATAGGTTTTTGTTAGGCTTTGAACTTTTCTCTATGGTTTTCTCTAGCCAAAGTGAATAAGCCAAAGGCAAGGCAATACCTTAACCTTCTTGCTCCACAATATCAACTAGGTCATTATGTGATTCCCATCTCACAAATGACTTTTCTTCAAGATATAATAAATTCATGAATCACAGAGGGGAAACTGAACTATATGACCAAGGTTTGAAACCAAGGTATGGGTTGACTAGCCTGATGCCTAAGCTAACAGACTTTGTCTTTTAGGGGGGCTACCTAGTAGTCATGTCCATGCATGATTCCCAAATCATGCAGGACACTGCATGAATGCTGAATCCTGCAATGATCTACTGTGTGTTTTCATGGGATGGTGACATTTGATGAATAGACGGTGGGCAGGCATGGAGTTTCTAAGCACTCGCACCAGATGGGTATACCCCAGATGACTAAACCAAAATCCACGGTCACATTGGCCCAACCAGAGAGGATGGTATGATGGAATGTAACCAACTTAACAAAGTTGAGTCGGAGCATAGATTGCTTTGGCCTTCTCCTGGTCTTGGACTTCTTCACCAAAGTCCAGTTCAATCGCATACCATCATGATGTAGCACCAGTGGTGCAGGTCATTCAGAAGCCTCGCACAATGATAAAAGGATTAATGCAAATAACAAGAAGTCCACGGATGCATACATGTAAGTCTGGAGTTGGCTCGTAATGTGCACTTGTTGAACTTATATACATTTGGTTGTATGCACTTGTGATTTGTGATCAAGACAGGTATTGATACCCAGGCTGGCTGTAGTAACAAGGTGTGTGATATCAAGATGAGTGTACGGCTCAAGCTCACAGGCATCTAGATTTTTCGACAGTAAATCAGTACAATTCTGCAAACAGAATTTCAACCGCACTAGAGTATGAATGCCTATGGATTGGATGAGAAGATTCAAGACACCGCATGTGGGGGACTGAAATGGCGCTCATTGGTCCACAGGAAGCATCTCATATTTCTAGTATGAATAATTTCATCAATAAGTGAGTGTATAGATAGACCGGCATCTTACCTCTTACTGATCTGATGCTAGGTTTCTGTGCAAACTTTGCATAAAACTCTTCTTTGTGGCTTCGTATGAATCTGATTAGTAGAATTGGGCAATTTGGGCAGTGGCTGCTGTTGTGCACCTCGTGCCTCAAGGCCTCATGGCTTCCTGATAAGTTAACATCAAACTCTTCTCCAAATTTGTAATAGAGCAAATACACAGGGCCTCAGCTCGTACAGATCAAGGCGAGTGAAGTACAGCACCACAGTGCATGACTATCTAGGTATTCCATGGGAACTGCCACGAATGACTTGAACGATCTCAATCAATTGCAGCCTGGAAGCTTCAAGCTTGATTGATTGATCACTCTGACCATCAACTACATGTTTCATATTTTACTGACCAGGTCATGGAAGAGATTGATACCTTTTGATGGCGAGGCAAGAGTCCAACTCCATGGGTATCTTTTTTCTGACAGACAGCCACCATCATCAATGATTCAGGGAATCTTTGTCGGGTGTTTGATGAACATTCTGAACACCCACATTGTAACTTATGAGTAATGTCCAGACACTTCCCAAGACAGAACACTTCAAATAAACTTTGATATAAGATCTCATATTATCTTTTTCTCTTGCAGGGCCAAATGTGTATGAGATGCAGGCTATGCCAGTCCTTGATGGGCTTCAGCCTCCTGTTCATCACACATCACAGTGGACTTAAATATATGGTATATAGCATAATCCACCTTCCTTAATATGACTCATCAGAGAGTGCTGTGAATTCTGGACACTATCAGGCCCATCTGTAATTTGCTATGTCCATGGAGGCACAGTCAGTGCATACCCTACACAATGATTGGTTCCGATATCCTTCACCCTTGTAGTGTATAACCATGCTATCACATTGGATCAAGAGGTACATTCACTTCCACAATCAATGGCAATATAACGCTGATTTATCGCTGTTGTGTGTTCTAGATAACCTTCTTCTGGTCTGGTTCATGGTCAGCATCAAGAACATTATATCTCAGCATAATGCCATCGATTATTTGTTGCCATTAATTAGTAATCTTGAGCTCGACAGATCTAATACTTAGCTTTGATACAAGCTTGGTGCATTTGATTCCATGCAATAAAAATCGCATTAGTTAACAATATTGCTTAGCCTTGTTCTTTATGGTCTGTTATAGTAAACATTACTTGTCATGGTTCTGGCGAATAATGGACACACAGGACAAACAAGACAGGTCACAACTCTCAGTTCTACAGTGGGTACTTCCCAAGTTGTGCATATCATTGTGTGGAGTCTTACTTATAGCTTTCTGTTAAGGTCATACTCAAAGGATAACTGGATCCGAAGGGCTTTGGCCTCAGCTTGTGCGCTGTGCCCCTTACCCAAGTATTGCCCCTTATTTCAGGAAGGCAAGACTAACGTGTCCAGAAGGTTGGACAAGTAGTGTAACAGATCCGGATGACTTCCAGATGAGGGATAAGTATCATAGGGCTAATCCAGACAAGTCCAGACTAGAAACTAATGGTATGGACTGTCAGAGACAGAGGCGGATATGGATAGACTATAGGAATCAATCCTAAGTCTTGGAGGGTGACGAGAGTAGAGGAACTCAAGTCCGGAGGACAGGAATGAGTAGAACTAAGATGATATTTGAACTGAGGTACTACAGAAAGTTACAGGAGGTTATATACTATAGGTATCTAACAGAATGATCAATCAGCAGAGTCCAAGGCTATGTACAAAGCATGTGGATAGTCTATTGGTAAGTAGAAATGGATCACAAATCATGAAACGGAAATGAAACATAGGTAGCGGATAAGGGAGCAGGACAGATATACAGATAACCGAAATACTGGAGTTAGGGGGTTACCGAAAAGAGACAAGCACTGGTTGTGGATTCGGATGAGTTGTGGACCAGACCAGACAAGTGGACAGATTGAATGACGAGATGTTGGAGGGGGATAAGATGTGGATAGCATCAGAGATAAGATGTGGATCTGAGATGAGATAAGGGTCGGATCTGAGATCTGGATATGCGGATATGACAATGATGCACAGAGTACAAAGCAAGTGACGATATATGTTTATCATCAGATGAGAATGGAAGAAAGGGGAGGGAATGATCCTACCAGGACTACTTATCACAGTCTCATATTAATCAACCACCTCACCCAAACTTGGCCCAAACTGCAAAAAATCAGATATATATAAGCAAGTATGGGTCACCAGTCAAGTTCTACTTCTCCCAGGTGTTGAAAATGCAGTGTTCAGTACTTCTGATAATCAAAGTCAACATTAGGATACCAGATTCGTGACAAGGTCAGTCGTACTATTACTGAACTCTATTTCAAGAAGTAGCACCTACTGTAGGCCCATCATGCGCACTGCCATGTTAATTGTTATTCGTCTCAGCAGCCTATTATGTAAGATACCAATAAAGAAATTCTTCCGTATATCGGACCAACAGCTTTTCAGCCGTATCGACCTGGAAAAACGACCATGGCTCACATATACCGAGTGGGGAAAGACATGGTTTGGTAGCAGACCAATCAATGGCCTCTTCATCACACTCTTGGATTCAATTTCACACTTGATATAGGAATCATTCACTCCTTGATATACTTGGGATCGACTTGATCATCATACTAAACTCAGCCACCAATGATCAGCCTCAGTAGATCATCATCTTCGAGTGCTTCTCCCCAGCTGACTATAGCAGCGGCAAAGAATGTGATGTAGACAACATCTCAACACGGTAGTATGTTTAACTATTGTTTCTTTTCGAGCAGGACAGGCGTAGTACGAGAAGATGCAGTGCCATCAGTTTTGCCTCCTGTTCATCACGATGGATGTATGGTCCACCTTCCTGGGTGTGCCTCACCAGAGGGTACTTTGAGCTCTCGACCCTCAAGAGCACCAATACTTTGTCATGTCCACACAGGTGCAGTTAGCGAGCGTCGCTGCTGAACAATTGACTCTCATACCATTCGCTCTTGTGGTGTATGATCATGCTATCACATTCTCTCAAGAGGTATTTTTACTGCCACAATTTATGACAGTCTAACCTTGATCTCGAACCATCGTTTGTTCTAGGTAAGTTTGTTCTGGTCTGGTTCATGATCAGTGTCATGAATACTATATCTCGGTACGAGGCCGTCGATGAATCACATTTTTCTTGCCAGTAATTAATCGTGAGTTCGACAGATCCGATACTTGGCTCTGGCACAAGTTTGGTGTGTTTGACACCATTGCCTAGCATTGTCCTTTATGGTCCGTCGGAGCGAACATCATGTGCCATGGCTCTTGCGACAGTTAGTAAAAGTGAAGACTCCAAGTTTTATAGTGGGTACTTGTCGTCGTTTATAGTCCCACTTATAGCTTTCTGCAGGGGTGAGCTGTTACGCATAACAAGGTCCTAACAAGCCGCTCGCATTGAAATAGTGAGAGCTGGTGGCTGCTTACGGTTTCCCTCCTTATATTCGTGGTCATGACGCTCTGCCAATGTCTGTCTTGTGTGCATTCATCGATCCAACTGATTTGACTGGTGTAGGCAGGTGTCGTAATATTACGAGTATGGTCTCTGTTCGCTCGGAGTCCGATTCAGTTAGATGGCTGGCGGTCACTATTTTGATCATCTGCATAGCAGCAGCTGCAACACCTACCGGCCTCACGGTTACTCCCTTTGATAAATTGTTGCCAGGTTTACGATTCAGCTCTTGGGAAAAGTAAGACTGTTTGGTCAAAAAGAGGAGCTACTGAAGAAGAAATCTACGCTGAAGTCAACGAGACGAATGTGGTTCTTCATTTGCAGTCATCTGCTGGAACAACAGAAGGCTCGAGACGACGTGCCAAACCTTGCCTACCTTGTATATCATCTCCTTGATTTCTTGCCTAATGCATTCTTGGTGAAACATGATGTCATTTGGAACGAGGGTGGAAAGCAGTGGAGAAGCAGTGAAAATGAAGCCGGATGTAATTACATTGTGCAAAAAATCGTCCTTTCGATCAAAATACCTAGACTAATGATCATATATCTGCCTTGCGAACCCTCGGAGTGATGCTGCAGGGAAAGGGAAGTGGGTGACTAAAAAAGTCTTATTAACTGAGACAGAGGAACGGGAGCGAACGCACGTTGCGATACCACTGGACCATTGCGGTTCGAACTCAATCGCCTCTCCGTCTGCACCAATTCGTTTCGAAAACGTAAACATAGCAAGTAGACCAGACATTGCTATCCATACAGATGCGTCGGCAAAATGTCGGCCAACACAGATCCTGGAGCATCACAAGGATGTTCGATGTCATATAAAAAGAAGAGATATCACTACAAACCTTCTTCCAAATCCAAAGGCCATATTGACGGTGTCGTCATTGAGGTTGCCATCAGCGTTCAGGAAGCGCTCAGGAGAGAATTGCGAAGGATTTGGGTATTTCTGTTCATTTTGTGACATTGCCCTACAAAGCAGTTGGCCTCTGAGTGATCCCTTGACATAGCAGACTCACCACACGTTCGGCATAATGATAGCACCTGTTTACGAGGTTAGCAGGAACTTCATCAGAAAACATGAAATTTCGTGCCTTTGGGTATATAGTATCCCTCATACACATCACTATCCACCGACGCATGTGTTACTGCTATACAATTCCGTAAGAAATGGACGGGCGCCTGAAAACTGTACACATACATAGGGGCAAAATCGGATGCCAACGAAGAGTTTCCCGAAGGATAGCGTCGATATACTGCAGGGACGATCTATCTTCGAAAGTCGGCAACCTCGACGCGCCAACGACGGAATCAATCAGAGTGTGGGCTTTCGCTTGTATTTCTGGGAAGAGCACCATGGCAAGTATGAATACTTGCAATACTGAATCTGTCTAAGTAAAAATAAGAGCAGTGTAAGGTAGATCTCTTGAAACTGACCGTTTCGGATGCAGCTGCTCAGACAGTTCTCGTCAATATCATTTCAATACACTGTGTCCGAGTGCTCACCTCCAAATGCTGTGGCTGCACATTCCTTGATAGTTATCTCACCATAAGTATCTTTTCTGTCGATCCGTCTGAGGGCGTTTGAAACCATGCATGACTGCGCTGTCCCTTCAGCCTTTTGGGACATGTCAGGTACGAATATGAGGGAACTCGACGGCATACCGTTCTTTTGAGCACATACTGGAAAGGATCGTTCATCCACTCTCGGACCCATTCTCGTGACTGGATGGCCTTCCTCTTTATCGACATACCAGGGAACCATGCTGGTAGTCGAAGAACTGTATAAGCAGCATCCAGTAGAGCCCATAAAATACGACTGAAGACCCACGAATCGGAAATGCGATGAACACAGCAGCTATCTCAGGTTTGAGTTCCTGCACGGCCAACTCGAGAGACATCCCGATGAGCGCCACCAATGGGTCATCGTGCTTTGTATCATAGTCATATGAAGCCGACATTATCACGGAAGATGAAAATCTGGCAGAGAATCCCGGTATTAATAATACACCGCACCGGCCGGTGGGAGAAGACTTACGCGCGAACATGGCTTACGAACTTTTCTGGGGTATCAAGCATGTTACGGATAAGTTGTTGAGCCTTCCGCTGCTGCATTGGACGGTAATTTAGAGATGCCTCTGCCCTGAATGCTTGATGGAATATCCTTCTTTGGTAACGCCAGCGAGCTCCATATTTCATGAGTATGGTGTTGAAACCGAAACCGAGGCTGTTAAAGATGCTGTGTCAAGAACTACACTGACTGGTTAATTGAACATAGCTCCTACAGAACGTTTGTTGGAAGGTCCGGTCTGTCAGAGTAGTTGTATGACCGCTTCTCCAAAAGTTCGATCGCTACTTTCTCAGAGTTGAGTCACAACAATGTGTTGGCCGAAAAGGTGCGAGTATACAATGTCGCCTGTCAGGAGACCATTTAGCAAAATTCGGTGTAGTCAGTATTATGTTTCCATGTCATCGCACTCACCGTATTGTTTACCCCATTCCGTGTAACCTAACCACGGAGCATTGATGTCAATCCCCCGGATATTGCCAATGATGGGCATAGGCCGCGGTCCCGGTGGCAGCGGAAGCACTTTCCTCTTCTCCATGCCATAACAGACCACACCAACAAGAGTGGCACAGATCAAGGCGCCAGTGTAGATAGAGTCTCTCCAGTCCGACGACATGATGGGGATGAAAGAATTGTGTTTCGGGCATGTCCATTTATATGTATGCTGAGGAAAATTTTTACATGGTTCAATTCAATTCCAATATGGTGTATTAATCTTCGCATCCAGGGCTCTGCAGCGGTGCCGATCACCATTATGGCGCGCAGTTCGCCGCGGATACTGTGACGAGCTCGGAGACAACGTGCGTATAAAGTTGGTTCTACATGTCCGCGAATTACAGTACGACTTGTACTTATTCCGGTGAGGACTTACTAGGGGGACTAACATGTCTTGACGACCGAGTAATCATTACGACATCTTTAAATGTGCAGGTCTAGCTATTTACAGGTATGTCCGAAGCTTTAAAGTGTCAACTCTAAAATGTCGTTGTCAGTGTCGGTCGTCCTCTCGACCCTAAACCTTTCCTAATTTGGCCACCACCTCCGCGTCGGCTAAACCTTCGCATGGAGATGTTCTACACAGTCACTGTATCCTCCTCGCTGTATACAGCCAATGTTAGCTACCTAAACCTTGCCATGTAGTATTCCTAAACTTTTTCATGTTCTATTGCTAAATTGATACTTATAGTCTACCGATTTTGCATGCACTTCCGGTGCTAATGAAACACGTTAAACTGGAACATTAAAAGACTTTGATTGAGGGAGAGGTTTAGGAGTTATAGAACAATATATATACTACAAGGACTAATACATGTTTAGGAACCAATACTAACTACATGGAAAGGTTCAGGTAGCTAACTTTGGCCTTCTACAGTTGAGGGTAAGCCGACGTTGGTGGTGGCTAAATTAGGAAAGGTTTAGGGGGGCAACAGACACATTTTAGAATTGAGCAGCAGTGCAGCACTGACGCTTCACTTCTCATAGGTTTCCTTGGCATACAGCTAATTAAGTGACTCGTAAAGCTCCAGACGGTGCATTAAAGATTGCCAAAAGACCACTTTACTCGTGCCTTGTACGTTTGTCTCGTGGTACATTCGTATCCTCAAGATGCACTTACGAATCAGCACGAATCGATATCTTCGTACCATATCACAGAAAACACGTTTTCTGCATGCACCATCAGCATGTCTACGCTTCTTCCGCAACACCCTTGCAAGTAGACGATGAGGGCTCGTCGGCTCAAGGCTACATCCCTCCTTGTCTTCTTTCCTCTGTCAGAGTGGCCATTCAGGTGGACTTCAACATCTACTTCACCGGCTGCAAAAAAACCTACACTCGGTCGTAAGCAAACACTTTCGGTATGTCGGGTCCGTTCTTTGGCTAGCTAAACACCGATGTCACGCATCTAGCTGGTCGAAATGCTTCCCTTTGCCTCATCAATCTGTATCCTTGGTGCTCTCGCCTGTGGCTCTTTCGCATTACAAAGCTCCCCGACAGTATCCAGTGCCCCCGATGTCAGCAGCTCAAGAATATATACGAGTGCTATCTCGAGCGTCATAGCTGCGGTGACACCCATGCTTGCTTTAATTTACTTCTGTCCACTCTACCTTCTGTATCGGCATTCAAAGCGGCACCCAAGGTCTATCAATAAGATATCTGGGGCGCGAGTTCAGCAGTACGGTCCACGTTGGTGTTTTATCCACATGCCTTGCTGCCTCGTTGTTGACGCACCTTGACTTTGTCTTGCCTAGTCGTGTATGTATTCTTGCTGGCTGTTAGCTTGGCAGAGGTGAGAATAATATCCCAACTCTCGTACAGAAACATGCATGACCTCTTGACTATAATAGGTTGCAGATGCCACTTGGTTGTTGCTGCAATTTCGCTTCAACAACAACGCACCTGATCCCATCACCCGCAGTGGTGTACGCTTTCTCTTGTCCGTTTGTTTCGCGTTTTGAAGTAATATGTAATTGAGCACGCAGTCAAACAGGTTTTCAGCCTGTTGGACAACTGTGACCTCGGGCACATACACTTTGTTCTTCCTCGATCCCTTGTGGTCCAGACATCCAATCGCATCTGTAGGTACACAGGCAATCTGGGTGCTCGTAACATGGGTATTCTGGGTTGCTGGGGCAGGTCTGTTCAACAAGTCGCTTCCTCGCTTGTTCATGGGTGGATCATGCGATGGAGTGGTGTATTGCGGTCAGTTGCAGATGCTCTTCGGTTAGTAAGCTGTTACGTGAGGGACATCTAAAAACTGACGTGCAATTTCAGCCCTTGCAGTTGTTCAGATGTTCGTATGTCGAGATCATCTTAGACTGTCAGCTGACCACGTTCAATAGCCTCACCTTGACCTTTGGAATGCTTGTGATTACCTGGCTCGTTTGGCAATCGGCCCGCAGTATTCGCCATCCGATGGTTATCCGAGTTGCAGCCGCTATATAGGCACATAGTTCTGGCGAGTAACTTTGAGCACCGCCGAGGCCATTTCCGCATTACCGCCATAACTAGTTACGATCCGGAGTCTGTTCTGTATTATGAACAATAGTGACTGCTGTACTATATGGAGTTCTGGTACATATGTGACAGTGTGTAGAATAGATATTATGTTGCGATTAACCACTGGAGCTGAGCTGGAGCGCTCACCGCTGAAACTATCTAAGGGGCCGAATATTCTTCCGTTCCGTCTTCGTAGATGGCACGATGTTGATTGGCTAACGTTGCAACGGGGAAAACCGGCGGACCTTCGGCTCGATCGGGCTCAAATCATTTTTGAAGCGAAAAGTTTCAAAGACCAAAAGTATCCACTGGTTCATCATCATCTCCACTTGCCTTCGAGGCTCCGTTCGCGTAATTAATCCTCTTCTCTTTCTTCATCTCATAGACTCTCGCAATGCCTTACGCTCAAGGTATGCTCACAGTTTCTGGTGCAGAGCGGAGTAGAAGAGGCTGACTTCTGTTCAAGGTGACGCTGGTAAAGGTGCTGCCCTCTTTAAGAGAAGTTGTGCTTTGTGCCACACTGTCGGTGGTGGCGAGCCCAACAAGGTCGGCCCTAACTTGCACGGGTAAGCGCATTCCTTTCCACCCTCCGACTTTCGCTGAACGTCTCCCAGTCTTTTCGGTCGCAAGACTGGTTCAGTGAATGGTTTCTCGTATACGGCGGCTAACGTGAAGAAGGGCGTCGTATGGGGAGAGGACACTCTTTTCGATTACCTTGAAAACCCCAAAAAGGTTTGTCACGGGCGGATGGCTCCTGTGCATCATTACTGAGCGTCGCGCTTTCTATTTTTACACAGTACATCCCAGGAACCAGTATGAACTTCGTTGGTCTCAAGAAGGAGAAGGACAGGAATGACCTTATTACTTTCTTGAAGCAAGCGGTACGTCATTTCTCCTGAAGTATAGTTGTGAGATTCAATGCTAATGAATTGTTCCTGTTCCAGACGGCCTAATTTTATATCCACCACGGACATCCCACTCATACAGACTACAACTATAGTACGGTTTTGCATCAGGTCTTAGTGCGTTAGACGACCACCCTTGCCCGCATCTCCTCGCATCCTTTATCCCCGCTCATACCACGATACACGTTTCTCTCTTGCTTGTTGGTAGTCAGTGCTATGTCATGTTGCCTCCATGCACCACAAGAAAAGTGCAGTGATTAGCCTATTAGCGATAACATGCAAGATATTTGGATATATGCTGCGTAACATTAATATGTTCCAGCGCAATCTACGCATTCCTATTGAATACATGAGGTTGAAAAAGAAATAGATAAGTAAATTACACATGTACAATGGTGCTTGTCCGCGGAGGGATGAGGATGCTCTTCCTTTCATGCATCGTACATGACTATATAGGATGGGCGGATGGCGTCATTAGCATAACACACGAGCTCATCATAATTTAACGATCCTCCGTTCACCACCTCCGCGAGGACCTAGACCAGTTGAGAGCAAGCACAAAAGGCGAGAGGCAGGACACATACAGGAGTCATAACCAGCTGGAGGCGCGGTTAGTGACGTGTTATCTTGCGTCATCTTGTAACCTTTGCCAACAACCACTTTGTTTAGTAATATCGCCTTCAACTTCGATGGATTCACGTTCGTGGAGTAATCGTTCGATTTCGATGACGTTGACGACGTGTAGATCCCGTGACCGAATCTGATATGTGCATCAAGATACCATGATTGATTAGTTGAAGGGTGACATACCGGCCCCAGCCAGTCTTCTTGCCAAAAAGATTCAGGTTGTAGGACGTTCTAAGAATGCAGCACAAGGAACATGTCTGAGATGAGCACAGCGTGGAGTTGCCATTATCGCCTAGATTGCATTCCCTGGTCGTGCCGTGCCAGCGGCGATTCTCGTTCCCTGCCGAACGCCCAGCTGCAACAAAGTTGCCACGACTCTCAACAGCAGCACTGCTCCTTGTCAGCCAAAACGCCCGCATCCACATTAACGAAGACTGACCGATATGCCTCGTATTTAGCAATGGAGGCTGGTGATACGATCACTTTGTGCACCCTCCGAACTGTCGGACACGCAGTCTGATGTCTCCAGGACGTTTTAAATTGGTCAGCGACTACAGCACATAAACATCATCGATCACCCGCACTAACATGCAAGTGCTACTTACCGCTCTTGAATGTATCGTGTCCTTGTGGGACTTCTAGGAGCCCTGGGGCACTCTTCTCAGCCCTCGAGGTGCACGCCTGGCTGCAGAAGTGACCCTTGCCCTTCACAGCCTTTCCGCACAACAAGCAACCATTGGTTGTTGGACTGGATCGAGAAGCAGCAGTGAGTACTGTCAACACTCGATGAAAGAACGATTGAACGGACTTGGCTGGTTTTATAGGTTGTGCAGCCGCCGTTCCTGCAGCCTTCGCTTTTTGTGCGCAGGTTTTGCTGCAGTACGAATGGGTCGTCGTGCCATCGCTGTACTTGGGTTGCTTATGACAATGCTGAAGTGATGCATGTTAGTTGACCTTATCTTTAAATGGGTGCCAATCATCGTACGTCGCACAATCTGCGGGTAGCTTTGTTGGTCTTGTTTCGCTTAGGTTTGCTGTTGGGAGTAGGCTTGTTTTGTGCTGCAGTCGCGCAAGTCTTTCCGCAATACGAGTGTGTCCTCTGTCCGTCGAAGTACTTGGGACGGATATTACAGATCTGTAAATGGCGTTAACTCTTGAGAAGCAAAGACCTCATTCAAATCACATACATCACACATTACGAGAGTCGCAGTCCCGGTGGACTGTTTGGTGGACACATTGGCGGGCACAGGCTGTTTAGCTTGAGCTGTTTGGCCCTGCGCGGCGATGTACTGGCCAGCCATCGTGCCGAGCACAGAAAGTGCAGTATGCATGGGTGGGATCGTGGCATTCATCTTGCTGGTATCAGGGGTACCAGGCTTGTCTCAAGCAAGATGATACTAGGATCAAGGCTAGATACTCAACGAACTTGGCTCTCCAGGAGCTTTGAGTCTGCGGATGAGTTGTGATTAGTGATGTTCGAAGCAAACAACACTTTATAGTTAATACGAGTCCATCATGGAGAGGGGCCAATCGCTCTTCGATGAAACGCGTTTGGCGCGTGTTCTCCGCGAGGGAAAAGAGACTCCGTGGACTCTGTGCAACCTTAGAATCAATGACACTGCACATTGACACGGAGATCTCGTGATCCGAGCGAGCAGGATGATGCGAGGCCGGATAGTAATATGACAGTCGTATCGATTGTATGCACGGCTTGACGCAGGGTGCACCATGCACAGCTCGCGCAATTTCCTCTAAGGTACTCATATAAGTACAGCCGCAGAATATATCGATGGATGTTCGATGGATGTCAGGCTTTCAGGTCCAGGCCATCATTAAACAGCGCTAGAGTAACGTCTACCGCACGACCGATGTGGAGACGAGTTGGTGTACCCTGCTGCTTATACTTAATGTGTACTAGGCCTGGAAGGTGTTTAGTCGCTACTCATGTGGTATTCGATATTGAACTCATGATAAAATAAATTTCTTTCATTACTCGTGAACGTAATTATAAGTGTGAGGTCAGATCTTCAGAGGTTTTGCGGGGTGGGTGATGCGAAAGGAATGTAATTGTACAGCCACATCAAATCGTTGTGCCACGCCATTCTGCGGCGATATTCGCCTTTGTGCTAATCATACAAAAAATAGTATTACAACAGTAGATAGCTGCTTCGAATAAATAATCAAGTAATTCCCCTTTAACATCCCCATGCCTTATCATGGATGTGATGGAAAAGTCGAACATTCGTTCATGAGACTAACGGTGTCTTGAATAACATTGACATCAGGGTCTTAAAGCTCGGCTTCGGCGAATCTTTGGGCTTATGTCCATATACGACGAGATATGCAGGACGCACAGCGTCATTTGTGTAGCACACGGTTTCTGAATCAAATACGAAAGATAAGGATAAATCCACAAATGAATAATCAATCTATACTCGCCCTCATGGTTTAGATCCCAGCCAATCTCTCCAGTAATCTGCAAGGATGTGAGCAAATGGTTATTAAACAACGAAGAACTCACAGAATCGAAACCATCGGGAGGTTTTACAAGGTCAGGTGCATTCCTGTACCGTTTGTATGGCCTCCCAACTACAACACGATTGACTAGCAAGGTGCGGAGACATGCATCTTGTGACAAGTTGCAGGAATAATCGTCAGCTTCTGTGCTGCGATTGAGCGGGTGCACTGATGTAAAAAAGGAAGACAAACGGACTAGACGAGCAAGCAGAGGTATATATACCATGCCCAAACCTATAATACCAGCTGTCAAAACGGTGTACTAGATTCTAAATGCCTTTCTCACCTCTTGAAAGCGTTCTTCGTGCCTATGTAGTGTTAGACCATAGATAAGAAGGCGATTGAGAAAAACTCACCGCATTTCTTTACATCAAAAGATGCGCGCAAGATAGAGCAAAGATAGCACTCTTTGAGGCCGCACAAGAGAATGTTTCTTGAGGATTCTCCCAGGAGACATGCCCTGTTTGTGCCGTGGAAGAGTAACTTCTCGTTCCCTGCCTCGTTCCGAGCCCTTATGCGGGCCTGCACCTGATTCCTATGACGCAGCAATGGTTAGCGCACACCATTTCTGCTTCGAGCGTTTGTCAGCACCTGTACTGTAGATATGGCTCAAGGTTGCTGTCCGGCCAAAGGATCTTAAAAATTCCTTGTATATGTGGCCTAGCTTTCTTGCCATGTCGCCATCCCTTGTTGAAAAGGTCTTCAACTGAAAGAGCAGGATTAGCTATCCCCGACTAATGAGCAAGATCAAGCTACCTTCGGCGAAGTGAGCACTATCACGACTCAAATACACCAAGCGACTGCGCCGACCTGCGGAGGAGTTGACGGGGTTCTCCAAAGAGAACTCATCCAAGTTTAAGGATTCAAAAGACGAGGTTGACATAGATAGCAAAGTCAGATAGACGGAGTACAAACCGAGCCCTACCTACTACCTGTCCATGAAATATGATCTTGATATTTCAATGCGGTTGAGGTGCACCCCCCGCACGCTATCCGCATAGCACCATTAGCCATAACGAATTTATCGGACCCGTCTACTGCACAATGAAGAGCCTCTGAATCGTGTCAATGCAATCAATGCGAAGTGCATTAATGATTGTAACCGTAGTTTCTCAGGACCAAACGTAAAAAAGTGGATCACAATCACTGCCCAATCTCAAAGATTGTATCCATGCTGCAAATGCTCTGCAGCCACGACAAGAACATGAGGAGAAGTGAATGCAAAGCGAGTTCAAAAAAGGAAGGCAAATAAGATGAAGCTGCTTAATAAGCTCACTGCTTTCCATGCCCCCTCCATGCAGAGTGCCTCGCGGCCTTAATCGAGGACGGAGTCTCCCAGATTTGAATACATGATAGGATCCACAGACTACGGACTAGACGCTTCCGTCCGAAATACTCGTCCCTGCCGAGTCTGTTCCGATTGTATAGCCTTCTTGGAGCCGTATAAGAACCTGTGGACCAGGAAAGCTGTTTCGGTTTCTTGAGTTATCAACTGAACTTTTCACTCGATCGCCCATCAAAATTTACCAAAATACTCTACGCAATCTTCGCTGCTGCTGCTGCTGTTGCTGTTGTCCTGCTTGGAATGCTAGACAATCGCATGATCATGAAACTTGCTAGCATATTCGGCCTCAATGCTCCTTCAGATACGCCACAGCCAATATCTACCGCGCGCCGGGCTCGACCCGTTACCCAATATTTATCAGCGCCATCGAAGTAAGCACCTTAATTGACCACGATACCGTGATGTTGAAGCTACTCTCGGCATGTACCAAGCTTGAAGCTGCCTTCACCTGGTGTGCAGGACGACGGCGAACCAGAAGCTTACTATCCTCCGCTCACCGCTCCGCCAGAACCTGTGGGGTCATCAGTAGCGCCCTTTCAAAGAAGGGAACGCGTTTTATTTTACAACAAGAATGAACCTTACTACGAATTCACGAATTTCTCGCCGCACGACGTTGTCTACGCTGGGAAGAGATATCCAACCAGCGAGCATCTCTTCCAATCTTTCAAAGTTGGTCAAAATGATCAATTTCTCGATATCTTCTGACACTCTTGGATATGGTGGAACAGTTTTTGGACTCCCAGCCAGCCATCGCGGAGCACATCCGCAAGTGTGGGGACAGGCCAAGCGCCGTGTTCGATGAAGCTCATCGTCACCAGAAATGGGTTCGATCCGATTGGAGACAAGTAAACGTTGAGAAGGTAATTCGGAAGTTTGCTGGCCGTCAGTACCTGATAAGGGCTATCTTTGTTCTAACCCGCAGATGGAAGTCACACTTCGGCTCAAGTTCACTCAGCATAAAGATCTAAAGGCCTTGCTTCTTGGCACTGGTGATGCTGAGCTAGTTGAGGTAAAATTAGGTGATTATGGGAATTTCTTATCTCTGATCTCGTGGATAGGACTCCCCAAAGGACTTCTTCTGGGGGATAGGTGCTGACGGCTCTGGACGCAATGAGCTAGGCAAAGCACTCGAGAGAGTGCGCGATGAGCTTCGTAAGTATCCATTCACGAACTACCATAACTATTTAATTACCAGCCCATGTAAAGGGCACGACAACAAACCAAGTAGGGTGCCCCCGGTCAAGCGTGACACGTCTCGATTCTCGTTACAAGACCTATCGTCGCTAGTTGTAGCGGCAGCGCCCCAACCTCCGATCCAAGCATCGCAACGCCGTTCCGTTGTTTCCATAAGCATGGGAATCAGCTCGCCCTCAGTAGTGCTACCTCAACCTCAATTCCAAGCGCTGCAGCGTTTCTCCATTGTTCCTGCAGGTATGGCAGTCAGCCCACAGTCAGCATCTCCTCTCGACGCTGGCCTTTGTGAGGTCCGTTGATGTTATCCTTGGCTTCACGCTTCTCACTTTTTGTAGTTCTGCCAGCAGAAACCGAAATATCAACACCATCCTTACTGTGGCAGGACATGCGCTACACAAGCAGCGACCATGTGCAACGTTAGTTTATATTTCCGGCCGACGGTATGTCGTTCTGACCCAGACATTCTTTAGCATTGTCGCAGCAAACCAAAGTACGGCAAGCATCCTTACTGTTCAAGGACTTGCGCTGTGCAAGCCGGCAAGGCAACCTAGGCTTCAAAAAATCTTCCCGTTTGGATAATTTGTACTGTAAGATTATGCTAGGTGGTTTGCGAGTCCATATTTGCTATCTATTAATGATTCTCTCTGTCTGCGGACATCCAATTACCGTCTGTTCCACTAGCTAGGCGTTGATACCCTGAGTCAGGGTCAATTGGAGTGTCACTGATGTTCTCAATCGGCGACGAATTACTACCTTCGGTAGATCTTGCTCTGTTTTTGCTGTTCGCCCCATTCGTTCCGAATCAATAACAACAATTGAAATAGAATTGATGAATAGAATCAGAAAGTTGGATTTTGGCTATTAGTCTAGGAGCGGTCTGGGAACCGCGCAGCGGCACCCACTTGTAACAATTATGGTACAAACAATTGGAGACGAGTTGAAGAACTAAATATATCTTACATGAACTATTCATTAGACTCGTTCAAGCATCCGAAAGAAAGCACTCGTCGAAGACGATCTGCGAGACATCAAAACATTAGCTGGCCGAACAGAAAGAATGCAAGGAGAAGACATGCCTCGGATAGGACTGAGAGCTCTAGCCGGGCTGAACGCTCGTTTGGGACTCGTAGCACGAGTCAATTCCTTTCCTCCGAGAGTCGGACTCGCAGGAGGGGAAAATACGCTGCTTTTGGTCACAAAATTAACAGGCAGGTTCATGTCGGAACCCGAAGCCTCTTGAGCGCCTTGTACAGGCGATGCAGGGCGGGAAAGGACCATCGCAATGCTGTCGTGATACCCAGCCTCATCGAGTCCGCTGCGAATGGTGCTCCTATTGCTGCGTCGCCCACGTGTTTGGGGTGCTGATGCATCGAGCAGCTTCGTTTGTGTGTGTAATGCACTCGATTTAATATGAGTGGCACTGGGCTTTCGACTGCGAGGGGGTGAATAAGGGTCCTTCGCATAGACCTTTCGCGTTGGGTGTGTGTCGCACAAGTGGCCTGATGTGGCACCCATGTCCATAAGCGATTTGGAGCGATCGCGAACCTTTCTCGAAGGTTTATTAAGTGGTGAAGACTCCGTGGAAGAGTGTCCAGGTTCCTTTTCCTTTTGGGTGTGCGCAGACAAAACACTGATGACATCAGACATATCACCAATGTTGTGGATGTGCAAATGAAATTTGAGCGCTTCGAGATCGCGAAGGACATTAGTGCATCCAGGACGTTGACAACGAATCATGCCTCTAGGAGTGCAGTGACCAGCCCGAACCATTTCCAATCCCTGAAGCTGCTGTACAGACATTAGTATGAAGCAGCATGGGGTGCGAGTAGTACTTACCGCCTGCGCTACGCCCTCCGGGTCATGATGAAACAGACGAATCTCTGGCTCGGGACGCTTCTCAAGATCAATCGTGGATTGTCCGTCATCAGTTACGGGATGGGTATATGTCGAATCCCTGTTGTTAGGAGTAATTGGAAGTTCCTTAGCAGTGTTGAGGGGGCAAACATATCCAGTCTCTTGGTCCTCAATTCTCCCATGCCGTTGTAGATATTCCTGGACGACTTTCTGGGCCTCGGTTACTCTGTCGGGCTCTTGATATTTCTTGACGAGTTCCTGAGCTTCAGACAGAACGGAATCGCTGTGCTTGGGGTCTGCACCACATGCCATAGGTCCAGAAGTAAATTCCCATGAGGATACGAAATCGGTGTAAAGGCTTGAATCGTCATCGGCATCCTCTTCATCGAGATACATGAATGACATCCCCTCTGCAATTTGAGAGGGAAGGAAGGTGGCGTATCTGCGAGTATCTACATTGGAGTCGTCGAATACATTGACGCTCATGACAGTAGCTGATTCTGAGCTCGACATGGTTAACTGACAAAAGTGAAAGCAGGAGGCACAGAGAGAAGCAGGGAAGGAGGAGGCTAGTGAGGTACTCCATGAAGAGTAATCTGTGGTGTTTTATATGCGCTAGATGTGGACCTTCGACGCTTTCGTGGATGTGGACGCTTCAAGTTGGTGGAACTCAGGCTGTGCGTTGGTCCACTGCAAAGTTTCAATGACCTCCATTTTGGGCACAACCCAGTTCTAGGGTTAGGGTCCCCTTTTCAACGAACTAGTGCATGAGACTTGAAGTCACCAACCAACCAACACTGACACTAACTTCGACATGTCAGTAATTTGTACTTCCCTTCCCCCGATAATGCGCATCAGGGCTCACTCGCGAATGAACCCAATGCATGGTTCGTATCGTGGAACTCATAGATGGGACGGTGTAATCAACACGAGCCAAGCTCGCTCCTTCGTCGCACTGGCGGCTTCGCCTAGGTCTTCATCCCATGCTACCAACAGAAAATCACGCTCTGTTCACACTAATCCCCGACTTCAACCAGCGTATTCTGGCCACATACCACTCACTTCATTTGAAAATGGATTTCTCGCAGTTGGCTCTGCACTCATGTCTCTCATAGATACTCGTCGCGCGGGCAAGCACTTCCTGATCTTTTATAGTGGGTACATTTCACTGACAAGTTCAATGTTAGACATGGTTGCAGCTTGCGGAGAAACCACTGCTGGGCCAACTCTGGTAAAGTTGAGGGATATAATGCTGGAGTCTCCAGAAGGTCGACGCATTCTCAAACAAATGCCACGTATTAATTCGCAGACCTTGGACTTGAAGAAGTTGCGGTGCCTTCCAGAGAACACCTTCGGACGTGCCTATGTAGGGTGGCTTGATACTTGCAAAGTCTCACCCGATTCTCGAGAGCCCGTAGGGTCATCTTCATTCCAGGCTGTGCATACCAGATACTCACCACTAAGGACCCAGGTGCACTATATAGATGACCCAGAGCTGGCATATGTCATGCAGCGCTATCGCGAGACGCACGACTTCTATCATGCCCTCTTTGGATTTAAAGTCTCGGCCCTTCCCGAACTTGCACTCAAAGCTTTTGAGTTTACGAATCTAGGCTTCCCCATGACTGCATTGTCTATGGGAGCCTCAATAAGACTTAAGCCACATCAGCGAGCCCGACTTTGGTGGGAGTTTGTCCCTTGGGCTGCGAGATGCGGGAGTCATGCGAGGTGCTTGCTTACAGTGTATTGGGAGGAGAGGTGGGGACAGGATCTGGACGAAATGAAGAAGGAATTTGGTGTCTGGGATCCACCGGCAGGGATTACCATCCCGCGACCCTCGCGTGTTGACTTCCCCTGACACATACCAACATGGTGATAGGCAATTGACATTTGTTTTCAATTTCGCGGGTCCTGTGGAGCTACAGCATGTGGAACCGACTGTGTAGATCGATATCGTTGAATACCCCCTATCGCCCGGCTATCGATCCTGTGCATTGAGTCTACCCGCCAACACAGTTCCGCCTATGGGATCTAGAACGCCTAGACTTATTTCAAAATCTGGGATGTTATGCTGTCATATATTTAAGCTTAAAGGTATCTGATAAAACATACACCTCGAAGTATGAAGTATGAAGCTGAGCCTCTGCGTCTTCAGATGTTTGGTTTTATCCTTTTGGACAGATGCATAGTCCGCGTGGGCACCTCAACTCAATCCAACTCAGGTATATGTTCATCTGTCTAACAGGGTCTCCTTTCGTCCTAACAGAATCATACGTCGTACATTGTAGCTGTCTATAGGCAGTCATAAAATCATTTACCAGGTATTCTGAGGGTGGCAACGCGGAGATCATCCAGATCAACAGCTGGGAACTTCATCCCCTGCTATGACCGCTCAGGTGCGCCGATCGAGTGATGCTCTTTGAGAACTCAAGTTTGACAAGTAGAACAGCTTGCCTTCCGGCCTCTGTGCAGACCACTCGGCCTTCACGTGCTTGAAGTGAGCAAATAGATCTGGCGTCACTGCGGGCTCACCTCAAACTTGAATGCAAGCTGAAGAATAATTCGCGCCCGTGAAACGTCGCGCTTGTGCTTGCGCGTCAGTACTCCAGTGGTTACGTCAAGGTTCCACGTCAATGGCGCGTCACAATCGCGTCAAAATAGCTACTACTACTACGTCCTGACGGACTGTTACATCACATAGGTTTGTTGCATTCAACGGTTCCTACTCCAATCAAAAAGTTGAACTCAGCTCATCAGTCCTTGTTGCGAGTTAGCTTCACAAGGAGATATCTTATTCCACGCCACATTGCCGCCGGCTGACATTGTTTCACAAGATAGATCTGATTAGGTAGCAATATGCTGGCATTGACCTTGCTCCAGTAGGTGATATCTTGTTCCACGCCTAATTGCCAATAGGCCCTGGCTCACAAGGTAGATCTTAGGTAGCAATCCGCTGGATTTTCAGGTGGACTTAGTTCTCCTACATAAAGAACAGTATTCAGCTCGTAGAGGTAAGGTGTTTTCCTACTTTCCCTTTCAGATTTATTTGAGCCCATACTAGTATTACATCCTCACGAACAATGCGTTTCGCCTTTGTTCTCGCTATTGTTGCTGCCTTAATATCTGCCACTGATGCTGCCAGTGACTGTCCTTTTTTCTGCACGCATTCACATGAGTGCTGTCCTGATAAGCCGGTTTGTGTGAGTATGAATAGTTTGTATTTAACTAAGTGACTCACTGGCGTGGTAGTTCTTGTTCGTGTGCCCCGGTCAAAGTATGGTTACTTTCTTGGGAGAGGGTTGTGTAACGGTGTCTTGATCGCTTGAGCGAGGAACCGCGTCAGAATCGAAGGCAAACCCAAAGCACGACCATCATAGAAGTTATGGAAGTTTCCAACGGTTGATTTCAGTATTTTTACTTGAGATATCACGAGCACTCTTCTCATATTACTGAACCATTCATCCGTCCCTTGGAATTTCATAAACTACGCTGTTATCTGGTTGTACCTCCATCTAAAGTCTACATAACTTCTATCTGCCGTCCCATATTTATTAACCTTCCCCTTCCCCTTCCCCTTGCCTTCTCTTTTACATAAAAACAATCTCTATCACCTCGTCGACCGGTCTGGCCTACCACATTATTCGACGGTAACACACATAAATCCCGCTCAGCTCCATTACAACATGCGCTCGCACACTTGCGCTAGAGTCATCAAGTGTAAAGAGACGCGTTCGGAAATCTCATTGTTAACCAACTATCTAGCGCTCAACCTCCAGCGGAGGGCCCCAGCACTGTTGGGGCTACGCTGCCCGACTTTGTCAAGTCCCCTCTGACTTTGGTTGGGCGGTCCTCGATCACCAGAAACATTAGTCCGTCTGCATCTGGACCCGTCCCCTTGTACAGCGACGTGGTCTGTGCTAGAATGTTGACACACTGTACAGTCATCCAAAACTGAAGAAGTCCATGAACCGTGTTTTCTATACTGTAGCGAACGCCTACATAACCATAACTACCATGCTAAGATGCGTATCTACAACTCTTGATGTGCATGCATTGTGAGTGACATAAAATAACGAGGCATATACACAACAAAGCGAGAGACCAAAAATCAAAGGAAAAAAATGCCGCAAAGAACAAATGCAACGATAACATGCTTGACATACGTGAAATTCCATTCCATGCGCGTCGTCTCCCTTTCTTCGTTATCCTTTTCATTATCTCTTAAACCCTCCGAAAAATGGCACTCCTCCCTATCGTGCTTGAACTTGAGGTCAGGCTGGGTAATTTGGACTTTTGCGCGCTAATGGCGGGCGCTGGCAGTCTGGATGAAGGTAGCGCTCCACCAGTGGGACGGGGTAGCCCTGAAGCCATGCCTACAGTCGCAAAGCGTGATGGCGGGCGCAAGCTCTTTGATGCAGCAGTGGTATTAGATGCGGTCGGTATCTTCGCTGGCGGAGCCTTGCTAAGCGATGACGCGGTAGGTTTCAACAACCTTGATTTGAGCGTCCCGCCAGGTGGTTTTATCGTCTGTGCAGGTTGGGAGGGCATGCACGTCTCAACGGGTGAACGGGGAGGCTCGGTAGCTTTTGTGCGCAGACCGAGGACGCTTGTGAGTTTGCCCTTCATGCCCAGTGTAGGGTGTGCACCCTCTTCAGGCTTGCAAAACATGCTCGCCTTAAGGTCGGCAGGCATTAGCCCAGGAGGAGGGCGGCGCACACCCATTAGTATTGGTTTGTGGACCGGGGCGGGAGGTATAGTCGGTGCCACCTGCTCCTCTGTACTACTTCCAGCAGACGATGAACCCGCACTAGACAAGGAAGTTGTCCTGTCATGTGCTTTGGACCGCTTCACGATACGGAGCGCATGTACTGGGGCTGCGGGAACTGGTGCAACGAATGCCTGCGAAACCCTCGGTGGTGTCACTATTGGCACTGTAGGGGAAGTCATCGGGGATAAAGGTGCAGACGCCTTCAGCGACTCAGACACTTCATGATTGGGTGCAGCAACCGAGGGTGACCGGGGGGAGGGCGACGACAATTTCATTCCGGGAGACAAGCTGCTACGTCTTGTCGTCAATCTTACGGCTGCAGGGGAAGCTGATACAATGGCATGAAAAAGAGAGAAGATATTTCAAAGATACGAACGTACCATTCGCAGCAACGGCAGGAGGTGACGGCTGTGGCGTCGGACTAGATCCAGATTGTGGTGCTACAAGTAGCGTTGTTTGAATATCAAATACATCTAACAATAGAACACACTCACCTGGAGAGCCAGCAACGTCTGTAAGTGTAGTCGCTGCATTCTTCTCCTTGATTCGTTTGGTAAGGGCCTCCAACATCTCTTCCTCGGCTTGCATGTCGAAATCATCGGCGTCGATCGCAAAAGCATCACCACCAAAGAACGAGATCCTGTCATTTAAAAGATCAAAAGACGTGTCAGGACAATTTAGTTGGAGGTTGAACGAAGAGTGGAGATCCACGGAGTTTCGGCGCGGATTAAATGATGGCGAAGATGTTGTGTGTGCTCGAGCACGTAAACGAGGACGTGCGGTTGGGACAGTTAATGTGTCGTGCGAAGGAGATGACTGGGTCTGATCTTTGGAAGGAGGTGACAATGAGACATCGGATGGAGTTAGCGTTGATTCTGAGAGGTGTGTACGCGTGAGGAGGGCAGTCGACGGTGACGGTGATAGTTGTGCTGTAGATGAACCTAAGTTTCCTTCTCTCGACACAACGATGGTAGGAGTGGCATGTTCAGGAATGCGCCCTACCGATGACACATTTTGATCTGTGAAGTTGATAGCATTGATTACAGAAGCTAGTGGTGAGCTAGCCGGTGCCAAGGTAGCGTGACTCGCGCGGATCGCTGTCACTGGTGTGGAGTAACGTTCTACGCCAGGATTTGGAGCTTCGGAGGAAGCTAGAGTGAGCTTTACTACTTTGCGCGGGACGGGTGTGGCATCCATAGAGATATCGGCAAGAGGAGTGCGCTGAACATGAGGAGTGGGAGTCTGTTCTGATAGTGGTATTTGCGCGGAATTGTAGCGATGATGCGTCTGTCTCGGAGGACTGTTCATCGGCGTGGCCAGCGAGTCTTGTTCATCTATGTCCATACTTTCATGAACAAGTGACATATTGTCGACGTCATCTTCAGGCTCTTCTTCGATAGTGAGCCCATTAAGAAGATCGGCGGTTTCATCCATGATAGTCATGTCGCCGACATCAACTAGACGAGTTCTGAGAACTACTGGGGAGTAGTGCTTGCTTTCCGTCTTGTAAGTACGGTTGAAGAATGCTGTCATCGTGAGCCTGTCGGATTCATAGTAGGATTCATAGCTTGGCTCAGCGTTTTCCTTGTCAGATCCAGAGAGCGAGTCTGGCGTTGTGACTTCGCTCCTCGGAGTCGCATTGAGCGGATCAAAAAGGTTGAGAACGCTGTATCTCGGACGACTCATTGCGGTACAAAGTTAAGAGTGAAGAACAGCAGCAGTCCTCCAGAGTCCACTCAAACCAACACTTCGTGACAAACGCGTGACACGTTGCGTTTCAAGTCACGTTTTCTTCTAACGCGGTCACGTGGCCGGCTGCGGGCGGTCCGGCGTCCACTCTGATCAGTGATAACCCAAACAATATCTTGTTCTTTGCAATGGGAAGGAATATTTCGATGCCTACGTAGTTGTTCATCATTGATTACACAAACTTACCGCCTTCGCAGCATATTCCTCCAGATGGTCGGTATACCATCTCGCCACGATGTCACTATTGGATGTACAACATCACGATGTCCTAGAACTTACTTACGAAGGGAAAGGCATTAGTCAACCCTTATCTCTTCACGTCCCAGCCAGCTGCACTACATAGCAATGCTGAAGGATCCCAAGTCGCGCTCATCGACGGAGTGCGCGACTCTTTTGGTATAACTACTGTTGTGATTTCAATCGTGTGCATCGAGAGGAATCTAGCTTACAGGAAATGGATCTTTATCCCTGCTTTCGCCCAAGGAATCTGGTGTTGGAGCGAAAGCGGTCACCACGGTTTTGACGTGTTCAAAATCATGATCCTTCTAACCCGGTTGTGTAATCGTTGAGCTCAGTTCCTACGTGAAGAACGCCCCCCTTTTCCTCTTAGATTCGATGGAAAGGCCCTTTTATTCCAACAATACAGGATTAAAAGTTAATCACAAACACTTTGACGTGATGCTTTTGTGCATTATTCATAGATGTAAGGAAAATTCATCAAAACCTAATTTATTTTAAAAACGCTTTCGGTATGCACGAGTCGGAACTTCTCCCTTCCTCCATCACCAATGTCTCCTGATGCCCCGATCTCGTTTCTGATGAAGAATTTAAATTCAAGTCCACATGAATGCCCTTTTTGAAATGTGCAGAACTGATGTTGGAAATCTCGATTTCGTAGACTGTCTGTGGCTGCAGGTAGGACTCCCGGGCAATGGAACTGGATGAGCTATTAATCAGTGTCTTGTTTTATTACCGCTGAGGGCGACTCACTTAGCGAGAAGACATGTAGCATATACTACCATGCCAGGAAGTCAGAACGTTTAATGTACTTGAGCGATAACAAGAAGATTCTCACGGCATCCCATAGGGAAACACATATACAGATGCTTGATGACGAAACTGAAGACTGCCCACTGCATCTTTGTTAGAGCAATGATTTAGGAATGAGATAGATAAGGGCATACAATTCCAAGAGCACTGAATGCCGCCACGCTATACAAGGAGTAAGTATACGCCCATCGTCAATGTTAATGGACAGACGTGGTAACCAAGCCCGTCTGTGAGCAAAAAATTATGATTTTCGTGATCATTCGGTTAGTTCTAGTCACGAAGAAGGTGAATTTGGTGCTCATTTGGTGCTTGAACTCATCAATCACCTTGGTGATTCAGTTCTATTACTGTGAAGAATGTAGGCCAAAGTACCAGCGATTAGAATGTCACCAATTGCCGAACAACCAATTGAGATCGGGGGAGCCCACTTAATCCTCATGAGTTACATCCTGATCAACGGAAGAACGAACTTACAAGAGCCATTGTGTAGTAAGTATAATCACTTATTTTGAAGCTATCTCTCGTGTTGATGAATGCTTGGCAGCGCGACATTGGGAATCGGACCTACATCATACAAATAGCCTTGAGAAAACCAAAGACTATTTCCATTGATTAAACAACAACTCTCCGTTGCAGGATAAATCACTGCACCTTGCTCCATCACACAAAATGCGATCTAATTAACGCAATTAATCACCTTTTCCGAGGCAGCCCAATGCAGTCCCTACCAGAACAAATGACATTCTCCATTTATCACAGAGACTCTTCTCAACTTCATACGAGCATTAGAGAGAATCATAATAGTAGTATCTTAATGACACGTACGTCTGCAAACCCGACAGATAAAAACGGCATGCACAAGAGATGTTGTGAAGGTCTGTGAGACGACGGTAAGCATGAAGTCAGGACCAGGAGAAGAAAGCTCTACTAACACATATTCCAGTGTAAATCGCCCATTCTCTGTCGTTCAGTCAGAAAGAGCATCGATGAATCACAGGTGATACTGACATCGAGATACGGCTAATGAATTGGGGGAAATCCTCGAAATCCACTGAACGAACGCTCACGATCCGAGAAGTCATTCCCCTAGCAGTAATTACAACGTCATGCAAACATACTTTCGATATGGACTCACATTTGAGCAGCTTGCATCAACCTGTGAAGTGACGTCAGTCTTCAAGTCAAGGCACAATTGGTGTTATTTACCAAATGATGGCAACCTGTGCTGCGTTATCAGCCGTCAGTCTGTGCTATGTGATCTAAATCATACCAGGAGTTTGCTCTGCCAGTTTTCTCGAGATCGAATAGTATGCCTCCTGAAATAGATCCAGACTTGCGCAGTCAAAATCAAGAAAACACTATCATATCGTCCGTTATCAGATAGTCGCTGGTATGGTTCTCGATGAAACAATCGTACATCGATGATATACCGAGACCAGTCATCAGGGACGCCACGCTTTCGTTGTATGCCACCGTAGCCATAGAATTCAGATTCTATGGAGCTCGAGAATGATTAATGAGATGTAGATTGGGATACAAAGAAGAAGAGTGATTCATTTTACAGTATATTTCTGAGTGCTGTCTGTCATGTCCCGCTACTACCGGTGACCGGAACGGCCGGTGACTAGAATGAAAGAAGCATCTACTATCAGCACCACTAGATCCTCGGGCCCGACACCCACGGTATGATACCGCGCAAACGATATTGGGGCGAGTAGGTCGCGAGAGGTTAGAACTTATGAGCCGTTCCGTCGAAGTCATGATGAAGTTTGGATTGTGGCTGTGCAAGCACATCCGATCTATTTATCGTCAACTACCCATCTGCATCAAGCAGGATTTGTGCACGGCGGCGTTCGAACCAAAATAAGTCTCGTAGGTAGAGAAGGATGAGGCATTTTAGGTAATAAACTATCTGTATTCCTTCTACTAACGGTCTGACTATGGCCGGTGAATGTAACTATAGTGGATGTTGAGCAGCTTCTCGATACATGCTTACGATGATAACCTAACTACGACAACACCGAGATGGCGGCATTATACCCAAAGGATTATAACGACTCAACTCAACGAGAGGACGCTTTCGAGGAATCTGCTCCTCCTTGTATTACCAATGTTTCCTGATGCCCGGTGTGATTGTCTGGTAAGCCTACATGAATCGCCTGCGTGAAACGTGCAAAACTGATTTCAGCATTTTCGGTTTGGTGGACTGTCTGTGGCTGCAGGTAGGATTCCCGAGCGATGAAGCTGAGCAAGATATCAGTAGTCTCTTCTATTACCGCTGCGAACGACTCACTTGGCGAGAAGACATGTAGCATATACTGTCAAGCCAGGACGTCAGAACATTCCACGTACTTGAGTTGATAACAACAAGACTCTCACGGCCTCCAATAGGAAAACACATATATAGATGGTTAATACCGAAACGGCAAGCTGCACACTGCATTTTGGTCAGAGCATGACTAACGCACGAGATGAAGCACTCACAAGTCCCATAGTAATAAATGCCGCCACGCTACACCGGAAGTAGTGAGTACATACCCATCATGTGTCAATGCCAAAGAACTTGCGTTGTAATTAAACCCGTTTGCGAGCAGAATATAACAAGTTTCGTGATCATTTGGTTCGTTCTGAACACCGAGACGGTCAATCACAGAGGTTAATTCATCCTCAAACTAATTAATCACCTTGACGATATAACCCTGTGTTTGTGGAGAATATAAGCCAAAGTTCCAGCGATAAGAATATCATTGATTGCTGAACAACCAAGCGAGATCGAAATAGACCACTTCATCCTTGTGAGTTGCATCCTGATCAGGGGTAGAACAGACTTACAATAACCTCGGCACTGTAGTTAGGATGATCACGTCGTTTGAAGCTGTTTGCCGTATTTGAGAAACACCTGACAAGGCGATACTGATGAAATTAGACCTACATGCAGATTGTACTAAGAAGACCAAAAACTGTTTTCCGTGATTAAGGAGCGATTATTCGTTGCAAGATGAACTACCGCACCTTGCTCCATGACCAAAAATGCAATCTGATTAGCGCAATTAGTCGCTGTTTCCGAAGCAGCTAAACACAGTGCCTACCAAAGCGAATGACATTCTCCGTCTGCCACAGAGACTCTTCTCAACTTCACGTGCATCAGAAAGAAGTATGATAATAGTAAGTTAGCAACACATACGTCTGAAAACCCTACGTATGAAAACGCCATGCACAAGGGACGTGGTCAAGGACTGCGGAACGACAGTGAGCTTAATTAGGTCGAGACCGGGGGAAGAAAGGCCCCACTTACACCTATTCCAGTGTAAATCGCCCATTCCCTGTTGCTCTATCAGAAAGCGCCTTGACGAGTCACCGTCGGTACTAACGTCAACAAATAACCAATGAAATGGGATCTATCCTCGAACTCCATCGTATGAATGCACGAGAGCCGAGTAGTAATTACCCTAGCAGGACTTCCAATAGCCAATACATACATTTTCCATAGGGACTCACATTTGAGCAGCTTGTATTAACCTGTAACGCGAACGTCAATCTTTCCGTCAACTGCTGCATGCATAACATGCTTGATTGAAGATATTTACCAGATGAAAATAACCTGTTCCGCACTGTCAGCGATCAGTCTGTGATGTGCAACGTAAACTCGTACGAAAGCTTTGTTCTGCCTGTTTTCCCGAGATCGGATTTTCTGTCTCCAGAAATAGATCCAGACTTGTGCGCTCAAAATTAAGAAAACTCTATCGGCCTTCGTTAGTATATTGCCGTCGATATGGTTCTCGATAACACAAACACACATAGATGATATACCAAGACCAGTCATAAAAAAAGCCATGTTTGCGCCAGCGAAACTGTACATCGGCGACTGGTCATGGCGAATGTAGTTGCTGATTTTCAGGCTTCTATGAAGGATGAGATGTAGATCGAAGGAAGAAGAAGAATCATACAGTATGTTTTTAACTAGTGCTATCTAGCATCGCTATTGATGGGACCGCTAACTACAGAAGGCCGTGAATGTTTCAGCTAGAGTACAAGGAGATATGAGTGAGGCGCTCAGCCAACTATGGTACTGAGATCTAACCTGAAGAGCTGTGGGATCATCATTTAATGGAATTTCAGTACTGTTCGGAACTTAGTATTCGGAACTTTGTTGTCAGCGCCAGTAGTGATTTGTGGCTGTGCACCACTAGTCCACTACCAGCCCCGAGCAGATTTACGGAAGGCCATGCCCGACAACCTGTTTATACGATTTTACTCGCTCACGATATAATGATTCATACTTCCAGAATGCACTGGCCAAGAAGTTCGATATCTCGTGTGCGTAAGATCTGGCACTTAAGGTTCAAACGTTCACCCATCTCGACTCCAGCAGACAGAGGTCTTCCAACGCCATACACGAGGTCTAATGCACGTATAGACGTTTTCCGTTCCGTCTGGCAGATGCCTATCAAGGGCGAGTGTATCATTCAATTTCTGGCTGGGCGTCATCGCTGATGTCTTTTGCGCAGTGCGTAAAGACACAATAAACTACAGGGCACGGCTCCGCCTCAGCTTTCATCCAGTTTCTACTTAGAGAAACTAATCCTTAAAAGAACTGACCCACGGACGCAAGGAGACAAGGAGCATTTGTCAATTCCGAGTTAGAGTTGAGTATCCCTTCTATTTGGTCTAGCTAGGGGAGACTAAGGTTGTGTGGCTGACTTGTTTGTGATTATGGATTGCATTCCGTGGACCGCGCACCGCGGCCATGTTTCTTGTTATATTTATTTTTAGTATTCACTTCACCCAGAACTTTTCCATTCACTGATGAGTCTCAGGGCGCGAAATCATCATGCGTGAGTCATGTGGCATAGATTTGTGTGTCGTCATAACCCTCCAGAAATAATCAAGGCAATGACTGTCCTAAGAAGGCGTCATGGCGCCGAGTATCCGAAATCACTGAGGCAGATGCTCTCGCAGAGGCTGTAGATAGCATCACCCTCAGTCGGATGATACAATATCCGGGAGCTGTCAAGGTGTCGCACTTTGTGGGATCAGTCCTCCAGAACCAATTTGCGTCTGTATCATTTCGTGAACAATGTGGTACCACTTAGCTAGGCCTCTGTCGTCAACATCTTCACAGTCACGGAGCGCCGCAGACTGCAACCGGAGTCTGATAGTTCCGATGGACGTCATACGCAGCACGCCGCTCGGTATACTTGACAGTTGTAGAGTTGGAGTCAATAAAATGGCGTGCATGGGACCACCCTTACTTTATTCCATCTGCATCCTTTCGACTCCTGTACCTGCCCGCACCTGCGGCCGAGTACGCGTTATAGTTTCCATACCGACAGCTCATATCACTTATAAATTGTTCATATAAATCATCTCACCTTCGACGGGTTGCGCGTCTAAAACGGCCGGCGGGGACGGCAGACTGATGGGGCACGTCTCACATCAGGGCATTTGCGGACTCAGAGATGCGTTGGGGGCACCGGGGGCCCCTAGACTAGTTAGTATTGTCCTCCATAGAGTACTACTCTCCATAGGACATGAAAATTGAATCAAAAAAAATGACGGGAGTAATAGATGTGCTTGTCTTTCAAGTGCAGACTTTGCGACAACAAGAACTAGATCATGAAGCTTTGAAGAACTATCAGTCAAGTCGGCGCCGTGGCCGCGTATCTCAAATACAACACAACCTGAGTTCGACCAGAAAGTTGACTGCCATCGGTTGATTTACGAAATGAGGGGTTGTCCGTTTCGCCCAGCTTCGTCTAATGCGCAAACAATGGGGTTAATGCGTTGGGACCGAGCGCGGGCTGTTGAATGACCAGGTCATGATAGATAGCTGGACATCGCATTCCGCTGTCGATGTATCAACGAAGCAAATAATGGGATCGGAATGTACGGTCCGGGTGAAGAGACAAAGCAACCACAGACAAAGAATGCCAGCTAGACGTGCGCGTGGTGCCGGCTCCTTCCGAGCACTCAAAACCGGCGATATCCATGTTGATCATGATACCGTGCTTGACATTGATTGTGCACAAAGGATCATTATCTTCCACACCTACTCGTTTGTCTAGTGATCTCATCACAGATTTCCTGGAAAGCATCAAAGGGAAATTGTATTTTGAACGAAAGCAACAACGTTTTGTAAACAAAGGGACGTGAGCATCCGATACTAGTGAGCAAAGGGTTGATAAGCACGCTCTGAATCTTCGCCTTTGACACTCACCCACATTATTTAAGATGAATCTTATCCGTGAATTCCTTCGCAGTGGCGTACCGGTACGCCCGTCACCTTTCACCTCTTCCCTAGCAGTCGTTATAGAATCGCACGTTCGACGCTAAGTTCGTGTTGAATCACAGTATCTGCTCCCATCGAGGACTGACTTACCGCTGAATCCCATCACCTTGTCCTCGTCGTCATCATCTTCCGACTCTCCCTCCTCCCAATTTTCTCCGCTCGCGTCAAATGAGGAGGCGGCTTGCGGGCGCAGTTCTGGATTAAACGGAAAAATCCAGTCTCTTCTCCTGGTCAGTTCTCTATCTACCTATAAATTTAGTCAGTTACTCGTTCCGTTCATAGAAGAGATTAGCTCACCTCTAGCTTGAGGATGCCCGGGCACTTGCCCCTGTGCTTGACCCACAGTCCAGGATAGTACCTGGAGCGCTTGTCAAGGCTGATGGCCTTCTGACATCCGCGGCACCTGACGGATGTGGGTTGTACATCTTCGGTGTACTCGTCGTTCTCAAGCTCCTGTTTTCTCTGGTCCTCCTTTTTTCTCCGTTTGCTACCGCCCGCGATGACTTCATCGTCGCGATTGCCGTGATTGGTACCCAAGCTCTCTGGAACGGACTGCGGAGGGCTCAGCGCGTATTGTGGGTCGTTTGCGTCGGAGCGGGAGGTGAATTGGCGAGCGTATAAAGCCCGCCCTTACAGACCAACGAGTGATCATTCAAGAGGCGACTGACCGTGGGCCAGTCGGTGCCAACGGCATAAACGAAAACGACTGGACACCTGTACCTACCGCAATTCAGCGTGTGGGTTTGGGCGGTCGTTTGTTTTATGCTGTTGTTGCGTTGACTGGTAACGCAGTCATAGTCTGATGATTGCACGACGGCTGAGGGACTGGCGGTTGATTTTTGCATTTGCTTCGCTGGGGGAAGTGTCCTTTCAGATGTAGATGAGGAATTTGTTGCAGTGGCGCGAAGTTTTTCTTTTCTTTTAAGGCCTTTCTCGGAGTTGTATTGTTCACCCTCAAATACACGTGGTATTTTTCATTCCGATTTCTGTCTATTCAGGTAACGTGCCCCAATACTAACTAATCTGCAACACCTGGACTCGCAAATACCCCAGCGTGAGGGAATACACGCAGTCCATCTCTCCGTGACGTGAAGTGTAAGTGCGTAAAGTACACATGATATTCCAAGGCGGACAATCACTCTTATGAGAGTCATTCACAGCAGTATCTAATTCCTTGTCACTCTCCTGGATGAATTGACGATCACAAGGCTTCACAAGCCGTAGGGTACGTTTTCTCGTCGTGAAAATGAACCCTGCCTGACATGATCGTTCCAGAGAACCATCAGAAGTCAAGTTAGTAAATCTACTCTGGCCGCCGCCAGGACAAATTCTGGTTTTTCCCACATGTTTGGAACTTCTTTAGGCCTACAATGGGGACGGTGAAGACACTTAGTCATGATGGTGCCTTTCTTGCGGGCGGTCACCGGTCAGTTCTGTTGTCGTCTTCTTGTCCAGTATCTTTACCTGCACAATGCCAGATTCCGCGCGCATAACCTAGTTCCCCAACTGACGGGCAGGGCTTGGATTCAGGCATACAAGATGTAGCAGGTTCGTGACCATGTTTCCGTTCAAGCGACTTGATTCGCACAGTTTAATCTAGAGTGAAAATCGGCCCTGGTTGCAAAAGGCATCTCCCCTCACCTTTGCTGAAATTCTATGAAGCAGAACGACTTCCAGCCATATAAAAAATCCTCGCCGAATTGAACAATAAATTCTCAATTGTTTCGGACACGCAATCTTACTTTCAACTTTCAAGCGATGACGAACTTAAAAACCTTGCTTATACCGATGATGCCGGCGAGTTTCTTGTTGCTGTAGATCTTGTCATGTTACTGGTCCAAATCAATCACTTTTTATCTTCTCAGTCCCATGTAGCACACCGTTGTGCTGTTTACTGCTAGGTGTTACAAGTATCCAACATTCCGGACAGCACTTCTTCCCATACCAGCAGAAGACACCGATCGTCTATCTACGCACGCCCACAGAGTTTAGTTGTGATAAATCCGCGATTAAACATGATGGCTGATATGCAGATGCAGCGTACAAGGTTACGAAGGTTCCACGTTCACCGAGAAGTTCAGCCAACCGTGCCTTGTCTGTCCCTTCAATAGGTTCACACAGTCGCTCAATGGGCGGCAGGGCCTGGTTCGCAAGGTGGTGCTCGTAATTCATGGTGAGTTTACCTACAGCCTTCTTGATCTCCTCTGGATTTGGCACGATTTGCTTGTGCGGTATTTACGATCTATTCATCAGCAGCGACGCAGAACAGTGCTTTACGTGCGATATAGCATAGTCCTCATTAGTAACTTCACCCGACGCCGTTGGTTGACAGGGTTGCAATAAGTCATGAACCAGATGAACGCAACCTGTTCTGTGTTGTCAGGTGATATACGACACAATTTCGTGCGAGAAGTTCGCTCACTGTATAAATTTCTTAAGATCGAATTTTGTACCTTCCGAAATAGATCCAGACTTGCGCGGTCAAGATGAAGAAAGCTCTATTGACCTTCGTTAGATGGTCGCCGATATGGTTCTCGATAACGCAATCATACAGATATACAAATACCAGTAATCAGTGGTGGAGACATGCCTCAGTCTAGCGAAATTGTTGTGCCACCGTGACTTGAGTCGATGGAACTTAATTAACATATACCGACCTCCCCCGATTCTATGAAGGATGTGATATAGATCGAAGGGAATATATAACCACTGGCATATTGAGTGCTATCTAACCAGCGTCGCTACTATTATCGGTAACTGCAAAGGAAGGAGAACGTTTCCGCTAGGGCGCGAAATCAGATCAGCGCTTAGCCTAGGATGTAGCGAAACTTTGACAACCATTTTTGTAAAATTTGTCAGCAGTAGAATGAATTGTGGCTTGAAGCGCCTGAGAACCACTACCAAGTAATCTCTAAGTGCGCACGATCTCTGCAAGTGACAGACCTTTGTGGAGGGCCATAGACAGCCCTATCGTTGACCTTTTATACAGTCTTTACTCGCTCACGACCGCCAGCTACCCCAGTCATGCCTCCAAAGAAGCAGAACGTACCTTCTGGTTCGAAGGTCAAGGATGACAAGGTAGATTATCATACAGCTATATCTCAGGAAAGAACTGATCGATCAGTTACTCTACGAAGACTTTTGGCATGAAGAATGTAAGTAGTCATACACTTCTTGTTGACATTTTTCTTGACCGTGTACACAGAAAAATAAATCTGCCAAGGTCCAGAAGCAGGTGCAGATTTTGCAGCAGCAACAAGCTATGACTGGAAAGTCCAAGGAAGCGATTGCAAAGGAGAAAGAAAAGGAACTACGCGAGAAAGCGAAACTCGAGGAGGAGAAGCGCAGGAAAGAGGAAGCTGCTTTGTTCAAACCTGTTCAGACACAGAAAGTACCTTTCGGAGTCGATCCCAAAACGGTGCTTTGCGCTTTCTACAAAGCTGGAAACTGTGAGAAGGGTAACAAGTGCAAATTCAGCCATGACCTCAATGTTGGTCGCAAGGTGGAGAAGAGGAATTTGTATGAAGATAGCAGGGAAGACAAGATGAAAGGTACGGTGTTCATGGATCAACTGGTCGAGTCTCTCATCGTGTCCTTTATCAGATACTATGGAGAACTGGGACGAAGAGAAGCTACGGAATGTAGTCCTATCGAGGCACGGCAATCCTAGAACAACGACAGACGTGGGTCAGGATGCATCACCGCTCGGACCTCTACTCAACGTACGTATAGATCGTGTGCAAATTTTTTATCGAGGCTATCGAGACCCAAAAGTGCGGAAATTTTGAACTCTGCATTTTGACCGACTTACAGTCATTTTCATTCAAGGTTTGGGTGGTTCTGGGAATGCCCTAATGGAAACGAAAAATGCCAATATAGGCATGCTTTACCTCCTGGGTTTGTGCTCAAATCGGAGCGCAAGGCAGCTGAAGAGGCAGCGAAAGCCAACACCATCAGTCTGGAAGACTTCCTTGAAATTCAGGCGAGTGTAATCAAGGAGTTACACAAATTCCCAAGGATCTCACGTTGCAAAATTACAGCGCCACAAACTAGGGTCAAATTTAACTCCAGTCACTCCAGAGACTTTCGCGGTATGGAAGAAAACTAGAATGGACAAGAAAGAGGCCGAGGTAGATGCATTGCGGAAAGCGAAAGAGACGCAACATGCGGCTGGTAAGAACTCGGGCATGAGTGGGCGAGATTTGGTACGTAGCAATAGGACAATACACAATCATCCCTTATTAACCCAAGAGAATTCTAGTTCCAATACAATCCAGAATGGTTCGAAGACGACGACGAAGAAACCGAAGACTGGGATCTATCAGTATACCGTCGGGAGCAAGGCGACTTGGAAGATGTTGGAAGGGTTGAAGACGACGTTCAAAACGTCAGGATATATAATGATAATGGAGATGGCGATTCTGGGGGGGCATTATCGGATAGCACGTAGGATATTTTATTGTGTATTTTGCTTCAGGAAGTCATATACATTCACCATTGTCACCTGACCATTCATTCATGAGTGTATTTACATGCACGGTTAACATGTCGACATCTAAAAGTCGCTTAATCTGCGTGACTACAAAGTTCACCGCTCCGACTCGGAAGACCCCAATAATTCAACCGAGACGTTGAACTTCTACTTCGTTCATTTATTTCTCTATTTGCAAGTCGACTCTTCCTATAGTTCGAACTAGATCTTAGTATACAAAAATGTCTCGTATTCCTCAACCATCTCCACGTCCAACGGTGAAGACGACCCTCGTGCCTCCTTCTCGCTCACGGGCTCCGTCGCCATCCAAGCCTGCCGCCAGTGCATCCTCTCCTCGCGTGAGGACTAAGTCGGTCCCAAAATCTCCGTCTAAGGCTATTCGTAGGCCACCACCCGTAGAAAATGAGCCACCTGTTCCCAAAATAACATTGAGCATCAAGGAAGCTGTCGCTCTGAAGCGGGCTGAAGCCAGAAAGGCCATATCTACTTCTTCATCTCGAGTAGGCCTTGGCAATAGTGCAGGCTTTGGTGATTTTGAGAACCTCGAAGATGCAGATCCGGTGGTAGCGAAGAAGAACGAAGAAGAAACACCCGAATTAGGGAGGTGGTCTGTGAAAGAGACCATTGAGCGTGCTCGAAGCACAGGTGAGTGGATGTAATTCGTGTTAGATGCGTGCCGTTGATCATACAAGGTCACTATTGCAGGTGCCATCAATTTGTCTTCTCGCTCTCTACCATGCATTCCTTCTGCCTTGTTTGACATTCATTTGGGAGTAACTCCTGATCCATTGAAGTCGGTAGCTTCAGAGCCACCCATATCGTCCTCCACGGATACTTCAAGTTCGTCCAGGCGGACTGGCCAACGAGAAGGTCCAGCGTGGTTTGAAGCCCAAGACTTGCATGTGCTCAAAGCGTGGAATAACGATATTGTCGAAATACAGCACGAAATCTCTCTCTTTGGATCACTGAAGACTGTTGATGTAAGTGTTGACCACGTCCTCCCGTGATAGATGGTATTTATATATGGTCTATTGCAAGTTGCATCAAAACAAGATTGTTCTCCTACCTGATACCTTTGCCGACCTTACGGCTTTGACTACCCTAGATCTTTCTCATAATTCCCTCACGGCGCTACCTTCAAATATCTTCGCCTTACCCAATCTCACGATCATGAATCTGTCCCACAACGCCCTTAGCGAGCTCTCCTTTGGTGCCCCGTTCCCGAAGTCTTCCTCACACAAAGCGCGAAACGATACCTTCAGTTCCGGCGGATTCTTTGGTCCTGTCATCACAAGAGCTTCGTCGCCACTGCCACGCCTGTCTGTCCTGGACGCGTCTCACAATAAGCTCACCGCTTCTACCATAGACCACGCCAATCTGCCTCCGTTGATGACAAAAGCTGACCTTGCCGCGAATCCCTTGGCTTTGGGAGACTCTAATTCGACACCTGCGTTTATTCGAGCCCTTAGTCACTTGGAACATCTCAAGGAACTTCGCTGTGAAACCGCCGACATCGGCGATGATGCTTTCCCCAGTAACTTATCCACTTCGAAAAGTCATTGTTTCCCTCGGTTGCAGATCCTTGATATGGGTGAAACTCGGGCTACCATGGAAGGCTTGCAATCTGCATTATCTGGGCTGAAACAGGATATTACGTACGATTTTACTACTGAGCAGCCCCCCGAAGGCACTCTGAGGGTGTCTGTCGGCAAAAAGGTTGTTCGGGAAGCTTGGGAGATAGAGACAGAGAGAAGGATGAAGAGTCGTGCGTCTAAAAGTGTGACAGATGCTGACAGTGCTAGTGGTTCCAGCAAAACAGACATAGGTCAAAGCAATGTGGATGTAGTCAAGGAGGCTTGGGAGATTGAGGCGGAACAGGGTTTGTTAACAGAGGGTGGACGGCGACGGGCAAGAGCGGCGGCGGTAATGTCTGCAGCAGATACTGCGGCACCTTTGAAGTCTATTCCCCTTATCGGACACGGACGCCCACCTACGCCTGCTAGCACCTCGCAACTATCATCGAGCACAAGTTTAACAAACCCGCAATACTACCATGCCACCACTCAAACGCTCACTTTGCCCCCGCTCTCAGCTCCGACAAAGAGTCATGCCCGATCCTTCTCTTTAGCAACTCCATTCTCGAGTGCACCGTCTTCTCAAGGCAAAACTGATTTTACTCTGCCTACACCGACCCTTCCCCTCGCTGCCATATCAGCTCAGTCGTTCGCACAAACGCTTAAGACTCTTGTGTTGAGCAACCGCAAATTCGATCTTTGCGTTTCTCTCCCAACCACTGGCAAGGTCTTACTTCCAAGCCTAGAGGAACTCGTTCTGGATGGGTGCGGATTCGGTGATCAAGTCTCCGTGACACATCGAGCTGATACGGGGACTACCACTCCTCCGCGCTCAAACGACACACTTCTACCTTTATTGACACGCTTTTTCCCGAGCCTTCGGATATTGGATCTGTCTTATAACGCTCTCACGTCAGCTTCGCTGCAGCAGGACGTCTTGTCTTCCCTCATCCTGGCTGACAGCTCCAATTCTCGTAAAGGTCTCAGGCACCTCAGACTCCGTGGCAATCGGATCAACGATCTTGATGCTTTCCAGGGCATCGCAGATCTGTTCAAAGGTAACCGTTCGGTGCCCGATTGGAAATTAGAGGAACTAGATCTCAGAGATAACGAAATTTCCAAGCTTCCTGCAGAACTTGGTCTTCTGCCTTTGGACGTCTTCTTGGTGGATGGTAACTTGTGAGTGGTTCGGCATGCGTTGATTGTATAGTGATGTTTACGCGCTTGGTAGGTTCCGTATACCCCAAAGGAGGGTTTGGGAAAGGGAAGGGACGAGGGGCCTTTTGAGCTGGCTGAGAGGTCGCTTGGAATGATACCCACACCGATGTGACTCCTTGCAATCGTCTTCCTTAGTTTGATAGCGATATGTTCTCCCGCTGTCTTTAAATTGCGAGTTGACGATGCAAACTTTTGATTCAGTGACTATTGAGTGGGCCAAGCTTTCAGTTCGGAGTTCCTACCTTGCTGAAAAACGAGATCAGACACGCTTCAGTTGCTTGTGTATCAGTGCAAGCAGCATCATGCTGCGTGAGGTGGATGGTAGGTCTGCCACTGGTGACAATATTGCAATATTGAAAAGGTTCCAAGGTAAGTTGTTATGCGGCCGGCCAATGGAAAGAAAAAGCGCCATATCCCAGTCTGATTAATGCATCAATAGCGATGTCAGTCAAACCACTAATAACTGGTCTGTCGTCCATCAACCATACTGCACCCATGCGAAAGCAGAAACACGACTCACTGTAATCCACTGCCCCGACATGCCACTCAAACCCGACCTGAGCCTGTTACACATTCCCAGACGCCGGTGAGTCATGTGGTTAAAGGATGCAACCTACTCATACTCACCGTAACACTAATTCCTGCAAGCATATTACCATCACAGTACTTTAGAGGGACACTCATCACCGAGGCTGTCAGTGGGAACCGCAGATATCGATGTTGTCGAAGCAGCAACAACGGCGAGGACGAAGACGCGTATGATTTATGAGCATGTGAATGGCATCAAATAAATCTGAAGGGACAGCAGGAGGATGGCCTGCTTTTAGGTGCTGAATATTTTGCGCTCCATGGCGCTTTACGGTTCGACAGCAACTTCGTCAAGATTTTGGCGTGGCAATCTCGACTACATGCACTGCCTTCTCTCCGATAGGGTCAGGTAAGAGTCTCGTGGTACGAGATTACTGCATGCAATGATAAACATAGTCACATAGGTGATGAAACACATTATGCTCCTCAGAATCGTGATTCGGACAGTGCCACGGAGCCGGCAAAATTAACTCGTCATCGAGTCCATAGCATTATCTAACAAAACTCAAGTCGTGCTCAAGGGTGAAATACAAGCTCAATTTAGGTATAATGTGTAAATTGATATGGCGAGATCATATAACTTCTGACGGCGATCGCCTCCATAACGAATCCTTCGGCTCAATGTTGCAAAGATCACGTATGCTCTTCACCCATTCCTCACGTCTACCTCTGCACGAAGTGAGATAGCTAAGTTGCTCCGGCGTGGGATGGTGGACGAGAAACATAAACAAATAGTCTGACATGTTGTTCTGTTGGACCACTGAAAAGGTATTTTCTCCACTTCTGATGAAAGCAGAGACATCGATGCAATTATCTGGAGTAACCTGTTAAATAAAGCTTATCAACTTCATTGTAATTTAGTATGTATACTGATACTCACGAAAATCGGTGGAGCTAACGGAATGATAAAATTCTTCCCATCCCGCTTCGTCTGCAATGAAAGATCCCCAGATGTGGGCCACGAACATGGCGAATGCATCAGTGTCTCATAGCATGGCGTAAGTTCATTAGCTTCTAGTGGATTGGATGGGAGACTAGGGAGATGATAGCAAGCGAACGACATACAGAGACTTTGTCCCAAATCTCTGTGAGCCGCTAAATTTGCGTACGGACAAGAGAAAATTGTCACATACGATGTCAATGAGGACTTAGTACGCTTCGACTTCGCCCACCGAGCAATGTGGGAATAACGTGAATCATCGAGGTTGAAAGTGATGTTAAGGGTCTTGCGACCTGATCCAAGTCCTCGCCAATATATCATCACAACCATTTCCCCTCCAAATCTCGGGGAATTGGGCTGTGGAGTAGTAACTGGACACGACAGAACTTCGCCTTTTTTGGCTCCCACATGGTCCGAGGATGTTGCGAGTGGCTTCGTTGGAGCTAGGGATTTCGTGTTTTGTTTTAGCGAAGACGTAGTAAAATCGGGAACGATGTTTTCTGGCGCACCTGAGGGATGTATCTCTGAATCTCGAGGCATATTTTCTGGTTGTGGGTCGCTCGTAGCAATATCAGTTACAGCGGATGTGATTTTTTCTTCGTTTGGCTGCTTAACCTCCACAGGAGCTGGAGCCTGGGTAAAAGTACTCGACCGATGAATAGTTTCCACAGCTGTAGATTGGTTCGCTGCCTTCAGTTCACTGGGTGGCGGTCTTGGATATATCCTTCCTGGCATGCGAGATGGCTTTGACTTCTCTGCAGCAGGGGCCCCTACTACACTGTTATTCAATAATACAAGCGTACCAGGTTGAGCAGCTGGATCCACCACAGGATTTGCGATCTTTGAATCACAAGCAGCTACTGTCTGTTGCACCTTAAGGCATTGCAGGTCGCGGTTTTTGATGTGCTCGGATAGTGAAGATCCCTCAGGCTTGAGTCGGCGCTTAGGCTGCAGTTTGGGGATAGCTCTAACTTCTCGGGATCCGACACTGGGCGGGAGAGCTGCTGAGCATGATATAGACGTAGTATTGAAAGTCTGCGTTGCCTATGAATTGGTATGTCAGATCACGAATGAACAGGGCGTGTGGCATATCTTACAGACGATTGAACTGACACCGCTTGCGAACTGCTAGGGAATGTTAGCTGCATGCTTGGGGTCGCGTCCCGGGCCAGTGTGACTGCAGGCATACGTAGCGCTGAGGTAGTGTTCTAAACAAGATCATGCCATCCCTCGAACCAGTACAGACTAATCTTAGTACGTCCACGAGAAGAAAGGGAGAAGAACTGCACAGTTGATGACCAAGTGGGCATAAAGCAAAGACTTTTCTTTCCAATCTAAGGGTTCCTTTGTCAAAAACTGTAGACAATGCTAAATTTTGCGACGAAGCAACCTTTATAGATTGAGAAGCCGTAGCGTGCGACCCCACATCAACAAAGGCTGAGCTCGTCTGATCCAACTTTTGTGCGGTGCATAACTTTGTGTTTGTTGTCATGCAGCGGTCTTAGTAGCGGTAGCGAGAGCAAAAGGAATTGTTTGCTATATAGTTTTCGGGTGGAAGCCCCGATAGCGGCCCCAACCTGTGCGAGAGAGAGCCGAGGTGAGCTGCGAGGGCGAGTGAGGAGCAGGTCTAGGTACCAGCCACCAGGGCCCCTGGAAGAAGGATGTAGTACTAGTATGTAGTTGAAGTTGACTACCTTTCAGTATCAGTAGCAATGTAGGCTGCGAGGGTCCTAGAGACAACGAGGACGAGGGAGTGGTGAGCGGGGAAGAGCAAAGCAGAAGGCAGCAGGCAAGTTTGAGCCTGCTGGAGCGTGGCGCGAGCACTGCGTCTGCATTGCCGCTGCCACAAAGTCCTAATTCTAACCCTACGCTCATGCCTCGCTTCGGGGTAGACTGTCAACATATGTACAAACTCATTGAATCATATTTGAAGCATGTATACGCAGATTTGATCTTGTCCCACAAGTACTAATGTCATGTACTACCACTGTCGCGACATCATGATGCCAATCAACTCGCTACACATTCCAAGATGACCTACAATACCAGTGAGCCGTGTAGTTGAGGGATGCAACCTACCCATAGTCACTGTAACGCGAATTCCAGCAAGCATGTATTGACCATCGCAGCACTTTAGAGGGACATTCACCATCGAGGCCGTCGATGGGAGTGACAGATATGCATGTACTGCTCCGATATCATCTACAGCAAGACTCAGGAAGAGCAACTCACGTACCAATTGTACATGTTGCGCGTACCATGCATCTGTGAGTTGAACCGGTGTGAGATGACAGATGTATGAAATGTGATGGTAGTATGTGCTCAGGCTGGGAGGAACTGGAGGTTGCAGGAAGTTCTGGTGGTAAATTCTGTGGTCAGCTTGAAGACGAAGCTGCCAACGCTGTGGCAGCACTTGTTCGTTTGCCCCCAAGAAGTACCATAAACCTTGGCTTGACTGACACAGTCAGGATTTCCTGCAAGAAGTTCCCCGATTCATCATGCACGTCACATCTCTGGGTAGCAAAAGAGCACCTGTGATGGTGATGAGGTCGTTCCTGCGCTTGTATGATGATAGCGAGCTGTAGAATACCTTCGTTTTGATATAGAGTCTGCCGCGCGACTTCCGCAATGAAATTAGCATTGCAGGAACTCGAAAAATGCATAATCATACCAACATGCTGTTAGATTTAATGACCGACGTCGGCAGCCACGGCAGGTGACAGGGTGATGTTGCTGTCGCGCTGAAAACACAATCCCACCATTTCTCAACGGATTTATTTTGTTTCACTTGAAATATGCTGGTATAGTATGTAGAACCTACTCAGTGAAGTAGCTAAGCAACTGCTTTAAGATTGAGTGTTGTAGAGAAAATTCACGAAATAATAGATCGTGATGAATAGAGTGTAAGGATAGTATAACTTTCAGAAAGCACAACTTAGAGGGTTGGATTTACCAGTAGTCAGAAGATGCTTGAGCACTGCGTCATTCCTTTCCTTTGAGAAGTTTGTCCACCGTCAAATTTATATCACTTAAGTGAACGGGAAAGCTTAGGCAATGCATGTTTAACAGTAGTTAACACAGGGGACTGGTTTCGCTTGGTCAGATGAGATTGTGAGTGCATTAAGAAATTGAGGATGATGAACAAGAATAACTTACAGTGAATAAACAGTGAACAAGCTTGATGGAATCAACACGTACAGCGCATGAATGGTGTTTAAGTTCTCGGCATCGCATTCTTATCGAATCATCTTCTCGAACGTCCGTAAGTTGGGAATGATAACCGGAAAACTAGTTGCTTTCCGAAGGGAAGCTGAAGCCATCGCGGGACATGAAAGTGAATTCCATTTCATGGACAGACTATCACATAAAAAAGGTTTCGGCGCAATTACTGGGCCTAGTTAGGATGGACCTCCGAGGATCTATACACCGCAAAAATATTGTCAGTAGGTTTCGAACCAACTCCAGGAGGCACATATTGTGAGTCCGTCGTGCCAACCACTTGGCTAAGACTACTTGGATGGACTGCTGAGGAATCCATTTATGAGTCAATGTCAAGGTGTGTTCCGATAGAAAAAGGCCTCATTCGGCAGGTTTCGAACCTGCGCAGTCGAAGGGAAACAGATTTTGATTTGATTTCTGTTGCGGAAACCACCGGGCTATAAGACTAGTTAAGATGGACCTCCAAGGAAGCCATGCACGAGTGAATCTTCAAGGCATGATCCGATAGCACAAAAGACTTGTCATCGGTAGGTTTTGAACCTGCACGACACAGTCCAAGAGACAGATTTAAATTCTGTCCTGGCAACCACTTTGGTCAGGATGAAGCTGAGATGTAGCTCCGAGGAAACCATCCATGAGCGAATCCTCAAGACGTGTTCCAATAGAAAAAAACACTAATCCATCGGCAAGTTTCGAACCTGCGCAGTCTAAGAGAAACAGATTTCGATTCTGCTGTGGAAACCACTTAGCTAAGACCAGTTGGACGAACCTTCGACGAAACCATCCATGAGTGAATGTCAAGGTGTGTTCCGACAGAGAGAAAGACTTGCCGTCGGCGGATTTCTGTTGGGGTAATCACCTTAGCTAGTATGCTTCGCAAGTTGGGATGAACTTCCGAAGAACTGAATGTCTAAGGCGTGAAATTTTGAAAGATTGTTGAGCAGGTTTCGAACCTGCAACAAAATTCTGTCCTGTTACGCTTACCCGTCGATGCCCACTGGAGTCTCTCTCGGGTACCTCTCATCCCCGGGCAGAAAGCGACAAGTCTATCTGTACATCTCTCTCAGTCGTATACAAGCGCGGTTTATAAGGGCTTCTGGTAGGGTAAGGATGCGGAAATTCACAAGACTGTCTAGCCTAGTGCTCTCAATGACGATTCAATGATACAATCGGGTGATTTACTTGCCTGTTATACGATACGATATGATTTTCCATGCAGGGACTGTCTGGGCATGGGTGGGAGATCCCCATTGTTCGACAAGAATCCAGCTACAATATCTCTAGCGTCCTGACATTCATCATGTCCCTAACTCGTGCGATGATATTGCAACCCGAAGCGATTCTTTTATACTCCCCACCCCGCTGCTGCGCTAGTAAAAGTGCACTAAAAGGCTGTCCAAGGCGAACGACTAATGCCAACTCTCGCGTGTGAGATCGCGAATCAGCCGGTCCCTGTTGCCCTAGCCAAAGTGCGCCCAAGCGCTGTCCGAGGCGAACGATTAAGCTCGACTCCCGCGTCAGAGACTGCGGACTAGCCGGCTCGTTATCTGAAGGAGACCCAGGCTCAGGCCTATCGTCCGTGCTCTGCGTCTCGTCTGCAAAGTCGGGCAGCCCAAGATCATGACGATTCCATGGACGTATGAGCAAGAATTTCTGTGAGGTGGGCCTTTCGGGCCAGAATTGAACCAGTGTGTCCGTCGTTGTGATTTCCAGGTCTTGAAGTCCATCTGCCTTTATATGATAAGTGCAAGGTGTACCGACCCTCCGTTTGACTTTTGTGACTGGAAATGTGATGCAAGGCAGTTGCAGTCTGCAGTTGGCGAAGCGAGGAGCACTGAGGTTGTCAAGGATGGTGTAGAGCTTCAAAGCTGACTCCTGATCCACATTATTTCGCAGCGAGGAGACCGATGACTGAATCTCGTCTTCGGATGGAGATGATGGTGTGCATGGCGGGCCTCTGTATGAGGCAATATCAGCTGGCAGACAGCTATTGAAGCTGGACGACTGTCCAACCCAGTCCAGGGCTGTGATGTCGCCCGAGTGAGCGATGATCTCCTGCAAGAGACGTCCGAGCGCGTTTTGTTTCTTCTCTCCGTAGATGACAGGTAGATGAATGCAGAAAATGCCAAACAATGAGTATGCAATGTCTTCCTGCAATGTGGTGACACGGCATGATGCCCATTGAAGTTTCTCTCGGGCATCTTTCATTCCCGGGCTGAAGACGACGAGCGCCCCCGCATTTATACCAGTTGAACGCTCCAACTCCTGCATGATACTGGCAGACTCCTTGTGGTTGGGTGAGCAGTCGTCGAGATATAGGGTCCAGTCTGCTTGGTAGAAGAGAACAATTGTAGGAGCGAGGAACTCCTGAACAGTCCATCCTCGGGTGTTCCAAACACTGTTTGCCAGTGCGCCAGACTTTGACGAAGGGGAAACATCCAATAGATAGATAATGGTGAGTGCTGAGTGGTGATACCAGACGAACATGGAGTGGACCGATTGTTGGAGCTCGACGTTATTGTTCTGGTCGATACAGCATGTATCGCTCCACGCCCAATAATGTCCTGCATCGCGAGCGATTTTGCAGAACTTCTGCAGCTTCACTATAGTTCCAGCTGGACGCAAGGTATACACGTCCTTGTCCTGGATTTCGTGCAGCCGCGGCTCCTTGGTTTCCCACCTATGGGATAACATGACCCAACTGAAGTACTTCACGACCACTTCTCTGATAGGCTCCGTTTGGAGGGGCCTATGCAGCATTGATGATGATAAGATCTCCTTGTACATTGTGCTTTTCATGAAGGTATTTATCTGTGCCTGTCGATCACATAGGTTCCCAGTGACGGTGTTAATTAGACGAAGGGGGGCATTTTCCAGGACATCATGTATGGCTTGTCGAATAGCATTTTCTACTTCAGATGGACTGACATATTGCTGGCGCAACTCTGAAAAAAAGTAAATCATCTTCAATTTGGCTCCTGAGGTATTGTTGGCTTACGTCGTATCTGTGAGTCGGGTGCATCATCCAACTTGGAAAGCATGATTTTGAAGGCCGCGATTGCGTCATCATAGCGCTGTGCTCCGTAAAGAACTGCATGCTTCAGTTTGTACCCAAGGTAAGACGATGGGTTGATTTCGATAACCTATGAATCAGCAGTTCGTCACCATAGCTAAAACATTGTCAGATATTGTCTGCACCTTTTCGGCGTCCGAAAGGGCCTCAGGATGGAGGTTTTGTCCCAACTTCACCTTACTGCGGTGTGCAAAGTAAGAGTCAGATGAAGAATATAGCTGGACTGCTGCCGAAAGTGTGTTCTTGATTGACCAGAGCTGAACCTCGCCATAGAGGTCTCCGACCACGACCGATTCTGCATTGGGAGAAATGGCGACGCATGTAACATCCACGATGTGTTTGAGTTGTTGTCCTATTTGCTTGTGTGACTTTGTGCTCCAATGTTGCACAGTCCTGTCGTCCGAGGCAGTTGCAATGAAGGAGCCATCAGAAGAGATGGCGAGCGAGTTAATGTCAGAAGTGTGACTAGTGCAAGGTTGACCGATCTGGTATCCATTCGAGGAGTCCCAGAACTTGACTTGTTTGTCATATGATGCAGAGACAAGTTGCTGGCTGTCAGGCGTCCACGCAACGCTGAGAACCCAACTTTCATGAGCGTTGATTTTGAAAACAAGTTCGGCGTTATCTGTGCGCCAAATCCAAATGGTACGCAATGATCCAGATGCTAATTTTAGACCATCTGGGTTGAATGCGACACTCGACACCCCACGCAGATGACCCTGGAGTGTTGAGAGGGCAGCGCCAGTCTCTACATCCCACATAATCACTGTCGAATCATATGACCCGCTTGCAAGTCTCTTGCCATCGGGGGAGAAGCACATCGAAGTCACCCAATTTGTATGCTTCGCCAGCGGATTGAATAACATCTGCTTGCTCTCGACGTCCCAGATGATGATGGTGTTATCTTTTCCACCGCTCGCAATTTGCCTGTCGTCCGGCGATACCGCAACTGAAAACACCTTTTTACTGTGTCCCATGAATGGCCCCCCTACCACTACTCCTTTCTGTATGTTACAAATTCGCAGGGTGCAGTCCCAAGAACCAGTGACGACCCGTCGACCGTCTTTGAAGAATGCGACTACCGACACTTTGTCCATGTGCAATCGCATCGTTTGCATTGGCGCCGGCATCGCGCGCCTTCTCACAGTATGCTTTTTCTTGTTTGCTACATCAAGTAGTCCTGACATGTCGTGATGGCCTAGACAAGGAGACAGATGGTCAGTAGTTTTTCGAGTTTATGAGAAGCATACCTTATAGTTACACACCGGGAGTTTGGGAGTTTTTCACTATGCAAGATTTGTTTCGAAATGTTAGAGTCCGTTCGGGAAGGATTATTTTGCCCAACTTTGCCCGACTTGAAAAAATAAAATCCGATTAAGTAAGCTCGGAGCTTGAAGCTGATGTCACGCTGATTGGCGTTATCAGTAACAAAAAACATATGCCACACATACTATCGCCATGCTCCCCTGTCTCTTACACCACACTGACAACCCTTCCGCTGATGACGATATGGTGGTCGAACAGGATGAGCAGGATGAGCGGGATGCACAGGATGAGCAGGATGAGCAGGCTGATGGGCAGGGCGTTGAGGATGCAGAGCAGTCAGATATCAAGAACCTCTGAGCTATCATAAACTTTTTCCAGGATATGGTTGTTTCAGCATCTGAAGTTGTCAGTCTTGCCAGGGATGCCCTTAACTCCTATACAAACACATATTACAACAAACAACCATACCATACTTCAGCTCTGTCTGGGATTGACTGGGTCAATGAGCTTCTGAACGGCCATCCAGAACAAATCCGATGTGAGCTCAGTGTACGCCACCATGTATTCATTGTATTGTGGGATATACTTCATGATGGTGGAATAACCAACTCAAAAAATGTAATGTTGGAAGAGCAGCTGGCTATCTTCCTGTACACCTGTGTTACAGGCCTTGCTGTACAGCACCTTGCCAAGTGTTTTCAATGCTCAAATGATACTATATCGAGGTATGTCTACTAGCTCTCATCCTTACATTTGTTTAATATTCTACAAGGTATTTCAAATGGATTCTGATTGCATTGTCCTCCCAACCAATATATTCCACCTATGTCTGGCTTCCAAATGCACAAACTCTAATACCTGCTGAAATCCTCAAGATGAAAAAATTATATCCCTACTTTGCCGATGTAATCAGTGCCATCGATGGCACTCACATTGTGTGCCATCCCAATGCTGTTGATCGTGATGCCACTCACGACTGCAAGGGCAATTTAACACAAAATTGCCTTGTCACATGCAATTTTGACATGCGGTTCACTTGCATGCTAAGTGGCTTCCCAGGGTCCACAGCAGACACTTGCCTTTACAATGAGGCTCACCTAACCAATTTCACCATCCCTCTGGGCAAGTTGTACCTTGCAGATGCAGGATTTGCCGCATGTGATGAGTTACTCATGCCTTACCACGGTGTGTACTACCACCTGGCTGAATGGGGCTGGGCAAATATGCTGTATGTTATCCCACTGACTTACCACCCTAGTACTTATTTTTTTCAGGCCTCACAATCCAAAGGAACTATATAATCTATGTCATGCGCAGCTCTGCAATGTCATTGAACGTATCTTCGGTGTGTTGAAAAAGCAGTTCCAGATTATTCGCATCCCTCCCAAGTACAACTTAGATATCCAATCTTGCATCCCTCCAGTGTTGTGTTTCATACACAATGTCATCCAATTCCACGACCCTGACGATATACTAGACTATCATCATGTGGATTCCGATGAGTGGGGGGCTCCTTATGACAGCGGCATGCTTGCTGATGGGCCACCCACCAATGCGGCATGCACCTGTGCACACAAAGTCCGTGATGAAATCATGCAATCAATGTGGGTTGATTATCTTCAAGAAAGGCTTCGCAGAGGCCAGCCTTTACTGCCTGATGTACAAGTAGAATAGTGAGGCTGTTTGTCATTTGTCATTTTTATTGTCATTTTTGTTGTTGTTGTGTTTGACTCACTCAATGTACAATGTATTGTTCCCTTGCTGCTAATTCAGTCTTGATTGTGCAAACACAAGTCCATTGATTGCAGTATGAATGAGTGAGATACATCATGGAGTTCAACTAGTTATATTTTCCTTTGCCCGCACTTCCCTCACTTCCTGTAGGCACCATGCTAAAAAAACCTCATGGACACCATCCTGTAGGATTGCATTATAATTATTGGCGATGGTGACGTCAGCTTGGAAAAGATCCATCATGGTGACCACCTCATGATCATTCAAGCTCTTTTCTTCTTGCACCCGAAGGACAGCGCACTGCTTACAGGCTGGGACAGGATCGGTCAAATGGCCAGCAACAGTGTCCCGAAACAACGAAGTGGCGTCAGCTATGCAATCGATGACTTTCTCCCCCAACTCTTCCAACACAAGTGGCATAGTGAGCCATTGAGATTTCGATGATCCCACTACACTCCTTAATTGGAATGTGGGGGGTGGGAATGAGTGCACAAGGAATCATCCCCATCAGATTTGTACTTCATTGCAAGTGATGAAGTAGATGTAGAAGTTATTGAAGGAGACATGAAGGGCTGGAGTGCTGCATTGAAACCTCTCAGTGTGACAGGTGTGTGAGGCGGCGGCGGCATTGACCTAGAGTCACTGCCCATCTCAACATTGCCAGAGCTACTAGGACTGAACTCAACCCAGTCAAGCACTTTCTCAAGCATTGACATGGCCTCATCACCCTCACCACTTGTGATGTTGCTACTGGCTGTTGGCGTATCTGTATTGTGGCCCATGGTCGCAGCCTGGCTCAAGCCAGCATAGAAGCCAGTCCAGCTGCTTGCAGTCACTGGGATGACACCCTGCAGCTTCTCAAAATGCAGCCATCCTTTTTTTTTGAAGGCCTTTGCATCGGGGTTCTTCTGTGTGAATGGTTAGTGTGGTAGAGCAGGAGAGATGGACAATACATACTGAAATGTAGTCCATCCACATAGTCTCGCCTTCATCATCAATATTAGCCCCTTTTTCGAAGTCATACGATACACCTGAAGCGTTGCTCAGTTTGTCAACCACCTTAAACACTTTTCTTAACTAAAAATGTGTCAGTTTCAGTACTGGCACTCAGAGACGAGTACTTATGCAGCTCCATTTAGATTGACAGGAATCAGCCGTCTTGGGAGCACCCTCAGGCACTGGACCTGCTGCCATATGTAGGGCAGCATTATTCCAGAAGGTCCTGGTGAAGTTCATCCCATCTCCCGCTTTGGAATGCTTGTCTGCGATATAGTCAACCAGCCTCATTTCATCAGCCAAAGACCAGATGCAGCAATCTCTCGTCTCTCCAGCAGAGTCTTGATCATCGGTGGCCACCTTCTTCTTGCCCTTTCCTTTCCCTTTGGGTGGCATCCTCAGGCTGGTGGCACTGCGTAAATGGTCAGACCTTGTTTGCATCCAGGTTGAGGGCATATTAGTGTGATAAGCCTACTGACTGTCACTGATCTGTCACAGTCATCTGGCACACTGGCAAGCTTACTTAATCGGATTTTAGTTTTCAAGTCAGGCAAAGTTGGGCAAAATAATCCTTCCTGAACGGACTCTTAGTGATCAAGTTGGCATTCTCACTATACATTTTGACACGGTAAAAATGAGAAAAATTGGATGAGTGGCCAAATCCTGGGCGAAATTCTACATTTTATGAATCATTTTGACATTGTAAAAGAAAGACATTTCACTGACAGCAAGATCTGAAGAAAAATGATCGAACATTTTGATTCAAATCTTGCACATAGGGTAAAATTCCTTTCCAATTAGGTAAAATGTGTTTCGAAATTTTTATTTCAAATTCTCCTCAAATTTCACCCCATGTAAGATTTGAATCAAAATGTTTGATCATTTTTCTTCAGATCTTGCTGTCAGTGAAATGTCTTTCGTTTACAACATCAAAATGATTCATAAAATGTAGAATTTCGCCCAGGATTTGGCCACTCATCCAATTTTTCTCATTTTTACCGTGTCAAAATGTATAGTAAGAATGCCAACTTTATCACTAACATTTCGAAACAAATCTTGCATAGTGAAAAACTCCCAAACCCCCAATGTGTTATGTCGTCAATCGTATGTGTCGTGAGTAGAGTTTGATTTCTGCCCACTTGTAACTTATCTCATGTAGGCGCTTATCCGGCTGGGTTACTAAGTAACCATACTAGAACTGTCACGGCGTATCTTACAACCACAGTTCTATGGGCACCCCTGGATTTTCTCGCCAGCTTATAATTATCACTGATCACCCATTTTCCAGCCAAGTCATTACCGTTCTCGATCAGAACAGTAGTATCCTTTAAGTCCATTTCATACAATGTGATCAACTGATTTTACTGATTTAAACTGGAGCCGCGCCGTGTGCAAGCATGTGACACTCTGGACTACCTCTGCCGGCATCTCCTTCGTAGCTATTACCCACCTGTGTGAATTCAAGGATGTGGTGATATTCGGGGTCAGCGAGCCATCACGCGCTGTGATCGAAAAGGTCGAGCGTAAAGTCACAAAGGCTGGCGAAAGGTACCGCTGCGCGCGGACCGCACTAAACAGCCTGTGTGATCTACTTGTAGAGCATAGTTTTGTGTACCTCCTTTTGTAATGAACACTACCCGTTGATACGGTTCTGTCCAACAGGCGAGGAGTACGTAAGAAAGGAAGAAAACCCTTCAACAAAATCCGTCCACTTCGTTGACCTTGCAGGGTTCTGGACCAAGTACTCGCGCCATGATCCTCTCGTGTTTACAAGTAGGAATCCTTGCCACTTCGCTGGCCATTTTCCGTGCAGGAATAGTGAAAGCATCTCCAAGTTTGCCTCGCAGTGGTACGTATTATCCTAGACACTTACACAAATCATGTATACACTCAGATTCTACCAGCATCTTCAAGACAGGTGGAATTTCCAGCGGTTGATGTGCCCTCTCATATCAACCCGTATCCTGATAAACCACGTATCACCTTCAGTTCTTCTGGGACTTTTAAGTTGACCGTATTCTCGGATCTTCATTATGGCGAAAATCCCTGGGATGATTGGGGACCTCAACAGGATGTTAATAGCAAACGCCTGATGCGCGGTGTACTGGCTACTGAGAAGCCTGACTACGTGTATGAATTGTGTTCACTTTCCTCCAAGTTGGATGTTAGTAACGACACAGCGTCTCCAGCGTACTGAATGGAGATTTAATCACTGGCGAAGGTGCGCTCAAATTGACTTGGGCTGATTGTTACCCCTAGTGACATTCCCTTGTTTTACATAGATACTTTTCGGGAGAATTCTACCACTCTCATCGACCGCATAGTGGCTCCTCTAAATGAAGCAAAAATCCCCTTCTCTTCTACATACGGGGTAGGTCTATTTTTATATGAATCGTTCCTAGAGATGTATATGACAAAAACACTGTTTGTTAGAATCACGATAACGAGGCAAACATCACACATCTTGAAGAAATACGACGGGAGCAGCTCGATAGTTATCTAAGCTACACTCGCACCGCACCACCTGGTATTGGAGGGGAGGGAGGGGAAGGGAATTATTGGGTTCCAGTATGTTATTGAAGTGTGACTTTTCAATCAGGATTATTGACTGTACATATGATTGTTGATCTGGAGGTCTACGAAAAAGTGACAGGTGCCTATCACAAGGATAGGAACGTTCGTCGTTACTTACCTTCCTATTTTGTTTCCAGATCTGACGCCTGCTTTGATCCTGTGGTTTTTTGATTCTCGAGGTACACTCCTACCTTCTGCCAGGGAGTCTTTTGTCGAACCACTGACGTTCTCCGACTCCTAGGTGGTTGGTCCCCAGGATCCACATCTGCGCCACTACCCGACTGGGTGGACGACTCTGTAGCAGGATGGATTGAGCGCGAGACAGCTGCAATGGAAGCTGGATGGGATTCAATAGAAAGGAGAGAGCGAGGAGCGTTAGCCTTCGTACATATACCTCCGTAAGTGGAACTTATTCAATTACCATGTCCTCTTTCTGAAATAAACAATAAAAGACATGCAATCGAGAATGTGCAGAAGACGCTGAACAGCACGGCAAACCCAGGACTAAATGGTGAGTGAGATCGAATATGTTTGACATCGTTCGGTTGCTCACTTCTATGGATTTTTTTCAGCCGACACTCTATCCCAGGGATCAACACAAGCCACTACTGACCCGTCATCAGCCGGAAAAGACCAACCATTCTGGGATGCGTTGAATGCCAACGTCAAAAACCTACACGCAGTGATCTCTGGGCACGGTAAGTTCCCTGATTTGCAAGTTTTATCTTGTCGCTTATCATACGGCTATGTGTGGTTTCTTCACAGATCATGGCGACGAGTGGTGCGCCCGTGAGCCTACGAAGGATGTTATATTTTGTTTTGACAAGCACTCCGGGTATGTGATCTTCACCTGACCCGTTTGGTTCAGTGCATACTCATCATCTACTCCATTTACTCCCATTGCATGCATGATGTCTCAGATATGGTGGTTACAGTAGCCCAGGATGGGGTCACGGTGTACGGAATATTGTGTTCCCCTCTGCAGATCCTATTGGTGGGCTTGAATCGTGGATCTTACTCGAGGACGGAGAGACGACGGCAAGAGTTACACTGGACGGGAACTATGGTCGATGATTTGCGATTCGGTGACCAACGTTTGTTGTGTGCATACTTGTCCATGGGAGTTATCACAGCATCACACACGTTTACACGCTTTTGGACAAGAGCAGTGCATGACATCAACCTATCACTTGGGATCTACGTGAACGTCACGGATCCTTCAACATTAGAAACTATTATATGTTCTTAAAATGATCAAAATTAATGTCCATCTGTGAATTGCAGTGTAAAGCAATATTGCACGCTCTACAATAATTGATGGGTTTGGCCAGGAGCTCAAGACTCGGCCAAGCTCTCCAATGAATTATCAGAGGCCTGCTGGACCCACATATTATGATACAGACCGCCTAGGCGTAACAATTCTTCATGAGTGCCCTGTTCCGCAACCTGGCCATCCTTAAGCACGATAATTAAATCTACGATCCAGGTGTCAATATGCCTGAGAAAAAATAAAGTGCAGCTAAGGTTCACCTGCTTCAACCACGGTGCGGAGCCTATGGGCAATAAATATGCTTGTCCGTGCCTTGTCCAGCAACGTGTTGTTTATACTGCGCATAAGCTCTGTTTCCGTGTGAGCATCTAGAGCCGAGGTCTGAAATCGCGGGTCAAGGAATATCCTATATGCAAATCAGGGACATGGGAGCTCACAGCTTCATCAAAGAAAAGGATCGGGGGATCTTTGAGTAACACACGTGCAATCGCCAACCGCTGCTTTTCCCCTCCAGAAATCATTAAACCTCTCTCGCCGACCGTGGTCTTGTAGCCTTCGGGAAGACCCATGATCGTGTCATGAACGCTCGCCTTCATTGCAGCCGCTTTTACCTCGTCGTCCGTGGCATCAAGGCGGCCATACCGCACATTGTGCATGATGTCAGAATGGAACAACGGCGTATCCTGTGGAACTACACCAATAGATTTCCGGAGACTCTGCACCTGAACGTCGTGAATGTCCTGGTCATCCACGAAAATCCGACCGGAAGATGGATCGTAGAAACGGTACAGGAGGCGGAAGACCGTGGATTTCCCGCATCCGGATGGACCAACTATAGCCACTTTTTTACCAGCCGGAACCGTGAAGGACAAGTTGCGGAAGATGGGCCGATCTGGATGATAGCCGAAGTTCACGTTCTCAAAACGAATAGAACCGCCTTTCAATGCCAGCGGTTTTGCGTCCTCTTTGTCCTTTCCCAGAAAATCGCGTCGGTAAAAACTTGTGATAAAGTAGCCCTAAGGCGTACCTTGGCGGGAGCATTGTCAGTTTGAAGATTGAACAATACTTCCATATCTAGGAGATTTTGACGCAGCTCGCGATAAATACTACCCAGGAAGTTCAAGGGAAGTGACAGCTGGAAAATTAGTTGGTTTGCCATGACGAGGTCACCGACAGTCATGGTCCCTGATCAAAGTTCGTCTAAGACTAGAGATGCGTTATGAAAGTTCGGCCGAACGTACCCTTCATGACACCTTGGGCAGCGAGGAACATGGTGGCTGTTAACGCGGTGGAAAAAATTATATTCTGGCCGGAATTCAGATATGCCAAAGATGTGGTGATCTTCACAGAAGATTTTTCGTATTGTTTGAGATGTTTATCGTACTGTGCAATCTCAAATTTCTCGTTGTTGAAATGCTGCAACAGAGTTTACGCAAAAATGATGAAAACATGCAACAGATAGATACCTTGACTGCCTCGTAATTGATAAGCGAGTCAATTGCTAGGGTCGCAGCTTTATTGTCCGCTTTGTTTGCATCGCGGCGAAATTGAGTTCTGAAGAAATTGAGTAAATGGGCCGGATAAGATAAATGGCACTGACCTCCATGAGGTTGTGCGAACGGTGAACCAAGTGTATGCAGCTAAAGCAGTGACAGTGATTGCGGCAAAATCCCAACCAAATTTCCAAGTCTATCTCAGTGGTGGGTAAGAAAGAAATCTGGATCAGCTCTTTGCTCACAAGTATTCCGCAAACCATAGATATCTCCAGGGCAGTCGGGAAGATGCGGAAAATAATGGCCTGAAGCATGAATGTGATACCTCTGAGATGCGACATTCAAAAGTTGTATTATGCTGTCGAAATGTGACATACTTGGTACCGCGGTCAATTGCACGTGTAAGTCCACCAGTTTGTCGTGCGAGATGAAACTTGAGATCCAAGCTCAAGAGATGTTCGAAGGTCTCCCTAGCAACTCTGCGAACCGCTTGTTGACCAATATTGGCAAAGACAACGTTCAGTAGTTCTCCAAATAGCGTAGCTCCCGTCCGAGCAGCCCCATCTGAAAGAATTGTTATAAGAAGTGGTGAATTCACATAGCTATTGACTCACATCCGAGGATGAGAGAACCTGCAACGACCCATACCGTCGAATCGGCCATTACGTCTAGGTTTAACGCGTCAATCACAGACTTGAACAGCTGAGGCACCTGAACATTTAACACCTGATGAAGTTATGTTTGGATTCAGTCACCCCCCGGTTTCTTGTGCAGCACGCCACACCTTGCCAGCAATCAAAAGCCCAAATCCAAGGACAACACGACCGCGTGTGCCCCAGTCATTTTTCGGCCAGACGTGACTCATCAGTCGTTTGACGATAATCCAATCTTTTCTTCTCTGCTCTTTCACAGTTACACTGTCGGAATCAACCGATTTCGGACTACTAGTGGCTGCAGCAGGCGCGTCATTCGCGTGGAGAATGGAAGACGATGTGAAATTTGAGGTGAAAGGCGTCAACTTCAAAGAGGAAGGGCGTGCATGTAAACTCCTCATAGGCTTTCCACTCAATCCGTGATTCGGACGTGAGATAAGCCGTAGGGAAGTAGCGGCATTGGAGAACGCTCGAAGGGTTGCTGAACGACAAACGAGCCGTGAAGCGAGAGGCGTTCCTGTCCACATGGACGAGCAAATGAGCCTTGACGCTGCCGCCTGCGCAGCCAAAGGGTAATACTGTAATTCCGAATTCCCGAAGTTGAGTCGGTTCGGCTTCGCTCGAGAAACGGTTGATCCTATCCACAATGATTTTGTAATATTGCACTCATTTCCCCAGAACTTCTATATTTAGCCACACGGTATCACGAGTCGAGCTTTTCGCAATGTCATTGCCAAGGTGAGTCCCCACGTATGTCAGTACAAGAACGGGTACCAGCGATTCAAGCCGAGTCCCGACTCGCTTTTGGAACAACAACTCATCGCACTTATTTTTCAGACAGGGCCAAAGTTGAAAGCTGTCGGCATTCAAGCAACTAATAGAACGATTGCCTCACTAAGTACGTAGGTTATCGTAGTACAACTACTGATTGCCCGCGCAAGAACTCAGACAAGGGAGGAGATTACTTTCAAACCCAAGATCAAATTCAGTCCAAACATGACGAACGAAGATGAAGTGTACCACAGCTCGCCGCAAAACCAGGTAGAAAGGCAACATACGAAAATTCCATGCCTCGGGCGGAGCTAGCGAAGCCCATGACAACGGCCGACGAAGGTCAGGTTCGAGGGCTATGTCAGGTTTAGGGTTCATGGATCAGTACAAGGTCTGTGTCAGCAAGGAAATCTTTATACGGACGAAGCAGAGCAGCCGGCCGCAGCAACCTTTTGCACCTCAATGTAGCCCTAGACGATGGGCAAACAGAGGATTGCCAACGGACATTTGATAAAAGGGAGATAATGTGCAAACAAAGCCTCATTAGTTGGCACGGTGCAGCCCAGCTCGGCATGTAAGCAACAAATGAGTTTCACGGATTCTGGACGGGTACGCTTCTTGGGACAAAATCTGCAGGAAGTTGGTGAGCTGCCTCTATGAGGACAGGCACAAGCAAATTAGAAAGTGGACATCGGGAAAGGAAATCCACGACTGGCAAAACCAGCACTGACCACGGTGACATATGGAGCGCTAAGATAAGCCGTACGGAGAACAGCAAAGAAATACGGAAGGGAGGGGAAGGAAACACGGGCGGGGAGGACCTAGTCAGGCATCGAATAAATGTACATATCGCAGGCTTAGGAACGGAAAGCCGTTGAAGGACGAACAGATAGAATACACGTGACTACTAAACAGTGAAGGCGGAGCTCGAGACACAGCTGCACGGTACAAGCTCTGCATGAACGACCAGGAGTAAAATTTGGATGTAAGGTCATTGGGTCAAATCGGGTGCAGATAAAAGTAATAAAGATGTTCAACAAACAGCCCTCGTGGGAGTCTGGGAATGTTACCTGGGACAGACTCATCGGCCAAGTACACCACACCTCCGAGTCGGGATAATGTGAGCTCCAGGTCTTCCAGTGCACCTCATGCTGTCCTTGCAATGCATGTGTTACAATAACTGCAGTGCTAGTAAATTTTTGCTGATCCGAGCAGCATATTTAAGGCTTCAAGCAAACGTTTTACTGGCATCCGGCCGGAGACACACCTTATGTAGGTCAGCCTGATCAGACCAACCCAAGGCCAACTTGTTGCCTACGGGCGGCCACTACTCAGGCGCCCGGAGTTTCTCGCACGGCGTTAAAAAAAGCTCATGTCAAGTCCGTGATGGTGTACCTGAATCCTCCAAGAGAGCAGTTATTGGCTACAGACGTACGAACGTGCCCGCCAAAGAATGGCGCTGTCAACATAAACCTTACAAAGGCGAGGCGGATACGATCACCCTTCTAGGCCTGAGAATCCAGTGAGTATCATCCATGTGGTACAGTATAAATGATAATGTAGGTAGGCGGGTGCCAGCTACAGGCTTTCCCCATAACCTCAGGGACCTTATACTCCGTGACTCACGATGGCTGCAATTCCTGAACAACAATCCAGCCACGGATCGTACCATGAGAAGGAGCAGGTTACCGTGACGCTTGATGAGCGCCGCCGCGCTGCTCTGGAAGTAATCGACAATGCGCCTTTCTCGTAAGTTTCACAAAATTTTAAATTCTGCAAAAATATATTTCACTCCTACTAGGTGGTTCCATGTCAAGGTTTGCTTGGTTGCCAGTGTAGGTTTCTTTACCGACGCGTAAGTTTCTATATCGTGTGGTAGTCACCTCCGCTCACCTGTCGCCAGCTACGATATATTTGCCATCAACATCGCCGCCACCATGTTGGGCTACGTCTACGGTCACACAGGTGAGCATGCCGCCCCTTTTCTCCCATAGTGTTATGTTAAAATATCCGAAGGCAATCAGCTCAACACCAACCAATCTTTGGGTATCAAGGTAGCAACTCCTGTTGGCAACTTGGTTGGTCAACTTGTTTTCGGATGGCTCGCAGATATTGTGGGCCGTAAGAGGATGTGTCAGTGTTTTTTCGTGTTCAAGTTAACCACCTTCATTAATCAATGTATGATAGACGGCGTCGAGCTCATGGTCATGATTATTGCAACTTTCGCTCAGGCGCTTGCAGGCCAGGCTCCAGCAGTGAGCGTTCTCGGTGTCATCATTGTCTGGCGTTTCGTTGTAAGTGCAACGAACTTCTGGAACGTCTGTACCTTATCTCTCTGTCTGTAGATGGGCGTTGGTGTCGGTGGTGATTACCCTCTGAGTGCCATCATTTCCTCAGAATTCGCCGCTACACGTTCACGTGGTCGTCTCATGACTGCCGTGTTCGCTGCACAAGGATGGGGCCAATTTGGTTAGTTGATATTTTTCTCCTAAAACGTTTTCATTAATACATCGTGAACGCAGCTTCCGCTCTAATCGGTATTATCGTCGTCCAAGCATACAAGAGTGAAATCCTCAGTTCCACTTTCCCTTGCGTCGTCCCTGTCGATTATATCTGGCGTCTCGTCATTGGTCTTGGATGTGTCCCCGGTGTTCTTGCACTTTACTTCCGTCTCACTATTCCTGAAACTCCTCGTTTTACCCTGGATATCGAGCGCAATGTCGCACAGGCTACTGCAGATATCACTGACGTAATGAATCCCAAGAGTCACACCACGGATGAAGATGTTCCGGCGCAGTATGTCGCAGCTCCAAAGGCAACTCGCGCAGACTTTGTTGCATACTTCAGCCAGTGGAAGAACTTGAAAGTCCTGATCGGCACTTCTTACTCCTGGTTCGCTCTCGATGTAAGTCCCAATTTAGCTCTTTTGAGGTCGGAAATTAATGTTCACATTCAGATTGCTTTCTACGGTCTTGGCTTAAACAGCTCGATCATCCTAACCGCAATCAACTTTGGTAGTCCCACCGGTGACAAAACCTCGTCACTTTATGTTTACCAGAACTTGTACAACATTTGTGTTGGTAACCTTATCCTCTCCGTGGCGGGCTTGATTCCAGGATATTGGGTGTCTTTCCTTTTTATCGACTCCTGGGGCCGCAAGCCCATTCAACTGATGGGCTTCACCGTGCTCACCATCCTTTTCATCATCATGGGTTTGTACATTTCACCACTACGATTACGTGTATAAGATTAACGATTACTGTACAGGTTTCGCTTATGATGCATTGAACGCCAGCACCTCGGGCAAGAACGCCTTTGTCTTCCTGTACTGCCTCACCAACTTCTTCCAAAACTTTGGCCCTAATACCACCACTTTCGTCATTCCTGGAGAGGCTTTCCCCACTCGTTACCGTTCGACAGGCTTCGGTATCTCTGCTGCTACTGGCAAGCTCGGAGCTATCATTTCCCAGGTCGGCTTTGCTCAACTTGTCAACATCGGCGGCACGAACAAATTTGTGAAACACATGTGAGCAGCGCGAACATTCTGGATCCGTGTTTAGAAGCTAATGTGGTTTCGTAGTATGGAGATCTTCGCTCTGTTTATGTTGACTGGTGTCTTCTCTACACTTCTCATTCCCGAGACGAAACAGAGAACGCTCGAAGATATCTCGAATGAGGAGCAGGAAGGTTACGTCGCAGAGGCTCCTAAGTAATTGTGTGCTCGATTATGATTTTTTTAATTTGCTTTTTTACTGTATATATATAGTGCGGACTATTGTTTATGCATTACACTTGGTCAATGTAGCATCGTATGCATGCCGCTTATTTCAATAGCCAAGAAAACGTGATTGAAACTCACCAGTAGCTGTGTATCCTCAGGCCTCAACGCTCAGCATTATGTCAGTTTGCGATCAGGAGCAGTGACTGGTAACAATACAAGTACCTTCAGGGCTGGCTTCATATGCTTGCCTTGATTAACTTATGGCGCTCCGGCGGGACCTAACGTGTTCTACAGCTATAAGCTCGTTTATTATCTAGAAACTAGAGGCGAGCGCACGCGAGGAGAGTGAGAGCTAGGTAGAGAATATATTCTATACATTAGTTACGATTGGTATAATACCTCGCTATTGAGAGAAAGAAACGTGTAAGGCTTACATCTCAGTATCTGGAGGAGATTGAGATGTTGCAACTCGTTCTTTTATCGTACAGTAGATTATAAGGAATAACGAACATATAGTTTTGTGAATATACCGTCGAGAGGTTTTGGCCGATGGCGACTCATTGCGCGCGCCGCGTACTTGGTCCGACGTCAACGAGCTCGCTCCTGGTGCCCTTGCCTGCTACTGACTCCAACATGATAAGCTTATAATCTTGCTAGTACAAGTTATAAGTGTCATGTTGTGCAGCGTGCATGCGATTACGTATAATATCCAGGTCTCTGTAACTTGGTCAGACTGCCGCCCGCATAACCGTTACACCAAAAGGTGAAATACTGAAAGCTTAGCTTTCAGCATCAGCGACAGTATATGTACTGATTATGGAAACTCAGGTAAGCCGGCGTGCTTACAGTCTCATATGAAAAACCCTTCGTTCACTGCCCATGATCTTTTTCACATCTCACTTCTCCTTGAATTACTGTGAGCATACCTTCCAAAAGTTGCAACTCACCAATTGAGTAGTGAGAGATATTTCCAAACATTCTGATGGAGTAGTGAGAGATATTTCCAAACATTCTGATGGAGCAGAGTAGAGCAGGATGCTCTTTGCCAAAGCGTTGGTGCTGAATCTTGGTAAGTTATTTGATCGCCTTTAATTTGATTACCTCGACACTGTTCAGTTGGAAATCGGAATATGTTTACTTCTTCAGTCTTCAAGTTTTGTTCTTGATCGCTCGTGTTTTACGCTTGACCTCGTCGCTGGCCGGCACCATACCTTCAAGTTAGCTGGTGGTTAACCGCTAGGCTAGTACTAGTGCATGGTCGATCGGCCGACGACGGCAGGTATTCCGTATGCACCCGCATTTGGACATCATGTTGAGTGGCGCTCTCCTGTATAACAGTAGTTCCAGAAGACTTGATCTCCTGATCTGAGACTGGGCAAGGGAGGCCGCAAGTCAGTGCTTTCTAGTCGAATAGTTCCTGCATATTGAGTCCGAACAGTTCACCCGCCTCTCGCCGACCTTTTTGTTTGTCGAGCTCCACAAGTATAAACAGAAGCAGTAAAGAGAACAAAATGAGATCCGGTTCAGCGTTATGAGAGTTGTAATACAGCAAATTGCACAGGCCTAGGTCATAGGCTGCGCATAGCCTAATCAAGCCCTTTAACTATACGCAGCTCAAGACAGACTTCCTGCTTGGACTTCATATTCTTTCGTCGTTCCATGGGATCAGCGAATTTTTTATTCGCACAGATCAAAACCTGAAATGGGGTGCTCCCCACGGTGACTCGGACACTGTGCCTTTCTACATTACGCAGACGGACATAGTTTTTACACTTAAATTTGCTCCATGAAATACAAAGAAGTGATGTGGTTGGGAAGGAGATTGATATCCTGGATTTCAGCTAGTGTGGATCAAATCGAGATGTTGCTACATCCGGGGAAGCCAAGAGGATGTTCTGAAAAGGAGAACCTTGTTGCGCCTGCGGGATTGTAAAGGATATCATTGTAAGCCTCCTGATTAGAACAGTGCCAACACTTGTTTTTTCCACCAGCAGTCGCTCAGGTACGCAGTGGTGGGGAACGAACAGGTATTGGGTATTGATGGCGGTGAATTCACAGTATTGTGAGATAGTCTGCACCTGGAAAACATATATCAGGCTCTGAGGGACCGGTTTCAGCGACCGAACAATTCACCTAAGATATGACTTAGATCGACGACCACCGTGAGCTGAAAAATCATGCAATAGCGGAAGAGTTCAACAGACCGAAAAATTGTAGGACCTGGCTGACGACCAGAACTGAATGGGTGGGTGGAACTTCGTGAGTACTTGCGGTACCTCACGCACCGTGTCTGCTGTTACAGTGCAAAGAGGCCATGAGTATTTTAATTATTAGGAACTTTGTTCGAAGGTGCTCACGCGAATAAGGGAAATTTACGTTCATAATAACTTGTTCGTTTCCGAAGCAGCTTTTCTTTCACACTTGTATTTCGTCTCATTCCAAAGCTCTCCCCAGCAATGCTATAACGTGTCCTAGACGACGCAAAGCCTATTTCTCTGTCAACACAGGTGGTGAGGAGGACTCACCGAACAATGCTCATCCACAAAAGTGATGTCTTTGTTCGAACTTCGCTTTAAAATATTCGTTTGGGTGGCTCCACGTTGAAGGGCTACAACACACCGACCACATTGACGGGGATCGAGTATGAGTTGGGTCACGTGGTAGATCATTGAGGATCCGGGCCGTATGTGGAGTGTCAGTAAGCTGATGAAGTTCTCAACGTCACACGCAGGATCTTCAAGTTGTCATTATAAAGGCTAGCGCTCCTAGTCATGGCTCGCACCTCGTCGTTGGTGTCGACGACTCCAAGTGTCATCGCGCCAGCAGATGTTACCATCGGCCATGTGTACGCTCTTATCATTTCGTGGTTGCTCGCTACTAAGTCGCTCTGCAGGCAACTTCGAGATTTAATCATATGTCCACGCGAGGCTGGTATTGTCAATTACGTTCATAAGGGCTCGATTATTGAGCATGATCTTCATGCTCCAGACCTGGTGCGTTTTCATTTATCCTTGCCTTTATGTGATGTAAGGTTCGCAGGACCAGTCTCATTCGTGGCTCCTAGGCACCAAAACCCTTAGCCGATCTCACATTTATCCCAAACACACTTTCTTCGCTAACCCTTTCCGATTCCCCGCACACACTGCTCGCAGCAGGTGGTCAAGACACCGAGATTCACCTCTCACTTCACAGTCCATCACGTACCCGTGCGCTCTGGCAGTTCTGCCGCAAGCTCAGGGGAAGCATCAACAACTCCGTCCTCCTTGCACGTGCATTCGACGGTTCTCATGATCCACGGCTCGTCGTAAGTAATAATGACTGGACAGTTCGCCTCTACGACGTACCCCTCCGAGTTCGTTGGGCACAGGATCTCAGGTGCTGTGGGACCCTCACACTCAAAGAGCCTGTGAATCACTGTACGTTATCATCTCACGTGTGAGGAATTAACCCAATCCTGAAGATATATACAGCCTCTATCTCGCCCGACGGCCGTACCTTACTCTCAGTCGGAGACTCTCCTCGGATCTACCTCCACTCCCTTTCAGGCAACGCTCAACTTACCTTCAATCGCGTCACAACATTAGAGATCCCGTCCGCCATTTCCATCCATCCCAACTCTCTTGTAGCATCCTTTAGCACGGCATGGAGTGCCGACGGACTTAAGTTCGCTGTTGCTTGTCAAGAAGGAGTTATCGCAATCTGGGACGTGCGGAGCACAAAGCCGCTAAAGGTGCTGCATACGAGTCGTGAGAGAGGCGGTGGTGACAGCGGGTGGATGAGTGATGAACCATGGGACTGGACGCGTAGACCCTCACGTGCGCCAGGATGGGGCGCACGGAGCGTGAAGTTTGGGTGTGGCGGAGTTGGCGGGCGAGCAGGACACGAGGTGATGACATATACTGAGGTGTGCACGAGTTCAGAGTATCGCCGTTTGATACTCAAGCTGATCACGATGATTTATACAGCACACCAATTTCCTGCACGTCCTCGACGCTCGAACATTCGAAACTGAGGAAATTATTCGCGTGCCCAACATCTCTTGTAGCCAAACTCCTCCTGCTCACACACCCACCCCTGCTTCACTTAGACATTCAGGAGGCCGACTGAGTGCACGTGTCGCACGCCGCGATGATGGCATTTTCGTCATACCTCAGCGCGGTGCGCCGCCCCGGACGACGTCATGGACGAGCGCATCGCCCTCTAGGATGTCAGATCGGATAGGTGGGAGTGATGAAGGCGATACGATGGACGTTGATGAACTCGAGGTGGACTGCTTGTCACGTGGGGGCTCGCCACCTCCAATGAACTCGTACCGCCCCTCAAGTCCATATCGGCCCATCAGCCCGTCACCTCTTTCTTCCCAAACATATCGTCCCACAAGTCCACCGTACCGCCCTGCAAGCCCTCCGTACCACTCCATGACACCCTCATCCCACCCCTACCAGCGCACCCCGCGACGAACGCATGGGGAGGAAGGAGAAGTCGAACGTGCAGGAACGGTGACAGAGCATGAAGATGTGGATATTGCAGGGACGTGCTTCGACCCGACAGGAAGTTTCCTGTATGTCGCGACGACGACTGGTGTTGCCGAGTGGGCCGTGCGCGGTTCAGAAAAACGTTGGTGGGGGAGTGGACAGTGGGCTTAGGGCCCCGTTTGTGCCTCCCTCGCGTGTTTCAACGCACGCGTATGTCTTTTCACGATTTTCGGACGTGTCACAAATAGTTTTCTGTGGGGCTGGCCATATGTACTCTTGTGCTCATGTGGTTTGATCTACTGCTGTTTCGGTTTCTTACTGGTCACATTGTCATCTTACTATCCTTTCTTCGTTGTCGTCTTCTCATGCTCACTTGCTCACATCATGCTTTCTCATGCCTGACCGTGCTCATCTCATGTACCGTACTAGTTGCATTTCTATATTCTGTTTCTGATGTTTGTATACGTACACACTCACGAACTTGATACCAACCACGCTAGTGAATTTATGATGTATCCATTTCTGTTGTGTATCGCTCTTGCGTTGGGGCTGTTCTGCGGCAGAATTTTCTGCTATGGAACAAGTCTTTCGATGGTCTTTGTCCCGGAAGGGGATGCGGCACAGCTATCATGCGGCATCACGCTTTGGCCCAGAACGTTGCGTCCAACCAACTGACTCGGATCATGTACTCAATCGAAACCCCATTTTATCGACGCTCTCTCAAGTTGTTCCATCTCATGAGAATACTCACAGGCAACCAATGATATGACATTCAATTGGATCCTATCCAGTGGCGCGCGCTCGACCTATGAGAGCTTCAAGTGAGCAAGGAACATGGACTACTGATCCGGATTTGCTAGGTATTGCGAATATGCCTGAGTACTACACAGTAGAAACAGGCATGTCAACTCTTTACATTCACGGTAGACCCGCCAGCCTAGCTCACTGAAGGGGAAGGGAGCCTGTTGTTGTGTGTCGATGCTGGTTTGTCTATAACATGCTATGCGTGGCGTGGATATACTCCAAAACCCCTGGCCCCTGCCTCCTCCTGATCTCTATGCCTACCTCGCTCTGACCCCTGCCGCGTTACGCCTCACGCTATCCCCTGCGTCGTGCTCCTAACCCTGCACTGTGCTTCCCGTTACACCGGGGAATAGAGTTAGAGTTCAGGCGATCTTACTCCGCGATGCGAACTCACTCTGAACGGATCAAATCGCCACTTCAATAATGCTAACTGCGGAAGTTTGAAGGTTGGAGTGGGGAACCCATAGGTGAGGGGCGGAGTAGCCATGTAGCCCCGTGGCTTCGTTAACCAATCAGTGTTCTTTGGGCTTTGTCGTAGCGTAGTGAGTGCTCTTCGCCACTTTTTGCCTTGCTCGTGACAGGCAGGTACACAGTCGCGGATACACCGCTCCAATGTCTTATCTCAGTACCTGGTCGCAACTTTGGTTGGATTGTGCACCCGAGTATTTTGATCCAGCCGGTGAATTATTCCAGGATGCCGGTGTCCGTGGTACGTCACTCTATCTCCATCGATTAGCATGGAATAAGTCTTATAAGCTACATATTGAAGGATAAACAGATATATCTGGTTCGAAGAGATTTAGGGGTACGGGACCCGTGCCGCACTGCATTGAGCGACTCAAGCTTCACGAATCTGTACAGTGACATAATGGATGTATGACATGTACGTAGCAACCATATCTCCCAGCACCTTTGAGTTCTCCTTTTCCCAAAGACGACCAGCAGACCAAGATAGTGGGACGTACTTCTACGATCAAGCTTGGCTAGATCACTTGTAGAACAATAATTATGTAGTTTCCTCCAGCTGCCACTGGTCTAGGCCTTGGTCGGGTCGCTCATGTGCATATCATGGTGGGCCGAGGAGCTTCAGTTCTGAGAATTGGACCGCATTTTGACCTTCCAGAACGTCCAAAGTTGCAATACTATAGGTGGATCGCTCCGAGGCTTGCACAACCCAATATTCTGACGTGACGGCCCGACATCGCAGTCGTCGCATCTTCAGCGCTGTCAGCACCCAACGACAACTTAAATTGTACGCGAGCATGTACGCGGAAACCTACGTGCTAGAGTTCAAGCGAAAGTCCGCGGGATTCTGACGACTTGCAAATCAATCTGGACCGTCCAGGTCGTAATGTTGTCGACCTTCATCAAATCAGATGACTCGCAAACCAGGCGCTTAGACAACGCTTAGAGGACATTAAATTTGCAAAGCATATTGATGTTCGCATATTGCAATGGAAGGCCACTACATTCAGAAGGTGTATATCTGCATCTGTGCTAGGATACCATCTGGACCGCCTCTATTATTCGAGAACACGTGTTACTGAGAAACATTGGACCCACAAAGTTCATCAACTGTTCTACCAATCCGATTCGACGTCGCAAAGAGTCGGCTAATTTCCCTTCGTAGCAGTGCTGCGGGCGGTACGTGCCACGGAACTATTAATTTAGATTCTGGAATCTATGGATTAACTATTAACCCGTATACCGCCGCGTGTAGCCTTCTTAGAGTTAAGAAGTTATACTAGTAGAAATTCGTGAATGCATGTCATCTGATTGGAGACGGGGTCAGTGAGGTAACGACGGCGATGGCTGTGACACGTACATGGAATGTCCAGACTGCCCAGTGCTCAGCGGCCCTCCTGGAGGCTGACTGACATTCAAGCTTCAAGTTGGACTGACTGGCCGCGGCATTGCTGACAATGACAGCTTAATAAGCGAGTAAAGCCTTTCGACCAATCAAGTGCTTAGTCAGGTTCTTAGCCAAGTTCATCATGAGCACCGACGAAACGACAACGGTAGTGGCAAAACCAAAGCCAGTAAAAAAGCTCAAGCCTGCGCGGAAGCAAGTGAAGGCGGGAGATGTGGAGAGAAAGGAGACACCCCAGACGGGGAAGGAATACAGTAAGTGTCAATGATGTTTGGGCACCAAGGACTCTGTACGAGCGCAATTGCATTTGCAGATATCTGGTACAACAAATGGGCTGGGGGTGACCGGGAAGATAACTACTCCAAGTGAGTTTAATGCGTATTTATCTTTCAGTTCAATGTCTGACTCTGCTATAGCAAAGTAAAATCGCAAACTCGGTGTAACATCAAGAAGGACTCAGGCCTGACTCGAGCGAACACGACTGGTATTCGTTATTGTTGTCTGTTCTTTGCTCGTGGGTGCTGCCCGTATGGATGGGAGTGCGACTACCTTCACACTCTTCCCGACCCTGATAACGCATTACCTGATTCGAGTAAAGATTGTTTTGCTCGAGACAAGTTCTCGGACTACAGAGACGACATGGGTGGTGTTGGTAGTTTCAACCGACAAAATCGAACGCTGTACGTCGGTCGAATCAAGGAGACCGGGCCAGGTCCAGAGACAGAAGATATTGTCACAAGACACTTCAAAGAGTGGGGCGAAATTGAACGCAGTATGTTATTGGAAGCTTCTCAAGAAACGGTATCTAAAATACGTCTCCTTCTACAGTTCGCGTGCTACAGTATCGCAGTGTCGCGTTCGTGACTTATGTCTCGGAGTTCGGCGCACAGTTTGCAAAAGAGGCCATGGCGTGTCAATCCCTTGACAACGATGAAATCTTGAACGTTCGATGGGCCACCGAGGATCCCAATCCGGTGCAGAAGGTGGCGGAAAAGCGGCGACTGGAGGAGATCGGACAGGAAGCTATCAAGGCGCGGATGGACCCTCGTATTGTTGACGCCATGCGGGCCGTCCGTGCATTGGAGGATGGAGATATACTGGATGACGCAGGAGAAGTAGTAGAAGACCCAGAACCTGGCGAGACTGGCGACCCAGAGCCAAAACGGCGGCGAATTGAACTGCCACCGCCACAAGAAGCGACGTCAGAACCACCACCTCAGCCCCTTGGTCTGCTGTCTGCCGATACAATGGAAGGTCTCAAGTATTTCGCCGAAATAAGGAAGCGGAACGGTGTCTCGCTAGCTGTTGTAAGTCAAAAGATAATGCCTCCGAAACCATTGATTTCAGGGCTGGGAGTGGCGGACTACGGGAGTGACGAGGAAGATTGAGAGTTCAGTTTTCGCTTGTACCAATCGGTAACTAGACTGATTCCCGGACCTTGCCAACAGTCCTTAATCTAGTCATTTTCCACACGCTAGAACTGCATCAGGATCTTCTGCTGATAACCCTCGAGTGTGATGAGCGCTCCGACGACATCCATCTCGGCGTAAATTCGTAACTACTATTGGAATAAGAGCCTTCCTCTGCTCCATTAGTTGGCACACCGGAAAATGTAGAGACGTTATGTGATGAAACCCCATACAAACCCCGTGTACATAGACTCGATCGTCCCCGATCGCTAAATGAGATGAGCCACCCTTTTGCAAAAGGCAGGTCCGGGCCTGGCATGTACCTCTTACTGCCTCTTCTCGCGCCCCCTGGTGTGGCTGTCAGGCACCTTGGCCAGGTTGATGACTTCGAAACTCCACAAAACGGGAAACCACGAGGATCAAATTATATTCCCAAACCTCATGGCAATTGGCCACCTTACGTCTATCACTGAAGCTCTGCGCCCATGAAAGCCAGTGGCCCACATCTTGGGCCATGTGTGATGAAGTCCCGGGTTCTATATTTGACCAATCTCCACATTATGCCAGTGGCATCGGAGAACTTCGGAAATGAGATCCCTTCTCATGGCCGTACCAAGTGTGGGCAAAGCGAGGTATCAGGCCGCATCTGTGTTTATGAACGTCGATAATCGTCTGGGCTGGTGATCAGAAAATAATGGACCAGAAGATCTCGCGTGATTAGTCATTTACATAAATCAAGTAGCCGGCGAATGGGCTAAGTCCCGTTCGACTCTGACAAACCGATGGCAAGGGGTGCAGGTGGATGCATGAGTCCGATTGCGGCAATATTCCTCGACATGCCAAACCGACATTTCGAGCAGCTTGGAGACGAATACTACGTACTTGTTGTCTCAACGAGGATGGGCCTAACCACAAATGAAACGGGGATCTGCGTGATGGGATTATGCACCACCTGAACAATACACCCTGAGGAAAGCCTCGGTCAACTACGAGTATTCCGTTGCGGGGAAAACCGTTGTGGTAAGGTCACGCCAAACGTAATAGTTCTTGTTACAAGACAAGAACTTCTCCTTCTAAGGCCATTGCAACATGGAAGTGTACCCCGATTTTAGGGAAATAAGCTGTGACATCTTGTCCCGCCGAATTAATCTCACCTGGCCATTTATGATTACATATTATGTAGTTGCGTGAGTGCGTTGGCAAGCATGAATTTGAATCATGAAACAGAAATAGACGCTATGCTCACCTGTGCATGCAGGGCTGAGGAACATGTGAGAGTGCAGCGCCACCTACACGTTGCAAAGTTGCGGCAATATGCAGCTGCTTTAGGTATCGTTTGGCGTTCGTTTGGCGGGTGATGGGCCGTTCAGGCGCCTGACAAAGAATTATTCTGAAGCAAATCATAAGTGGGCCGTGGCACTGTCAGATTTTCCACCTATGTAACATTAAACTGGAAATAAATCTGGAGGCTGTGAGTATGGCATACTTAAAATATTGATTTTTCCACTATCATCGGATAGAAGGCATGGCGCGGGCCATGCTGCGGCAATGCCGCATTGACAGGATAAGAAAGGCGGTGTATACCAGTAATACCACGAGGGTTAATAATCCGATGAACTGTGCTTATACAAGGTGTTCATCGTTACCATTGGTGCTGCTTGAGGGTGATTTTCATGATCTTGAATTGTGGCAGGCGAAGAGTCCTAGTTGTGTGGTTGGCTCATGTGAAATTGTGGATGGGCATAGTGGCTGTGCTACCGTTTCCTCACTCAAACTCCCAATCATCCACTCTGAGTTTCTCTTCAGAAAGCACAGCCGTTTTAGCTGGTTGGCTGGCTCATGACATGTTCGAGAGTATGAAGGCTATCCAGAGAAATTCCACGTAGACATTCAAGGCGCTTTTGGGGCCTCTCATTTCTCCCACTCGCGGTTGTGATGGAGCCTGCATAATTTCTGGGTTACAAGCAAGCTACAAAGTGCGATGGCCCGATAGAAGTCAAGTTTGGCATTTTCCGAATTGCACGACTGCGCTGAGTATTTCGGTACCTAGACGGAAGGCCAGATCTGTCAGATCTTAATCACATCTCGCCAGAACCTTGTGGGGGCAGGCGTCTTTGGGCGTCTTTCGAGAATTTACCGAAGTTTGGTTGGATCACATCTGCCTCGGGCGCTGTCCAAAATAGGACCATTTGTAGGGGGCTGGGTCTATATAATCGCCAGTCCTGCACTGTAATCTAATACCCACTCACCATTACAATGTCCTCCACCAACAACAATCCCTCTCGTCGTATGCAGGCGGCATCGGTCCCTCACATTCATATAGAGTCACCTTCTGGGTCTGATCAAATTAGGCGCACTTCCGCACGGTAAGTTCTTTCCATACTTTCTGTCGTTGACTTTTGACTCATACGCCAGCTCGCATAGGGTTGACACTGACTCCTCTCCGTACGACATGTACAATCATGATCTGCCATTTATGTCTTGTTCTACATCTACACTCTTCTCTCCCGAAGGATGTAAGTCGATGCACGTCGTTTGTCTATGCTCAAGCTGAGCAGGTTTCTAGCCGAATATTCTGAATATTACAATCATCAATTCACGCCATTAGAAGATTTGAGCCCCGAATTGTTCCTTGGGCAACTTTTAAACGAAACTCAGCAATCGCAAGACTTGTTTTACCAGGAGCCTTACCTAACTGGCCCTGAATCGTTTGCACCGTCTCCTGATACCTTTCAGGTGATCCCACCTTCCCCACCACCACAGACAATGCTACGGACTACATCTAATAACATGCGCCTTATACCTGTATATACGCCATCGCCCTCCTCATCCTACGCCACACTCTCCCCCAGCCCCAGTCATGAGTCTCCTTCGTCTCCATGGTCTGACAACACTACTCCTTCCGAAGGTAGCATGTCTCCTATGATCCCGCAGTTGCAGTTGGGCCTTGCGCGTCGAGGGAGCTCAGCTTCTCTCCGACACCACCATTCCCCGAGCGATCCTACATTTTATCTTCAGCCCCCGGCTACCGGTGCTAGGCACATTCGCTCGCGTTCAGAATCCAGCACGACTCGTCCCGTCGCGAGTCCAGCGATGCTTGATGCCAACCAACGACGTCGACGCCACGAAGCTACCCACATATGTCACGAATGTGGGCAGACCTTTACAGCTGTATTTAGCTTAAAGCGTAAGTTCTATCTGCCAAACCACCTCCTTTTACGGTATGGCTGAGATAAATGCAATAGGTCATATGCAGTCTCACACTGGTGTTCGGCCCTTCGTCTGCAACATTCCTGGCTGTACTCAGGCGTTCTTCAATCAGAGCGATTGCAGACGTCACGAACGGAGCAGGAAGCGTCACAAGGGTCTCTCCTTCCCCGACTCACCTTAATCTTGGTGTCATGTTACAACCCCTTCACTTGGGTCTGCCAAACACACCAGTCGTTGTACACGTTACGTTGGAACTGGGTACTCCTTTATGCGCATTCGCGCATTGTATATTCCTGCATGCAGAAACGAACTTCATCTTGTCTTGCCTCGTTTCCCCGCTATGTCAATCTTCAAAGTTGACATTCCCAATCTTTCGTCTCATTGTCTCATTTCAACTATAGATACCATTGGCCCTACATACCCTAATTTTGTGCCGTTCACTTTATTTTGGCGTCCTCACCATTCGTACAATAAACATTTTTGCCCTTTCGGTCCCGAATTCACTGCCAATTGCTGCCAATAATTATTGTGTCATTTTTACTGTGTACCTGGACCTCAAGTCGCTATGCGTTGTTAACTGGGCTTGTCAACGCAATGTCCTTATTGTCTTTTTTCTTTTCCTTGTTGTCCCACTGTAGCCTCCTTGGTGATAATCTAAGATTGTTTAGTTGTGCCTGCAACTGGCAGCGCCGAGTCTGTGCTAAACAATTACTTCCCGCACATACCCATCGTCGAAACCAGCGAAACAATTGGTCTGGTAAATGAATCTCGTATGGGGACGTAATTAGAAAGCCGTAAGAAGAGCAAATAAGCCAATAACCTCATAGTACTGCATAGCTCAGCAATATTTCGGGATTGAGAAGTACACACACTGTACAGCACCGAGGAACTCAGCGCATGACTATCGCAAAGTTGCTCCCGAGTTTAATCCCTATTTATGTCATGGGTACGCATGCACGCTGAACAGCTCCCCGCGGACGCCCGTCGCTCAGGTAAGCTATCCGATCACTCCTATGCTGAAACCTGCACAGCACATAAATAGTGGACTCGATAACACGGTAGCACATGTCGGAGGCTATAGGAGACCAAGTTGCACCCAAGCTCGAGCTCGAGATCTGTTTCATCATATGTGAGAGTTGGCAATGATATGTCTGCGGAGTGCCCGTTTCCCTCCGCGGATCACCCCACCCCACGCACACTTGTCGATCAAGAACCGGCACAGTAGATCAATCAATGGCGCCACATTTCATCCGCCAGCTGCAAGCCTGAGGTTATAAAAATGTTCGGATTGTGCTTGAGCTCGTGGTCCGGTTCGACATGTCAAAGTTGACATATCCGTGACAGTCTAGTGTTGGCCTCCGCGGCTTCGTCCCCACATATAACGTATGATGGGTGACTTTAGGTAACCACGTTTATGCATTGCCGCAGCTGAAGCTGGTTGAATCCTGCAAAAGGAAAGAATTGTCGTGTGATCCGTGTCAGGTTCAGTTACTAGTAGCGCTGGCCCGCCGCCACACGACCGGAGATTTTGCCGTAGTGGATTCATAACACTATGCATTTGTCGTGAATGGCCAGAGCAGCCGCCACACACTAGGAAAGATAACGTTTTAAATCCACGGACATCAGGGGATTTGTAGCCACTGCTAAACGTTGCGCAGCTGAACCGTAAACAAGATGATATTCTCTTGGCGCACTGAAGATATTTGTCATAGCCCGTCTGGGAGATAATAGGCCCAAACTAAGTGCCTACTGACGGCAGGAGAGTACCATCCATCTTGTAAGGCACAAGTAACTAAATGTAGTACAAGTAGATTGAAATTCAAGCATGTTAGGGAATTTCATAGCATGGATTCACAGATACGACATACACTTCAGAACGACAAGCTTTCAATTTACATGGCAATATAGCCATACTTCCTTGCATGAGGCTAAGCAGTACCATTCGTGTAAGTGACAGCCAGACAGGACGTATCGGAAGACTCACAGAAACCAGGACGATGTTGTCTTCACCGATCATAGCCGCCTCCCAGTCATAAGATGTATCACTCGGCATCACCTCCACAGTCGCAACACGGCCAGGGAGATACGTCTTGACTTCTTCATCAAAGGCAGAACACCGCGAATTTAGTGACTGTGGCATTCCTAAGCGTCTCCACAGAAGCTTCGGTTCCGTTGTTTGTTCATTTCGAACATCCCTCCTCGCTGCGTACTTGTTGAAATCATACACTCTTGCTGAAGTTCCTTTTTTCCATGGCAGAAGTTGGATGAACTTCATGCCGTAGACGTAGCAAACCCAGACTTCGGCCGGGCTGCGAAGGAGCATATAAGAGCCATTCGGGCCCCACCGCATCCATGGGACAATACGTTTTCGTGTATTGCGAGACAATTCAACCTGAGCCATGATGGTGGATAAGGGGACGATCAGCACAGTACACTCTTCGGTGGAATTGCTTTCGGGGGAGATCCGCATGGTGATGGTAAAGATGCGGTCACTGCGAGCGAAGAAGAAGGGAGTTGGAACAGTTGGAGATGGGGACCATGCTGGAGTCGGCTCCGATCGAATCAACATATCTAGAACGTCGGCCTTCATCTTCGGATACTCCAGGCCACAAATGTAGCTGACATCCTTATATTCCGCCATCTCTTTACCGAAGCTGTCAATACTGAGGATGTCCAGACGGGGGGGCGTCTCGTCACTCTCCACGATGCCGACTAAAATCAAGTTTTCTGTGACGAAAGAAAAAGATCGAAGGTCCGCGTCTCGAATGAACTTTGAATAATTCTCAATAATCAACCTGTAGCAGTAAGCATGGAAGACGTACGAGCTTCTGCTGACCCGATTTCCAGTCCCAGACAACCAGCCGAGAGTTGGGATCATCCCCACGATCTTGGCACAGCACTGCAATGCGCGAACCACAAACTTGAATGAGGAATCTAAGCTCCTCATGCATGTCTGATAGCAGGTGCGTCACAAAGGGCACGGCAGTCATTGGATGATGCTCGCCGGTCATTAAGGTTCTCAGGTGTACGTTGCATGTCCGGTTCGGGCTGCGCCATTTAGTAGTATCAGGTGTGGCTCTGAAAAACAGACGCATCAAAACGTACATGGAACCTACTACTTCCAAAGCGACAATCAAGTCCTGAGATGTATCGACCGTGAAATCTCGGATCTCAAATCCAAAATCATTGATAATCCATTCCCGCTCGGGAATGTCTTTAATTTTGCAGGGAAGTTGTACGCAAGCAAGCCCTGACCGTGACTGCATAGTTTGACACAATACTCCCCCGGACAGTTCCCAAGCATGACCATCCTGCATATCTATGAATTTGGAGTCTGGAAAAGATAAGTTGTTCCAAGCCTGTTGGTATTGTCGACAGGCACGAAGGCGGCCGGCAGTATCAAGATTACAGTGGCGTCCATTCTCGAACTGTCCGAAAAACAACTCGGCTTTGTAGAGAAGTTGCGCGTTGGTGGTGATGACTGAACGAAACAATCGGCATACCTGGAATTCAACGTGAGTGGCAGGTTTGAGTAGAATACGATGTGTGCATATACGGTACATACTTGCTTGCATCTCAGAAGAGATACTATATCGAGTTCATCGAAAACTATAGCGATCAACTCGTTCGGGAGACTGAATGCTGCCTCGACGCTCCCATGCTGGTCGGTATCCATGACCTAGGCTGAAGTTAACCCTTTCGCCACTGAGGTTGAGTTTTGTGAGTGGCACTATGAAATTGAACAAGAAATTTTATGAGGCGGCTCTTAGATGTGCGAAGAAACAAGACGGTGTATAGCACTCACCAGTACCAAACTATGCTGGAAAGATCTTGAAAAACAAATCGCCAGGGACCATGGATGATAGGGCTCCTAAGTATTTGATACAATCAGTGTCAGCCGCATCATGCATCATCGGACATTTGTATTCAACACCGTTCCCACGGTCATATATTCCCACGGGGTGTGCACACTCTTTTAAGTACCAAGCTTGTTTTAATGACTAAGGCCCAAACTGCTCTTGTGGAGTCAGTCAGAGCAGATCGACTTCAATCAGATACACTGCAGTCCACCACATCTGATCACGTGCGTATCTAGAGTAAGTACATTTCACACTTGAAGGAAAACCAGTCGAAGCTTTAGTGCAAAACCGTGGCGAGTTCACGAATCACAAATACCCTAGAACAATCGGCCTAGCGGTGATTGTGGCATTATAAGCAAAATAGTACACACGACGCCGAAGATAGCCTGGAATTTTTCTATAACCTTCCCACAGGACATACTTGATATTTATTGATTTGTACTGCCTGCACTTGAGAAGCAGAAGATGAGCCTATGAATCACAGACACAATGACATGTGTCATTCCGTGCGAGAACAAACGTGAGAACATCCGCAGGCTCAGGGGAGAGACTGATAATTGAGCTCGCTGGTCGAGGGCCGATAATGAATGCACACCACTATTAAAATATCAGCATAAAAAATGAAGATGGTAGCAAACTCACGCAGAAGTACAACATCACCTGCGTCCCTGAATCACAGAATAAACAGTAACTAGCATGATCGGAGAAGTGAGGACAATATATCCCACGGCAGCTACACACACTGCATGGGGAATATCCAGTGTTCCACCTGGAATGTGATGAAGAAGGACGGCGCCTACACAGCCAGAAGCTATTGTCGTGGGGAGAGCAACTGCGAGGAGAGCTAGGGATACTCGGGATGTCACCGGTGGCTGGGATGCGGCAAATGATATCATGATGGGGAATAGCAGCCCATTGACGATGGCTCCTCCCACTGCACCAACTTTGGCGGTAGAATGTATGGACACAAAGAACCCACTCATGTAGGGTTGAAGAATACCGTGCCCAACAATCATGCAGCTGAATGTCCCAACAGCCCCAAATCCAGCGCACAAGATCAGAGCGAACATAACCTTGCGCAAAGAGAAAGGGATGCGTCGGTGAGGCGATCTGTCGCTGGAACTGTTATCAATCCCTGATCCATTTTGAAGTTCAATATCCAGAGATTTGACGTTGTGACATGTAGAAGAGGGTATCGAAGACATCAGGTGTCTGAGTGATCTATCGGATGATGGAAGGCAATGATCTAAATTCTATGGAGCTTTATACTCGCCAAAAATCGGAACCTCACGAGTCATCAGCAAATCCAGCCAACCCGTTATAAGAGAGAGCTGGCTGTTAGTGCTCAACTCCCTAGCAGAGCAACAGTGGCCTTATGTGAAAACGGCCACAAGCCATGGCCATGATGCAGAATGGAGTGATGCATTCAAAGCTGTAAACTCCTTTCGAGCAGAAAATATCTCCACTGAGTTGTAATGTCGGTACCGAACCGCAGTCGAGGGGAGGCCTTTCTACAGGAATACAGCATTTATCGAGGTACAGGGCACACAGCCCATGTCAAGCCGCATCTGGAATGGAGTGAGGGAGCTGAAACCGATTCGGGACTGCAAGTCTATCGGCACATGGTCTCCAGACCAAATACGTAGAAAATTATTCGTTGCTTTTGGTGATACGTCATCAAGCATTGTTCCGTGCATATTCGGAACCGTACGTCCTATAGGGGCCATCGGTGCAAGTCACGCCATATCACAGCTCGACCGTCATCACCTAGAAGATAGCCCAACTTGGTTGACTCGAAACTTGAAGGTCAATATGAACCGGTGGAAGGCGGCCATGAAAAGACTCCGTGATCATGATGCAGCGGAGGCCAAACCTAAAGCAAATGAGGGTGAATCAAAAACATACGAAAACAAGGCGGAGTAGAATTGCGGAGCTCGCCAGTGGGCGTAGCCAAACCACGTAGGAAAGCCTTCAGAACTCCGAGTTGCCGATAGGATTTTAAGCGGAGGGATTTAGTGTGTATATTTACCGTTGGGTGGCAGCGCGACTGTTCCAGGTCGGACCCAGTTCGTCACGAACGCAGCAAATTTGGTGTAACAATATTGACATCGATACGGCGCTGACAACTTTTTATGCCAAAATACGAGATCCGAAAGAGAAACCATTGTCTTGCAGACTGAACAGTCTGCAAAATTCCTGATCACTCCGACGGTCGATTATAATGAATAGCCCTCAGGAATGAAATGTTTCAGAAACTCCAGTAGGGTCTGGCAGGCGCGCGCACGGCCGGCGCCGGTTGTTTGCCTACAGCTTCTGAGCCAAACATCCATCTATGAACCAAATCAGAAAATTCCAACGTAACATGAGTCTTCTAGGCTTATTTCTGTGCACTAACCCCACTCTCGTCTTCGCTGATAAGCAACTCAATTATCGGAACAGCAATGTCTAGAATGAAGCCTACTATCATGCATACCTCGTGCCCGATCACCGAGTTCTCCAGATTGAGCATGTAACCCAAGAAGAAGATTACATTAACGTCGTAGTATTTCTCCTCCTTCGTTCAATATCCGTTTCGAAATTAAAAGAATTGGTGTAGATTCCGGAGAATGCGGACCTTACTGAATTCTATATAATCTGACTGCATATCCAACTTCATAAATACCTCGCTGGCGACGAGGACGATCGCCCAATATGCCTGCATCCAGCATAGAACAGACTTTGCTCGCTCAATTAGCACAGCAAGGCTTTCACATAAAATCCTTTCGGCAACGAAGATTAGGCGCTCATCCAGTGCGCATTTTGTCGACATTGTAACCGTTACGACAGCATTGACAAAGAACTTTTTTAGGTTTTTGAAATCTCGCTAGCAGGCGGTCAAACCGTCTTGATGTGGCTGCGACCCACCTCTTCTGACTCCGATTGCAGTCAACGGCTCTTTGAGAGTGAGACTGCTCTCCTCCGCTGGTTTTCCTCACACTCCGCGGTGCCCGCGCCCCGTCTTTTGCATATCCTGCCAAGTAACACCGAGACCCCTCGGAATGCTTTCGTCACGCAGGGTATGACTGGTGAACACATCAAAGACTTATACCCGATGCTGTCTTCATGGGCAAAAGTTTGTCTTCGTATGGTTAATCGTGTTATCCGGTTGCCTGATAATGCTTAACAGGAGCAACTGGTGCGGTCATATGCGGATTTCGCACTCAAGTTGTTCGACATTGATATCCCACAAACGATCGGCTCTATCTCTGTCATGAGTTCCACGGATGAGCTCATGGTAATACCGCGGATTTGCAGTGCTAATCACGCCCATGCCTCAAAGGTCTTTCCCACTTTGCAAAAATACCTCGAATACCTTTCCATATTGAAGAAAAGGCGAACATTCACTTTAGACACAGGGGAAGAAAATAGGTTCCGAGCGCAAGCATCCATATCACAATTAATTGCGCACCTGCGGGGGCACTTGACCCAACTCGATGAACGGTGTGTTCGTCGCATGGTGCTGGCACACGACGGACTGGGAGACATGAATCTCATGGTTGATTCCTCCGGTAACATCACTGGTATCTTAGACTGGTGGAGGAATTCGACATTACCTGCTATACTCGCTGCGGATTATCCCCCCTGGCTCAGATATGATGGAATTAACGACCCTCGATTTGCTACTCCGAGGACATCGTGGATAGAAACACAGGAAGAAAGTGCAAGGCTGCGAAAAATATACCAGGGGGTATGACTCGCCTTTCATCCTGATGACGATTATCTGCTCACACAGCCACCGTGACAGGCTGTGAAAAGCAATGACTTTTACTACACAGCACTAATGCAAGGCGCTCAGTTACGGGCGGCTGTAGGTTGGGTATTTGACATCGAAGATGACCCGTGCTGTGCAAGAATGAGACAGTGGACGCTGAGCACTTTTGGTCCCCAATTGGAAGCCCCTCAAATGATAGTCAGTGCATCACTACATAGCTGCTGGGTCTTTTATCTGCTGTGCGGGGTCTAGATGTATTTTAGATAGTTCTTGTCTTATCCGTTAATGTCTTTTTGAGATGTATATTGTTTCTCTTCTCTTCAAAAGTTTGATGCAGTGTTCAGCGTAACTCCGTACACAACCTCTTGCTCACACACGCAACGATAATGCGAACAAGCCGTCAAGATGTTGATAATGATCTAATGATCTAAACAGGAACATGTGACACTGCTCTCCGCAATAAATTAAATTGAGCAGTTGCTCATTCTAATGGTGGTGAGCATCATGGTGTTCCACGCCCTGGAAATCAAGTGCATAGACTGCAAAATTTTAGCATGGATTGGACGACGAATGGTCAAATACTCACCGGAGCCGCATTCAGGGCAACGGCGATTTTTCTCTTTCTTGACAGTGAACCAATGCAACTCATGACTTTCGGCTGGCGAACCAGTGCATCCAACAATGCGAGACGTGTCCTAAAACAATTGAATTCTGTAAGACGCCACGATACATTGTCACGATGCAGAGCATACCAGTGAAAAGACTTTGATCGGGTCCTCGAGGGTGCCCACGCGACTCGAGTCAAGAGGCTCCAAGTCGAACGAATCAACACCCTGCATCTCCCCAAGAAGCTGGAAGCGCTCTAGACCAGTTGCTTGCTGCTCATCGGAAGGAATTTCACCGGGCTTAGCACCCTCTCCGAACAGTGAAGGCGGGGCAGGACCCGAAAAACGAGGAGTGGTAGTGGAAAGAGCGCGGAAAGCAGTGGAAGGGGTCGACCTGCGCGTGCTGTGCACGACAACAGGGCGGACGGCACGAAGGGCAGCGTTGAACATGATGTGCTATGAAGTTGAGGGATGCGGGTTGGGAGTGACTTGGAAAGTGTCTGTCACGTGTGACAATGTGACATGCGCCCGTCTACCTCCGACTCAACTCACAAGTCTGAACTTTTCTTTGCTCCTTAGAGTAATCAGATCAACATCCTGCTCGCACATCTTCAGCTTCTTCTGATTATGATATCAACTGGCGAACATTCAACTTTATGCCTTGGAATTCCCAGTTTACTGAGCGACGGTTGAGTATCACTGTATCAGACCAGGGCTACCTGGCAGCCCTGAGGCCGGATCACATTAAACGTTAACAACCATAGCAATCACCCCCCCTACGGCTGGCGGCTTCACCTGAATCACCCAGTCCAATGAGCGCATTGCGGTAGTTCTTCGCCTCTGAGCCTGACTGTGATGCCTGAATATAACTGATACTCTCTAAATCAAATTCGGTCCCGTACGTGCTTTCCATAAAAGGCAGGTGTTTACGAACGATAGCGCTAGAATTTGTTTCATGCCGAGAATGCAAAATGAGCCGACCAGATGCCGTTCCACAAAATACCAGTAGTGCTACGAGAAACTAGACTTGGTGACGCCATCTCCCTTTCCTTCACGCTCACGCGCGAAACTCGCGTCCAAGCTGTACCTTGCTCGCCATGTCTTCTGAACCCTCACCGGGATCCACTACATTAGACATCCTGCGGGCTTACAGCCGTACTCCATCTCCTTCATCTCCGGATGCGACATCCATCAATAGACCACCGGATATTAACTTGTCTCTCCACATACCAGATTCTAGATTTTCAACTATTTCATACAATCCAACATCAATTCTGTTTACTGCGGACAAAAGCTTGCCGAACGAGACCAACGAGTCGCCCTTTCGATGGAATTTACCTCTGCCCGTGGAACCTGAGCAGAGTGGACCACCGTCTGATGGCGGAAAGGGACAGGTATCCGATTCCACAGCAAACATCTGGCAGGGCTGGAGAATAATCGTATTTGGCTCATGTGAGTGCATCACGGTTTACTTGTCTCTCATTCGTACTAAACTTGACGGTCGTAGGGTTCAACCTTTTATTATTACTGATCCCCGTTTCTGTGAGTGACCGCCTTCACACATCCCACTGGGTTCACTGATTATCACGCCACTATTCCAAGTGGACGCTGAGCTTCGTGCTCGAGAAACACCACAAGGTTATATTTACCTGTAAGGTTCTGCAAACTCTTCTTGAAACATGAAACGACTCTTTCAACAGTCAGCATCTTGTCCATGATCCCTCTTGTAAAGGTGTGTCACACGTTCACTCTTCCGAATCGGTCAACTGAATTGGGAGTTTCTTTGTTAGCTCCACGATCTTTCAACTCGTGAGCTGGCACTTCGTATTGGAGGCACAAAGGCCGGTTTGCTTAATGCAAGTATGGTAAGTCGTATTCCACTAACGATCGAACACTCCTCGACCTCTATGTATGCAGAGCAATACGTGAGTTTAGGTTCCTTGGCTGTTGACAGCAATTTTAACGTACATCTCATGAGTGTCGAGATGGTGATCGCGGTAAGCGCTGGTTATGTATGCGTGAGAATCCGCTCATCTGTTTCAGATCACCGCCCTCAGGAAGTGTGAACTAAGGGTCGTACAATCTTCGTGTAAGTTCAATAAAGATATCTGAGAATTTGATCTGATACTCGCAGTAATTGGTGCGATTTTGAGCAAACTACGTACGTCGTGCACGTTACTCCGTCATCTAATCACCATCCTCATATTTTTAGTTCTTGTCCTGGGGATGTGCTTCTTTGCTGGCGGGCTTCGCTTCTCTGAGCAAGGATTCGACCAGAGTGAGGTTACATGTATAATAACAGTACAGAGATAGCTAACAGATCTCTCAGCCGCTACACAGATACATTCATCGCTTTTGAGTATCAGCGTTGGAGCTCTGCTCCTCCCTGCTGCGTATCACTTTGCAATCAGTGGCGGAAAAGATTCTGGCTCCTTTGAGCAGAAGAATAACATTCTGAATATGAGCTATGGAGTAAGCTTTGTTTTGACTTTGCTAGAACTGGCCCTGATCGAATCGTCGTAGGTCTCAATCATACTCATGTTTAGTGAGTCCTGTGTTCGTGTCCATCGAGGACCGCTTACGATGCACGTGGACAGTTTATATCGCCTATCTTCTCTTCCAGTTCTGGTCCCACAAGCATCTCTATCAAGATACAAAGCTTAGGAGTAGCAAGCTATCGGTCAAGATGCCAGTCAATTCGCGTTATCTGACCGACATGCTCTCTGCATCCGTGACCCTGAACGATAAACCTGGTACCACGCATGATGGCCAAAGTTCGGCTTCGAGTTCTCGACGTAGTTCAGTGATATCTTCCAATTTCCCTCCGCTGCCCAAATTTCCCTATAGGAATTCGCCGCTGAGTTCTTCTTCCGAGACCACGCTGACAGGGAGCAAGGAACATCTTCCGGAAACGACTAAGCAGGGGCTTACACAGGAATCTACTAATCGGTTGGCCGAGGGAGTGTCACAACAAACTGCACAACCCGAGCACGATCATGTAGATGGCAGCACTGTTGATCTCTTAAATCCGCCTTGGAGTACATCACCGATGGCATCCGCCGTTGATACCGACCCTATCCGATACGCTTCACCAGAGCCTATGACCACCACTGAACGTGCGAATCTGCATAGGTCGCCATCAGCGACCGATAGTTTCAGAGAGCCGCAGCTCAGCTGGATGGTCACCCTTCTGCTATTGACATTGGTTACTATTGTAAGTGATGAATCAGTTTGAACGAGTTACCTGTCGACGACTCCTCTAGACGGTGACTATCACTGCTGAAGATCTTGTGGAGTCCATGGACGGGATCTCAACAACGATTAGCAAGCAATGGGTTGGTCTCATCTTGCTTCCTGCAGTCAGCTCTATCGCAGGTATGTACAGGATGCTCCTGATTTTCGGCGTCCTTTGACACATTGGCCACGCAGAGTGCGTTACTGCAGTCAATACTTCTGTGAAGGACCAACTGAATCTGAGCGTGAGCATCGCTGTCGGGTCGTCGATAGTAAGCCTCCTTCACTATTTCTTGTATGACGATGCTCATGTTAGCGTAAGCAAACCACCCTCTTGGTTATTCCGTAAGTGCTTGTCATATTCGACATGTTGCTGATACTGAATCCTGGAACAAGGTTCATGGTCACCCTTGGATGGATCATGGGCAGGCCACTGGCTTTACTATTCGACCCGTTTGAGTCTGTGGTAAGTGTTGTTCCAATCCATTGGTCTAAGTGTAGCTAAGCAGATCTCTAGGTTCTCTACATTTCAGGTATGCTTCGACCTTTCTATGAAATACGCTACACCCTCTGATCATTTTCTCATGCAGTGCATACCATGAGTTTCGTGGTCGCGGATGGGAAATCAAACTGGCTAGAAGGTCTCATCTTGATCTGTGAGGAGGCCCAGTACAACTCGTGGGCTGTCGTACTTAATATTCCTGCAGGCTTGTACTTCATCATAGCCGTTTCCTTCTGGTTCTACCCCAGTGAGGCCAACAGTTATTTTGACGCCTTGAGATACTGATCTATCCTCCAGTTTCCTCGAGCCTCCCAATCGAACTCGCTGTCTGCGTGTAGCGACGATGATCTTTTAAAACAATTCCTACCCTGGGTCCTGAGATCGTATTTTGCCCTACAAAGTAGACTGTCTGGTCTACTTTCTAAGTATAACTTGTCATTGTTCACTTCACATCCTACTTCACACCTACTTCACACCCTACCTCACACACCCTGTATTGCATGTGAACTATCTTCGACAGTAGAACATTTAATGAGTCGATGTACTTTATTTACTAGTTGAATACAAGCAGCGACATATGGTCGCCTTATTATCCCGTACGCGGTACCCAGAGGCATACCCTGTACTATCGTTGGGCCAGAGTTGCAAAATCTATTGACTTCATTTTCATGAGTTGGTACTTTTATCACGCTTGAACATTCTTTGACCGACACCATCGTGATTGCATTGTCGAGAATAACAGCAACTCTGCTCTACTCTCGCTATAAGAACACGGCGGTGAGGATTGGTATAGAGGACTTCTGGACCTTTTTTTGGCTGGGATCTACACTTCCCCTGACTGTTTTATATGAAAATAGGTGATAAACTTGATGCTGGGGGCATCCATCATGTTTTAATTTTGAAATACAGTATAGTACTATAGATCAAATAATAAAAAGTCTCATGTCTGAGAGTAGAAAGTTTAGAATGTGTTGTGGTGTGCTATGAGGTGTTTTGTAACTCTCTACCATTTTGCAACTCTGGCCGGTCCAACGATAGTATGCGCGAGCGCTTGGTAGCATGAAGCAACTTTCAGTCGTTTAAACTCCGAAATGTGCAATGCGTGTTTAACTCTTTGTGCCACAGCATCGTGCCCTAGAACCATAGCACGTCGGGAACGAGACTACCAGCATGTCCTGCCTCAGACGTCGAGCAAGATGTCGGGCCAGAAATATCAATGTCATGTCTACCAGATGAACCCAAAATTTCCCCGTCCAAGTACTTCGTAGGGCATACCGACCCATTAACATGTGTAGCTCTTTTTCCAGACAGCAAAATGATGATTAGTGGTTCCTATGACCGTAGGATTCGCCTTTGGGATATAGGAAGTGGGCAAGCATCAGGGGAATTCCTTCGGGGACACAAGGTTTCAGTAAATGTGGTTGCCGTGTCACCTGATGGGACGATGTTTGTGAGCGGAGGCGGGGACGGCAGAATCTTGATATGGAACGCAACGACGCGCAATTTGGCAACAGAGCCCATTCAAGCGTACTGGAACAAGATCGACTCTATTTCCTTCTCTCCCGACAGTGCAAGCATTGCGTCCATAGCAGGCACAATAATCAAGATATGGGATGTGGGCACCGCGAAGCTGATAATGGACATCGAGTCCCCAACCAGCGAACGCCAGGTTGCGTTCTCTCCTGAAGGCGGCAGAATTGCTACTGTATCTCACATAGCTCCAGATGAGCAGATGTTGCGAATTTGGGATGTGAAGACGGGAAAACCAGCAGCGGTCAGCCCTATCACTGGCCATACGGGTGGACTGCTGTCTGTGGCATGGTTCCCCAATGGAAAACGTCTGGTCACTGCATCGCTCGATAGAACAATCCGCCTCTGGATCTCGGAGACCGGTTGCCAAGTGGGACATTCACTTGGTGGCGATGCGGCCTGGATGGCTAACTATGTCGCTGTCTCTTCTGACGGGAAGCTCATTGTTGCTCTTTGCGGAGATAACTCTATCCGACTCTGGAATGCTATTACGCTTGATCAGATTAAACTCGTGCTCCATCATGTTGAGCCAGTGCTCTGCGTGGCTATTTCTGCTGATATCCGTTTTATCGTTGGTGGTTGTGGCGACAAGAAAGTGTGTCTGTGGAACATCGAAAACATCACTCAGCATGAACGCAACTCAAGGCCATTGCCGACTCTTGGGCCGGAGAATCAACAAGACGTAAGCAGGCTACCTCTTGATTTATTTGCTGAATACAAACCACTAGTTAGTTGGCACTCGATTCGTCGCACCCTGAATCAGTCTCCAATGGACCTCGTGTACCCAGAGGTACAGAGTAGTCCCGAACACACCGTATCACAGGCTGTAATCATATCCCATGGGCCACTCCCTCTGAAGGCAAGATCTAATCAGACTTCTTTCTCTGTACGCTCGCTAACGGTAGCTTCACCAGACTCCTACGACAGTCAAAGAAGATGCAGATCCTGTAGCTTCTCCCGCTGACCACAGCTATTTCCGAAAGTGGTGGAGACAGCCCCTCGACTTCTGGAATACTAGAAAGCGATTGTCCTCTCCAGTGAATATTTACCTGTTTTGAGACCAAACACACCATTGACAGATTGTATATTTAGCAGAGAATTACTGAAATTGAGCCGCACTCTGACCAGACAGAAAATATAAGCACAACCCAAGGCCCGAGTCCTGCTCAGGATGTTCTGGACGAGTTCAACCGCTATGTCATGAATGATATTCCAATTCGTCTGATCTACCTTCCAACAATGGAACTTGTCGGGCGAAACTTCGTGAAGACTCATTTCCAGGATCGCATCAATGAGATTACTGAAGATTCGATAGCCGAAAGTCAAGCACGCTTCAAGCCGCCGTTGGCGAGAGAAAGAGTTATCCCGACTCTTGTCCGGGGCAAAGTCGAATATGCCATTCTCTCCCATCGGTGGCTAGATACGGGAGAGCCTTCATACCAAGACATGATGGAGAAGAAGCTGTTTGGCCCTTTGAATGTCAGACATTCGTTGTCCAACATAACGTCTCGGCTGAAGGAAGGCTGTCATGCATTGCATATCTCACGAAGTCCCGGTGAGAACGAAGTGCAAAGTCTTGGCTACAAAAAATTGCAAAAGTGTTGCGAAGAGGCCAGACGTCTTGACCTGCATTTTCTGTGGTCAGACACATGCTGCATTGACAAGAATAGCAGTGCAGAGCTTGACGAGTCGATCCGGTCGATGTTCCGGTGGTACCGGAATTCGTCCATCTGCATCACGTATCTTGGGGGGACAACTGTCATTGAAGACCTGAGATTAGAGGAGTGGTTCATGAGAGGATGGACTTTACAAGAACTTCTGGCGCCCAGGAAGATAAAATTCTTCAACAAGGATTGGCAGCGGCTGACCGAGCAAGACGACGACAAGGAAGAAGATACCCCCTTCATGACAGTCCTGCAAGAAGTTACTGGAATTCCTGAAACAGAGCTCATCGATTTCGAGTCCGTTCCTCGGTATATTGATAAGCGGATGACTTGGGCTGCCCAGCGAAAAACTACGCGGGCAGAGGACGTTGCTTATTCACTCATGGGGATATTTGACGTCAGCCTGCAAATCGCATACGGAGAAGGTGGAGAGCGTGCATTCGGGAGGCTTGTTGAAGCCATCATGCAAGCTGGCGGGGATTCGTCAGTACTCAATTGGGCAGGAGAGCCAGCCAAACATCATGCATCATTTGCTCTTCCCGCATCGCCAGCTAGTTTTGTGGGACATCCCGATATTGTCACGATAGGTCGACTTGACCTGATGTTGACCAGCAGGGGATTGCGTATTCCGTTGGTCATTCTACCGCTTGATATGACTAGACCCGAATTTGATGGCCGGCCCATCGAAAATCCCAAATTTTACTGTCCACACCATGGTATTGGTGAGGTTAGGATCGACTCCAGAGGTTACAAGTTCGGTGCAATATTCAGACAGTACGCATTGGGCATATTCCACTATATTCCCGCAGAAGACTCGGCGAACCCAGGTCTTCCTAAACAAGTGGCAGCTTATCTGCTGGAAAGAAGTGAGGTGGTGGCACAGGAAACTCCCTTGGTTGGACTGTCACGACAGTATTGCTCTTTCGAGGATGGGTGGAGAAGGGTACCCACCGGATTCATTTATTTGGAACTTCCCGGTGTACCAGATTTTGCTTCTTTGTGGTACGTTAGTCGTGGCTGTCTGGAAACTGTCTACTTGTAGGACTTTTGCCGCAATGGAAGCACTATTCAGAACGTTATATCTAGCTCGAGCTTAGCTGTATGTGCATGGTACTGTTCTATGCCTGACTCGGAACCCCTTCTAACTCGAGATCCATAAACTTGGACTTTCGTCTATTAAATATTATATATGCTCAAGATTTCGTATATAAGTCAAAGAGATAGGTCATCGAAAGCTTAAGAATGCTGTGTTACAATATTTGCTGAGTGCGTATACATCCAGGTCATGAAAAATACCGCCTGAATGAATTCACGTTTTGTCAGTGCCTTGTGAAGTTGCAAACGCAGAGTAGTGTCTTTGTGTTTGATCCCCGTGTTCCGCCGCGGCACTTACAATATTAATGATCTTGGTTGTTGATCATCATCATGTACCACTTTGACGGTCGAAACTTAATTTAATCGCTTGGTACAGCTTGGTGCTTAGCGAGGATGATCATGAAACCTTTGACACTCCGAGTCTGCTAGGAATGCCTAGGCCTTCTCGTGATCTACGAAAGTCAAGCTGTCATCTCATTTGTGAATGGTGGAAAGATAGTTCGTTTGCAACCGTCTAATGGTTTCAAGTTGGAAACAAGCAGTACTTCTCGCCGAGTGGTCTTTCAGACTCATGGGAAACAGACCGAAGAGGGGAAGGTCACATTCTAAAAATATGCTATAACTCTGCCTTCGTTGCCCTCCTCCCACTGGGCCTGTGCACTTCTTCGCTTTCCTCTCGGCACCTCATTAATCATTGCCCTCCTTCAGCACCACGCGGCTCAGGCCCTCCATACTATTTACTCGGCCTCCATGCCTTTCGTATTCTCTTGCGGACTCTTTGTTGTTTATTCTCGGTTCTCCTTCTGCAAGACGTCATCACGGTCTACACACATTGTTTTTCACTATGTACGAGTACTATCAAAGAAACCGGGCTGTGAACGTCTTTGAAGTGATGCCAGGGGTACTTGGACAGCATTGAGGCGATCTATCAGACGGCGTTACACTTAAGTACTAGGCATATAAGTCAAGTCTGTTGGATGCGTCAGTGCAGCACGGACGCCCATCACGAATCACTCCTCGGCACGACTTTCGCATTGCGAGATATTTACATTCCTTCATCTTGATCACAAGGTGACTAGTACTTGCAGTCGACCTGCACAGAAAAACTTTGGTTCAGCTTGTCCTTGAAGGACATTGTCGACTATAATCATGGGCATAGCTTTGCCCGAAGCTGAGCTTATAGCAGTATTCCTAGAGACTTTGTTTTACGGTGCGTCACTGACTTGAATTCTGGAAGAAGTTATAGTATTGAATTTCTTTTCTTATGTAGGCGTGTTCTTCACTTTGTACTGGTCGACGCTGGTCATACTGCTCAAGAAAGGTGGTATTCAACGGGACCTCCTTATCCCAGTAGCAACCTTGCTACTCTGCATTGCAACGGCCGTAAGTGTATTCACACCCTTTGGAACAACTTGAATAGCTCAACAAGGTCGTTAGCATCTAATTATCGATTTAGTTCGAGTGCTAGAAGCGTTCATATTCAGTGCGCCTACAATCGGTGCGGATGCCTACTACTCCAACCTCGCTTCACCGTTGGAACTCGCAAAAACCGCACTTTATGTCACGCAGCCCACTGTCGCTGATGCTGTCCTTGTGAGTTTCTTCACTTGCCATATCGTTCTACCCTTGAGTAGGACAGTAGGTTTGGCGGTGCTACGTGCTCAACAATAGAAGCCTCTTGGTTGGCATTCCTGGTTGTATTGTGCTGTTAACTAATGGGGGTGAGTATCACGCCGAAAAGTACCATTCGAGCACCACCTCATTCCGTGATATTTCGTAGCGATTGGATACTATGTTGTCTGGTGCCTTTCTCAAGCCGGCGTAGGGTCGACTGTTTACACCATCGCTCCTGGGTTTATCACGACTTTCTATGTATTGACCATGCTTATCAGTGTTATTTGCACTAGTACGTCTATTTCATAGCTGATCTGCAGGCTCATGACGACCGGGATATGACAGCTTTGATTTCCTGGCGCATCTATCACAGTCGCCGTTCCATGTCAGACAACCCTGTTCTTCTACCCGTTTTGATTGTCGTCATCGAAAGCGGTGCTTTATATGCCACCAGTGTCCTTGCGCTCCTTCTAGCATTCTTGACGGGATCAAACTGGCCAATACCCCGCGATGGATATCGCCCCTCCTATCGTGGTGAGTTCACCTGGCTAAAACACGATTGTTTCAAATTGTAATACTTTTCTTTAGGGGATCGTATTCTGTCTCATCATCCTGCAAGTACACTTCCATGTAGGTAACAACTCCCAACTCCCGGGATCCTTCACCAGTCTCTTTGGAGAGCGAGGAGAACAGAATGTGGGCCACAGCATGGAACCGATGATTGCACATCACCGAGGAGACCGAGATCATTCAGTTTGACGTGATGCGCAGCCGATTATTCTCAGGAGATGACTGCCAAGTATTCTAGATGAGACTATTTTTCTACTTTTCCGCAGGCGTATTGGAAATTCTAGAACTATGGCTAATTCATTATAGTTGGGTTTTATGGATCATTTTCAAAATGTGCCGAATAGATTACATTTTTGCTGAACAGGATTTATAGGTAAGCTTGTATAAAGCTGGCAAGGCATTGACGCATTGATACGCATAGTACCATGCGATCGAATCTGAGTAGTTCAAGGTCAAGACAACTTGTGGTAAAGATATGAGGACCGTGTCGCCAGTGCTCCCTCATGGCTTGTGGAATAATAGTTTGCAGCGTTTCAAAGAAGCATGGATGCCAAGTCGCCCTAAAGAGGTCGGGGTACTTCAAAGCAAAGCTTGGATTCACTTTGGCAAGGCTCTACGCGTAAGCCTCTGAAATCGCCTTAGGCTACACTATTTCCTGTCGTGAGCCACCATGAACACAAATCTAAGGGGTATGATTACTCAGTGTATACAGGTACTATCAATGTAGGAGTGAAAACCACTCAATGCATCTGTTCATACATCTACGATATCTCCAGTGTCCTAATGCCCATCACGTCGCGAATAGAAGTCATGTCTTTAACTTGCGCAACGATATCGCGATTCGACGCGATTCTCTTGTATTCCCCGCTGTGTTGCCGTGCTAACAAAAGTGCGCTAAATGGCTGTCCAAGGCGAACAACCAATCGCAATGCTCGCAAATGAGAATCGGTATCAACTGGCTCATTTTCTCCAGGAGAAAGGCCGAGCGAATCGAGTAGCGGAGAGCTAGGAGCAGCTACATTTTCTATGTTCTGCATATCATCTGATGGATTAGGCAGCTCGAGGAGGCCACGATTCCATGGACGGACAAGCAAGAATGTCTGCCAAGGGGCCAGGGGCCTTGTCGACGAGAACGGAATCAGCCTGTCTTCTGTGGTGATCAGCAGGTCACCAAGCCCGTCCGTCTTGACTTCATACATGAGTGTCTCCTGGTCTTGACCATGTTTCCGTCTGACTTCCATGATAGGAAATGTGATACAAGGCAGATGCAGGCGGCGGTGGGAGAAACGAGGAGCGCTCAGGTTGTCGAGTGTGGTGTATATTCTCGAAGCCAACTCTACAGCCCCAGCACCTCGTAGAGAGGAGACTGATGTCTGAATGTCATCTTCGGAGAGAGAAGGCAGCACGCATGGTGGAGCTTCGTACGATGTGATGTCGGCTGGCAAACAACTATTGAATTCGGATGATATTCCAACCCAGTCGAGGGCAGTAATAGTCGCCCGATCGACCCACGACTTCTTGCAAGAGTCGCCCGAGTGCGTTTTCCTTCATCTCACCGTAGATTATAGGTAAGTGGACGCCAAATATGCCAAATAACGAGTAGGCGATATCTTCCTGTAACGTGGTGACACGTGTCGACGCCCATCGGAGTTTCTCTCGTGCTCCCCTCATCCCCGGGCGGAAGGCGACAAGGGCTCGTGGATCTATGCCTGTCGCATCTCCCAATTCCTGCATGATTGCAACAGACTTCTTGTGATTGGGGGAGCGGTCGTCGAGATGCATAGTCCAATCTGATTGGTAGAAGAGAACAGCTTTGGGAGCAAGGAATTCCGGAACGGTCCATCCCCGCGTGTTCCAAGCGCTCTTTGCCAGTGCGCCGGACTTCGACGAAGGCGGAACATCTGACAGGTAGACGATCGTAAGTGCTGATTGGCGATACCAGGTAAACATGGAATTGAGTGATTTTTGGAGTTCAACGTTGTTATTTTGGTCGATGCAGCATGTGTCAACCCATGCCCAACGATAACCCGCCTTGCGAGTAACTTTGCAGAATGACTGCAACTTCACGATGCTTCCAACTGGATTCAATTTATACACGACCTTCTCCTGGATGTCGTACAGCAGGGGCTCCTTCTCTTCCCACCTATGGGATAGCATAACATAACGGAAGTACATCGCAACTGATTTTTTGATGCGCTCCATGCGGAGCTCTTGATGCTTCATCGTCAACAACAAAAGCTCCTTGTACCTTGTGCTTGTCTTGAAGGAACTAATCTGTGCGTCTCGATCGCACAAGTACCCAGTGGAGGTGTTAAGTAGACGAAGCGGGGCGTTTTCCACTTGAACATGAATGACCTTTCGGATAGCACCGTCCGCTTCGGATGGGCTGAGATACTGCTGGCGCAGCTCTGGAGAAAGAGTCAAGCACTTTGATGTACGTGTTAGTTGGGGCTTACTTCGTATCTGCGTCTCAGGAGCATTATCCAACTTGGAGAGCATGGCTTGGAAGGCCTCTATTGCTTCGTCATAGCGCCGCGCGCCATGAAACGCTTCGTGCTTCAACTGGTATCCGATATAAGACGATGGGTTGAGTTCGACGACCTACATATGTACATCAAAAATAAGTATTATCTTCGAAGGAATGGATGTCATCGCACCTTTTGCGCATCGACGAGCGCTTCCTCCCACAGCGCTTTTTTCAACTTTGCCTTACTGCAGTTGGCAAATATGGTTTCACTTGTGGGATCTAGCTCGATTGCCCTCGAATATAGACCAATAGCCACGTCGTAATCACTCGCGGCGAGTGCGACATCTCCGTTGGCAGTATAGAGTGAACTGCAATTTTGCTTGAAAGCTGAGTGAAACGCGGGTGAAAATTTAGCGCGGGTGGCATGACTGAAGACTTACTAGCAGACCAACGAAAGCAGCTGGCTTTCGTGGTTTCATCACTCATATCCATCATGTATCTGTACGATTTAAGGGCTTCTTGAAGTTTACCTGCGTGAAGGAGTGCGTGACACAGGTTTTTGTTTGCCGTTTGCCACAAAGACTTGAGGTCCCATCCGAAGAGCTACAGAAGTATGAAGTTTAATTGGACATGAAACATATTTTCGGTTGCATTATATCGACGTACCACCACGAAGTCCGTATATTGAGATTGAAGGGCTGATTTAGACCAGCAAGTACCGCCGTTGACAGCGGCTGCGAAGTGGTCAGCAGCTTCATTGTGATGCCCGCCGTCTAATGCATTGATTCCAAGTTGAACACGTAAATACGCCTGATATGTGATGTCAAGTCAACGGCACACAAATATGGGCTGGATCGACACTCACTTCCACGATACTACAAGCAAGAGTATCGGCATGGGGACAAGAGGTGGCTAGCTCCTGGACACGTTGAATTGCATCCTCGTATTGATCTGCGTTGAACAGTGCGATGGCCTGAAAATCGATGAAGTAGGGAGTATGGAAGAACTGACTAGCATGCCTTGATCAAGAGAAGACGATGAACGGCCTTCAAATCTCCGTCGGTAAACATGGACGCGAGGTCAAATGCTTTCATCGCATCTTTGAAGTGCCTTTTTCCACAGAGGGCGATGCCTTTAGAGGTGTAGCCTGTGAAGAAGGGCTGAATGCTGATGGACTTTGCCATCGTGAAAGTCAGCATATTACTTTCTTAAGACATGAATCAGTTGTATCTCACCATAAGTGCATTACAAAGCGCATGGTCCCAGTCCTGTTTTCGCGCCATGACAAATGAGCGGTCGGCATAGGAGATGTAGTCGTTGGGATCAGAGTTAATCTCTTGTGTTAACAGCTCTTCAGCGATAGGCAAATCACCAGATATGCATGCATTGCGGGCTGTCGTGTTTATAGCGATATTCTACATGAAGTTAACACTGTGTTGTAAGAAACAAGAGTGTAACTTACCTTGGAAGCCGGTAAAACGTCCTCCGGTACTGCCCACTCTGATATCTTCTTATCCCCTCCTCCACTAAGGATGTACTCACCACCCAAGGAAAAGGTGACGCAGCGCATCCAGTGAGAGTGTCGGAATATGGCAATAGTTCGTCTATCTGAGAGCCGCCAAAGGCGGACATCATTGTCATACGATGCGGATGCGACCAGGGTAGCAGCAGAGTTGACTGCAATGGCGCAGATTTGCTTATCATGGCCTTTCCAGGGACTCCCACCGACCTGCTCCCAGCTTGCTGAGTCCCACTCTCGTATGGTAGCATCAGCATTTGTGCCTGCTGAGAGAAGGCGTTTGCCATCGGGCGTCCACGCGAGTGACTTGTTGAATGGTCTAATGCTTGCTCGACTGATCGATGTATGAACCGCATGACCCTCAAAGATTATAATACATTCCCTAGTGTTCGGATCCCATATTTGAATCTTCCCAAGTGTTGCAATGGCAAGATGCTTGCCAGAAGGTGAATACCGAACGCAGTTGACATAATCTCCACAATTGATAGGTTTTTTTTGCAACCGCCACGTTTTTGTGTTCCACAGCTTCGTTGTTTTGTCCCATGAACCAGTAGCCAACACCGCACCATCTGGAGAAAAATCCAATGAGTCGATGCAAGAGTGAGCTTGGAAGGATTTGGTGAGAGGTTCCCCGGTGTCCCCGTTCCAGGTGATGAGCTCCCCCTTCTCATCACCGCTTGCTATTAATCCCCCGTCTCGCGATATCGCCACTGCTCCAACCCAGTCGCAATGCCCCTCCATTATCTTCAACACCACGCCGTCCTTCAGGTCCCAAAGACGAAGTGTCTTGTCTGCCGAGCCTGTAACCATTCGTCGCATATCGGGGAAGACTGCGACTGCGAGCACGGGTTCTTCATGATCTCCAAATACTCGACTAGGTGTGGTGCTTATAATGATGCCCTGCCCTGCCTCTCCTGCCATTCTGGTGCAGGTGAATTACTGTCGATTGTAAGGGAGTTTTGCTCTCAGGTGCACCACGTAGCGTGGGCATCATTCTTATCCTTAAATAAGTGCCCAAGTCATGACGAGGTTGTTACCTTGTATGTACCTACAAGGTCTCATAATTGTGGCTGTACAATCCTACTTTTTGTCCCCGTGAGAATTTATTTACACACTGCTCCGTTATCTGGTCAAGTCCATTGGTCTTCAATACAAGGATATTCACTTGGGTGAGTTGTTAGCAACTTCTCGTCAAAATCATGTAGAAGACGTATATCCTCTCCACCATGTCTTCAAGAGAGTGCGACGTATACATCAAACAGGGAAAGCCCATCACTTGGCGGCATCGTGCTAGCACATGCTGGAGTGAGCGGAAGCTGGTGCCAAGTTCCAACACTCCTTCTGCTGAAGACGGAATATATCGGAATACCATTTGTAGGATTAGGAGATTTTCGGCAGGCAGGTCCCGTTGTCAGTGGAGCAGGAGAGACAACAACTTTGGCAGCATCAGTGAAATCATCGGCGCTATGGCCAGGCATGCGGATTTTGAGTCTCAACACTGCAATCCGTAGCATGGATGATCCGCAAATTGAGGGCTGCAATTGACGACATTCGTAAATCGCATCGGAGAAGACTGCTCCGGAAATCGATAGAATATCGCACTCATAGCAGCGACTACCAACTTCGACGATACCATTAACTTCCTCTTCCCACCACATGTCCTCGAAGACGCTGAAGCCTGTCTTCAACAAAACGTCTATGTTGATGAATTCGACGACAAAATTCTGGACAAATTGCCGGGCGATTTTCGAAGTATGGCGAACAGATATCGAGCACACACTCCACTCACGAGACAACATAGAATCTTGCTTTGGTTCAGATGGCCCGAATGAAGCCGAGCACACTCCATTATATGCACCAGAACACATACCCGACTCATCCTGGAATACCTCATTGCCTGGATCACAAACAGAATTACATTTGCGCCATTCAACGAAACCTCTCCGTAGAAAAGGGATTGGTCAGAAACGCGCGCGTGCGCGTAGTTGCTCTGCATCGTCAGTTCATTGAAGTCTAACTCATCAGTACTTTCGAAAGCCACTGTATCCCCCGCATCAACTTTACCTTCTATCCAACCGTTTATCGTGAACGGTAAATTGAAGACGGTTTCATTTGCGACCCATGTTTGCAACTACATTCAATGGTTGTCAAGGTTTGACACTAGCACGAACCGTGCTCGACCTTCGACCTTCGAACGTATCCCTTTGCTCACGGTCAATTGTACACAGCGTTGTCAGTGTATTTTTAAAATCCTTACCAGAACAATGCCTGTTGAAGTAATAAACAAGGTTGCTGCCGGCGAAGCTCGGCCACTATCTAGTTCTCTCGATGCTGCTCGGTATTAATATTGTATCATAATGTTGAAAGCTCGAACATCCCCCGTCGCTCCACAGGGGTGCAACTTGCATCCATAACATTGCTCGCAAAACCTGAGATGGTGCCGCAGCCAGTACTTAAAGGCTTCTCAGACTCTTTGTTCAACCCCTATCAAATATTGCACATATTAAAGCGCTACTAAGTTACTCCAGCCCGCCACCGTCATCTGATGTTGTCCCCCATAGTCACCAAGTCGGCATTCAGTTTATCCCACCCCTTGTTTATCTTGTCGACTTCCTGGGCTTGTACACCATCTGCCCGGTGTCAAGGGCAAGGCTTATGCCGGATCACCACTGCAATCTACAATTCTCAAATAAGAAAGCGCTTGATCAAGAACATGATGACATCTCCAAAACTATCCAAACGATTCTGCTCGACCTGAGGCTCAAGGCTTCGTATATATGTATATATATAATATATACCAGGGAGTTGAATGACATCCGAAAATTATTGTGCTATACACATCCATCTAGGTATAGTGCATCCAGATACAGGTCACCCGAAAGGTATAAATGAAACCGCTCAGAGATATCTATTCGTACATGTTCTACAGTATCTATAGCACTGCCATAACGTCCATTATGTCGCGAACAGAAACCATATCTTTACATTAACTTGCACAATGATGTTGCATTCCGATGTGATTATTTTGTATTCTCCGCTATGCTGCGGTGCCAACAAAAATGCACTACAATGCTTTTCAAGGCACACAATCAATCGCAACACTCCAAGACTCCAGATCAACTGGCTCACGTGGGGGAGGTGATCTCAAGATGTGCCAGCTGACATTTCTGGCCATCTGCTGTTGTTGACTGTCAGAGATGGCAGATGCCAAAATAACGCCACCAAAACAATATCAATATTAATAAGGCGGGTCGACTTTATAATGATGAGAACATCGGTAAGCAAATACAGCCACTCTTGATGAAGTCGTGTTTCAAGAATCCGATTTAACAGTTCGATCGTTCGCGTCGAGACATTTCTGGCAATCGGTGGTAGCAGGTTCCGGAGCATGTACATCCTAACTAGACCACATGACACCGAGCCATTAATACTCACGATCACACAAGTGTCCGACACATGCTCAGCAGATCAAGTGTTCCATAATCAGAGGTAGTATCTGTCACCTGTGAAAAGAATTCATAAGGGAAGCATGCTACGACCACGTGCGTTTTCTTACCGATTTGACCCATACCAGGCTCTATGATCCAGACTTTCCTCCCGTCCCCTTCGCTCTGGCCCTCGCCTTTTTCATTGTAACGTTCAAGCCAAGCTTCACGAAGACCTTCATCGACGGCACCAGTAACAATCTTGATCTTTGGAAAGGCCCGCTGAAGTACAGTGACACCGCCGGTGCGGGCAATGAGAAACGTTACGAAAATGATGTGATCTTGCTGGACTCCATGATCTAATAGTGTCCGAATTGCCATGAATGCCGAGGCAGCAGTGCCTATTTGAGCATCTAGCAAGAAGACCCATGCATCGACGGCTAGATGTCGTTCTCGCAAGCATTTAGGGAGCATCACATGTAGAAGTAGTGGCTCTCCAGAATTGGCATCGGATTGCACCAGAAGGGATCCAATTGCAACGTCACTAAGGACACGCTGCAACCCTCTCGTTAGAGGTCCACCTCTGGACCAACTGATTAGTGCAGAAATTGGCTGGTTCATCAAGACGTACGAGCGTATGATGGAGACACCACAGACGTTCTAGATAACTCTTAAGCCAGACACCCGATTTCTCAGTGGAATGGCATACCTTAACGTCAAGTTCCTTGCCGGTGCAATCTACTTCTGTTGGGGTCGTGACCGTCTTAGGTCTGTGAGGAAGATGTTCCATCGCTTTCTCGATCAAGAATGTTGCCAATCGGTCCTACGAAGAATATAAAATCCTGGCGGTTGGATGTTCCATCACGAAGAATGGTATATATACCCTTCACTCAGAAGCATGAGCAACGACTCTCATCGAGGGTGGGGGGCAAACCTTTAACTGTGGTGTTTGCGGGAGCACTATAAGGTTCTTGGACACCGGGCTACCGTCTGACGTACTCAAGCAACACTCAATTGATTGAGAAACCATGCGTTTCCGGAAGTGTCTCGCACGTTCTGTCATTTGGCGTCGAATGTGGGTCGATATCAAGTCAATGGCAACAGAGTTGTTCGACCCTGGAACAACCTGAAGATAATGGTACGTCGAAACAATTAAAACAACACATTTACTCACAATGTCTGCATGGCGAGCGGTTGGCAAAACGAAGTTATCAAATGCGGGCTTAACATAGCGAAGATATCTAGGCATGAGCAATGGTTACGATAACATATAACCCTGGCAGAGAAGAATACATACTGCTCAATAACCCCATCAACGCTTCTTCCGCGTCCTTGACATCCCGTTGTATTCTCCGGGCGAGCATCAAATCTGAGTCACATTGCACAAACACCTGTTAAACGGTGAGACAACGTACAACTTGCTGAATGATAGTGTACCTTGAGATCATATAAAGAGCGCAAGTCTGGATGATGCAAAGCCATTATACCTTCCGCTGAAACATGTGTTTGCCTTCAGCACCCAAGATCATGACAGGAAGTGATCAAACACCTGACTTATTATGATAGCCGCACCATACAAATACTTCACCTCGTTTAACCGCTGATGTTCGGCAAACGAATAAACGGGAATATTGGACTGTCGACACGCCTTCAAGTCCGCGAGACACTAGAAGAGATTCGGTAAAGAATCTAAACATAAACAAATGCACGAACAGCAGCAAACATGGGCATGTCAATGGCATCCGGGTGGTCAAAGTCGAATCGATTCGCATGCGCCAGCGCAACCTCTTCTGGAGTATGTTGCTTGTAAAAGCTATCCTAAGCAGTGGACACTGTATCACCTGTGAACTCTTCTGATATTTTTTGCAATACTGACCTGAGACAAGATAACGACAGTCGGTACTGATCCCAATGAACGGACGATTTGCTGAGCAACATGAGTCTGTCGACGTCTAATTCATCTCTCCGAGCTTCTTTCAACTTGCATTCTCACCTTCCCACTTGCCGATCCGCCTGAATCTATTTTGACAAAATGCAAAGCTGCATGATACATTCACTCACCAGCTATTCCGATCACGAACGCACTGCAAATAGGTAGGCCGTCTTCCCCGTACCTGTCAGTGACACGTAGATGTCAGGAGTTGAACGACGATAAAGAGCCTGCACGAAAAGTTACCAGGGAGGTCTTCCGTGAGACTTCAAGAGAATGTTCTTCCTTGACTGGTGTGATTCCAACGAGTGCTGACTTTCGTCATCGAGAAACTCATGAGAGTGATCTTCTGCAAGCATCGCAGTGCCCGGGACAAGTCGCAAGATGATCGATGGGTAACTAGTAGAAAGAGCCTCTTCGGAACCAAAAGGCAGGAAACTGGATGTATTTAAGGTCTTCGGCTACGATGGATAAATTATCGCCGTGCCAAGTACTGGCAGTGTACAGTAGCTTATAAGTACGTGATGGATTCTGAATCTGTTACTGCATATGCACCTGACTCGGACTGAAGGTCCAGGCCAAAGTCAACCTGATTCAGAATCTTGATCCGACACACCGTGTTCTTGACATGTGACAAGTCAAACAACCCCCTTATCATTACATGATCAATCTAGAACGATTGTCTTCCACGGGACGCTAAAGTCGTTATAACGTAGCATGGTCCGCATGGCAGGAGCTGCTAAAAGATACACGAATTCATTTCTAAATCGATGAGAAACCCTGCCACGATGTCGCGTATCAGAGTCTTTTCTTCATGCCTTTACTAGACTTTACTAGATTGCCTTAATTCGTGGACTCCATTCGGGATAACGAGAAGTGGATTTTACGCTAAGTCTATGTCCGCACCATCGATACCGGAGACATCATGGTATCATAACCTGCATTGAGGTGGCCACGATATCACTCGCTGCCTTGACGTTGAGTCACAGGATACTGGATTGTCAATCGTTGATGGACCCTCCAGGGATTCATGATCCCAGTCAACAAGATCTTATTAATACTAGTGTCAATGCCAAGCTGCTCGACAACTTTGCGAGCGGCGAAATAAACTGCCTAGCCTAAGCCGTCATCATACGCTGAATGTGACAGTCAACAAGCTATGTGACCAGTGAGTGGATACCTGCTCACCGTTGCAGGCGAGAAGAGCCGAGGGGGACAACGAGGCAGATACGAGAATTGCGCTCGAAGGAGCTCACCAGCCGAAATAAAGTTCACGTGTGATTGTGCCTACTGAGTACAACAACACACTCTTGAAGCTTGGCCCCCATCAAGTAAAGTTGTTAACGATATACGTTTTGAGGGCTACAAGAAGCGTTGTAAGTACCTCATTCCTCGCAATTCCTGATCGTTGATGAGAAAATTTGCCACGATGTCGAGCATCTCTTCCTTAGGAATCTTGCGCCGAGTTCCATCGCCTATTAGTCCATCCTCGTGAAGGCCACGATCTGCCACCCAGATGGGTAAAGGCGTAGCTGATGATACACCAGGAGCTGACTGTTTAACACCGCGACTACTCCTGCTTGTCAACGTTGTGTGACAAGAGTAGCAAAGGAAATCGGTCAGGGCAAGTAGCGGTGGCACTTGAGGTGGGGTCCTTGTGTCGAGATTGCCTCTGCATGGTGATGGGATGTGGGCCAAGTCCGCAGCAAGTTTGTCATCTGAGTAAGATCTTATTGATATACGATCCTTCCACTCTTGTATGGCAGATTGCATCGGCCTGACAGATCCTGTCTTAATCACTTGAACCGAATGAAATGTAGTCAATAAACCTCACCGCTTACACAACCTGCATTGCCCGCTCGGTACATCCTTAGGTTCCAGTTTTTCACAGGTCCGAGCGATAGTCGACACAGTCGAAGGATAGTCTTTCTCAAGCCCGACTACAAAATCTGAGGAATAAGTCAGTCCTGCGTCTTGCACGCGAAAGCTCTCTCGTACTCTTGGTCAAGGCTGCTATTCCTAGTATCGCACGCCTCTGCTTGTCTCGACCGACCACAGATATGTTGTTCCACCACGCATATATGGCACATTCTTTTGCAGTAACGTCTCTGAGAGGTCGGATAACCCTGAGCACATTATTAGGCTTCGAACCAGAAGCAGCAACCGGCGCCCATTCCTCCTGAAGTTCCTCGCGGATTGCATACCCTCCACCTTGCGAAATAGACGATAAAAGTGATATAGAGATCGACGTGAGAGATGATCCAAAGAGTAGATGCGATGAGCCTCTCGAGTGGGCCGTGTGCAGGATAAGGACACGGGTGAGATTCTGTAAGGCACTAGAAATTGCAGTTTGTGTGGGCAGCGATGATAAATACGACCGCATAGCTTCTACTGGTGTTAAATCAGTCACTTTGGAAGCGACATGGAGCCCTGACAATACAAAGCTCAGTATGTTGATTAGATGCATTGTTACAGTTCTACCATCTGTAATTAGGCCTTCCTTGCTGAGTTCCAGCCAAACCTGTGGGGTGATGTTTGATCCGGAAACTTTGGTCCACCAAGACCCATCGAATGCATCTTCTATTCGCAGAGGCACAAATTCGAATGATGGATATCGCTCGACTACAGATCGAATATCTTCGGTTCTGTCATGCATCTAGCTGCCATTATGTTACTGAATCTCGACCGGAGATCATAGCCACGACTCACCCCAGCAAAAGCTCCGCATACCTCTACATAACAAACAAGGCAGGACGGCCATACGCTGACGTTCCGTGGATGATTGGTACCACCTCTTGGTTTGCCTAAATCATCCAAGGGCGGTCGACTGGAGAAATATGTATTATGGACGATATCCAGCGTAATCGACGATCCTAGGCCGCCAGAGAATGCCAGGCAAAGGTTTCCCGATGCCTTAAGCTTGGGTCGCTTCGAGGTGCCTGCCCTAGCATTGACCGAAGGTTCGAGAGCTTTTCTAAATTTCATGTCTACTATTGGAGTGAAACATTCTCTTGTGGGGGACGTAGTCAAATCCGCTCCTCGCTGAAATGAACAAAACACTCACTTGCAGTACACCGCATGACGGATCACGATGTTGCCTGGTTTTAACCTGCATCTCACGCAGTCTTTTGATTTCCCAAACTTCAGACGACCTGCCCAAGCGAATGAGACACAGGTAGACACAGTTGAAAACACTCACGAGGCATGAGGGCTTGCTCTTCTGTGGCTGGGTTTCCACACGACGACATGTTGAATGCAGATCCCAAGATTATAATTCACGATATAACTCAAAAACTAGAACCAGGTGGGCGGTTGTGAACTAGGGGCATTTGCCAAGGGAGAGTATCATGGAGCAGATGGACCCCATCACGACAAGCATAATCAGCAATTGAAAATCGCTATTCCAAACTAGGAAAATATTGAAGAAGCATTTTGTCTTCAAACCAAAACACGCTCAGTCCTTCTAGACTTAGCTAGTGATGCACTCGAGCTGCTGTTCAGTCTTTCAGAGACTTATCGCATACTGTCCCACTGACCGGCACCTTCACCTTATTAAGTATACTCTCCCCCTGAGCTGCGTAAACGATTGAAGCGATTCTTCCATAGGGATTGGAGTCCTTTCCAATGTCCAGCGTTCGTCTGTGAGTACATGCTTACTTTGTTTTACTTTCGTGACGTCGGCGGTCTCAGATCTCAGAGGGTTGATTCGGCATGTCAAAGATACGTGTAAGTTGAGTGACCTCAACCGTCCGAGTCATCAATGATGCTCTAAAAAATAACTTCCAAGTGCCTGCACTGGAGACTGCGCCAACTGACAACAACAAAATTTGATTTCTTCGTTTCCTTTCATTATCAAACAACGTAACAGGCAGCAACTCGACGGTACGTTTGCTCGTTCGCCAAGTTACACACTGCCACGTTCTCAGATTAATTGCATAACCCGAAGCGAGGAGCGGGGACAAATTATTCTATTGCGTGCACGTTGCCAGACAACGAGACACGCTGATTGGCGAGATCGATCGCTGCACATCCCTTTTCACCCCACTAACGTGTGATGACGGAGAATCCAAAGCGCTAGCCACACCTTGCCACACTATGTCCTACAGTATTGCGCTAGCCATTGCCCATTACAGGTCTTTGGTTCGCTGCGCCAGGGGCTCGGACTCTCTCGGACTCCACCGCTTAGGAACTTCGACCATGATCGTTGACACCAAACTTCGTGTCCCATCAGTTGAATAACGAGGGTTTTCAAATTAAATAATGCAAAGCAAATAAACTGGCCGCCTTTTTCAAAGGGCTCTGCCAAATTTTGAAATACTGGACACAGCAGTTGTTCCAGAGTCACGAGGACCATCCTGGGCCATCCGATGAAAACCGATGAACGTCGTCACGAGTGACAGCAGGTGACGGCATATACCACTGTCCGCGACGACTCAGCGGAGGGTCAAGAACCCACGATTTAAGAACGATGGAATATAGGCGAAATCATCATGCGGGGAGTGTATTTATGTTGCACAATTCGGACGTCCTCGATGGTCATGATACGATTATGGCGGGAAAAATGACCTTCTTGATGAATCCAAGTGTTTGCCAGCAAAGGCAGGCAGCTGGCAACTGCTGGCAAGCATCGGTTTTTACCACTATTTGTGGCCAAATACGTACTATCCCATGGCAATAGATCTGCAGGAAGACAGCTCAAGACAGACATTCAAGCTTATTGATGATAGAAGCTACACGAGCTCCCCAGGCAACTGATTTGGATACCCCAGGATCCCCGGATCCATGGAGGCTTAGATGGAGAGTAATGGAGACCCGGGACCGCGAAGGCTGGGGCTTCCCAGTCTCCGAAAGGTTCAACGGTTTGGTGATACTTGGGTGTTTTCTCAAAGCGCCATAGAGCTCCGTGGAGCGCCGGACTGGTGACCTCGCGGACGCCAGGATAACTGGGGGTGCCCATCAGTATTAATATTATTCAATTTGCTATTCCATCTCCATGTTCACCACTAGGGTGCATGTATTGCGGAACAATGTAATACAGCGTATCAGATATTGAGTGCATAGGAATATTTGCGCTATCCATCGATGGACATTAAGCCTTTCCCTCATCGTCGTAGAGCTCGTGACTGCTCTTTTCGATATCGGACCCGCCCTTGTGCTGGCCAAACGCAGTCAAGCCAATCCGGTCAGCAATAGCGTTCTGGCGTTGTTGATCCGCAACAGCAAGACCTTCACGGTCTCCAAACACGTCGTCCATTTCTTCTAAAGTGAGGCCCTTGGTCTCGGGTACAAAGAACATGATAAAAAAGCCACCGAGGAAGGCGAATGCCTGTATTAATTTTCATGAGACATTGAAAGAAGTAAATGAATAGACAACTCACGCCAAAGAACACGAATGTCCCAAAGCCGATATGAGTTAGCATTGATGGCGTTACTTGACCGACAATGAAATTGTTCATCTGTTTGCCATGACAATCAGTGTACATCCCTATAAATATCCATAGAACGAACCCAATTGGACGATGAGGCAATAGAAATACCCTTGCCACGTATACTCAACGGCCAAATCTCAGCAACGAGGATCCAGCTGCACGGACCCCAGCTGTAACCAAAGGCTACGGAGAATACCCAGACGCAAGCGCAAGCTACCCAACCAGCGGTAGGGTGTCTGATGAGATGTTTTAGTTCAAGTGAGATAATGAAATTTCGATGAGACGCACGATGACCAAGAATCGTGGTATAACGCAGTCAGGACTGCAACGATGAGGTGGCATCTATTATGGAACGTTGAGGACGGAAAGTTTCACACGCAAGAATATAATACTAACGCAGCCATGATGAAAGCACCAGAGATCAAGACTGGCTTACGGCCGACTTTATCGATCCATATAACGGCAGGGATCGTCGCGAGGAACATGCTAATTGGGTTGTGTTAGTTTTGTATGTGAAAATATGTGGCGAGGCATACACAATACCGACAACACCCGTGGCGAGAAGGCTAGTTGCGTTGCCCGTCAAGCCCAAGTCACTGAAAATGCTGGGTGCATAGTACAAGATGGCGTTAACGCCAGTCCATTGCTGGAAGAACATGGTCCTGAAAATCCATTGGACTGAGTCCTATCCGTAGAAAATAGCGACTCACAATGAACCAACGGCAACACGGTAGAAGAGAGCTGGCGAGAGCAACGTCAGCGTTCATAATCAGTACCAGTTCGACAAATTCGTACTGCGTGTGGTAAGTAAGCTCATATAGGCATGAAGACCGAGCTTGAAATTCGATGAGAACGACCCATCCTGGAATTGAGGAAACTTCAAAGCATTCATTTCCTTTTCAAAGAGGTACTGGGCCTTGATTTCCCTGCGGAAGACCATGGATCAGGAAGACCAAGGCAGCAATGATCTTATGACCCACAGGAACTCAATTTGAACGAGGTCGGAGTCCGGAGGAAGGCGGCGAGCCCTACCAAGAACAGCGACAGCCTCTTCATCACGACCTTGGTTGACAAGCCACCTGGACACCATGAGTTTGTGACGTGTCGTAAGCGGGAGTTAGGACATGCCTTGGAGAGAAAGGCATGAAAATAACACCAATGCCTAGAATGATAGCAGGAACAAGCTGCATACCCAATGGAACGCGCCATGCAACCTCGCTCTGCCCGCTTCCAGTACCACCGATATAATTGGTACCATAGTCGATCCAGAAGGAGATCAAAATACCAAAGGTGATAGCAAGTTGCTGCAGAGCAACCAGACTGCCGCGGACTTCAGGAGGAGAAAGTTCGGCGCTGGTAAAAGGTCAGTAAAGACATAAAAGGGGACCGTTATGGCATACTTGTACAGGGGTACCGCCATACTGAGGGATCCGACACCAAGACCAGTGATGAAACGCCCTGAGATGATATTCAGACGCGAAACTTTGAACAGACTCTGAGAGCGTACCGCCATATATTGACGTGGGATGAAATGCCGCAGTTTGGACGACGACACCGACACAAAATATACAGACGGCTGCATGGACGAATCAGCTGCATCCCCTGGCAAAAGCGAAGCACACTAACCAAGCATGATGGTGTATTTACGGGAGAGCTTGTCAGCCAAGTACCCGGTAGAGAGAACGCCGACCCAAGCCCCAAGTTCCAGAATAGATACAAGCCAACCCTTCGTTCCAGGATCGGAGACAGCGGATGCCATCCGATGGTCGAATGAATACATACTGAAACAGTTTGAGAATCATGGATGCCAAATAAAAGGTGGCATGAAAGCTCACCTCAAGACACCGGAAAACACACCCTGGTTATAACCTTCACCGTGTCAGTACGAGCTTGAAGGAAAAAATAATGATAGGGTCGTACCATAGAGCAGACCGCCCAGAGAAGCGAAGACTGCATTGGCAAAAATTTTGCGATTGTGCACAAGGCCAGCCTGTGTAGTATTAGTACGCAGCACTAAATACGATTATTGGGCAGAAATCACCCATCCTGACTGGCCCTGCAGTCCTTGACGATGTTTTGCAGCGTAGGGGCTTGCGCCTCCAGCATGGCCTCCACCCATTGTTGTTGATGAAGATGAAGAGGGATTGCTAACTCGACTGAATCACGGATGCAGCTCTCCTTTATACTGTTTGGTCACATTTCCATCATTGATTTCTCATGTCACGGGCTAAGTACGGAAAAATCTCAATGGAGCAAAGAGTCGAAATGGAGAAGTTCTCCGGGGTATGGGGCGGTGCGGGGGATCCTGGCCGTCCACGCTACAACTTAAGCAAACAAGAGGTAGGGTCCGGAACAAAATGAGTGATGGTATGGATACGCTTCCGAGATTGCCGCAAACCCGATTATGGATCCGCATGATGATATTGCCACCGTATCGACAGCGGTAGACTATCCGGTCCGAAGACGCTTAGATAGATTTGGTGGCGAAAAAACCAATGGGGGTAATTGGCACACTTGTGTGCTTGTCACTGCGTTAAAGATAGTTAGTTATTTGAAAGAGTGAGAGGGAGTCTGTAGCACGCATACCTGCTTAACAACAGAATCGTTGGATAAGTCAATCATTGGCACAGGGTTACACGTTGCGGTGTGATGATATATGATTCGAGGCAAATTGAGCGACAGTGTCTAGTTTCTTTAAAAGTTACTCTGCAAAAGGAAAAATACGGTTTGATCGGACATACCTCGATAGAGTACGCTCGGTCAGAAAGATTGAGTATTGCCTTGATTGAGAACGTGGTCGATAGTACCGATGATCCCCTGAACTCGCATCTTACTCACGAGAAAAGCGGCGGTCGTTATGAGTTCTTGTGCTCTAAGTGGAATTGCTGAGCCGCCAGCGAGGCCAAAATGTTAACAGTCGGACCTGGACGTCAACCACTTGTGATTATGATGGTATGCACCTCTACGATGTAACTTGAGCCGATCGATGACAGAACAAGATTACATGTTTCGCTGTTCAGAAGTTGATGATTATAACCTGTTATATAATGAACGAACGTTTGCTCGAGAGCTTGCGTTCTTGAACCGTTCTTGTGAGGTTTTGGAGGTCACGGTGGCGGTTCAGAGGGTGGCAGTGCAAGAAATGCTGTGGGCGCAGCAGGTTTGCTGCTCGAAAGTTTGAACTTTGACATCTAAAGTCAGCCAAGTTTCTCTGAGCTCTCACAATTTACTTGTCGAGTCATAAATCGTCGTCCAATGTGGCCAGGGCAATCCGGTTATCCGACCAGTAACAATCAGAGTGGTAACACTAGTACCCCACCCCAGTAAGTGCATTAATAACATCTTCTGGAGAGCCGTTGAATCCAACACAACACAACTTTGCTTGTTAGGTTCCCAAACCCGTATGTGACCTGTAGTGAATAGTTGGTTGAGCTGATATGATGATTGTTCCAGCGGTAGTTATGCTCCTCCTCCCAATCCACCTGCATACAACCCTATGCATGCTGCCGCACCATCGATTCCCTCGCACGGTTCCCCGGCACCCAGAGGGTAGGTGACTGGTAAAATATGCTTTGTGTGTCCTCTCAATATCAATATTATCGAATCACAGCTTTGGATTTCCACCGCCAGTATCAAGAGATAACCATCCTGGACATCACCATAATAGTGGTTACCCAGGTCAGTTCACTGGAAATTATGCCCCTCCTCAAGGACCTCCCACTCCTTATGCACCGCCGCCTGGCCCTCCGTCCTCATCATACGGTGCACCCCTTGGGCCTCCGGGTAGGCAAGGCCTTCCATCACAATACCCTCCACCCCCAGGTCCTCCTAGGAATTATCCACCGCCGCCTGGACCTCCTCGTGGCTATGGCGCACCTCCCCCCAGTACGCTGTTCGTAAGATATTCGCGTTGATAGATACCTTAACATTCCTCAGGATGAGCGGTGGCTACGCTTATACTCCTCCGAGTGGGTTGATTGCTGGAACCTACAAGGTCGCTTCTCATCATAATGTTTTAAACAGGCGGACCCCCACAGAGGCCACCTCAACAACAGCAGTTTTACGGCCCTCAAGGGCAAGGGCCCAATCAGACGCAGCAATCCTTTTTCCAATATTCTCAATGTAACGGCAAGAAGAAAGCCTTGTGTGTATGTCATACGCATGGACTGATACTCATTCACATCTGATGGCTATCTTCAAAATAGATTGGGATCAATTACATCGGCCAGCAGGAAGAATTGCGTGGTTGCATTAATGATGCAAACAATATAAAGCGTTTCTTGAGTAGTAAGTCCAGTCGCTGTGGAATGCGCGCAGTATGTCATGAATCATTTCCAGCTCAGTTTGGGTATAAGGAGGAGGACATGGTCATGCTCACTGACGATGCGAGGGACCCACGCCAAGTTCCTACTCAGCAAAACATAGTGAGTAAGCTACCTACCGAATTGTGCTGGTGTTAACCGATGGCCGCCAATAGCTGCGCGCAATGGAATGGCTCGTTCGCGATGCCCGTCCCAATGACTCGCTGTTCTTCCATTGTACGTGCATTTTTCGCGGCCATCTACCCGGTTGTAACTCACACCAAATAGATTCCGGACACGGAGGACAGACGAAGGACCTCGATGGCGATGAAGAAGATGGATATGATGAAGGTGACGGCTACATATTACAGAAAGCGTGTGCTGATTCGTTTGCGGGATAGTCATCTACCCGGTTGATTTCAAAGTGAAGGGTCACATTGTTGATGACGTGTGTCTCCGTTGTAGCCAATCTCTCGCCACTTTCCACTAATGACTATCTTGCAGTTAATGCACGACATCATGGTGAAGCGGCTTCCTGCGGGTTGTCGTCTCACCGCTATCTTTGATGTAAGTTTTTCCCGCTAAGAACCTGAAATAGTATTCATATACTAAATCCTCGCAGTCTTGCCACTCTGGGTCAGCTCTTGGTATGAATGGATCTGTTGTCACCCTTCAGTGCTCATACTGATTCTAATTCAATTTATATTTAGATCTCCCATATGTCGTGCGTTATCCTTACTCCCCAGCCTCATCATAATCTCACTTCTGTGCCATCAGTATTCTACGGAGGGCAAGATTAAAGAGCCAAACCTTGCCGCGGAGGCTGGCCAAAGCTTAATGTCCGCTGCAACTTCATACGCTCGCGGCGATATGGGCAGCGTATTCAGCTCCGTCACGGGATTTATCAAGAATGCAAGTAATGCGCACAAAGCTGAGACAATCTCGAAGACTACAAAGACGAGTCCTGCCGACTGCGTGCGTGAACCTTTGGTTACTTTACACGACGCTCACCTTCAACGTAGATTTCCTGGAGTGGTTGCAAGGATTCACAGACCAGCGCGGACACACAAGAAGCTGGAAGAGCCACAGGCGCTATGAGCTATGTAAGTTCCTCAATCCACGCTTCTCACTTCAGCCTCTCATCCATCTTTGAAATGCAGGCTTTCATCAAGGCACTCAGTACGTAATCTTAGAGCATCATAATTAGCTCCTAATTCGACACTTTCCGCAGGCGAAAACCCGCAGCAAAGTTATCAGGAGCTTCTTAATTCCATCCGGTGAGTGTCTTCGAGATTGATTATCTGGCTTCTGATGAACTTGCGCAGCGTTATCTTAAGGGCAAAGTACAGTCAGAAACCACAGGTTCGTCTATAGCTGCGCATGGCGTTGCGCTTTTCTGACTATTTGAAACAGCTGTCTAGTTCTCACCCAATGGTCAGTATCTTTTTCTACAAGTTCTTCAGGCTCTTACCACCCGCCATGCAGGACACCAACCTACTTTTCATAGCCTGAATGATGTCTGTATCATGTACGTTGTATCAAATATGTTTCCTGAATGTAGTATCCTTCATTACGTGGAAATACAAGATTATCCTGTCCAGTGAAGTTGCATATTACGTGTAACCGTGAAAGGAGAGATTAGCATACTGGGTAACTTTCTGTAGCATTTAGAATCCTACAGTTCGATCCAGACCTTGAAAGGTTGGACTGGCGTGTCACACCTCGTCGCAATCTAGAAATGCTCTCCAAACCACAGACCAATTAATTGTATCTAGATTCTAATGTACAGTGTTGAGGTATCAAGATTCAAAAAGCAAGCAACAGTTACAACATAGTCACGGAATTTGAAGGGTTCGTTCGGGTGTTTAGAACATGTCATCAACACCATGTGAAGCTAGAAGGAGGGGGTGACGTTAATAGCAATACTAGTGCAGGTTTCGTAACAATTCGTGATGGATGAAATGCAAAGATAACAAATAAGACAACGTCCAAAGTGGCGAGTGACACTGGCAGTCTCGTTCCCAACGTTCTAGGCCACGAACGTCGGAAAAATTCCAAATTCCGTTAGGATCTGGCACCGAGATCACTGCGCTCACAGATATGTGACAATGATCAATATTAATGACACTTGACACTGATTATGCGAGCTTCTCCTGCGTGGCCAAACTTGATTCGAGAATCGGTTGCGCTGGGCGTGAAGTCGAACGTATGCTGTTTTACAGCCTCTGGGAATGAAGGCTCCGTATCAAACCGATCGGTTGCTTCGGACGGGAAGTCGAACGTGTGATTCCCTGAAGGGAATGACTTCGCACCAAGCACCAGCGCTGAAAGTCTTCGGCCGTAAGACTGTGCAAAGATGATTAGTACACGTCTACTTTTCTATGGGAGTTAACATACGCAGCCGGTATCTAAGCCGATGGACCATCTCTTGACATCCAGACCACGATTTGCCGCATGACCATACACGACAGTCGACGCATAACAAGGGAGATGAGCGAGTTGACTCTCCTGGTAGCCTATGAGTCGTGTAGCAGAACCAGGCCAAGTATTGGAAGCATGAGAACCGGAGCATTTGTTCATGATTTTATTCCAAAGGTCAGAGTACGGGATCCCTTTTTTGTTGCTGCGCGTGGGCTTACCGTTTTTGCTCACGCTCCTCATATTTAGGACGACCCATGGATCTTGGTTCTGCGGAATGTCTGAGAGCAACGCGAGCTCCTGTGCCTCCCGTATAGCACGGATGTCATCCTCGTGCTGCTCTATGGATGGCCAATGCGACAACGGTTGTTTAGGATGTGTGGCTATCCGGCTTGGGTCGGCTGCGAGTAAACCAGCATGAACAAAGAACACATGGCCTGCCGGCGCGTAAAGAACGAGAGGGAGAGATAGCAAGTAATTGTACTGTGAGCGGGACATCGCTCGCGCGACCTGGTAGTGGTCTCCTAAAGGCTTCCAACCCTCGGGGACCTTGTTTCCCCAATCAGGTTTCTTCATCGACGGGGGACGTGAGTCGAATGCAGACGTGTTGCCCTTCTCGAGCGGGGGTTCATAATCAGACCAATGATCATCAACTTCTCTTAACCACTCTCTCCCCCCCGGCTGAGAAAGAATCCAATCCATCCAAGCACGCCATTCAAGGACTTTCTGATCGTTGTTTCCGCGAACGCCCAGAATCTTGTTTCTCTCCAAAAACGATAGAACTGTCAACGAGTCTTCTACAGGTGCCTTTGTCGTGAAGTCGCCGAGATGTATTAAAATATCCTTCCGTGTGTCATAGGATATCTGATTTAGCAAAGCGCTGGAAAAGCGTGAATGTTAAGCATGATCTGGATTTTGTTACAGAACGCGTACGTCAAAGATTCATTCATGCCGTGTAGGTCGCCTATCACAATTATCCTCTTATCATTATCATCTACCATTCATTGGGGATCGTATCGATTGCGATAAAAAAAATTCAACAACTCACTAGTAGGCAATTGTTCATCAGATAGGGTATGTGTGAAATCATCATAATGACCAAAATCAGGGAATTCTGTAGGTCTAGGTGAGCCTATCTATAGAACCAACACTCTGGACTCGCTTACTGGAGTTAGACTTGATCCAGAAACTGACCCTATTTCGCAGGTCGCCTGCAAGAATCGTCCAGAGGATGAGGATAACGACAGCTATGCTCAATAGGAAACCATAATGGCCGTTGCACCTGGTCATGGCGCCCACAACCTGAAGTGGAGGAGAAAATTACCTTGCACCACAAGGTTATTAATATCAATCCATAATTGTGGCTGTACAGTTGCAAAGTTCACGGTAGTATACAGTACCCAGTCAAACCTTGCTCGTTTCCTTTGCCGGAACAGCTTCAACCGCCCTCGAAGTTCCGAAATACCTTGGCTCCCCACAGCTCCCGAAAACAAGGTACGTACGTGCGGCGTAACGTACAAACGCAATGGGAAGACCTCTCGCCACTCTGACTTACCCGAGTAAGAGCGGCAAAAGCTATTGACCACAACTTTCTGGCGCTCGCCAACGCCAATGACGATTCATCTACACGAAAGGTGCTACCTAAACAACTTCTTTGCTACCCGCCATCCGTGCTCATCTAGCTCCCAAGTCAGTGGCGGCGTGCGCCCTCCGCTGCACCAAACTCCACTCGTCCTTCCTGGTGATTGAAGGTGCGCTTTTGACGCCCACGCCCTCGTATGGCTATCATCGTCGTTCTCCGTCAAAGCCTCCCTTCCCCCCGCCAAACTCATCCTATATTATACCGCCAACAACGTCGGACACGCCATCACCGAGTTATTCAGCATTAATGTCCCCGACCTCAACCGCATCTTCCCAACGTATGGAGGATTGACTGTCCGTATCTCACCATCATCAAGGCTGACTGGGCGAAAGTAGACGCGCGGTGGCAAGGTGCTTAACGAACCTTACTGGAGTCTTGACCTCCGCTGTAAGTAAGATTACGCACGTAAGTACCTTTCGGGAGCTTTTGGGAGCCGGCATTCATGGTACCCTGTTATCAGTCGGATCTTACAACTCGGTTCATTCGAACAACCCTGAGCTAACAAAGTCCGGACACCTCAATCACAATGAAAGACCCCCAGACTCTACTCAACATGTTCGCTTCAGCTTAATGTTGCGGCCATCACCGAGCGGTAAGATATAACCCCGTGTACCCGTTACTCGCGTGCTTACTCCCCCGCTACCTTCAGCTGTGTCGATTCAATCTCTTCGTTACTCCTTCCAACATGTCAACTTACATCATTCTCACTGCGAGCATCCGTCGGCAGCAATCTGCATGACTCCAGTGATCCCATCATTCACGCCATTCTATAGCAACTCAGCCTTATCGCAGCGCCGCCACGTCACTCAAAATTCAGTGGCACAACCCACAGGCAATGGGCACCAGTGCTGTGATTAATTGTTCCCAACCGTGACGTTGTGTCGCGCATCATGAATCATGATGCACAACAGCACCAGCCTTTTTTGATATAAATATAGCTCAATAAGTTAAACATATATGTCGTGCCACCCAAATCTCAACCTACAAGACACTGACTCATTTTACGACTACAAGCAGACTTCCCGGTTGTACGGCAGTGCGCCCTTGAATAAAACTACCCATCACATTATCATGGTGGGCACTCAGTAAAAATTGTATTTATGAATGTGCTAGGATACGAATACAAGAAACACGCCCGAAGATTTAACCGCCACATCAACAACGAGAGTGATGAAAACAGTAATGAAGGAGACATTAACGAAGGAAACAAAATGACGAAAGGAGGAGTAAGCATATCTTGTCGCTCGGTGGAGGATGCAACATTAAGCTGACTCGGAAGCGAACATGTTGTGTAAAGATTTGGGGTCTTTTCGTTGTGAATGCCGTGAGGGCACTGGGATCCGGGTTTGAAGTCGCTCGAAGGAACCGAGAAAGGTCTGAATGATAACAGATTACCAGTCCGAGACACCGCACACCGCCCCCCTTACTTCTCCAGCAGTGGTCCCATGGTAGGAACAAGACTAATTGTCGGAAGTTGGGAGTTCGTTGGTTTGACTTCTTGCTGACTTATGCTTTCTTTTGGGGGATCACCCCAGCGTTCTGCAAATGGCCGTAACGTCCTATACTAGTAGTAGTAGTAGGAATGCGATCGATTGCGATCATGAGCCGAACGTTCGTGGTTTGAATTCTTGCCGGTTTACGTTTTCTTTTGGGTCTAACGTTCTGCACAGTGCAAACAACTGTAAGCCTGAGCCATCCTTAAGGGTTAGCTCGGGAGTGGGCACACTGCCCGAAGCCGGGCCACGCACGTCATTAACCCGCAGTAAACACGGAAAGGGCTTTTCATGATCGAAGATCCAGTGGTGCGCGAAGTTCGAACGAGCCGGGATTCGAATAGCAATGGAAATAAGTTAGCCGCCGAATCATCCAGGATGTAAATTCACGTGCACCTTCCAAAGTTTTGTAGTGCGTGGCTGTGTAAGTTATCGCCTTTTACCTTGTCATCATGCCAAAAACCATTAGTTGAGTGCAATCAACATTATCCCTATGCTACTCATTCCGGCGATAAAAGGTGGTACATCTAGCACGAATGCCGTCGTCATACGTCCACCAAGTTCGCTCACCCATATCCTCTAATAGCATGACCATAATCTCAAATGATCCCAGTTGGTGGCCACTCATCAGTTCGCATCAAACTTTCACCTATTTCATAGGTCCGTGGAGAGCCAGTCAGGTGGTAACTGAGATGTGTCGATCTAACCTTTGCTGTGTTTTTGCAGTTGCTGCCTCTATTGGAGTAATATATGATTGGGGTGAGCAAGATGGTATGAAAGAACTATTGATTTCCTGACAGTGGTTTCTTTAGTGCTTGCATTTGGACAAGAGGTAGGTTGATGCCATTACTAGAGCAGCCATCTCTCTAAGAACGATTTCATAGGTTGAATTGATTTGGGTGAGCAGAGTCTTATGTCCGAAGAACAACATCAAAATGCAATTAATCCACGACAGAAGCAACGCTGGTCCCTGATGACTGTCCTGTATCTCACGGTATATAGTTTGTGCTATAAGCGTGCTTAGCAAGTTGAACTGATGTGATAATATCCTAGGCGCGCTACATTGGAATAATACGTGTTGGGTACGTTGAGAAGACTAAGATTGGTATTATGCTAATCTCTCACAATCAGCATGAACATACAGGGTGTGTCTGTTCACATACACTGTTTATTGCTTCTGACTAGCAGCGTACAGTGGCTCTTCAGATAGTCCCACTGAATGATACAGTGAGTATTCCGTACCGATGCCTTCCCTTCCATACCCGTCTGACCCACTGTAGGGGTGAGCGATATTCTTGTCAGTTTGCTGATCCGCCATAACGATTGCTACAGCTGTGAGTTTCTTTAGAGTACGTGATCCTCCTAGGCTGATCACTGACTATGTGACAGGTCTTATCATGTACTTTGCGGTATATTGGACGACAGTGGGTCCTAATCGCAATACTCGGTGGTAAGCCACGCAGTCGCGATACCTCTGTGATATTTGACTTGACTGAAATACCATGCAAGTCATCATGATTGCTCGGTTATATGCCATGTACCAACGATCCAGAAAGGTGCTGGTACTCCTCGTTGTTGTCTTCATGGCCATCAATATTGCCAACACAGTGGTGCTCATAATAAACATGAGGTATATTTCAGCAGGTAAGCTCTAGTTGTGGATGAAAGATTTTGAGTGCCTCGAGCTCAATGGCAAATACCAGAGCAAGTCGTTCTCTCTGGCACCTATCATTGCGTTTCTCACAATCCTCAACAATTGGACACCATCCCTTGGATACTCGCTGCTGTGTGGGAGGTCTTCGCACTGTGTCTTGCAGTCCGAATTACTCTAAAGCACTTGCGTGAATTGCGACGACAATCAGCGGGAGGTATTATCGGGGACTGTTTTACGGTGTTAATAAAAAGTCACTTGAGTTACTTTATGAGGTAGGCCCATAACGTGAATGTGGTTTTTTTTTCTGTTGAAGTTCTGCACATGCTAGCTTTGCTGTGATTGTTTGCCTCTTACTCGGTTACTTTTCGCCAACGATGTCAAACGTATGCCAATCTGTCACTGACCTCTGCATGCAATCACGCTTAATCATTTTCCATAGGACTCATATTCCTCGAGAATGTTGATTTATTTTGGTTTTCTTCAAATATTCATCATTGTGCAGTCAAGTGTGCTGGGACCAAACCTGATCCTCAGTGTTCGAGAATATCGCGCTAAACTCGTGATTGACGTCGACACTGGACCTAGCATGTTTTCAACTAGTTTCCAAGAGTGTGTACATATATCAACTAGCAGTACCGTGTAACATGGGAGACGTTCAATATGATTTACACTCATCGAGCCTTTACCTTCGCTAAAGAAAAAAGCTGAATGAAGAATTGGTAAGATAATTATGCACATGATACACTAACAATGCGCGCTTGTCCATTATCTCCGAAATCTATCTCTTGTGATTGAGGGGCTCGTACATGTTTGTTGTCTCCGAATTGATATGTAGCAGAAGAGAAAGAGCTTTCATCGAGGACAACAGCTGACAACCGACGGCCGTACGACTGTGCATGATATCAGTCAAATCATGAGTGCAGGATTTTGTCTCACTCACACAACCAGTGTCCAGACCAATCGACCACCGCTTGATATCCAACCCACGGCCTGCGGCATGTCCATAGACGACAGTAAACGGATAACATGGAAGCGAGGATGACTGGTATGCTTCACCCGAATTTCCCGAACACTTTGACATTGTATCGTTCCACAATTGGGACTAGGGAGATCCCTTTCCGGGACTAGAAGACGCAAGTCCTTTATCCGTGACACTTTTGATGTTCGTTACGGTCCATGGATCTTTGTTTTCTGGAATCTCTGTGAGGACTGCAAGCTCTTGTTGATTACGCAGCTTTGCAATGTCATGTTGGTCATCCACGGTAGGCCAATGGGAAAGTGGTTGTCTAGGGTCGGAAGCCTGGAGCTTTGGGTGGGAAGATAACAGACCAGCGTGGACAAAGACCATATGGCCAGTTGGAGAATGGAGCACAAGGGGCAAGGAAATCAGGTATTCGAAGAGTCCGGGAGACATGGCACGAGCGACTCTGTAATGATTACCCAATGGATGCCAGCCAGCAGGCACCATCTTCTTCCAGCTTGCGTACTTGCTCGTCTTGAACCAGTTTTCAAGTTCTACTCTCTGGAGTCGCTTGTCTCCATCGAGGTTAGGCCATCGCTTGTCCATGACGGAAAGCCATTCTTCACCTCCCGGAAGAGATAGTATCCAATCCATCCAAGCGCGCCATTCGATCACTTTTTGGTCATTGTTTCCTCTGACGCCTAAGATTTTGTTGGATGACATGAATGATAATACGTCGATGGAGTCGTGAATAGTCGCCCTCGTCTCCAGGTCTCCAACGTGAATAAGCGAATCTCTTTCCGAGTCGTAGTGTATCTCGTCAAGTAATTCCCTATCACAGTCAAACGATGTGGGTGAGTTCGTTGATGACTAGACAGCGAGAACTCACGTCAATGAGCTGTTCATGCCATGTATGTCTCCGACTGCGATTATGCGTTTTTCTCGGTCGTCTGACTACAATTGTAAGTCTCCTGTACTTGGTACCATGATGCAATCAAAGACCTATGGGGAGTACACTGTCGGGAATGTTCTTTATAAAATTTCCATTATAGTGGCCAAAGTCCGGGAAGTCTTCGATAGAAGTGAGTCTACGGTACTGAGTAGCAGGCTAAGGACCTACCAATTTTTTGCTTGAAAGCGCGATTTTCTTTGATCTCTTGGACGACTCCGTCAACGAAGACGAAAGTCAGAAAGAAGGCGACAACTGTGAATGAAAAACAAGTCCTGAGACTGTCCCCTGACCATATGCACATCTTGCCCAAGTACTGTCAAATCATGGGTTTGCAACAACCGTGAGAGTTTTTCCAACGAATCATAATTGTGGGGTTGACCGACTAATTGCTTGAGCGAGTACTTTCAAAGCCTAACTTCTCGCATCAATATAAGTACCTTCCATAGCCCTTCTTCTATCCACTTCGTCATAGTCCTTGTTGTTAGTACAGCCTGACCCGATCCACTTCCACGCGTTAAGCTTCACGAACTCTTCAAACGTCCACAGCTGTGCCCGGAGTTCTGAAGAGGGGAAGCACCATACATAGGTAGCTGCCTCGACAGGGTTCCCCAATTCGGACAGCATAGGGATCGATGGAGGCGTCGTGGGCACTAGAGACTTCACCTCAATCGGTGGTATGTCCCGTATGTTGGCCAGCGGTCCTAATGGATGTACAGATACCAACTCTCTTGTATATTGCTGTGAGAAGGGGTTGATTTGTGCCCACAGTCATAGAAATGATTTGCAGGACTCACGTCGCCTTCAAAAACATCAAGGAGTCGAACATCTTCGTCCGATAGACCGGTTACCAGAGAACCTCTCACTGATTTCTCCTCCGAATTGAGGTCATGATCGAACATCGCTCGACTTTGTGAGTACGGCAAGATCCCGGGATAATCCTCTTTCTTTCTGCGTGTTATGTCAAGATGCTAGCGGGAGGAAACGCCATCGTTCACCTTGACTTGGTGCCTAGTGTAGTCCTGGAACGGGGCTGTGTCAGGGTGATGGTCCGTAAGATTTTCTAGCAGACTAACCAGCAAGAGAGCAGGGCACATTTGAAGTTGACTACCATCGTTTCCAATGACCCGTTTCAATATTTCTGGATGCATCAACGTGCCATAGAAAAATGCAGACACCATTCTCAGAGGAATAAAGGTTAAAGACAGAGGTCTGATCTTCACGTTAGGAAGAGATCAGTCAATAAGGGCTGGATGGAGGAATGGGTCGACCGTCTGCGTGCTTTAACTGATAAGTGAGAAGCGTTTGTTGGACAGTTTGTCATGTGGCCATAGTTGTTGATAAGATAAGGTAGAAGCTAGCTATAGAAGCCATGGCCATAGGTTGCAGTTTGATCAGATCTGCCCAAGTACATATGATGAGCTGTTATGCATGTTATGCATTGACCGCATTCAAATGGGCAGTAACGGCGTACGCCCACTACCGGGCCTGATAAAAGGTGATTGGCAAAGTAGTACAGCACAATGCCAACGGTTTTATGAATCCATATGATATACTACTGCCAGATCTCCCATTTCTCGTATCATCGCCCCAAGTTAAGTGAGGATACTTGAGTCAAGCTCTTTAATACGTCCTTGATCAAAGCCCTTCTTCAAATCCCGCTGCTCCTCCATGAGTGATTATAATTGTGTTCCGATTTCGCTTACATAATCAAGGTTTGGATATTCTCAGATCTCAGGCTCCTGCTCGGAGCACCTCCATCTTCTCAATCAAAGTTTGGAAATAGCCGTCAACGTTTCAACTTCGGATCCCAGCGCCTGGCTATCCACTCTAGGTCTCTTCTCGTTCGTTTCTTTGAAATGGGTTCTCACTCTCCTAACATGATCCCAAATGCTTAGGACACACTATTTTCCATACCACAGTTGCACTGTTCTGCTTACTCGATCGTATGTTGTACGTTGTACAAGTCCCTGTATTGTCCTATTTGATCTTGCTTTTACTGCTGCACTGTATGCTACATGAATCAATCACGTTCTTAGCATGAACTTGTCATGACTGCAATCCCTGAGCACCGTGACGGTTTGCAGAGGCCACGTCGGGTTTTTGGCGACTGCCCGTGGCACTTGGTGAGCGGTGATCCTTATCCGCCCATTTCTAGGTCTGCTGGCTCTCACGCTGGTTTTACGGCACTGGTAGGCTCTAAGCATGGTTGCGTGCTGAACTGTGCCCACTTGCCACTGACGCCCACAAACGTAACTGACATGAAGATCCCATTGTCCCCCGAGTTAGGGTTGACTACGCGAGACAGACAGGTTGCGCCTTCATTTGGGCACGCAATGCACAAGTTCTTCGAGTTTGATCCATCTTATGTTAACCTCAACCATGGTGAGTTCTACCGGTATGGTTTAAACTTCAGTACCAGTACCCTGAGTCGCAGCTGACGCATTGAAGGTGCATATGGTTCATTGCCCATGCCAGTTAGAGTCGCATGCGAAAAACTTTCCGCTCGCATCGAAGCCAACCCAGACAGATTCGTGTACAAAGAGGGCATTCACCACTGGAATGAGGCTCGTACTCGAGTGGCCAAGTTGATAGGCGCAGAGACTGACGAGTGTGTTTTGGTGAATAATACGTCACACGGCATAGCTACGGTTCTCCGCAATTTCGAGTGGAATGAAGGGGATATCATTATCGGGAGTAGGTCAACAATCACTGCATTGAAGTTCTCCCGCTCATGTTGCCCGTTCTCAAAACAGCTACCACGACCCACGCCGGTGTGTCCCGAGGGATTAGGTATCTTGGGGATACCCCACCACACCCACAGGTGTCCACATTCGATCTCGAGTTCCCTACCTCACACGCGAAAATACTAGAGAATTGGCGAGAACATGTCCGCCGAGTGACCTCGGAAGGGGGCGATCTCAAGCAGACTCGCAAGGTTGTTGCTGTAATAGATGCCATCGTATCCAATCCTGGCGCGTGTCTTCCCTGGAAAGAAATGGTGGGCATTTGCAAGGATGCAGGTGTTTGGTCGGTAGTCGATGCTGCGCATTCCATTGGCCAGGAAGTAGATATTAACTTGTCGGAGGCGAAACCTGACTTTTGGATATCGGTTAGTCTGTTGTATCCACCTCATGGTATAATCTTCCTGACCAGTTGAGCTAAACAGGATTGTCACAAATGGCTCTTTGCAAAGAGAGGCTGCGCAGTCCTTTATGTTCCCAAGCGGTATGCTCCAACCTTGCTCGACTATCGACGTCTGATCGGACTAGAAACCATCATATTATCAAATCTCCTATACCCACCCCATACACTTACCGCTCACCTCAAGATGAGCACTACAATGGCCCACAAAAATTTGCAAAGCTTTTCGAATGTCAGTTCTCTCGAACGAACTGAACTATGTAGCTTGAAACGCTAATGTCTCGTTGATCGCTAGGGACAGGAACCATAGATTATGTTCCATTACTGAGTATAAATGCAGGTCGGTGCGGAGTCGTCATTAGCACCACTGTTCTGACTGCGATTAGCCTTGGATTTCAGACAGTGGCTCGGCGGCGAGCACAAGATAAACGAATACACACAATCTCGCAATCGCAGGCGGGAAGCATCTAGCGAGTCTCCTAGGAACCAGGGTAATGGACCCTGATGGTGACCTAACTTTGAACATGGTGCGTAAATTCGCTGTTTTACTTCTTTTCCTGCATTCCATGCTCCCTGGTCAGGTCAACGTGGAACTGCCCATTCCTGGCGACATCAAATATTCGGATGAAGTTGATTCTCTGCTGCTAAATACATTGATGGTCGAGTGGAACACGTATGCCGCTCATTACTACCACAATGGGAAATGGTGGACAAGGTGTAGCGCGCAGGTGTGGAACGAGGTGAGAACCTGTTCGTAAGGACATAATCTTCTTAGTTCTCATCCGTGAAAATCAGATTTCAGATTTCGAAGTTCTCGCCAATGCATTGAAGGACGCGTGTGAGAAAGTAGTAAAGTTTGCGAAGCAATAAATAGTTGTTCTTGTAGGAAAGTACACGGCATACCCTTGCTTTTGTAATTCTGATGTCTATTTGCTCCAAGTCTTCTCGACTAAGTGGCCTATACCATCCCTTCGAGAACGGCAAGCAAGAAGCGGATTCTCCTTTTCCTCTCATGAGCAAAAGAAGGATCTACCTTCATCGAAGACAACACAGCACGTAGAACAGCTGCAGTTGATCACGTTCTGGACAGTGTCTTGTGTTGAGCATAAAAATAAAAATGGCAGGTCGTCGTTATAACCCGCAAGTATTCCACAGTAATAAGTTTCTACAAACACTCGTAAGTGTGGTCCGAGATCAAAATACGAGTATGCTGAGGGTATTCACCAGCCTGTGGGCATGGCCGGCCGTTAGGGTCCTGTGCTGTCACGATGCCTGCCAGTACTGCAGTAGACGTAACCATAGTGGTGAGTGAGATCATGAACTTCATTGTGGCACTCGAAGATAGGTCTGGATGATGCTCTTCGTTATTGAACTGAGAGTTATCCCTTTGCTTTTATGCACAGGTAGTAAAAGGCAGTCAGCCCAAAAACATGCATCTGTTGTGCGTCCGACTAAGCAACTTGAATGCAACGTGCCGTGGCAACACGATATCTCTAGACGTGGCTCCATGAGAACTCGCTGCTGTCAAGCTCGTCGAAATTTCATAGAGACGATCCATTTTCCCGACCATGGCGGTGCGTGCGCACCAAATCCCCGACTCTCGCATCTGATCAATTTCGGCTTTCATAGTGGTGAGTGATATGAACTTCATTGTGGCACCTGAAGATAGGTTTAGATGATGTTCTTCATTTTGAACTGAGAATTATCGCTTCGTTTTCATACACAGGTAGCGGTAAACCCTTGATTTTGTAATTATGAGGTCTATTGCTCCGGCCCTCTCGACCGAGTGGTCTATACTATCCCTTCGGGAGCGAGAAGCAAGAAGCGGGCTCCCCTTTCCCTCTTATGAGCAAACGACGGACCCGCCAGGACCTTTACCTCCATTGGCGACACTACAGCACGTAGAACAGCTGCATTCGCCCATGACCCGGACAGTGTTTGTTCCCGAGCATAAAAATAAATATGGCAATCCCCCGTTATAACCCACCAGTGTTCCACACTCAAATTTCCTGCAAGCACCCATAAATGTGCGGTCCGAGATCAAAGTACGAGTGTGTTGAAGGTATTCACCGGCCTGGGTGCATGGCATGCCGTTAGGGTCCTGTGCTGTCACTACGCCCGCCAGTACTGTGGCAGACGTAATCATAGTGGTGAGTGATATGAACTTCATTGTAACACTCGAAGATAGGTCTGGATGGTGTTCTTCGTTATTGAAGCGAGAGTTATCGCTTCACTTTTATACACAGGTAGTAAAGGGCCGCCCCCCAAAAACATGCATCTGCTGTGCTTCCGACTAAGCAACTTGAATGTAATGTGCCATTGCAACACGATATCTCTAGACGTGGCTCCGTGAGAACTCGCTGGTGTCAAGCTCGTATCGAAATTTCATAGAGACGATCCGCTTTCCCGATCGTAGCGGTGTGCGCACCAAATCCCCGACTCTTGCATCTGTTCATTTTCTCACTTCAGTTTACTCCGGCTTGTTCCGATTACTGTCTTTCTTCGGGCCTAGGCTCTGCCCCACTGAAATCGAATTAATTATCAGCGTTGCTCTTTAACTTGTGATAAACATACCTCACCCTTGTTCGAACAGTGACTATTGATTTGTATAGCAACCCCGATCAATGCGAAGACTTTTTCCTCCACCCACGTCAAGCCACGAAACTGGTCAGGTAAGTGCTCTCGAAAAAGTCCATTCGCTTGTGCGAGGGGAGGAACCTTTCCGTGGGATGATGAATCGCACTGATGGCACATACGAATGCTCAAAGGTTTCTCGTCCTGCAGAACAACTCCGGCAGAGTCCAAACGAGCCAATCTAACAACTCATGTCCGAAGTTGAAACGCGATCACATTCCTATGGACGAGGAAATAATGGGAGGGGAATATGTAGGGGAAATCCCGAATAACACGTAGATCTCTAGATAAACATGAGATAAATACTATCAGATGAGAATTTGTTGATGTTATGCACTGTTATGTATTTGCTCCACTGAGCTTGCTCCAAGCCTTCTTGATCGAGTGTCTATGTCCGAAGCGTTTTGTCTGTACTACAAACCAGGCTGGTCTCGAGCCCGTGACGGTCTACCTTGACTTGAACTTATCTAGTCTGTTTGATTCTAACTTTATTACTAGGAGTCTAAACTATACTTTCAATTGCAGGCTCACTTGAGGGGATTCCATCGCTAGCAACACCAACGGCTGCTACCTACAGTGATCCGGCATCGAGCATGGAAACGTCCGCATCTTCGCCTACAGGAGTCATCGTCCAGCCTGGCAAGAAGAAAAGAACACCAACGAATCCCAACAATATTTTCAAGCCCAGTTCGGACTCGACGACAGCGCGTAATCTCTGTGGTATTGAATGGCAGGCTGAGCACAAGACAGGTACTATTGCCGAGTTCGCCGCGTACTGGAACAGCCTTACGGCCGAGCAGAAGGAGTCCTATGCCTCTCGCTCGAAGCTTGTTGATGCTGTAAGTTTTTGTTTGCTATCGTGTTGTCGTGTTCATCTCAATCGTGCAGGCTAAGGCAAACGTGGTTGAATTCATAGCCAACTTGGATGGTCTCAGTACATAACTCTCCTGCGTCAACTCGCTGCACTGCTTGCCCTGGGCCCTGTCTCTTCTCGCATGCTTGTCGTTGCTTTCGTTTTCACTCTCCCAACTTGGTTCCAACTGCTTAGTTATCGTGACAAGCTGTTTTTCATACCGCTGCTGCACTATTCTGCCTGTTACTCGATCGTTTGTTGTACACTAATTCTGCATCGTTGTGCAAGCTCCTGCATTGTCTTATTCGATTGTTTTGTGACTGCCGCACTGTATGCTACGCAATTCAATCATGTCGTTAATATGAGCTCGTGACCGCGATCCGCCGGTCCACGACCACCGCGACAGTCTGCCGCAGGCTAGTACGTCGGGTTTTCGGTGGCTCGCATTTGGCTCGCGGTCATTCTGTTTCCATGTCTGAAGCTCCCACGCTGAGTCACCCCGTAGATCATTTTCAGTGCAGGCTCGAGCGTGACTGCATGCTGGACTGTCGCCACTTGCCACTGGCGCCCACGGACGTAATGACCGATATGAAGACCCCATCGTCCTCCGAGTTAGCCCCTAGTACCTTGACTACTGATGTGGAGCTAGACAAACGGACTCCGCCTTCATTTGGGCACGCAATGCACAAGCTCTTCGAGTTTGACCCATCTTATACCAACCTCAACCACGGTGAGTTCTACCATCGAGCATTACGGTCCAAACTTACCTTAATTTATGGCTGACGATTTGAAGGTTCATATGGTTCATTGCCCATGCCAGTTAGAGTTGCATGCGAAAAACTTTCCGCTCACATCGAAGCCAACCCAGACAGATTCGTGCGCATAGAGTGCATTCACCACTGGAATGAGGCTCGTACTAGAGTGGCCAAGTTGATAGGCGCAGAGACTGATGAATGTGTCTTGGTGAATAATACGTCACACGGCATAGCTACGGTTCTCCGCAATTTCGAGTGGAATGAAGGGGATATCATTATCGGGAGTAGGTCAACAGTCACTGCGTTCAAGTTCTCCCACTCATGTTACCCCTTTCCTTTCAAAACAGCTACCACGACTTATGGTGCTGTGTCCCGAGCGATTAGGTACCTTTGTGATACCCCGCAACACCCACAAGTATCCACATTCAATCTTACCTTCCCTGCCTCACACGCGGAAATACTAGAGAATTGGCGAGAACATGTCCGCCTAGTGACCTCAGAAGGGGGCGATCTCAAGCAGACTCGCAAGGTCGTTGCTGTAATAGATGCCATCGTATCCAATCCTGGCGCACGTCTTCCCTGGAAAGAAATGGTCGGCGTTTGCAAGGATGCAGGTGTTTGGTCGGTAGTCGATGCTGCGCATTCCATTGGCCAGGAAGTAGATATTAACTTGTCAGAAGCGAAGCCTGACTTTTGGGTATCGGTTAGTCTGTCTCGTCTCCACGTCGTGATACTATTCTTGACCAATTGAGCTGAACAGAATTGTCACAAATGGCTCTTTGCAAAGAGAGGCTGCGCAGTCCTTTATGTTCCTAAACGGTATGTTCCAACCTTGCTCAACTATCGACGTCTAATGAAACGGACTAGAAACCACCATGTTATCAAATCTCCTATACCCACCCCACACAATTATTACTCACCTGAAGATGAGCACTACGATGGCCCACAAGAATTTGTGAAACTTTTTGAATGTCAGTTCTCTCGAATAAACTTAACTATATCACTTCGAATGCTCATGTCTCGTCGATTGCTAGGGACAGGAACCATAGATTATGTTCCATTACTGAGTATAAATGCAGGTTGGTGCGAAGTCGTCATTAATGTCACTGTTCTGACTGCGATCAGCATTGGATTTCAGACAGTGGCTCGGCGGCGAGCACAAGATAAACGAATACACTCACAATCTCGCAATCGCAGGCGGAAAGCATCTAGCGAGTCTCCTAGGAACCAGGGTAATGGACCCTGACGGTGACCTAACTTTGAACATGGTGCGTAAATGCGTCGTTCTGCTTCTTTTCCTGTGTTTCATGTTCTGGTCAGGTCAACGTAGAACTGCCCATTCCTGGCGACATCAAATATTCGGATGAAGTTAATGCTCTGCTGATAAAAACATTATTGGTTGAGTGGAACACGTATGCCGCTCATTACTACCACAATGGGAAATGGTGGACAAGGTGTAGCGCACAGGTGTGGAATGAGGTGAGAACCTGTTCGTAAAGATATGATCTTCTTGGTTCTTACCGGTAGAACTCAGATTTCGGACTTCGAAGTTCTCGCCGATGCATTGAGGGACGTGTGTCAGAAAGTAGTGAAGTTTGCGAAGCAGTAAATGGTTGCTTCATGTAGGAAAGTATTCCCCACAAGAAAGAGATCGAACAAATGATAGACTCAGGGGTGCATGCCAAAAGCCCGTGTTTTGATTATTTTGAAGTTGAACCATACTCGCTGACTCATCTATGGGATATCCCGGCCAAATTAAGCCAAGACGAACCTCGCGACGACTCTAATAGTTCCAGCGTGGTATACGGGACTGGTGAGACTGTTCTCTCATGTTAGTACGCACGTCGAATACAGTGAATATGGTATGGCGGGAGATGGCGACGAGAGGAGTCCCACATTGTGGTTCGCCCAAACACGTGACCTCCGCGACCGCCACAAACGCGTCTCATATTTATGGCTTTCTCCACTCCACACGCGTTGCACACTCCTATATTGTACATGCTCACGCATGCTCAACTGCTCACACTTTAAAAGAACCAGAGATGTCAGAAGACCTTTTGAAACATCTTAACTCTGCTCAGACTAGATGTGTGTTTCAAGTTGTTTCTTGTAGCATCATTCGCGTATTGAATTGTCTGATTCGAACAGGCGTGACTCATCGTCCAGACTCACCGCTCCAAATTTTAGCAGGTCCGGGAAGTGGCAAGACGAAAGTTCTGACATCACGAATCGCCTACATGATATTGCACCACGGGATGGACCCATCGTCTATATGCGCTGTCACGTTCACCAACAAGGCAGCCAACGAAATGCGAGCGCGTCTCTTAAAGCTCATTGGTAAAGATAGCGTTAATAAAGTGAAATTGGGAACTTTCCATGCGATCTGTGCCCTCTTTCTGCGGAAATATGGAACATCGGTGGGCCTCGACGGGAACTTCACTATATGTGATTCTGATGAGAGGTATGTTGCCAAAATGATGCAGTAACATTGTGCTGAATACTATTGTAGCAAGCGAATTGTGACTAAAATTGTTGAAGCCTTACGACGATTTCCTCTCGTCCAAAGACATTCAAGTGAATGCCGCTACTCTCTGTTCATTGATTTCTCGAGCCAAATCTAAGGGAGAAACTCCAGAAGATGTTATGCCACGCAAAGAAAGTCGACATGTTTCAAGCAAAGCTGCTTCCTCCAAGTCAACGAACGAAGATTTCCAGCGTGTCTTTGCAGAGATATACCGCGACTATGAGAAGACCTTGCGCAAAAGCAATAGTCTAGACTTCGATGACCTCCTTCTCTTTGGCGTTAGGCTTTTCTCACGGCATCCGAGATATGCTGCATGGTGTCAGCATATACTTGTCGACGAATTGTGAGCTTTCGTTTCTTATTAATGATCAAGGCTCACCCCAAATTACACCAGCCAAGACACGAATGCAGTCCAATACGAGCTCATGTGTTGTATCGCTGCTGCCTGTCGTTGTGTGACGGTTGTTGGGGATCCCGATCAGTCAAGTGCGCTTTAGCTATTAATACTGCCTGACCCTGGATCTAATTCACAGCTACATAGTATACGGTTGGCGATCTGCAGACATTACAAACCTTGGCAAGATGCAAAATGGTAAGATAGAGGCAACACGTATAGCCATGCATTGGACAAATTTGACGCGACTTCCAGACTTCCCGAACGTAGCGCAGATCATGCTTGAGCAAAATTACCGTTCGGCGGGATCTATCCTTGCGACGAGCCTCGCCATTATCTCGCAAGGTGAGTTGTGCAGACGTATAAAATAGTTTTACTAACACTTTTAAAGACTCATCACGGATTGCAAAAACCCTGCATACAGATCATCCGCTTGGGCCTCTTCCAATGCTCCGTTCGTTTCCTACAGAACATGACGAAGCTGCTTTCATTGCATGGGAGATCAACCGCATGATAGCACAATCAGGAGGGATGTTAGGTTTTGGAGACTTTGCGGTGCTTCGTACGTCCCTTCTTCACAACGCTCGAACTACTTACAAACAGTTTGTAGTACGTTTTAATGCTATATCTAGAACAATTGAGAACGCGCTTCAAAAGGAAGGTATTCCCAATCGAATGCTCGGTGGACATCAGTTCTTCGAACGGGCAGAAGTAAGCGATCAGCTACGCGTTCTTTTGATGACATGATAACCTTTTCCTTAGATTAAAGACATCTTAGCATACCTCCAGCTCGTGGATAATCCACACTTTGAGCCGGCATTTTCTCGCGCTGTCAACATTCCTTCACGAGGAATCGGGGATAAGGTGAGGGGCTGACTATAATCAGTTAACGTCTCTTCGGCTTATCTACTGCTGGTAGTCCCTAGGGGAAATTCTTTCACGAGCACAGAAACTCGGAATCTCACCACTGACTCTTGTTGAACGCATCCACGACTCTATAATACCGGATCTGAAGCCATCTGTAAAGCGCAAGGTCCAATCCTTCGTGAATGTTATGCGATCACTGAAATCATCTGCCACTGATGGAATGGAACCAGCCCAGTTGATTGGCAAGTTGATCGAGCTCATCGGGTACCAAGAACACCTGAAAAAGTCGCAGCCTGACTGGGACACACGATGGGAGAATGTTCAAGAACTGATCAACTTCGCGAGTGACGCCACCGCTGACGCCTCAAATGTTCCTGTTGTTGATGGAGACGAGTCGTCGTTACAGTAATTTATCTTGTTTCACATCTTTTTGGACATAGCTTTCAACCAACTTCACAGGGATACTCCGCTAAGACAGTTCTTGCAAGCATCAATGCTGTCATCTGCAGGTGATCAGTCGAATGAAAACGATGACGAGGTTTGTCTTTCGAGGTCAAAATTCCGATTACTCAGCTTTTGCAACAGAAGGTGTCTATTGCAACTTGCCACGCAGCGAAGGGTCTTGAATGGCCAGTTGTATTTGTCCCAGCAGGTTTGCAACCTTCCTTCTACTGTTTCTTCCTGTGCATATATATGAGCATATTATCAGTGGAACATGGAACATTCCCTTTTTACCGGTCAGATGACATCCATGAAGAAAGGCAAGCATATCAGTTTTATACATTCATATGTTCTGACCAGATCAATCAGACGCCTTCTATATGTTGCATGCACTCGAGCGCAGACATCACTTTACCTAACGCACACCTCAAAGCGCAAGGTCGCTGGCGTTTTCAAATCCAGAGACTTGTCTGAATTCATCTCTAAAATCTGTTACAAGCATCCAGTAAGATATTTCCATGAAATAATTAAACGACATCGTGCCTAAGGCCAGTCTATTTTCTCTCCAGCCGTTGTTCTCCGACATGCCTCATACGCACTCCACTCAAGACCTTCGTCTTATAGCAAGAATTCTGAATAGAGGGTCACGTATGCCTGACGAACTGGAGGTGAAGCGACGAATGACAATGTTGTGCGTCGTCTGCTTGACAAGTCTTGAAGATTGCAACTAATTCCTTCTTAGTAATTTGACCGCAAGACAGATTCACCTAAGTCATACGAACGTTAATGGGAATCCAGAGAACCAACCCGTTCCTCCGCCTCCTATCACGAGAGACATTCCTGCCGGTTACGTGCCCACGTTTCAGAGTCAGTTCCCTGAATAGTTGTTTGATTAGAGCTCACGTCATGATGCCGTAGGTGTACGCGTTGGCTTGCGCGGGGATGGTATTTCAACTGCTGTCAAGGTTCCCCATCCAGTGCCCCATGTGGAGCGGCCCAAGTTGGCGCCAGTAAACCCGGTGGATGGTTTCGTGGACCAGTCGGTTCGATTATGTCGTCAAGCCAAGGTGGAATCTCCAGCCAAATTGGCTGTATACCCTCGATCAGATCGTCCACAGTTATGCACAACGGTGCCGACGGAAGTCACTGAAGCAGCTATAGCTGAAACCAAACGATCAGATCGAACTATAACCGGGCCGCAATTCAAGCCACTGAGGTCGAGGCCAGCAGGTCTGACGTGCGTCGACCACTCAGTTCCATTCGCTCCTCCAGCCAAGGTGGAATCTCCAGCCCAACAGGCTGTACATTTTCGATCAGATCGTCTGCAGTCATGTACACCAGTGCCAGTGGAGGCCGGACCAATTGAGTTTGGAATCAAGCGAAAAAGACTGGGAATGGGTCGAGGTGGGGCCGCATATACTAATAAGAAATTCAAAGTCCCTGCACCACTGTGATATCCGCGGGGCCATAGTCTATTTACCTACATGCCGATCGATTATCACTCTTTGCTCCTGTGGCGTCATCACACTACGAGAGTAGAACATCCATTGCCAGACATGTAGGCATTAAATCCACGTAGCATCTCTGGAGACTCGATGCCTGTTGAGGTTTCAATGTATACGTCACGAGCAGCAGCAGGTCCTGCCTGTTTGAAGACAACGAATTGGCTGATTTCTGCATGTATCTGGATAGCATCGTATATGTGGCCTTCAAGGCCATCCCGATAACGCAAGTATTGGGGCCCCGTTCTGACGATACACTGCATTTTCACTATTTTTCCGTGATCATCCGATTCATCTCTCCCAAGAAGACTCACTGGTATTAAATTTGAGTTATCACAGCGCTCGAAAAGCGTGGCCGGTGAGGGGGATGTTATCGATGAAGTTGGAACCCAGTGCAGCTCACTCGCTTCGTATGGTCAAGGTTTGGTTTAAAGAGTGCAGTGTTTGGCCAGCCTAGTCGGCTATGGATCGATGACAGATGTGACCAGAGAACTGCCAGGCATATTAGTATGGATCCAGATAATACTAGTACTGGCAGTTAGAAAGGTCACCTGCCCCATTCCTGCGAACTTGAAGCATGCGGCAACCTCATTTTCTCCACAGATGAATCGGGGTTTACAGCATGGAAGCGGCGAAGGCGTCAAGCGAATAGGAAGATGCTGACCAATGCTGTAATCACTGGACCCTTGCACAGCAGGGCTGCCAGTGTCACGGCATTGGCCAAATACTTAAAGACTACCATCCCTGCTCAGTTGGCGGGTTTCACCCTACCAACATGAGGTGAGAATTCTTGTTTTGGATCCTGCCAACCGTTTTGTTTCCTTCAATTCTATCGGCCGCGATCAGGTCAAGGTCGCTGCTTTTAGCAACCTCGTGTCAATCAGCCAGCTACCCGCACGTCTTCCTGATAATAATCTCGAAACGTACATCAAATCACTTCCCCTCTTCATTTAAATTCAAGGTCCAGCACATATTTACTCTCTAGCCGCTACACAGCATCCCCAGATTGTTTCTTACGTCTGCCACCAACTGATGGCCAAGTTTGACGCCCGAGATCAATCCACTGCGATGGACTCATTCTGCAGCTTCGACGGCGTTGACTGGGTCTATCAACAGAACCAGTCCCGTCCAATGCGTACCAGACACTCATCGTCCTCGGCACTTCTCGATCGTCACACAGTTGCCACAAAAGCTCCGCCCATTCCCAGACGCTCATCCGAAGATTCGGGTGGTGCTACTAAAGACATCACTTCTCTCAATCAGTTGTGGAATACCCTTAGGCAACAGAAGCAGCGTCAGATGGCCAAGGAGCCTCCAAAAGTCAACTCTTGAAGGCGCCAACGCCTACACAGTCACCTGCCCCATCACGGACACCGGATCCTGTAGGGGTGAAAAAGGTGATGACACCTCAACCTCTCAAGAAGCGAAAGTCAAAGTAAGCTATTATTTCTGCGCAGTGCGACCCACTGGATTGCTCATGGATGGTATTCATCGACGATAGTGTCTCGTTTCGAGAGTCCCGTGATGGTCGCACTGTACGTGTGATTACCGTATATGAATGTACTTTGCGCACGCCTTAACTCCATACCCAGGTTACGGCCACGTTTGATCTACCGGGCATCAAAAAAAATAATGCCCATGTAAGTTATCGCGGCAGTCATCTGACTGTGACATGGGAAACAGTTAAGATCACTGAGATCGATGAAGGAGGAACACTGGTGAGGGAACGAGAAAAAAAGGAGTTTTCAAGGACTATTCCTCTTCCAGAGGGAACCAAGGTGAGCCCCTAATGTTTGCATACCGTTGCTCCTAGAGGAGCATCGGCGAAGGCTGTGATCGACTGATAACACCTCACTCGGCAGTTTGAAGAAGTTGGTGCGCGTATGGACGATCGTTATTTAATCCTGACATATCCAAACATGCGGTCAGTACGAGTGGAGCCTCGACAAATGGGTCACCGGCAGGTTGAGCCTCGTCGCATAGAGCCCACGGAGATCGAAGCCTCAGACGTATATGAATATTAGTTAGACGCACATATCATGCCTACGGAGTTTTAGTTTATGGTCCTCTTGCTTTGTTGTCGATACACTGTATACATACCGCATCCACGTTTGCCACGTTCTACGCTTACTTTATATAAGATCAATTCACCTGCTTGCACAACTCAAGGTAGTAACAAATGGCAACGGGGCAAGCCAGCAGCTATTGGGCAGGTCAGATGTGCCCTCCAACTGATAGATCACACTGACGAATCATCTGCCAATAGCTTGCCACGACGCAGTTCACGTGGTTTCAAAGTGCGGGAATCAATGTCTCGTGGCGTCTTGACCAAGGAGAATGATTGCTAACCTTATCTAAAACGCCACGGATATCAAAAATAACACCTTGAACTAGAAGTCGAGCATACAAGGATAGCTGCAGCCACGAAAATGCACCGCATTACATGTCATCCACGCTCCATTCATAACTTGCTGCTGTGTTCCGCTTTTTCTCATTATGTCGCTGGAAGTACTTCTTCTCGAAGCCATTGCCACGATCTGCAAGTAATATGAGGAATCGTTGGAATGGATGGGACTATGATAACGTACCTACGCCATCCCATCTATAGCCTGGCTTTATACCAAACCGGTTTGGTGGAGGCGGTGGTCCCGTATATTCGGGTTTGCGGGGACCCTTAGATCTACTTTTCTAGATAGTAAACCATATGCTATCAGCAACGAAAAGTTAAGGGCGTACAGGTACTTACTGTGAGAAAAGCGGCAGCTGGATCATTCCATCGTTCTTTAGCCTTCAGTTCTTCGTTTAGTTCCTTATCATCTGCACGTCTGGCGAACGGAAGTGATCTGTTCTTCTCAAGTTGACGTTTTCTTGCATCCTCTTCTTGTCTTTGGACCAAGCCTTTGCCCCATTCCATTTTCTTTGCTTCCTTTTCCTCCCTTTCTCGTTTCTTCCTAGCAGCTTCCGCACGAGCGGCCTTAGTATCGATCTTTCGGCCAGACGCGTCGCGATAAACGGTCTCTTGAGCAGCCTCCTCCTCTTCTTTGGTCAGTTCCTCTTGCTTCTGCTGAGGCTTAGGAAGGGCTTTTCGGAGTTGTGCTGATGTCAACAGTCCACCAGTAAACGGTTGTTCGGACTCCTCCACGAAGACGGTAGGCTGTTCATCCGCGGGTATCGGCGGACTGTCCTCCTTACCAGCGTGAACAGTTGACCACCCAGAACCTTCTTCAACACGGCGCTTCTTGAAGCTACGATCCTTCGCGACAGCGGCTTCTGCAAAATCTTCTTCTTCTTCATTGCGCCTGGAACTTTCGCCTGCCCATTCAGCGTCATCGTCCACTAACATTGAAGATGCCGTGGTTGCTGTGTCAGCTTTGCGCTTCTTCTTTTTCTTTTGTGTTGCTCGAGATAGAATAGCGTCTGCTTTAGGCCCTGTCATATATTTTTCTGCGAGATATGCTTGCATGGTAGCTAGGCTGTGCTCTGAATGGAGGAAGTTCTAACGGTACAGTCTAACAGTTACTTACCTAACAGTTCACGATGTGTATCCACGTGACTGATCCTAAATAATAGCACACAAACAGACACAAACAGACTCGGAGTTTGGACCAGGAACGGGCACAAGGACCAGCTAGTGCTTGCTTGCAGCCTCGCCCATGCTACCTCCTTTTAGCAGTTGGCGACGCCGCGGGTCATAAGCTCTGTGATTGGCACCGATAACGAAACTTCCCTTTCCTGTTATCACAAGTATCTTCTCGTCTGAGTTGTCTTAGGTCTAGTCTCCTTCACGACCTATTCTTGAAACACACGTTGAGCAGCAGATGACCGTGAGTGACTGTTGCAACATACTGGTTACCCCCTGAAATATGCCTTAGTATTGTTACGGTCATCACTGTTTGTAATTCCGATGGCCAGGAAGACAACAATGAGAAATATCAGCAACTTTCTGGGATCGCTGATACATGTCATGTAACCAAGTGATCATGATGACTTCCATGATATTTCAGTCAAATCAATGTCACAGGAGTATATAGCTCACCATCCGGTATTGCATATACAACCTCATTCGTGCTTGCTGGTGCCTCGTACACGGTACAACTTGACGAATCCAGACACGTTGGTTACCAGCCTCGAAGGATCGCGCTCGAAACTCACAACTGTAGTAGTCGTTACATTGAACAGACGAGTTGTTCAAGAATATTGCTCACCCCTCAGCTGTGTGGATGGGAATGTAAGGCGTCGGTGCGGGATACTTACTGCATCTGTCACCCAGATTGTCGGAACATTGATAGTATGCCGGTCAGAATGAACAAACAGGGTATATGCGAGGAGACATACTCAGCATGTTGAGGCTGATTGTACAATTAGCACAACACAGATGGTTTAGCCTCCCACACATATATAGCATATCTTATTCCGACATAGCGTTCCTGGGATATGACCAGCATCGGCACAACTTGCACAGGTATGACACAAGCTACATAGAACAGTCATCAATGACCAACGTTACCTTGGTCGCAAATTAGTTGTATTTTCACAAGGCTCTGACGGGAACCTTGCTCACCCAGATCAGTTCAACACCGCATTCTTAGTTGAACGGCTGCTGGGGTAATGGTATCAACCTACCTCTTGTCCGAATGTGAGTCCCGGAAATACCATAAGGATGTCAGCGGTTTTTCATGCTAAGTCAAACTTACACCAGTTGTAGATTATCCCAATTCTAGGGGAGGCAGCAAGTGTGAAATCGCAGCCAAGTTAATTGGGTCATCACCGTCATTATGCGACTAACTCTCCACGAACTTACAAAATAGCTGGAAATCATATCCACATTGATAAACGGCCATCAACTGAGATCATTCGAGGTTTCTTGGGTCATACTAGTAGAGGATCAGTCTCCCGCAGTCAGACCTTGATAGAATGAAGACAGTCGTTCCTTCTATTCCAAGGTAAAGGATGAGAGTGATTGAGTGAGTGAGTGGGGGAACTTGGTGTATGCCACCATCTAGCGTTTGCGTCGCCGAAGCGACTCAGATTTGAGGGATGACATCGATGATATCTGCTTGACCAAAGTAAGACTTTCAGCATGATTTCACGTAGAAAGGAAATGTGTATCCGGATTCCAGGGATATCGGTGGATCAAAGTAGGAGTTGTTGGTGGAGTAGCAAAGCAATGACTCACGTGGAATGTTTGAACACCGTAAAAAATCGTAAAACTGTTCGTCATCTTGGCAATGTGCAAGTGCGTTCTTCGAAGTGTTCTTAGCGCTATGGAATTCGGCCTAGGTCCATTAATGACAGGTTTGGATAGCACCCAAGTTGACATCGTGGCAGAAATGATCAGCCATATTTTTTTGACCTCTTTCGAAATCCATTCTATGCAGGCACTCTATGCTGAGGCGGCTGTCATCACCGAACAACCTTTTTCTAATTCATGTACATGTTGATGAGTACAAAAGTAAGTATTACAAAGTGGAGTAGTTCGCCCATCGTGCGAGTTCCGAATGCCTTACTTTTCAAAGGTGTTGCGATTGTAGAGGGCGTCAGTGGTGAACTGTCCGTCACGGAAGGAGGCCGCCAAGGGTTCAGTTCGATTCGACGTGGGCAATTCTGAGTCCAAGCAGTCCTTGTTACGGTGTCAAGAGCGTCTGTCGGGCCTGTGTCGAGCGTCCTTATCTGCCCTGAAAGAAGGCAAGTCATGGAAACTTTGCAGCCTCCGCTTCATGCGAGGGAACGAAGTTCAAAGGAGGATAGCCAGGACGTTCGGAAGTAGGCCGTCGTTTTAAAGAACGTCTGTTGGACCATCTACCGAACGTCCCTATCTGCTTTGAAAGAAAATAACTCACGGAAACATTGCAGCATATGCAGCCTCTGCTTCATGTGAGGGAATGAAATTCAAAGGAGGATAGCCAGGACGCTCGGAAGTAGGCCGTTGTTTTAGAGATCTGCGTCTGTCGGGCCATCTACCGAACGTCCCTATCTGCCCTGAAAGAAAATGACTCACGGAAACATTGCAGCATATGCAGCCTCTGCTTCATGTGAGGGAATGAAGTTCAAAGGGGGATAACCAGGACGCTCGGAAGTAGGGCGTTGTTTTAGAGATCTGCGTCTGTTGGGCTATCTACCGAACATCCCTATCTAGTCTGAAAGAAGACAACTCACGGAAACATTGCAGCATATGCAACCTCTGCTTCATGTGAGGGAATGAAGGTCAAACGAGGATAACCAGGACGCTCGGAAGTTGGCTGTTTTTTTAGCCTCTTTCGTCGACTATTGTCGAGTATGAGTGTAGAAGCCTCGGAGTGAGATCGCGCTCCAGAGGTATCAGCGACCTTCGCTTCATGTGAGGGAACCAAAGGCAGAGGAGGATATCCAGGACGCTCTAAAGCAGGTTGTCGTTTTGTCCTTTGGGGTCGATTATTGCGCAGCATGACTGCAGAAGACTCAGAACGAGAAAAAGCTGATCGTTTAATAATTTTCTTCCTCGGCGAAGAGGGAGGGGTTGCGAATTTCGGGAATGGAACAAAGTTGAGAGGCCGACGAGAGGAGGATACACCGGGAGGATGCAGAATTTCCTTCGTTTCCACATGGGAAAGAATAGCAGCACGGGCCAGCCTCTGCGCCAGAGTCATCGATTTCCTGTCCTCGCCGGGCTTGTTACGACCTTCATTTGAGGTGCAGACCTTAGCGGGAGCAGGCCGAGTAGCTGGCTGACTATTCTCACCGCCTGTAGAAGTGGATGTATCTTGCAATTGTACGGTCCGTAGCTGCCGTTTGCGCCGCGGTCCAGGCACCCTCGCAGTAATTTGACGAATGAAGTCGTCCACTGTTACGGCCTCCTGATGGTGGATTAAGCTGTGTTGCATTTTGATGGTAAAAGCTGTACCTTGGTTACAGTGGTGTCCCTAGCTGAAGGAAGGGTAACAATAGGAGGGATGAGGCCTAAGGATGGTTCACGCATGTCTGTTGAAGTTTCGGAATGAAGCAGATCGAGCGCCTCATCGCCTTGGGAGTCGTAAGCCGGTCTCTTTCGTTTCCTTGTCATCTTTTCGAAATTCGAATGGGATAGATGTAGTGAATATCATACTGATGGCAAGACAAAAATGGTTCTTGCTTACAACGTATTGAACGTCCATTTCTATGATTTGATCAGAAGGTACACTGTAGTTGCTCGGTCGAAGTTGGTTTTGAAGCCAGACAGGCCGCTGCAGCCCGTAGTTTATATATAGGTGAGGGACTTGAAAAGCACCGCCACCACCATTGATTCCTTTCTCCACAGACGCTCGTTGGCCACAATGCGCATTGAACTTTCCACGACAAGTTACAACCGGCGCCCAACTATAACGTACTAGCCCTCGGGCCCAGGCTGCGGAGCTTTTGAGTGTTCGGTTAGGCGCATGCAACTCTCATCCACATGACACACATACTAAGTACAGATGACTCCACAATCATTTTAAGCTGGCATTATGCACACTTAGGCCTTATTGCGAACTAGTGTCATTCTTAAATCATTGCGTTCGCAAGATGCTTGTGATATATCGCGTGTATTCTGTCATTTTTCGGATTTTCTGGGAGCGGTAATTCTGCCCCGTCGGCTCGTGTTGCCGGTGTCGCAATCATTTCTGACGACTCGCTCGTTGAAATCCTGACGATAGTTGACACCAGTACCGCCCCCTTGAGCTTGCATAAAAAGGGCCAACTGCTACTAGAGTGAGTGTCATTCCCTACTTTTGCAAGAATGCAGCTCTCGTTCTCAACCGTAATTGCTACCCTTGCTGCTGTCTTTGCTGTAGCCGCTCCAGCAGCTGCTCAATCCTGTTCCGAGGCTACACGCTTTGGCGTTGTCACCGTCAGTCCTACCACGCTCTCTCCCGGTGATGTGAGTCGTCGTGTTTATGTTGGCTCCTTCCGTGTCTGATCATTGTTATTATTCAAGACTTTTACTGTCACAGCAAATTTCACCTGCGCTGTTCAATTTGGTGTGAACCCCCAGTACACTGACTACTACATCGAAGTCCCTGTGAACAACAACGGCTACGAACCTCCAATCCTACTTGCTCGTCGCACTCTCAATGCGAGCTCGCCAACTCCTCTCTTCGACCAATTCACAACTCAGGTTAGTTCTGGTGGTCATATAGTCCATGTGTGTTGATTGATTTTTTGCCCTAGCTCCCTTATGCAAGCTATTTCAATGCCTCTTACGTAGTGATGCTGGATACTACCTATCCAGTGACTGGAACAAATGGCTCCCCGTACTCTGTTGTCGGAGGTATTGAGACTCCTATCAACATCCTCTAAACGACGAGGGAGTGGTGCAAATAAGAACTGCGCAGATCACTTTGGCACGCGTGCTTCGTACACCGAAACCTTCACATATGACTCGAGTCTCTTTTGATAATTACTAGGACACTTCTATATTATAAGGACAGGAGCAATGATACAACTTCGATTACAGCCTCTTTACTACGCAGCCAGGCTTCTTGACTTTTCCAGCAAGACAAGTTCAGCCTTTAGCCTCTTCAGTTCTGTTACAGCAGCATCTATGACATCCTTCGCCTCCTTTTTCTCCTTCAGCCCACGAACAACTTGTCCATGCTCCAAAATCTTTGCTTCTAAAGCAATAACCTCAGGCGATTTCGGCCCACTGACCGCCACGGTGTTCGGCCCGGCGTTAACAGCACCCGCCTTCTTTGCTTTGCGTTTCGACGTAGGTGCCTCCTCCTCCTTCTTAGTTGACTCGTCGCCACCAAAGCGCACCTTCCACACTTGTTCCATCTTCTCGTCGATGTTCTTGAACAGGTGGTCAGGCTGGCCGATCTGATGGCCCGCAAGGATATCTGTGGAGAGCACCTCAGGAACCACGCGCGCCGGCGCGTTCAGCTGCAGCAGGAGCGCATCCGAAGTAGGCAGGCATGAAAGGATATATGAGGGCTGAAAGAACGTAAATCAGGTTGACGGCGCGCGATACGACTTGCGCGCATCGCTGTGGGTTTTCTGTCATTAAGGCCTTGTTCAGGCCAGAGGCTTGCAGGTAACCATTACCCCGGCTTGAGATAAGCATGACAGTTTGAAGACCGAGTCGTATTTTTACGCTTTCCATCGCATCGATATAATCCTTGAGGAGCGCGTTGATATCAGTGATGAACTCGGCGTCAAGGGCGTCGTTGGGAGACAATGGGCCAGGAGCATCGCCGCTTTCCGGAAGGACGCTATCGTATTGGGCGGAGAGGAACTTGAGGGCGCGATTGACGAAGTTGCCAAAGCTGTCGGACAAGTAATCAGCATCAGTTCAACATGTTTATTTTAACAATTACTTTTTGAGAAGGACATTATTGTTGGCGGCAATCTATGAAATAGTAGAGGGTCAAGAAAGAGCTAGTAATAGAACATAGACCAACTTACACAATCCGCCCACGAGAACATGGAATCAGCGGTTTCCGGACGAGTGGAGAGCAAATAATACCGCCATACGGAAGCGGGAATTCCGGTCTCCTGAGCAGCAGGCCCAAACACACCGCGATTTTTACTCTTGGAGAACTTTCCGCCCTCATAATTAAGGTATTCTGTATGTCAAATGGTTAGAAAAGGGTGCCAATCTAGAATTTCATGCTTACCGGTAGTTGAGAGATGGTGTAGTGTCGTCCAATTCCTGCCATCCGCGAGCAGCATGGCGGGGAAGTATATAGTGTGGAAATATACATTATCTTTGCCCATGAATTGGTATAGCCGAACATTATCTGGGTTGAGCCACCATTGTTTCCATTCCGGGGTATATTCTCCGGTGATACTGACGTAGCCAATGACTGCGTCGAACTGCAGGGAAAGTGTTAAGAAATGGTATAGCATTAAAGCATCGCCAACTGACCCAAACATCTGTCGTCGCCCGTCAATACATCAAAGATATTTTTGGGAACTAGCCACTCACACAACACTTTTCCACCCATCTCCTTATCATCATCTCGACCAAGAGGTGGAATAGGAACACCCCAAGCAAGATCTCGCGTCACCGGAGTAGGTTTAAGTCCACTTTTCATGCGCGCATCTACGATCTCGCCATCGGCATTGATTGTGGCATTAGGTGACCATTTTCCTTTCTTCCATGACTTCTTAATCCAGTCTTCTAACGCTGGCTGAGCAGCATCTAGCTTGAAATACATATGTGAAGAAGAATGTGCAACGACATTGTGAGTTTTATTAATCAAGCATCGAGGCTCGATTAGGTCGATAGCATCTAGCGTGCGACTGCATGCATCACATTGGTCGCCGCGAGCATCCTAGGACAGATGGTTAGAATATGCGTTACAATTAGCTGACTGACGTACGACGTAGGCGCAATGAGGGCAGATACCCTCTACGTAGCGATCAGCCAAAAACCTGAGGCGAATGTTGGAATTGTTTTATTAGTCTTTAGTGAGACTCACTTTTTGCAGCCTTCACAATACGTTTGATCTTTGATTTGCTTCTCTAAATATCCGTGTTGGCCGAGATTGAGGTAAATTGATTGACATATCCTGTGTTTTCGGTGTTAATGAGGGGTAACAAAACTCAGGTATTGTTGCACCTGACTCGGTATGTTTGGCGGTTGATGTGCGTCCAAAGAGATCGAAACTAAGGAAGTTCGGTAGAGAACAATTGTGCTTGTGGAGGATACGCACCCAATATCAAACCACTCGTATGTCTCCTTGTGCAAGGCGTGGTACTTGTCGCATAGTTCTCTGGGAGTGATGCCCTCCTTGAGAGCCGCAGTCTCCTGTAGCAGTTCCGTATTCATCAGTTCCACAAATATAAAGAGTGCGTCTATTCCGTGTCCCTGTAAAAATTCGATGAGATGTGGGTATAAAGCTGTGCGAGACTATCACTGACGGTTGTATCTATCAAGAGAGGATGCTCTGAGCACACATCACAAGATACCAGTAAGTGGGGATACTCACCGGCTGAAAACGTCTGCGCTCAAGTGCTTCCTATGATATTTCCTAACGATCATTGTCATCAGACTCGTGATATGATAGTGATCGGACGACGCACCTAGATGAGGTACATTGTTACAGTAAGGCAAAGCGGACGTGATAAGAATATTTGTTTCCCCATCCTTCGGTAGTCTGCACCAATGATAATATAAGCGATAGATTGGAAGCTATGATCTGATAAACTTACACGGCGCCCTGCCCAGGATCAGGAATAGATCGCAGGACATCGTCTGTCACTCTGATTTTCTGAGTCATGACTCCGGATTGTTCTGGCGCGTGTCAAAAGGGTGAGAGAGGTGATATGATTCGGTGAGACTCAGCACTTGCAATTGATATTATCCAGTATATAGCCGAGACTTGAGATCTAGAGTGACTCGACCTTACACAGCTGAGACCAAAATAAATCTGTTAGGGTTAGGGTTAATGCACTGCAGTCTGCAGTTGCTTCACAGTATCAACTCCAACTGAACAAGCGAATAACGGAAATGTATTTAAATTGTCATTTGTGTCCATACCCTCTCTAGCTTTCCTGATCACATCAAGGCCCCATCAAGCACGTCATCTCTGTTATCAACATGACTGACATGTCATATTCGGGAAAATATCTGCATTTCACCACTTTTTCGCCTTCGAAGCACTCGGAGGAATGTGCCCCTTGTCCATACGAATTAGTTGTTGTCGCCGTGTCGGGCTTTCCCAACTGCTGGGAAGATGAAAATTTCCCCTAATAGCCGATAACGGTGGAAGGCCAATGCTAGTTCCCCTAGACTCCCCTAGACAGCCCTTTATAGACGAAGGAAGATGGTCGTTCCTTCTTAGAAGGCCAACACGCCACAACGAAGATAAGTCGCCAAAATGCCTCTTAATATATTCTCAAACTTTTCCGGAAGGACGACTCACAGACGATATCATACGTGTGGCGTAAGGATTTGGAATGAAGGAAGATACCTAGCTGACGCATATCTTTGTATAGAATGCGTGATTGTCAGTATTAATTTCTCTAAACGATTGGCCTACCGTATATCTGGGGATTGGGCCGAACTTCAATTGGTCATCGACAAATGACCCACCAATATCCTCAACGACTCGAATTTGATGGATCACTTGTCTATGCCAAATTGTCGATCGCGGACAGCGTACTTCAGTTCAGTTCGCATCCATCAACTGGAGTCAGGTATGCATGTTTAGTATTGGGCATTAGCTACAAGAGTCAACGGACCTGGTGGACTGGTTGGCTACAACTTGCAATTTTTTATACGGCATTCCTTTCCATGCAGCTTGAGATGCTGTCAGTGACACAGTTGTCTTTCTGGATACATCAAATCGTTCGAGTGGCACGCCTCGAGGAAGTGTTTAGGAGTTCTCCGATGCCAGCCCGTAGCCTCGTGCCATGGCTAATGTGCATATGCCATTGCCTCACAGCAAACGTCTTGGAGCCGACGGCAAAGTTGTGATGCACCCCCATTCTTCAGGGCGTAGAGGGAACAAAGTACAGAGGCAGCGAATAGTGCTCTTGTTTCAGATCCGGAAATCAACCAATTACGTGATCCCACATGGGGCAACACCTCGGTTGTTCCACGAGGACACGAGGAGGACTAGGGAGGATTTGAACCCCGTGCGGTACGGATAGCTGCTCCGATACGTCAGCCTATACCGCTGTTGGCTAGTCCCAGTGCAGCTTAGTTGCCTGCTAGAGACGGTGTTAGGTCATTCAAGTTCAGGAACTTCCCGGCCTTACAAGCAGACAGTGATGCTTATTCGTAAGCTAAACATTGATCAACTCACCCTCACGAAGCCTCATGACGCAGACTTACCTTGTCTGATCCGATAGGCTCGTATGATAGAGTTTCCAGAAAGCACCTCGACCTCAGCCTTCCTTCACTGTCAATACCCACGTCATCTATGATCCATAAAAGTCTTCATCTCCTTCACGATGTATTGGAGCGCCAAGAAATCGAACGGCATCTGGATGGCCTAGAGCAGAGGGTGGCCTGCGCTAGTGTTGATAGTAGTTTCTAGCTCCGATCATTGACCTTGTCGGCGGGACAAAGTTACCAATAATGCAGGCGATAAGGGGGTCCCCGGGGCCCCATAAACCATTAGGAAGTTCACAACGTACTTACAGTGGAGCGATAGAACCCAAGACTGCCTGCTTTTGTAGGCTACGACATAGATGCTCTTGACTGTGCACGCTGGTCGCCTATGAGCAGCTGAGAGATCGATTATATAAAGTCTTCAAATGAGAACTGCAACAGGCGCATCTGGCAGACCGTCCATGTCGAGATGTAGAGTAATCAGAGGATTGATAATTTCACAATTTCAAGTTATTATTTTCAAATTTAAATTGACACTACAGAACCGTTACGATAAATGATTGAGTACGCTACTGATGCACTACCTGTGATATGCAAGTACCTCCGTCAGCTTATGATGTGCATAGTGAATGGAGATGGCACAACTGTGCTATAGGTAGACGCTGATCTGGACTCGAGCCCACCGCTGCCACCCTAACGGGCTCTTCATCAACTTTTTCATTGGTCATTGCTCAAAAATCTGTGGCCGGGCGATAGTGATTTATCCATGGCCGGCCCGCTGTGGACTACGATATTGGATTGTGCATGTGGCCTTGCCTATCTGCATGCATGGTCCCACATCCGTAAGCATTGGGTCGTGTGCTATGCGTGTGCTTAATGAGCCTCAGTGCTGGTAGCAACGTGCCGCATTCCCACTTATTATAAATACTAGCGCTTAATTCATTTTATCGACCTGAAATGCCTCTCCGTCCCGCATTCGACTTTCTGTAGTTGTCGTTCACCATGCCGCTCGACAGAATCATTACCGATCCAATCATATCCACAGAGAACACAACGTTCTCCTCATCGCCCTCACCAACTCCAGTCGACCACTACCCAACGTCGGTACTCGAGGGTGCCGCAGTCCCAACGGAACGCGACCCATTGATTCGGACTGCGCCCAAAGTCAAGAAACCATTCTACCGTGCCCGCCCATTATGGTGAGCAGATGTTCACTGTTACGAGTAATCCGACTAATACCGAGTCCTGGGCAGGTTAGTACCATTTGCACTAATTGCATCTCTTACTGTGCGTTCCGACTTGTCATCATTCGGAGAAAATGCTGACTGTATCGTGAGACTTGTATAGCGCGGCATGACGCTGGCGTCCCGTGTGGAAGTCTTTACACAATTGTCATGCCACAATCTATACGAGCACTATAATCATACCCGCGTGGTACACACTCCGTTCAACTCAAGCCAATACGTGGACGATCCAGTAGAACCTCATTCAATCTCCGTGCATTTGACGTCATCACCTATCCTTACTTCAGGCAAAACCCAGGAGAATGGCGATGTTGATAAAGATGAAGATCCCCGCGTGATACCAAGTAAAAAGTGTGTTTCGGATCCCGCCGTCCAGGCAGGTGCTGCACGCCTGCAGACCATAATGACCACAACGATGGGTGCCCTCTCTGCTCTTACAACAGGCTGGTGGGGCCAGTTCGGGGAAAGGCACGGCCGCACACGCATCCTCGCTATCTCCACTTCGGACTCTTCCTTACGTACGTGTCATATTTCGCTTCTTTCCGAGGCATTGCTTACAGATATATGTGTCAAATTATAAAGGGACCTCACATTTATTCTTGTATCAACACCTCACAGCCCCCTAGCCGTTCACTCGCATAAGCTGCTCATCATTGCACCTATCATCGAGGCTCTCTTGGAGGATGGTCGACCTTGACCGGTGCCAATACCTGCCTACATCGCTGATTGTACATCTCCTGGTTCGCGTGCGACTATTTTCGCCCGTTTCACTGGCGTCCTTTCTATCGGACTTGCTCTCGGGCCCGTAATCGGTGCATGGCTGATCAGGAATCCGATACCTTTCCTGAGTGCTGGAAATAGTACGTCAGATTAGTATTTGATCGGCTGAATGCTCAAACCTCGGTGAAAGCCGACCACCCACTACAAAGCGTTACATCTGTTTTCTGGGTGGCGATTACCTGTTCTTTCGTGAACTTGATCTTAGTACTCTTTGTGTTCCCTGAATCGCTTCCCGCCTCTCGCCGAGCATCAAATAGGAAAGGTAAGAGTCGAGCTGTTGAGAGTGGTCCAGAATTCACTAGCAGTACGTGTATCACTGCGTTGGCTACCTGGTCTTGTATTCAATCCGAAGCATCTGTTTATAGGTAAGGACGACGAACCCTCCAATGGATGGATCGCAACTCGCATCATCCGAAGCTTTCTATCACCCCTCGCCGTCTTCCTCCCGTCCCATGTTCCTGTAGCTACCAGTGCCACTGGAGACTCACTCGTGCCCTCTCGCACACGGAATGACTGGGGTCTGACGTTCATCGGCATATCGCTCTTCTCGCACATGCTGGCATCGGGATCTTCCAGCTCAAGTACCTATATGCTGAGCATATCTACGACTGGGCAGCTGAACAACTGAGCTACTATATCTCCTTCATGGGAGCCTGTCGTGCTTGGTACTTACTCGTCTTCCTGCCATGTAAGTCAGCCCTTTGGTCACACCTCCTGGTTCTGATGATCAGCAGTCCTTCTTTTAAAGTTCAAGCCCGTCCGCGCTGCGGTTTCATCTACAAACGCACCCGCGAATCCTGCGGCACCTACGTCAAAGCCCAAGCCTACAAAGTCTCATCTATTCAATGAAATGCGGTTCGATCTGCGTGTCGTGCGGTACTCCATGCTTATGGACTTCCTTTCGCATGCGCTTGTTGTCATTGCGCCTCTGCCCTCCCGCGATGCAAGTAGTGTTTGGTGGTCGCAGTTCATGTTCGTTGGTGCAACGTCACTCTCGTGCGTTGGTGCGGGGGTGATGCCAGGCATGCAGAGCCTCGCATTGTGCACTCTCCAGGGTCGTGCGCTTGCTACTAAGGAAGGTGCTGTCCGTACAGGCGAAGCTCAGGAGCATGATAATGATGTTGAGTTGGAGCCTGGAAAGCTCTTTGGGGCTCTCGCTGTCCTGCAAGCCGTCGGTCAGACTATTCTCGGGGTGAGTAATATTCTTCTAGGTCGAGATGTATTCTTACATAGGCTCTGCAGCCCATGATCTTTGGTGTCATCTACAGCAGCACCGTAGCCTCCTTCCCAAAGGCCATTTTTGCAACGGCCAGTGGCCTGGTACTTCTATCAATCGCGTTCACTCTCCTCGTCAGGCCAGATGTCAGTCTCTCCGTGATGAAACGCAAGAAGGTCCAAGCCAAAGGTAAAACTGTCGTTCGTTCTCATGGTGTGAAGCCGAAACGCAGATATCAGGAGCAGGCCCGCGGTCGATCGCGGGTGAGCAAGGATCTTAGGGGCGGCGCTGCGCGAGCAGACTATGATGTTTCGATGTTTGATGGCAGTGCTAGTGAGGCCAGCGGTTCTGGTTCTGGTTCGGGCTCGTCTGTCTGAGTGCTTCTTGGTGTGTGCTCGCGGCGTGGTGATATATTGTGGAAGGATTAGTTAATAAATACCATAGCATTCAAGTCGCTTGCTGCGGCGGTGGGATATATAGCGGGATATCTAGGTTAATCGTATGTAGTAATTTATTAAAAGTGATATTGACAGTCTTCGGTGTGGTAGTACTTGCCATGTCCGGGTGACAACTCGGAAGCTCGGACGGAACGATTTTTTGAGATGGCGTTCTTGGAGCGCGATATATGCATCTGGTATCACGGAAACCACAGTCATACACTTTCGAGTTTCGAGGGATATACTGGGGTATAGATATTGTAAATGGTATCAAAGTTCCATTGCTTATTATGGATGCGTGACGAGCGCCGCATGCACATTCCTCAGACGTTCGCTCCTCTCGCTTTCTCATCGACTCTACTCCCAGTGGATCCCATCCCAATCATTCAACACGCAGCTCAAGTCTTTAACGTTAACGTCTAGGCACACCGGATTGCTAGCGATCCATGCCCCTGGTATTGTTCCGCGAAAATCCGCCTAATCATCCACCTGTTATTAGCTAGGTCGATGACTCAAGGCCGAAAGTGACAGGTGAATCATGGATATAACTCGTCCAAGGTATATGTTTGACGACGAAGCTGATCAGGCACAATTATAACGGCCACGCCAGTCCGAGTCCCTGACAGCTACTTATGTGGTCCTGCCTCGGTGTCAAGTGTTGAGTACTGAGGATCGACTTGGTTACATATCGAATGAACATCTGACAAAACCCGGTAACCCTGGGTGTCGGTGGTATGATAACTGCGGTGCACTGGATCTCCATTTTATGTCAGTAGAGTGTTGAACACGTTCTTCCCACTTTCGCCGATATTGTTTCGCATGCTGGTACAGACTTGGCCGGTGGCCCCTGTGGACCAAATAGTACCGGTCAGCCCATCAGTGAACCTGAATGTAATGGTTAGCTATATATAGTTACCAATCACAACCGTGACAATCTCGTACCCCAACTCTCTCTCTCTAGCGATGCGATGCGATTTACTCCAGCAGTCGACACGGGGAGGAATGGCGTTTCATGATCGAAGACTCAGTGGTACTGAAAATGAGCTGGAATGAATGGCAATAGAAACAAATTATTCGCCGCAATTAAGATGTTCACCGTTTTTTTTTTAGTTGGAACGTTCCAACTTCCCGTGCGTGGGCGTGAGTCATTTCCCCCCTTGCCATGGTGAACCCTTACTCACCGAATGCAATAAAGGGACTGACAGATATTGTCTTCATGGTACTCATTTCGGTGATAAAAGGGGGTATGTCTGGTACAAATGTCATCGTCATACGTCCACCAAGTTCGCCGCTCACTCACCCACATCCTCGAATATTATGACCATAATCTCAAATGATCCCAGTTGGTGGCCACTCATCAATTCACATGTTATTTCCAGCTATTTTGTAGGTCTGTAGAGAGCCAGTCGGATGATAACGGTGGTATGCTGATATGACCTTCGCTGCATTTTTGCAGTTGCTGCCTCCATTGGGGTAATGTACGATTGGGGTGAGCAAGATGGTATGAAAGAGTTATTGATATCCTGATGGTTTCTCCAGTACTTTCATTCGGACAAGAGGTAAGTTGATGCCATTACCGGACTGATCATCTCTCTAAGAATAGTTTCATAGGTCGAATTGATTTGGGTGAGCAGAGTCTCGTATCCGAAGAACAACATCCAAATGTCATTAATCTGCGACAGAGGCAACGCTGGTCCCTGATGACTGTCTTGTATCTCACTGTATGTGACTCGTATTATAAATGTGCTTAGCAAGTTGAGCTGATGTGATGATGTCCCAGGTGCGCTACATTGGAATAATATATGTTGGGTATGTTTGGAAGGCTGAGGTTGGCGTTGTGCTAATTGCCCATCTCAGCATGAACATACAAAGTGTGTTTGTTCACATGCACTATTTGTTGCTTCTGACCAGCAGCATACAGTGACTGTTTAGATAATCCCGCTGCAAGATGCAGTGAGTGTTCCGCACCGATACCCCCTCTTCCATACCTGTCTAATCAACTATTATGTAGGGGTGAGCAACGTTCTTGGACAGTTTGCTGATCCACCATAATGATTCTTACAGTTGTGAGTTTCTTTGGAGTGCATGATCCTCGGAGGCTGAGCGCTGACCAGATGTGTCAGGTCTTATCATGTACTTCGCGCTATATTGGACGACGTGGGTCCTAATTGCAATACTCGGTGGTAAGCTACGCAGTTGCAATACCTCAGTGATATTTGACTTGACTGAAACACCATGCAAGTCATCATGATTGCTCGGTTATATGCTATGTACCAACGATCCAGAAAGGTACTGGTACTCCTCGTTGTCGTCTTCGTGGCCATCAATATTGCCAACACTGTGATACTCACGATAAATATGAGGCACATTTCAGCGGGTAAGCTTCAATCATGGATGAAAGACTTTGAGTGCTTCAGGCTAATTGATAAATACCAGAGCAAGTCATTCTTTCTGGCACCTATCAGTGCGTTGTTAACAATGCCGAACATTTGGTGGCCATCCCTTGGATACTCAGTGCTGTGTGGGAGATCTTCACACTGTGTCTTGCAGTCTGGATTGTTCTAAAGCACTTCCGTGAATTGCAACGACAATCAGCGGGAAGTATTATGAGGGACTGTTTTACTATGTTAATGACAAGTCACTTGAGTTACTTTACGAGGTGAGCTCATAACGTGAATGTGGTTTTCTTTTCCGTTGAAGTTCCGCACGTGCTAGCTCCGTTGTGATTGTTTGCTGCTTACTCGGTTATTTTTCGCCAACGATGTCAAACGTACGCTAATCTGTCACTGACATCTGCATGCATTCACGCTTCATTACTTTCCCATAGGACCCATATTCCCCGGCAAAGTTGTTTTATTTTGGTTTTCCTCTAATATTCATCACTGTGCAGTTAACTGTGCTGGGACCACAACTGATCCTCGGTATTCGAGAATATCATGCTAAGCTCGTGATTGACTCCAATACAGGACCTAGCATGGTTTCAATTGCTTTCCAAGAGCGTGTGCATGTATCAACTACCAATAGTGTGTAGCACTGCAGATGTTCGATATGATTTACACTCGTCGAGCCCGGGCCTCCGCAGGGAACAAGAGAATTTGACTATATTTGTGCTAAGTTTCGTTCTTATTGCATCACCACTCGTACTAGCTGCCTGCCGTGTGGAGCCTTCAAGCGTACCGGGGAAGACCGAGAGTGACATAGATGCCTTTGACTATTGTTTGAGTGAAGTATGACGCGAGTGATGTTTCTAGACTGCCGTGGCGGTCAAACAATGGGCTGTCCCACTATTTCCTGATGATTTCTCGTCTTCTCGCTGGGGTCGCAGATATGATTGGGTGACCAGGGCAGATACATTATTTGCACGGGAGGGTTAGCATTGGTCTTCCCCTGAAAAATCACTGGGCCGATGCGAAGACAGCTCTTCACGCAAGGTAAACTTATCACCAAAGTGGTACGTCGAACTTGATACCCATGGGGACACCGCAATTCTGAAATGAATATCCATCACATATAACTTGAAATGCCTAAAACATCAAAGTAGGGGTCCGGCCTCTGTGCAGACCACTCGGCCGTCACATGCTTTAAGTGACCAATGCTTCCACGAATCTTTGCTTGCCTCTATGACACTATAGCTAAAACACAGGTGCTATGACAACATTCTTGGTGCCTCCGGTCAAGTTGAGAAATGGCTAGGTGGCATACCTTTGGTTTACACTTTCACTCTCGTTGCTCACCGAAAGACTAGTGATTTCAAAAAACGCGTCCAAGCTCAGAACAAGGAATGGAACAATGACGAGCTGTTGAAGATGGCTTGGGCTGATCTCATGATAAGTTATCCTACCGATAGCTTCGAGGCCGGCGTAGACCTCGAGTGTCTGACCACACTAGAAGCAAGGATATTTGAAGATTCTGAAGAAGCAGGACCTGCAGCCAACCAGCAGTGGAGTTAGGATGCTGGTCAACATCACATGCGGTGAAATGTGTATCTCAACATTCCTAATAAGCGGGTTCTGGGAAGAGATTTCAGCGAGATTGAACCTGAAGTAAGGAAGTATTACCTGCTCTGTCCAATGGGTCTCTAACTGGTGTGATTGACAGCGTGGCCCCTTATTCGGCGATAACTCTGATGCTACATCTGCAGACGAGTCGGCCGACGTTATAGCTCCTTCGCTGCGTGAAACGTCGCCCTTCGCTGCCAGCTGAAGAATGTGCGCCAGTTAAACACCGATGTGCTTCGAAGAGGGTCCAGAGAGGGAGGAAAATAGTCGTTGGCTGATGTGACTAGTAAGTAGTGCGTCCCTAATTATGTAGAACACTGGCGTGTCCGCGTCAAGGCTTGTCAGTGCAAAGAAAATAGTCATCAGCTGATGTAGCTAGTAGTATGTGTGCCCATGGTGAGTAAAATCAACGAAGGAATGGTCATGAACCAGCAACTTGATGTGGGAGTCAAATGTAGAACATAAGAACGCTTGCACAAGGCGTCCGAGCCAGTGCGTCAACATCACGCGTCACATGACACCTGTGCATCGCGCCGCGTCAAAACAGCTACGCCCGACTTGAAATGCTTCGAGCTTAAGCTTCAAGCTTCAAAGCTTCAGCGCCGGCTCGATTTCCCAGCGCTCAGTCATATCTCGAAAATATCGCTTAAGGCTCGCCAGCGCAAACACAAGTGATCAAGAATCTCATCTTGTATTCGACCAGCTGCCCATACTCCTGTACACCGTGCGTCACCTGCTGAGCCAATCATAAACACTAGTCTCTTCAACCACAACATCAATACATCTCCCAAATTCGATACCAACCTCTGCGCCGCTCTTCCTTTATTCTAGGTCGCACGTTATCAACTTGCGCATGCACGAGTATCCTCCTCGCCATATCTCCTTGTCTAAACAATGCAGTCACACTCGCACTTGGTGACCTGGGATAGGATGAGCTATTAGCGGCGACGAGGGCAGTGATTATCTAGTAAACCCAAAAGAGAAGTCTCAACTTTGTGGTAAGGAGTTCACGTGTCACGGTTGACGCCAGCTGACGCCCCCTCCTGCATTGTGTTTAAATTTGCAGGCACCACATCATCTGAGCTAGATGCTCTGAACTCTGCTGAACTCCCAAACGACATGCCAGCATGTACATCCAGCTCCGTACTCGACACATCCCCCTGAATCATCAC